GATATGTGGCTTTTCATGTGTTGTCACTGGAACTAGAGATGAATGACATTCCGATTCTCGAACTCGAACAACAAACAGAAGTCGATGATTATTCAAAGAAATCTCTACTGCAAGGCTATGAACTAGTTATGGATCTGAATATTCGTGTTCATTGTTTGAATCAGCTTTTCCTCAAAGGAAAGAAATAATTTAAAGTTTTGCGTGTAATCCTTTCTGTATGTGACATTGCATGTCAATAATTTGAATTGACTTCTAAAGACACTTCTTTTCGATTGAAACAATTCAGGAATTGATTGACATTTTGTACATTTACAAATATAATGTTTTTCATTGGCATTTAACAGAAGATCAAGCCTGGAGAATTGAAATATCATCATTTCCAAAACTTACTGAAATTGGAGCTTGGAGAAAGTTGAGAAAGGATGAACAAGACCTTGTTGTTGGAAATGATAAACTTTATGGTGGTTTTTACAGTACGAGCGACATTTCCTTTCTAGTCGAGTATTGTCACTCGAAAGGTATTTTAATTGTCCCAGAAATTGAGCTACCTGGACACTCTTCTGCTGCTGTCATTGCTTACCCAGAATGGTTGACCTGTGAAGATTCAGAAAGTGGTGTCAAAATATTTACTCCTGAAATGACTCCACCCAATGAATGGGGAATATTTAATGATGTGTATTGTGCAGGAAAAGAAAGCACTTTTCAATTTTTAGAAACCGTTCTTGACCAAGTCATTCAACTCTTTCCACATTCTCCCATCATTCACATTGGTGGAGATGAGGTTCCAGAGTCGGCCTCTTGGATGCATTGCTCCAAATGCCAACAACTTGCCAAACGCAACGAAGAATATTCATGTAAGATTGAAGAAATATCACTCTTCAAACAGCAACAACTCTACTCTTATTTCATTCATAGAATTTATACATTTTTACAATCGAAGGGAAAATGTATGGTTGGTTGGGATGAGGTGTTCATGTCAAACTCTACTGGAAGAAAGGACAACATGTCATCCAAAGACAACTTAATCATCCAGTCATGGAGAGGTACAGAAGGAGCACAACGAGCGATTCAGAATCAAATTCATACCATACTTTCTCCAACGAGTCATTGCTATTTCGATTATGGAATTGAGATCATCCCTTTGAAGAAAGTACTATCGTTTAATCCTTTCAAATTGTGTGAATTGGATATGAAGCATGTGGATGAAACAACTGCAGCTTTTATTCTTGGAGGTGAATGTAATTGTTGGACGGAGAGAATGCAAACCAAAGAAAAACTGCAACAAATGATCTTTCCACGAGTGTTGGCCATGAGTGAGGCATTATGGTGTGAGGCATCATGGATGAAGCAGGAGGACATCTCTAAGGATGGTCATTATTATGTATTTTTAGATCGATGTCAACGACATTATGGAACTATTTTGAAACATCTCCGAATTGGAAAGGAATGTTATCCATTGGAATGTTTCGTAGATGAAAAGAATCAGGATGTGATACATCTGGTAAAGGTGGATGATCAAGACGAAAAGCAAGAAATTTATTTCTTTATTCCTGGAATAACAAACGAATATGTGAAATATGAGAATATTTCTCCACAATCAATATTGCATTCACACGCGAATCGTGGGGAAGTGCAACTTTACACCCAAGTCATTCGAAACTCTCTCATCTATGGTATGAAACAAGTATTTCATCTGGTTTTTCATAATGCCTTATTTTGTCAAGTGAGGGCCATCATTGAGCTCAATGATAATGGATCGAGATGTGACTATGACTCGTATGTGCTTGAAACAACAAACAAAAACAGATATTCTGGGGATACAATGCTTGGATTGAGAACTCTTGTGAATGGTGTCAGAGGAGATCCTTTGTGCTTTCATTCCAAAGAATGGATTGGTTTTGAAGGAACTCCACGTGTTGAAATCATCTGCAGCAAATGGCGCACTGAACTCTCTTCCTTGTCACGCCTTTCCATTGGATGCCTTCACAAGCCAAGATCATGGATTTTTATGCCTAAGAAAATCTCTTTTTATTATGAAAGTACGTACGATCAAGAAACTACAAATCAAGACTCTGAGAAATGGATCTTTCTTGGTGAGATTTCTTGTTGGGATCCATCATTCATACAGGAACACTTGCAAGTCACACCTGAAATGTTGCGTGATGAGGAACAAACGTTTCGATTTGACTTTGTTCTTTCCAACATTCATCCAACTAGTTGCTCTGAATGCTTGACTCGTCGTTCTGGTGGTAATAACATTCATTCCATTAAGGTGGTCGTTGAGTCATACCATCATGCCACCACTCCAACGTGGCATCATTCTCAAGGTGGAAAACCAAGTTGGTTCTTCCTCGATCAGATCATTGTGAATTCATGATCGATTCTTGAAAAAGAAGACAATTGAGATTTTCAAGAGAGTTTTTACGGAAAGTATTTGGAAATTCAAAAAAATGAAAACAACAACCAACATGAAGGATGATGTTGCTCTTCTCCGAGAATCTTCTCATCATCACCATCACCACCAACATCATCACCACCACCATACAAAGCAGACAAAGAATAGTAATGGGAAATGTTCATGTCATCATGATGATTCAAATACTGTTCCATATGAATGGCCTTGGTATCCTTATTTGGAGAATATTCAGCCCTGTAAGCAACATCACGAGGAAAAATTCAAGACTCAACTTCATCATTTACTTCATCAAGATAATCCCTATCTTGTGAGTGGATATCGGAAATTACCGATACAATCATTCAAAAAATGTATCTATTCCATCTTTACGCTACACAATGAAACACTGAATATATGGACACATTTACTTCCAGCTTTTTATTTCTCATATTTAATTGTTTATTGTACTTGTCAAGCTTATGAGATGGGAAAAGATAGAGCAGATATTTTCATTTCTCTATTTTACTATACGAGTGCTGCATTGATTTATTATTTGAGTGCTTTCTATCATGTCTTTAGAATGAATAGTGAAAGTGCTTACCATTTTTGTTTAATTTGTGACTTGAGAGGAATTATTTCCATGTTCTCTGGATCCAATATTTGGTGTGCTTATTTCATGTTGAAAGGTTTTGATCGAGTGGCAACTGTTCTGACCTCGATTAGTTTTGCTGGATATTTCTATTTGTGGTTTTGGATTCCAAGCATGGTGAAACGAAGATTGTCGAATCGAAGAACATTATATTTTGCAATTTTTAGTACTATCGGGCTGATGTGCATGTTTGTGAGACTGTTTCTACAGTTTGAATATATTTACCAACCGGTCCTAGAAGGAAAATTATCATTTTTGGATTTGTTGATGAATACATTGTTTGGAAAGGAGATTGACCTCATTTCCAATACTTCAAGTATCGACCATGATACAAATCAAATGCTTTTACAATTATTGAATTTTAACCAATTATTGTTTGGAAAAATTATTTTTCGTTCCTTCTCCTTGTTGGCATTTGCAATGGTGATTCGAGTGTTGAAATTTCCAGAAAAGTATTTCCCATACACTTTTGACATTTTTGGAGCAAGGTAAGTTTAAACTAGGTATGAGTTCAAATAATTATTATTTCACACATTATCAACACACTTCTTTAATACATGTCGATGCTATCACAGTCATCAACTCTTTCATACCATTGTGGCTCTCTCTCCCATTTTAAATCACATCGAATTATGGGAAAGTTACATTCAGAATGATCAATTTTCATTGCATCATGACTTGTTAGAACTAGTTCAACAACAACGGACCTCAACACCACACCTCTAAAACAAGAACAATCATTCAATGATACATCTTTTTTCAACAGATGATCTTTTATGAAGAGGAAATGAGAGGAAAATTAAAAAAATGCAACATGTGAAAAAGCTTCAATCTTTTCCATCATGGCCGCGATCATTGATACAGTCCTCTTCTTCTTCAAGGACTTTTCCGAATCTCCACTTTCATGTGTTTAGAGATGATTTATTGAGCATCAAGATGATGGAGGATCTCCCTCCTCGCGAGAATTGTTATGGATCGGAAAAAGCATGGCAAGACTTGAATAGTAAATGTTTGAGTGGGAACAAATTACGCAAGTTGCAGTTTTTACTTTCTCAAAGTTGTTGGATGAACAATCATGATGATGATATACACAATAATAATCGTTTCGGAGATTTTAATGATTTAACATTGGAATATGATTTTAATAATTTAAAAGAAATTCGTTCGTATGGTTCTATTCAATCCAATGCCATGCTTTCCATTGCATATTTATGTTTCCGATTAGGAATTTCATTTAAATATTTTGTAGAACGCGATTTGAACTATGTGGAGTCTAATTCTCAATTTGGAAATTTATTTCATGTCATGCAGTTGAGATCACAAGGATTACAAATGGAATTTATTCCACTCACGGAACGACAAGATTACGAACGTATGAAACATGATTTTTATTGCAGAACCGTTTCTCAAAGAAAGAGTTTTGATGAAAAGAGTGGAGTCTTGTATCTTCGAGAAGGAGTTTCTCAGCACGAAGCTCAAATTGGATACTCTCAAATGGCATTAGAATTGAATGATGCGATACAGGAATTAGTTCGCTCAAGTAGGTCAAAAAAGCATCAATTTAATGTTTTTCTTCCATCTGGAACAGGAACATCAGCTCTCTTTCTCTCAAAATATTTACTCCAAATGAATCAGTCATCATGTAATAATTCGGCTCGCTTTCAAGTATTCACCACTAATTGTGTAGGTTCGGTACAGTATTTACAAAATCAGTTTTGTGAGCTGGAACCAAATGATTCATCCATTTATCCCAAAATCTTGCAAACCACCAAAAAATACAGATATGGTCAACTCTATAAGGAAATGTATGAAATGATTCAAAATTTAAAGAATGAAATTGGAGTGCAGTTTGAGTACCTCTACGATGCAAAAGGATTTCTCGCACTGAAAGAACAACACGACATATTTTTGCACGACCCTTACGTGGAGCATTCAACAAGCACGGAAAATCATGTGATTTATATTCACTCTGGAGGTTTGCTTGGCAACACACCAATGGAAGATCGATATCGACGATTTCTAATGAAAACAAGAGAGTAACATCTCGTTGATTATTATTTATTAATTTATTATTATTTATTTGAAAATCAAACAATTTTTTTTGAAAATTAAATTTGTTGATTTCATTATCGTAATTGAAACTCTCACATGTGAGAAAGCATGGAATGTAGTTCGATATCGTTGATATTTACAAATAGAGCGAACTGCTAAACACAATGTCTCTTCTCATCTTTTCAAGTCCTAGTAATAATTTCTTTTCCAAAGATTCTTCACCAATCGCTTTAGCAGCAGCACACATTTGTCTCACAATTTCTTCACAACGTCTCATGGACCTCACAATCGACCCCTCAAACATTTCTGTCATTTTACAAATCTCAACAAATTGAGCTCCATTACACCAAGCATACGTTAAATTCATCATATTGCATGGGAATGATTGCAAATACTTTTCAACATCTAAATCAAGTTTTGATTCAACAGAAACTTCAGCCACTCTTCGAGCTGCTTTTTCTAAATCTTCATAAGGTTTCCGAAGATCTTCAGCGAGTGTTGCCTTGTCATCTTCTCTCGATTGACCTCCAGAGACTTCTGATGCAAAACATGAAAGTACAGCAATGGATTGTTCAGGTGTAAGATCTGAGAAGGCACCATTGTACACCATTTCTGTAATGACTAAACTGTCTGCACTGCTCAATTCACATGCAACTCTACCCTTTGCTGTAATTACATTGTCTTCAGTTGCAAATCCCAATCTTCTCAATACTCTCATCATCTTTTTCAATTCTTCTTTCATTACCACTTGTGCAGTAGTTTTGATGAGTTTCTTCATTTCGTCTATTTGAGCATCCAACTCGAGCTTTTGTTCATAGAGTTTGACTTGAGCAAATAGAGGTGACACTGTTTTTGACTGCTGTGAAGATGATCCACTGTTCTTATAATTTGATAATTCCTCTTGATAGAATGGACTGTAGGATAATCGACTTTCGATTTGTTGAATAGCGTCGACAATTTCTTTCACCTTATTCTTTGGAATACCCATTTCCTCAATGAGGTCTAATCTTGGAAGATCTCCATACTTGATGGTAGACAGTTTGTCAATTTGCATGGTTCCATCAGAGGTTTCCACAACAGTCTGTGCCTTAAATCTCTTAATAGTTTCCAATAATTTCAAAATAGAGGATTTACATTCTGAAGAGGTGGCATCGGTTTGTCTCGTTTTCAACTCCTTTGATAAATAAACTTTGACTGAGCTGAAAACTTCCACAGAGGCAAGTGAAAAGGTCTTAATGACCGGCTTTGGTTCCAAACCAGAAGCATTGGTTTGATATTCTTGAATTGGATATGGCAATTGATCACTTTGTGGATGCGCTGGAATTAACACTTCAATATTGTAATCAGAGGCCTTGGTTTGAGCCACTTGTAATCTCTCTGCATGCTTCTTCTTTGTGAATTTCAATAAAATTCCCCAACCCCATCCATTGATACGGAGCAGTCGACCAGCAGATAAAACTGAAATGGAATAGGATGGAGTGGTAATTAATTGTCTCAATGACTCGTAGTAAGTTTGTAAATCGTTCTTCAATGAATAATATGAAGAAATTTGAGCTTCATTCTCAATGGCCAATTCATTTCTCTGTTGTTCCAATTCTTTCAATTTTTGTTCATAAGAAGCTCTCTTCTTTTCGGATTGATATTGATAAAAGGATCGTTCCATAATGTACTCGGGTGAAATCTCTTCAACCCTCAATAAATTCAAAACCATATAATAACTCAAGTGGAATGAACTATTCAGACAATCTGCAATTCCGTTCATTAATTGTCGAGCATCTTCTTCTCTCATTTCAGGATCATCCAAAATGAGAATGACAATACCCTTATCGTCAAGACCACGACGACCAGCACGACCACTCATTTGAATGTATTCACCAGAGGTTAATCTTCGAGTGATTTGTCCATCGAATTTTTCAATACCTGTGAAGAGGACTGTTTTGGCAGGCATGTTCAAACCCATCGCAAAGGTTTCTGTAGCAAAAAGAACCTTAATGAGACCTTCTTGGAAGAGAATTTCAATGACCTCTTTCATGATTGGGAGAAGACCAGAGTGGTGAACTCCAATTCCTTTTTGTAAGAGTGGCAACATGCTTTCTACTTGGGGTAACTTTTTATCTTCGTCATTCAGTGAATCGATGGCATTATTGAAAACTTCAGCAACGAGACTCATCTCTTCTTCATCGTTAAAGTTGGATTTTGAAAGTGAGACAGCGCGTGATTCACATTCCTTTCTACTGAAACTGAACACAATCACAGGTTGAAAATTTCTCTTCATGATCATGTTCACTAACTTGACGAGAGAGGTGTCAACTCTCTTTTTACGCTCTGTACCTGAAGCTCCATTACTGCTGCCTCCTCTCTTTGAACTGCCACTACTATTATTGAGTTGTGACGATGCGTTGGTCAAATCTTCAATTGCTTTCTTCCAATTTTCTTCTTTGAATGAGTGCTTTTCTACCACCAAGTGAATTCCTTCTCCACCGACAGGATAAATGTAGTGTTGCAATGGTGTGGGACGATAGTCCGTGTACACCACGTGAACGGGTTGACCTTTTAGCTTTGCAATCCATCCAGCAAATTCTGTTGCGTTTGGAATAGTGGCACTCAAGAATACATATTTCACTGAATTTGGTAATAAAATTAATGTCTCTTCCCACACTACTCCTCTCTCCTTGTCACGCATATAGTGTACTTCGTCAAAAATAACCCATTGCACTTCATTCAGAATTTCCGATCCTCTATAAAGCATACTTCTTAAAATTTCTGTAGTCATGACAATGCAACTTGAATTTGGATTAATAGTAACATCACCAGTCATTAATCCTACATCTGTAAATTCTTCTTGCAGCTCTCTGAATTTTTGGTTCGACAATGCCTTAATTGGAGATGTATAAATGACTCTACTTCCATCTTTTAGAGATTTTGCAATAGCATACTCAGCAACCGCAGTTTTACCCGCTGATGTGTGAGCTGAAACGAGTACACTTTGACTTAATTCAATGGCACGAACTGCTTGACGTTGAAAAGCATCCAATGTGAATGGATATGTTTTTGCTGGTGGCTTAAGACCCAGCTCTACTTGAGTTTGTTGTTCCAGTAAATAATGAATAATTTCTTGGGGTTCACTTATTTTGGTGTGTGCTTGTATGGATGAAACATCTTCATTGGAGGCTGGAGGAGGAATCATCTTTCCGTCAACATCTAAAGAAATAACATAATCGGGTGGGAGTGCAATTTCATGCAAACAATCATTCTTTTCTCCTAACTTTCCGATGGCTTTATGAGTCGTGGTGGTTGATGTATTAGTTGTTGTTGTTTGGTTGTTGTCATTGTTATTTATATTACCATCGGCTGTGGTGGGTGTTTGGTCATTCGTAGAGTCATTGCTGCTATCCATGTTCGGTATGACTGTTGGTGTCGGAATATCATCAACCGTGATGGATTTTGATGATGAAGCCCTAGATAATTTTGGTGTATTTGAAGAACCATCCTCCGATTCAATATCCTCATGCCCAGAAGGTTGTTTGATTTTCTTCAACTCTCGTTGTTGAATTTGTTGTTCAGCAAGTTGTATTGATTCTTCAAGGGTTCTCTTTTTCGGATTGTTGTTGTTGTTACTAACTCCGAACACTGAGAATAAATCGTCTTGATCGAAGGGATTCATTTTTTTTCAATTTTGAAATTCTTTTTTTTCAACAACTTGTTTGAACAACACTTGAACGATTTGACACAGAGTCGTGTTCAGAGGACAAGACAATAGACACGGTTCAACAATGTGTACATTCTCAATGAGAAATTCGGAAGGAGAGAATGAAGGAAGTCTCTCTGATATGTGTACGTAGATATTCGTTTATTTTTTCTTCTTCTTGTTATTGCTGGATAATGTTTCCAATTCGAGTATGGTGTTCCAATTTCGTGTGGTGGAACTTGTTTTGAATTTACCTTTTTACTTGTTGGTTAATTTGGTTTTCGTTGCAGTATTGACTAATTTCATGTAAATGGTTCTTCCCTCAATATGAAATTCATCAGGTTCAAATAATTTTCTGTCATCACACACTTCTTTCATACTTTCATCACTTGGTGTTTCTGCTAACAAGGTCACATATAAATCTTTGTGTGATTGGCCCTTCGAATAAGCTTGTTCAAGGTTTTTCACGTCATCAACACCATGATCTGAATGCAAATACTCAAAAACAACATTGCCACTTGTCTTTAATGTCTTGATATTGATGCAGCCAACACTGGAAAAGATGGATTGTAATTCCGACATTTTGATCGATCGATGTCCTCCAACATTGACACCTCGAAGAAGAGAAATGTAGCTGAGTTGAGTCCGTGTGTTTGAAGACATTTTTTTGTTCTTGGATTGTATCGAACTCTTGTTGGCGACTTGATGCCTTCGCTAATTCCTCCGCACAAATATTACGTGATTTTAAATCCAAGAGTATTGTCAACGAAGATGTTTGCAAATATAACAAGGATGCTATCGAAAGTGATGCCAACAATTTGCTGAGAATTCTTCTCAGTGAAATGCTTGATGGTTTCTTTGTGGCATGAGTCACGATGCATTATTCATTTTTTTGGACTTTTAAGCTTATTGAGTGGGTCCACGAATGGTTCCAATCAATAGGCTTGTACGTACTCTGACAGATGAGAGTACCTTGGATATTTCTAAGGGAGCAGGGAGGTTACATTCCTGACCTTGATGAAAATACAGGAGTACTCGGAATCATTTTTGAAGTCCGACGGATCAAGTCATATTTGCCAATTTGATTGTCACATTTTGTTATCACTGATTGATTGCGGGAGAATCACAACAGGATCCTGAAGAGAAGGAGAAAGATTCCAAATATTTTCACATTTATTGAACTCAGCCGAATCAACTGAAATCTGCTCTTTGATATCTACAGGTTTAGTTTTTCTGAATTGGTAAAAACAATCTGAACTCGTCTGGCAGATCGCTTTCAGAGTATAACCTGTCAGAGAAGTAAATTCTTCTAATTCTACAGTTTGCATGAATTTGAACTCTTAATGTTTCTATATAATTGGTACCGTATGCTCTTCTTGTAAAATCAGCCAAGTTGAATTGGATCTGGTTCCATCCTTCGTCGAGACGCATGGGCATTGTGCAAATGAAAGGTTTCACTCTTGTAGTGCTTTGATAGTTGGATGCTCGGAATCGCCTCTTGATGTTTTTGTCATCTAAAACTTGAACTTCAAATGTAAAGTATTTTTTGAGCTGAACAGAAAATGATCGAATGCCATATTAACCATTGATGGAATGTTTGACTGCATGATAACTTACATTCTTAATGACCATTACTAGGAACGGTAACTTGATTCCGAGGGTTTTTTTCGAACTAGCCGGACATGTAATATAGGTGGTGCTCACATTGGTTCCGATGAGCTCAAGAACAGAGCTTTGAATATCCTGATCGGTTATACGTTTGATGTGCCCATTCTTCACTTGTTTATCCCAAATTTGAAGGGGTTTAGATCTGTCATTGACGTTGTATAATGCATGGTCAATTGATGCCACACACTCATTCCACAACCTACCCGATGGAGTATAATATTGAAAGAAAGCCGCTTTGAAATGTATTTTTGAACATTTTTTTTAAAGAATTTACTGTTGTTTTTTGAAAATCTACAGCTGTTTGATAAAATTGTAATTTGAGAGCGCGGCAAAAAAATTTCGTAACGGAACAGGTGACGCATGTTTGGTGTCACACCTATTGATTATGGTGCATCAGTGAGATATTATTATTATCATGACTCTCAAGTTGGGAGAATAATGACTTCTTAAAAGTCATTGATGTAACGAAAGGCCATACATGCTTTGATTGAAGTGGCAATACTGAAAAATTCCCAAAGGTTTTGATTTGCCAACATTGAGTTGAGGATTGCATTTCAATTTTTTCACACTTTATCTACAAATGAATTTGTTTTAATCATGATAAAAAGATGAATGTATGATGGGATAAGACAATACCATTATTGATTTAACACGAATTTTTCAACACTTCCTTGATCATATCTGAAAAGAGACAAGGTTTAAGGTCAATTTATATTGAACATATACTTGCGTCATCAGAACAGAGCTCTGTATAAATAAATATTTGTTATACCTTTTATGGAGTATGTATTTAGACACAAATGAATGATTTACAGATGTCTCTCTTTGATATATTGCTCCGCAAATTTTTCAATAATTCTTTCTTTGGCAAGCATAAATTCGGCAGTCTTGGCTGTCAGTTTATCTGCTTCCTTTCGTTTTCTATATTCATCTTTACAATTTTAGAGATTGCCATCATGAACGGCCAGTTCATACCAATGATAATCATAACGCCAATAATAAATATAAAATCACAGACAAAACAAATTTTTCATAATTTTTCCATCAATTTCGTTCCATTCCGATAATACCTACAAAATCCCGTTTTAATCATGAATACTTCCATTGAAAATCCAGCGACAAAAAAGAATGGAAATAAATATTTCGCATCATCCACAAGTTTGCCTTTTCCGATTTGTGCTTTCTGCAGAATTTGACTTGCAAAATGAAAAGGCTTTCCGATCAAGGAAAGCCAACGCTCCATTTTTTTGAATGTAATACACAGTTTCAGCAAATCAAAAATACTAATCGTGAGAATGCTACAGATCCACCAAATTCCATTATTATTCATTCATTCAACATGTCAGAGATGAAGGCATTGTATCTCCCTTAATTCGTTATTGTTTCATCATAAAAAGAACTCTTTCAACTGTCAAAGCTCTTTCTCGTCGACTGAAGACAAAAAACAAACCCAAAAAAAACAAAATGATGCAATCGATTGACCAGCCCATGTCGGGCGTAGTGACGATGAAACGTGCCTCGTCAACACCATCCTCGTCATCAACACAACAAATCCATTACAAACTCATCAAACACTCGCAAGATGTCAAAAAGAGTGCTTTTTTATCATGGAAGAAAGTTCCTCTCTCTCTCTTTTCTCATCCCAACACATTGGCGATCATGAAAAAGAAAGATCCAGTCAATTCTCGTAAATCAACACTCATGCTCGATGCCCAATATACTCAAGTCAAAATGATTACCAATGAAAGTATGAACAAGAAACATCCCTTTTGCTTTTCCATTAAATCGCACATTGAAGGAAAAAACAAAGAAGAAGAATGGATGTTTGAGTGTTCTTCACGTGCCGAATGTGAAGATTGGGTCGAATCGATCAAGAGATTGTTGAATCGAGGAGTTGGTGGTGGTGGTACATCGTCCTCTCAATTAATGTTACAGAACATGACTTCTGTTGACGTGAACATCTTGACCTCGCATACTGTTGAACAAGTTCTTGTGGTGGTGCCAGAACAACAACATCAACAATCATCGGTGATACAATCCGCATCATCAGCTCATCCTCAACCCATCACCAAAGATTCTCATCCACCGAAAGAAGAAGAAGACAAAGAACCAAATCAAAAGATCGGTCTCTCTTCCCACACGTCAACATCTCCTCCACAAACAACCAAACCCGAAACAACCACAACATCAATACCACCACTCCATGCTTCTACTTCATCACTCGAAGAATTGCAACCAGCCAAATTGGATGACACTCTCGTCGATGATGAATTAGAACCTATTGAACCAGCAAAATTGGACGACGTCGAGGAAGAACCTGTATTTGTCTTGCAAAATGCAGTCATCAAACGAGTGGAGGATGACAATGCAGCAGATGATCATCTTCATCATGAGGAGGAGGAAAAGAAGAAGAACATGACGATACAAAACAACTCTCAAGTCGGAAAAAAGAAGACAACCATTCTCAAAGATGAAGAGTCCTCTGATGAAGATATCATTGTCACATCCAAAAAGAAAACATCTGCAACCACCTCTCCTCCAACGGAATCTACCAACCCTAGGGCCACTAGTAACAACTCCTTCTCATCAGCAAAAACAACAAATTCATCGAATGCCACTACGACGAGTAAGCATCAATCATCCGCTTCTTTGGGTGGGCCTCCCAATAAGGCCAAAAAAACTGTATTGAAAGATGATGATTCTTCTTCTGACGAGGAGGAGAAGGATGACATCAAAGTTGTGAACAAGAAAAATACGAGTTCCACCACTCCTTCACCATCATCATCCGGTGGTCCTCCAAACAAATCTAAAAAGACTGTCCTCAAAGATGAAAGTGATGACGACGATGAACCTCCCAACAAAATTACCTCTTCTGGGGCACCTCCAAAGAGAACCACCACTTCTCTTCCTAAGGAAGAAACAAAGAAGGAAGAACAAGAGGAGGAGGACGATGTGAACAAAACAATCATAAGAAAAGCACCTTCTAGCCAAAATGCTTCTTCGAATAGCTTAAAGTCAGGCACTACCGACTCCATTGTTGAAGTGACCATGATGGATCCACTTTTCGAACTTTCTGAAGATGAAAAAGATGAGGAGGACGATCGTAACAATGATGATGACGAAGATTATGAAATGGATAACGAAGTGGGCGATCCAATTTCATCACTTTCTCAACTCATTGAAGAGCTTGAATATAACTCTAATTGCAGAGCTAAGGCAATGAAATGTGCAAAATATTTACATTCCCATTTTGTGAAAAATAAGAAGCAATTAATTGACGATATTCTTAAACATGAAGGTTTACAATCATGCATTTGTATGATTAATGATAACACTAAGAGTTATTCAATTGCATTCACAGGTCTCTCGATATGTGTGGAAGTTATTGAAAGTACAGCACCAAACAATGAACAACACAAGGCACTCATGAAATTAACTGGATGTATGGGCGCATGTATTGATATTGTGAAGAGACATCATTGCAAATTTTTGAAGAGAATGACAGCAGCTTCGAACAAGATCAACACGACCACACATGTCGAGCACGTTCGTGTCATGTCTTTGGCTGTACAACTATTATCAATGTTGAGTGAAAAGCCAAGTGATCATGTCAATGAGTTACTTGCTGAATTGGAAAAAGTGATCAAGCAGTGTGACGAGGTTATTTCCAAAGTTTATGCTCTCAAGCAACTCACTCTATCCTACGAATTATCAAGAAACATGTTTATTTTGTTGAATAATATTAGTTTGCACAATATTGAATCATTGAAAACCATCAGCAAAAAACAAGGCGCCTTTGACATGATGATCAAATTCGTCGTCTATCACTACGGAGTATCAATTCCAAACAAGATCAATAACGATGATGAAAATGCAATTATTATTCCACTGACAAAGTTTGTGTCATTGACTGCAAAAGATACCTCAAAGATGGCTAAAATGGAACTAGCCAAATCCATGGTCATGCAAGGAGGTGTGTCATCATTGCTTTCTCCGCCTTCAACTGCAACAAAACAAAATTCCAAATCCTCGAACATTCAGCAATACATTACGAAAATATTCCTTGAATTATCAGACGCTTCTCCTCTCATTATGAAATCATTCAAGAATATTGTTCTATTGAATTTGAAGAATAAGGAATTGGTCACGAATACGCTCAACGTCATGCATACCATTTACAGAAACAAATCTGACTCAGACGCAAGAGAAAAGCTGATACAAGTATTAGCCACAGAATTTGGAAGTCTCTTCTTTGCTGCTCTCTCCAAATATGCCGATGATGGTTGGGTAGTTTCATTCTGTGTTGAATTTTTATTTGAAATTGAAAAGTGTTATCCAAGTGTGCTTGCCAAAGCTTGGGGTGAAACTTCGACGGATTCCAAGATATCACAAACAGTGTATACACACGTACGAACTCTTGTACTCTCACTGAATGAGTTTAACGATAATGAACTCTATGAAATGATGATGAGCTTATTCTTGAAACATTTAGAGAACGATCCAAATAGTGCAGGTGCACAATTTGCTGGTACTTTTGGCTTCCATGTTGCTCTACTCGATATTATTCAACGCTCCACGACACCTCACATTCTAACTTTGACACTTCATGTATTGTCTCTTGTGATACCGTACACTCAATTCAAAATGAAACGAAGCTCTATTGATAAGGACAATCTAAATCAAGTTGAGAATATTCTCTCCAAGGATATTCGTGAGAAATTAATTGCATCATGCTTTTCCAAGTTAAAAGATGCAACCAATATGGAAAAAGAAGGATGTATCTTTTTATTTTCCATATTGCAAGGAATTGCTCAATACTATGAAGCTTTCAAAGTCAGCATGGATGACATGAAATCATTGGTGAAATATACTCAAACATTTACACATAGTGACAATGATGGCGAGTTGAGCTTGTCTCTGTTGAAACTTGTTGCGAAATTGAATGAAATGGATTCTAATGGCATGATTTTACAGAAATCGGGTTGTATTGATTTGTGCAAGGAGTTGGTGCAATTACACAGTGACAGCAATAAGGAATTGAAAGAGTTTGCCAAGAATGAGTTATCTACGTTGTTGTAAGAGGATGCTTCGATCAATGTCTTTACTATAAATTACTGGCATTTTAAGGGTCATCCACCCTAAATCCGTTAAATTTAAAAATTTCAGAAAAAATATCAAACGCTCTTTGAGATGTCCACGGACAGTAACATCAATTCTCAGCAAGCACCGACGAGAGGTAGGTATAGCCTCAATTGATATCAAGCTAATGATTTTGAAAACCAAATTTAATGGTGATTACACTGTTGAACAGCCCCGGACGTTTTTAAAATTGGAAAAACAGAATATGTTAGATTCAAGGAGACCTACTTTTATCCACGACCCTACCGAACTGATAGAACGTATGTAATGGAACATTACTTTTGCTTAATGAGTCGTCATATAATTATGATCACCAAGTAAAATTTATCAAGAAAAGGAGGATCCACGAACGGGAAAGTTAGCCTATTTTCATTGGGGATCCAAACAATTCCTTGCGAGTTATTTGGATTTTCCTGATTATGTTACGTTGGAGGAGCAGAACGAATCAACAACGGCCAATACTACAGGCACCTCCTTAGCATCAACAACAACATATGATGCTTCATCATCAACTCCACCCTCAACACCCGTAACACCCCCAACACATTCCATACCGCCAACAACTCCACAACAACCTAACACTAGTTCAATCCCTCAACAAGTCAAAGACGAAAAGAAGGATGCTTCATCACCATCATCCTCTGACTCAATCAACAACAAGAGCACAAAACCTCAAGATCAAGCTTCTTCCAAGGGCAGCGTAGTACCAACACAACAAATCCCTGCCTCTCCAACCACAGCGGAGAAAAACAAGGATGTTCCCTCCCCTACTCAACAATCAATCACAACTACGGAGCAGCAAGGAAAAGAGTCCACCGTTATCACTTCGAATGGTACCTCTGAAGAAAAGAGTCCACAAAAAGTGGTTAAACAATCCGATGAGGACTCTCCAGAGAGTAGATCAACAGAGTCGGATGCATCCAAATTGAAGAAGGTAACCATTGTAGAAGATAATGAGAAGGTCAAGAAGAAGGCTGCCACAATGGTCAGCAGCCCAACAACCCCCACGACACCAGAACAAAAGAAATCAATGACAACGATTCAGGGTAACTCTGGAACTTCGTCTCAAGAGGATTTCAAAGACTTTACTTCTGGAAAGAGATTGTCATTCATTGGCAAAAAGAATTTGAGCTCAAAACAAAACTACTCCAAGAAGGATTTAGCAAGAACAGAATTTGATGATCAAATTGAGGATGGTTAGTTTTATTTAATATTATTTTGTTCTAACGTTAGAGTTGTGTGATTTGATATTGAAATCAATATATTTTGGTCTACGTTAGAGTTGTTTGTGCTTCCTGGAAGAGGAGAGGTGCATGTTCACACAGCTTTCAAAGCCAGTCTTTTTGTTTCAGTAAGTAGTTTGGCTATGGTTTGCAACAGATATTGATACAGCTTGCCAATAGCCCAAAACTAAGAAGGATCGAATTGTAATTTTAGCACGAGATTTTGTTGGAGCTTTCTGCTTGTTCATTGCCGGGCAAGATGGTAAATCGTAAGTGTTGCTTTCGTGATTTGTCATTACCAATTCTTGCATCATTGCCCATTTTATTAAACGATATGAAAACCTGTTTCAATCTTCTTGGAACTAAACAGTAAGAAAAATATAATCTTAAATGCCTTACCATTGATTGACTTCTTTGATATTAATGATGAGAAAGATTCCAAGTTTATTCTCATTATTGATGGTGTTGAGCTTATTCTTCAAGCAAATGCAATAAGCAAGGAAAGGCTAAAGGTTGGACTGGAACTGGCCTACAATGAAATTGAAAGCAAAAAAGAAATTGACTTGCACTGTAAGTAGTACCTCTAAAATCACATCACACACAAACTCCAACTATTTTTTGTTTACTTTTAGATTACCGCCTCGCATCAGTTGAGTTTGCAAATTCCTACTACAAACCAATCACTGAAAATACTGGACCAGCAGTCGTAAAATCCATCATCGAGGCTGATCCATTTGAAACTGTGGACGAGAGCATCCAAGAAACAACAGATACATTTGTTGTCAGCAAATATGAGCAGGGCTTGAGATACTTGCACATTGTCTCAAGAAATTCGTTTGAAAGAGATGCAGCTTTGCAAGAAGTGTTGTCATATATTGAGAAAAATTTGAAGAAAATGGACAAAACAATGCTCGAAAAATGTTTTCGTGTTTTGGAAATTATTTTCAAGAATCCAACAACAACTGAAAAGCCGGAATTGAGAAATACTTTCCTTAAATTAATGCATGATATTAAGCAATCAAAGAAAACCAATGACGAATCAATTGATGAAATTGTAAAGTTAGGAAATTTGAGCTTTAAAGCGATTGAATATTGGAGATCTAGAGCCAAGCTCAAAGAAGGTATGGTTTTTTTTCATATTTACTTTGTTTTATAATTCTTCATGATTTCAACAGTTCCCTTTGGCGAAGATTTCCAACCTGTGTCGCAAAAGCTGAAAGCAAAAAAAGAGGTACAACAAGAGAAGTTAATGAGAGAATCAATTATCCAGAAAAAATTACCTTCAGGTGTTTTTTTGGGCGTATTATTTTTTACTAGGAGTGGTGAAATTTTGTCAGATCGTAACGACAATTTGCCATCTGTCAAATTGGAAAGATTAATGTATCATATTGAGGCCTCCAAACGACTCGACCATCCTGATTGGCAATGGTTAATGCGCCAAAGTCAACACTCTTTCTCGAATTCTATTCTTGAGCTGGTTCCTTCCTTATCGAATCCTCAAGTTGTGATGGATGTATTTAGAACAGAATTTCTTAGAGGATTTAACGACCTCTATCGAGCCATTAATCAATCAACCAAGCCCAGTACTGACCTTGGAGTGCTGCTAGATAAGGTTGTTACTATGAAGGGTCAAAATATTTTGTACTACCTCATGGTTAAGCAAGTCGAAGATGAAAAATTCGAGGTTCCCAACGGATACAAGTGGGACAATGCCGTAGACTTTGAATATAGACAATATCAAAAGTACGAAAATTTAGATGATTCATTTGTTATCGATAAATTAGAGAGCCACTATAATGGATCTCGATGGGTCAATAATGCAATAGATTATTACAGAGCTATAACCTCTAAAACATATAATGAAGGATTGTGGATGGGGTATTTCAATTTTAAACTGGATTCAAATGGCTCGTATCAGATCATTGTTGAGGACAAATGCAGATTTATGATTCCTTCTGTCAAAATAGCCGACAAGTTCGATGCTAAAAAGCTCAAAGATTTAATGACAGCAGGTATCGACTCTATTCGCTCTCTAGAAGGTGTTGTTACTGAGGAAACTCCCGATTATCAATGTGACACTTTCGAAAAACAAATATTCAGGGCTCAATTTCAACTAAAGAAGAAAATTGGCAAGGACACCTTGGGTCATTTATACAAGAATGAAGTAATTGAGCTGGGAGACAAAACAAAAATGGTCGTCTTCATAGATACAGATTCGAACTTCAATATCAGCAACGACTTGCACAGATTTTTATGGAGAGATGAGGTTTCGTTTGAAGCTCTTCACATTGGAATGTTCCATCCTGTTCTCCTCGATCAATATATGAATACCATTCGCAAGCAATTGTCTTTTGATAATACCATATTCAATGACAGCTCTACCTCTACTGATGAATATTTAAGGAGAAAGAATGTGGTTAACAATAATAGACTAAAGGAAATGATACGAGCAGAAGAAGCTATATCGTTAATACGGTGGCCCTATCGAGTTATCTCATGCTACTTGGCAACCGCTCAATCAAAACAACAAATTGTGGAAATTGTATCAAATGGTCGAACGTATGCCAAGTTGATATATGACCAAACAATTGGAAAAAAGAAATCTTTCAAAGAGTTCAAGAATGAGCTGTTCAAGACCCAGGACTCTCAAGAAGTAGAGGCAAAGAAACAGAAATATCTTGTCATGCAAAATTTGAAAAACAATGAGCAAGAAGATTTGGAACGCTCCACCTGTTCTGTGTATGATGTGGAAGTAAATATTGAAGATGTCTGTGACGTGGACTGCCTTGTATTGGGACCCACTAAGGAAGAATTGCTTCAAATAATGGTTGAAGAAGAGGTACAAATGAGTATCATCGAACATGTAGATAGGATGGAGTTGGAAGCCATTAAGAACACATTGGATGATGTAATTTCAATCATTGAGGTTACCACAGATTTGGTTGATTATGCCATGTTTGAAGAACGGCTGAGGGTGTCGAAACAAGCTCTGAAAGATGAAAGACTTGACTATTTACAGTCCGTTTTTTCTGGTGTCAAAGTTGAAAGAGAACAAACATCTTTGTTCATCGACATGGAGGAGGCAACATATGACCATCTGTACCGAAGTTCGATACAAGCATTTGATGGCTTGCTAACTCAATCTTTTAAGCTACTATCAGCAATTGACAAGACTCAAACAATGATTGATCTAGCAGAAACTATGTATATCCACAACTTGAACGTTGAAAAACAACAAAAAGTGTTGAGATCCATTCAGAAAATTCAGGACAAACAAATTGAGATGAATATTGCTTCGCAAGGAGGAAGGGAGAGCACTACTGCTAACCTCTCCAAAACTGGCAGTCATCACAATCTACTCCAAAGAGCAAGTATCAACATGGATGAAGAAAGACTTCGAATCATGCTTGAAGAAGAAGAGCAAAAGAGAAGTGAGAGTGTCGAAAAGAAGATGAAAAAGTTTGTGAAACGCGCCATGGGTTATCAATCGTTTTCTCTTCCATGTGGGCCTGGCGATTTGAGTGTTCAGCCAAAACCTGTTGCATTGAATCAGTCTGCAAAACCAAGCACTACCTCTTCTTCGACTGCAAACAACACAGCAAAAAAGAAACCATCAACCAAAGTTCCAGCTACCAGCACACTTGGTACAAATGCATCCCTAATTAACAAGCTTCTTGATCAATCAATGTCAGCTTCAAAAGCAAAGTCCATTCTTGCCAAGTTAAAGGTGGACTCTCGATCAACCAACAACACAGCACATAAATAAAACTGTAATCATTGTACTCAAAGACTAATGATGAACCAACCTCTGAGAGTATTACGGTTTAATAATGGAAGACATTAATACCTCTCAAAATAATCCAATAAAGCTCCATTATCATCAAAAACTTTCACTTTCACTCCATTCATGCTGTCACATGTGACTTCTTTGTAGTTGCGAGATATTTGTCGAGTGTGGAACAAATTTGCAACAGTTGTAGTAACAGTCGATAAGGATCTGGCTAAATCTGCTCCCATGGAACCATCTCCAACATGAGTGGTACCAAGATGAAAGGGACAACTCGATTGATTCTGAACTTGAATATTTGCTGATACCGTGGCTGTTGGTGATGACGTGATCACTTTTGTTCTCTTGTAAGATCGATCATAACCTTCAAATGCAAGTGTCACATTGTGAGCAGTAAAGAGAGGAGACCAATAGGTTCGACCATTCTTTGATAATTCCGTATCTATCAAAAAAAAATAACACACAAAACGCGACCACTCGTACACACAATCTCCACATAAAAACAACATTCATCAACTTACCATAATCTGACACAGATGGATACAATGGCATATTATACATGACCATTCGATACTTGTCATCTCCTCTTGCATATCTCGAGTTAATAAACGATTGTTGTGATTCATGACTATTCACCACATGACTATCTAAAACCATCATGGAACATGTGGTAGAATTTTCATTCAATAAATAATGCATGTGAGAAAATTCCTGTGTACTTGCTGTCTTGTTTGTTTCATGTAAAATAAATGCTCGATAAGGTCTTAGATCATTTCCTGAATTTGCTTTAAATCTCCAAAACAATGTTTCATGATTTCCAATGGCTGTCAATAATGGAATTGAATTATTATTCGAATCATAGGCAATCGATTGATATCTCGATAAAAATCTCACCCATCTTCCATAACATGTTAAAAATCCATTATCAAATGCAATATTTCCAGTAAAGGCAATAAAGGATGGGTTTGAGTTTTGAATGGCTTGTTTCATCATACTGAGAGATTTATCATTCAATCCAACTTCTCCACTCACTATAAATTTAATGGAATTTCCTCCACTTGATGAAAAGGTGGTAAATTTGCTAATATTTGAGCTCACTAACAAAGTTTTGTAATTGGAGGTCACATTGGCTGTAAATTCATTGGATAATCTCTCCGCAATTGTAAAATAAAATGTTGAAAAGTAGTAGGTCGTTTGTGGTGTAAGTGCTGGTGTATTCAATACACAAGTATGGACATAACGTTGAATGAGTTCTGTTTGAAATTCATTCAAATCTTCAACACTACAAGTTTGTAGATATAAAGTATTGCCATTATTTCTGTTAAATGCACTTAATAATGAATTCACAACCGACATGTTACTGTAGAGTGCACTTCCATCCAATAATTGTGAAAAACTCTCTTGTTGCATGAATGCATTCAAACTTGTCGTTGCATTTGTGGAATAAATCACAAAAGAAACTCCTTGTGGTCGAGATTCTGTGAAAAATTTCACAATCATTTCTCGTTGAGGTCTTTCTGGAAGCATGAGCACTTGAGAACAAATTTTTCTCTCTCCACACACGGAGAGTGATTCTCTCGAGTTGACATATCTCGTAAAGGTTGTTGAAAATTCAAAATCATTTAAACAAATACAAGTTCCATAAAAGAAGGATGTTAAAACAATGGTAATGACCATGGCTAGAATTAAATAGAGAATGAAGAGAATGAATCGATTCACAATTCCGTATTGAATGGATTTAAAATAGATTTCAAGAGGTGAAAGAATTCTTTTGTGAATTTTCTTCTTCTTGTTGGAGGAGGATGCAGCTGTGGTGGAAATTTCTTCATATACTTTTGGAGGTCCATCGAGTATTTTGAATTTGTGAATGTCGACATTTTCATTGACATCTTCTTGTCTTAAAATGACTAGTTTGGTTTGTTGACGTCTGACAGAAGTTAATTCATCCATATTCATTTCCATATTTGCATTATTGTTGTCATCACCACCACTCAAAGCTGCTTGTAATGATGAAGCATTGTCATTATTTTGATTCACTGGCATCAATTCAATTTCACTACTTGCTGCCACATTGGATGGCGTTGAAGGCACAGGTGAGGAGGCAACCACTAAATTTTGATAATATTGAGGTTGAATATTATTCAATAATTGAATTTGTGACGATTGTGTTTGAGAATCTCCTTCTGTGGTTGCTGAGCTCATGGTGTTTGATGCCATTGACACTTCTGGAGCACTTGGAGCATGGTTCTCAATTCCATTTGTGAAAGCTGACATGGAGGTATTGGTTTCCATTCGAGCAACATGTTGTTGAGAATCTTTTGAATTATCTTGTTGAGAATCTTTTAAATGATGATTAAGTGTAAGGGTTGGAATTTGATGGTCATCCACAATAGTTTCACGAAAGTTATCATGATTGGGTGACGTGGCAGTGACAGATGGTTCTTCTTCCAAATCGACCATAGATTGGAGTTTGTCATGAATTAATCGATAGCGAACTCCATGAAGAACTGTAAGGATAGTGAGAAATAGATTAATGGCAATTCCTGCACCCCAGTGAAGATATTGAACTGTAAAATGTGCATGACATGAAAATATGATGATTCAAATATCGAAATCAATGATGGTAATATTCAGTAGAGTCGAGGAGTAATTGTACGAATCATTATGAATTATGGTCATGATCAATCATTGAAAAATCATGTGATTGTCAAATTCCACCACAAATCATAAAATCACCAGACATGAATCCATAATAAATAATTTTCAAAAATTCATCCATCACAACATCCAATTAATGAATCACCATCCATTATTATTATTATTATTATTTTGAACCAACACTTACATGCCACCAAAGATGAAATATAAGTAATCAATGCATAGACCATAAACAATAAGAGAACATTTTCAACAAAATATAACAATTCCATTCCAATCCAACACTTCAAGGATTTGCTACATGCACCACAGGTCCATTCTTCACTTTCATCTTCATAAGCAAATGGATCAAATTGCAATAAAGTAGTCACACCTCCGACTCCGACACCTCCGACCGCATGGTTACTCGTTCCAGTGATGGATTCCATTCCACTCATACTCACACCTTGAACAATGACTCCACTGTTTTGATGTTTGGAATCTTGTGAAATTTCAATTTGATGATCATTGGCAATGTCAATGACAGCCGACGATCGATGATGGATGGCATTGGCTGACAAGTGTTGAGATTGTTCTTGAGAAGAAGGTGTTAAAGGGATGGTCTTTGGTTTTGAAGCATGTTTTTGTTGTTTCAATTCTTCCTTGTCCCGAGCTTGTTGTTCGAGTCGAATTTTCTTTTCGACTCTCTGTTGAAGACAACATCGAATGATGAGAACAAGGAAATACAATGCTGTGAAAATGATGAGAATGCACGAACTGAAGACAACACTTAGAAGATAGACAGTGAAATTATTACTTCTGAAAATGTCTTCAATCGAAACAGAGGATGACATTTTCCGAACAATTTAAATTATTCAATTTGAAAGAGAGGAAATAATGTACAAGAGAAGGATGAAGTTATTGTTGAAGGAGATGCTTTTGGAAATCAATAACACAACACCACAACAACACGGATCCTCGGTTTGCCAAGGTCTCAGTTTTTTTGTTAACAATTTTCAGTGAGAGAACGTTTTTTGACAGGTTGACAAGTGGCAACAGAAAGAAAAGGAGTTCATTTTAGAAACTGGTCATCAGCACCACTGGCTACAGTTTTCTCATCATCTCATTCCAAACCATGCATTGTTCCCAACATTTCTTATTCTTTTGCGATTCTGGATTTTAGAAAGGCTATTAATTTCTATTTCAATCAAATTCTTGACGCCTCTTCGCTTTGTGGATATAAGAGGAGAAGTTCTCATAAAATCTTTGCACACGCTCATCTAAACTTTCCAATGCATGTTCTGAAGCTTTTTGTAAAATCTCCATTCTTTTGTGTTGTTTGGTTTCATGTGGTGCATCTTTTACAGCTTCTAATTCTTCTTGCTCTTGTTCGAGCTCCTTTTCAGTCTCACACTTCAAGAAATTGATTGCATTTTCAACTGGATTCAGTTGAGGAGAATAGCTTGGTAAAGCATGAACCGTATGTCCGTAGTGTTTAATTGCTTCTTCAATCATTTCAAAAGAATGATGAACTTGTGAATGATCTCCCAAATAGCAAAGTGGTTCATCCTTATACAAATCAGATGTCTCCTTAATAAACTCAATGATCCATTTGACGTTGGAGGTTCCTTTTTTGAATTTCCAATTCATTACTCCGAATGGTCTACTCATCATGGCAATAACAATATTGAGAGATTGAATCCTTGCACTTGGTAAGGCTCTTTCACCTTGAGAGCCAATTTCTCTTGATCGTTTGGTCAGTGAGTGAAATGAAAATTCACTAAAGGACACAATTCGTTTCTCCAAATCGGCATGTTCAAACCAAAGAGCAAATTCCTTGCGCTCCTGAATGACTTATTTACTATTTCTCAAAGCTGGTTGAGGTGTCACTTGTTTCGTGGTTACAAATTTTCCATCTAAGAAGTTGTTGATTGTGGATAATGAGGGAGGATCATCAGGAAACTCACGCTCCAAAGCCTCACGATAGTACTCTAATGTTGCTGTCGGCTTTTCAGCACATCTTTCAAGCACAAAATCTGCTTTTCTACCTGTGATGATGTGGGTTCTACCTTTCCTCTTTTCAGCTTTCTCTTGCCCAATCTTCTTCCACTTTTTAATGATAGACCGAGCAGTTTCAATGTTTACGTTTAAATGGATGGCTGTTCTTTGCCATTCTGCACTATCTTCTCTGAGTCAAGACTTGACAGTAATTTCGGGTGACTTGCACAAATTCAATTTAAAGATTTCAGTGAATTGTAAAGTTTTTTGCAATTAAAAAAAATTTGTTTTTCTCTCTCGTGTGTGTCGACCTCTCGTCCTCATCGCGTTACCTATTCCGCGACGGAACTTTGGAGAAGAATTATATTAATTAATTACTTTTAATATTTATCATCATCCCAATAGTAGTAGTTATTGTAACAGTCATTGGAAATGTCCATCCTACAACAAATTAAAAACATTGAAGATGAAATGGATAGAACCCAAAAGAACAAGGCAACAGCCTACCATCTTGGTACGCTGAAGGCCAAACTTGCCAAGCTGAGAAGAGAACTCTTGACTGAGTCTACTAAAAAGAAGGGAGGAGGTGCTGGTGAAGGATTTGATGTGAACAAGTCCGGTGATGCTCGTATTGGATTGATCGGTTTTCCTTCTGTAGGAAAATCAACGCTTTTAAACAAACTCACGAATACCTTCTCAGAAGTTGCATCCTACGAATTTACAACATTGACCTGTATTCCGGGTGTTATTCAGTACAAGGGTGCGAAAATTCAATTATTGGACTTGCCAGGTATTATCGAAGGTGCTAAGGATGGTAAAGGTAGAGGTAGACAAGTCATCTCTACGGCCCGTACCTGCAATTTGATTTTGATTGTGTTGGATGCTTTGAAACCACTTACTCACAAAAAGAAGATTGAATATGAATTGGAGGGTTTCGGTATTCGATTGAACAAGCGACCACCAAATATTACTTTTAAAAAGAAGGAAAAGGGTGGTCTCAACATGATGTCCTCTGTTCCTCTTACTCATTTAAATCAAGATATTGTTAAAGCTATCCTTACAGAATACAAGTGTCCAAACGCAGACATTATGTTTAGATGTGACGCAACTGCTGACGAGTTGATCGATGTCATTGAAGGAAATCGTGTTTATATTCCTGCTATTTATGCTATGAACAAGATTGATCAAATTACAATTGAAGAATTGGACTTGATTGACAGAATTCCTAATGCATGCCCAATTTCTGCTCATCATGAATGGAATTTGGATGGACTTTTAGAAAAGATGTGGGAATCTTTGGATCTGATTAGAGTTTACACAAAACCTAAGGGCCAACTTGCCGACTTTAGTGCTCCAGTCATTATTAGACGAGACAAGAGTACAGTCGAAGATTTTTGTAACAGAATTCACAAACACATCATCAAACAATTCAAGTACGCTTGGGTGTGGGGTCAATCTGTGAAACATCAACCTCAGAGAGTTGGTAAGGAACATCAATTACTTGATGAAGATATTGTACAAATTATCAAGAAACTCTAATTCCATCTAATTAAATTTTTGAAAGTTTTGAAATCAAATTTATGCTTGTCTCTCATCAATTCTTCAATTACATTTGCATCTTGTCGATGAACCCTCTCTTCACCGTCATCATCATCTCTCGAGCATTCAAAGAATTGTTGGAAGAGGAACTGGATTTTCTTCTTGCAAAAAAATATTGAACCAAGCTTGCTTCCATCCTCTCCATCATCATCGTCATTAACAACAACAACAGCAATGTACGTCCTTTTTGAAACACCAGCAGGCTATGCCCTGTTCAATATCCTAGATGAGGGTAAAATTACTTCCCCAACCTCCGTCGATGATATGTTCAACAATACTTCTAAACTTCATAAAAAGTAAGTGTAACCAATAGCCATTCAATTTGTTGGATTCATTGGAATTTATATCATTTGATACCTTCCAACTTGGATAATCATCATCATGTTCGTTCATTATTATCATCATTGAATATCTTCCGCATAACAACAACCGCGACCTGATATGAACTAACACTGGCCCACATCATCATCATTAATTTCTTCTTCGTTCTTCATCATTATTACCACAACAATGTTGACCTTCCATAACAACAACATAGTATCAAACTCAAATCTTTTGAAAACTTTAAAGATACCAATGAGGCTCTCAAAGCAGCTACAGCTATTGTTGAATCAAAATTGGACAAAAAGTTGAAAAAGTTCCTCAAAAAGCAACTCTCAGATGTTGAATCAGCAAAATTGGCAGTGTGTGATAAATCACTTGGAGCAGCCATTAAAAACAAACTCGGCATTCAATGTATTTGCGATGACTCTGTCATTGCATTGATGAGAGGCATTCGTAACAATTTGAGTAATCTTTTAGGAGATGTCGCTACAGAAAAAGATTTACAAAGTATGGCATTGGGTCTTTCTCATTCACTCTCTCGTTACAAACTCAAATTCTCACCAGATAAGATTGATACAATGATTGTTCAGGCCATTTCATTGTTGGATGATATTGATAAAGAATTGAATATTTATGTGATGAGAGTTAAGGAATGGTATGGATGGCATTTCCCTGAACTTTCAAAGATTTTGCGTGATAATAATGCTTATATTAAGACTGTTTTAACACTTCAAAATAGAAACAATGCTCAAACGGCACCATTGACTGATGTGTTACCAGAAGATTTGGCAAACGAAGTTAAGGAAGCAGCCATCGTCTCTATGGGTACTGAAATTTCACAAGATGACATTCTTCACATTTCTAAATTGGCCGAAGAGGTTGAAAGTATTACAGCATATAGAGCTGCTCTCTTTGATTATTTGAAAAATAGAATGCAAGCTATCGCACCAAACTTGACTCACTTGGTCGGTGAGTTGGTTGGAGCTCGTCTCATTGCTCATGCTGGTTCCTTGATGAATTTGGCAAAACATCCAGCAAGTACTGTTCAAATTTTGGGTGCTGAGAAGGCATTCTTTAGAGCTTTGAAGTCCCGTCACAACACACCCAAGTATGGTTTGCTCTATCATGCTTCCTTGATTGGTCAAGCTCCACAAAAGTACAAGGGTAAGATTGCGAGAGTGTTAGCTGCCAAATGTGCCATCTCATCTCGTGTTGATGCCATGGGTGAGAAAGAACAGGCCACCATTGGAATTGATTCGAGAGAAGCTGTTGAGAAGCGTTTGCGTGAATTGGAAAAGTATAACAATGGCTCAAGTGCTGCTTTCACGAAGGGACAAAAGCAAACAGATTCCACTCAACAACATCGTTCAAAGGATCATCGCGGTAAAGTGAAGGGAGCAAATGCCAAGTATGATGAAAGTGCTGATGCCTCCACACAACCAAAGAGAAAGAGAGATGATTTCAGTAATGATAAGAAGGAAAAGAAGAAGAAGTTCTAAATTGTCATTGTGCATAACATGAATAAAAGTTCATTTTGTTCATTGTCGAGTGAGTTGATCATCTTCTACACTGCAAGTAGCACATCAACAATTCTCCAAGTTGAATTCAAAGCCTTTGAAGAAGAAAAATGTTCAAAACCACACAACAGGTGTTACAAAAAGTTGTCTCATCCACCACCACCACCGCTACCACCACCGCTACCACCACTGCTGCAACAAGCACACAAAAACGAGTCCGATTAAGAGACTATGTAAAATCATTCATGAGTAGTGATGGAAGATTCCGAGTGAGTCTTATTGATAATTCCGATTCATTGAAATCTTTCATTTCACGTTTTCATATGAATCCTCAAAGCAATCCCGTTCATCATCAAGCCTCTCAATTAATGGGACAATGTATTTCTGCATCCATGCTTTTGAGTTCATTGTTGAAAGGAGAAGAACGTATTAAATTAGAAATTAATTTACATTCCGATCATCCGTCCATTCATCATGTAGTAGCAGAGGCTATTCAAGTCGGAGAGGTTCGAGGATTTGTGTCCTATAAGGAAAATCCAAAGGATTTTGTGGACAATGAATTGAATTCTGTGTTTTCAGTTTCTCGTATTTTGATGGAACATTCAAAACCTGTTGTGAGTTCATTGCCTTTATTGATGCAAGGTGCAGACAATGTGGATTTGAAGAAAGATTTTCAAGAATTCTTTGACAAGTCGGAACAAATTCCTACGGCCTGTACTTTGGTGTGTAAACCAAATCAGGCAGCAGAATGGACACAAGAATCTTCCTCTTTGGAAGGCTCATCTAGTACGAACAGCACAAAACAAGCATCATCACCACCGCCTCTGATATCATATGGTGTTATTATTCAACGATTGCCAATGAGCGAATACAACAATACAATCAACGCCAATATTCAATCAAGTGTTGTTGAGGAACAATTGCAGGATTATCAACGAAAATTAATGGAGTTGGAGGATAAAATTGCGACACGACAAGATATTCATGAACATTTGTTTTACAAGTTCTTTATTACAGAGGATGCATCAACTGTGAGATACAAACCAATTGATTATTATTGTAGATGTTCGAAAGATAAGGTCTTAGAAGCCGTGTCACACGTGGGCTTGGAAGAATTGATCGACATGAGAAGAGAAATTGTTGAGGGAGGCAGAGAAACGTTTGACTCCACATGTGAATATTGCAATAATACTTACCATATCGACGAAGTGGATTTGGGGATGTTAATTGTCAAAGCATCTGGAACAAAACAAGATTAATGTTTTTTTTGCGATCTTTTTGGTAAAACAAGATGATATGTTTTAAAGACTTTTTGTGGTGAAATGCTAACGACTGAAGTAGTTACTCTTAGAATTTGCTCGAAGTGTTTGTACTTTTTCGCATGTCGTGGTAGTGAAGAATTGGAATTTTACAGGTGTGAAAAATATTGAGCTATAGATACACACTTTCTTATAATTTTAATAATAACATTCTCATGCAAAAAAACAATCTTTCAAAATTAATCTTACAGTTTATGTGAAATGCTTATTGTTGATGATGATGATGGTCATGATGATGATGAGGCTGATGAATCATACTTGCTGAGCTCGTATTCTGTGTACCCTTAGTCTTACTCAAGCTCTCACTTCTTTTTCTTGTCAATTGTCTCACCATTTCTTGAGAACGTTCATACTCTTCCTTATCTTTCAAATCCTTTCTACTTTGTTGATAATGATAGAGTTTGTGTCGGAAATATCCAAGGGCCTTCTCCAACATTTTCATGTCGCATTGCAAAAATTCGTAAAATCGTTCATCTCCACTAAAAACAGGGTCCGAACAAATAAACTTGAGTAATTCATCCAATTTCTCTCTTCTTTGTTCGACCACTTCCTTTGATAGTTTATTGGTCCAAAACCATGTACCCTTTGGGAAGATGAGTTCCATTGCTTCAATTTCCTTAACTCTCTCGGGATACTTTTCTGCTAATTTGTTTTTCAAATTTGCAAATTCCGAGAAACGACGAAATACAAAATGAATGGAAGCATCATTTTCATTGATAACCTTAATTTCATAGACAGTATAACGATTATCATGAATGAGAGATTGATGTTCTGGATCTTCCTCTCGTGTTTCCGTACCAATGATGGTTGCTTTAAATTTTGGCAATAAAATTGGTTGATGATCCTCGTCGGAAGATTGTTGGTGTTCTTGAGTAGCTTTTGGATGATTCAAAGGAGTATCAATATCATCATCATTTCCTTCTTCTTGTACGTATTTGCCCAATTCAAGATCTACGGTTGGGTCTGCTGTTGAAGACATCGATGCCAAGTACGGAGATTGTTATATTTTTTTTAAAGTTTAAATTTAGTGTGAAAAGATTTATTTCCTTTTCGAGAACCGACCGATTAAGGCACTCGTTTCGGCGACGACCACTCACAAGGTTATAATAATCCCTCACATGTTCACAGAGGTGGTTGGTCGTCTTTGTGAAAAAACAAGCTTGTTACAATCTTTCCCAAATTCAATACATGTTTGACGCATCATGAACCACCAATTTATTTAGACGCATCTAATGGGCAAATGTATTGCACAACAGACATGTCATCTGAAACTGAGTACAAAGCATCACCAGTACTATTGAATGCAAGACCCCACACCTGATCTTTGTGTTCTTCAAAACTTCGAATGCATTCCAATGTTGACAATTCCCATATTTTGACTTGTCGATCGGATGAGCTTGAGGCAAAATGTTGAGAATCGGGTGACATGGCCAAACTCAATACAAATGAATGATGATCACTCAATGATTTCACTAGAGAGCCAGAGTTGCTAAAATAGTCACATACAACCACCATCATGAATCAGCGATTTACATTGTGATTAATCATCATTGTTGAATCAGTCGGTGAAATAATAATTTTCAAATACTTACACATCGTACACATTAATGTGTTTATCGTCTGAGGCGGTCAATAATCTTTGTGAGTCGTTGGTGAATACGATACTTCTAACACTCATGGAATGTCCTTCTAAATGGTGCATTAATTTGGAGGTTGAAATGTCAAAAACACAAACACTTCCATCATTTCCACCACATGCTAAATATTTTCCACATTTGCTCTAAACAGCCACAAGATCATTAAGATTAAAATTCAATAAAATAATTATTCATGCATTTTAGAGAGTTATCCATAAAAAGCTTCTCATTTCACTTACATATGCCACTTGCAAAATAAAAGTTTTCTTTTGAGTGTCCAAACTTTGTTCCTTTTCTCCAGTTTGAGCATTGAAAATATTGACATTTCCAGATCGAGTACCAGTGGCTAAATGTTGACCATCCGCACTGAAAGCCAAAGTCCACGATTCAACTGTTATTTCCGTAAAATGATGAGATTGATAAGTTCAGTTGTTAATTTGTCAAATGTGAAATGGTTTCCAAATATCCAATGCAATGATTTTCATGAACAAATTGTGTTCAAGTTGTGAGTTTGTGTTACCATTACGTAACTATTGATCCATTAAAATACATACGAGGAGGTGCTTCAATCACAACCATTGATTTTCCCTTCTCAATATCCCAAACTCTAATGACGGAATCCATTGAACTTGTTGCAACCACTACGTAAATGAAAATGTGGAAAATTTTAATTAGGTTGATCATCATCATCATGAATACAAATTTGAACATTTCAAGATTAATTCATAAAATTCATCATCATAATGATGAACATATAAAAATGATTATATATTCATGGATATTCATCATCATGATCATCATATTAAAACAATAGAATTCCAAACACACACATTCTCTCGCCAAATGACATCAACTTACACTTTCCCGTCGGATCACTCACCACCGAAACAATTCCCAATCGGTGTCCTTCCAAAGTTAAAACCAATTCCAACGAATCTTGCCTCCAAACCTTAACCGAAGAATCCAAAGAACCCGTAACTAGAATCATCTTGTCCGATGTATTGGCACATGCGATGGCTACAATTCCATCGTTGTGAGCCTGTTCAATACGTTCATTCCGAACACTATAAGCCATTTTTTTGAAATTTAAAGGAATTGTTGAATAATGTGCCAACAGCTCTTTGAAAGTGAGGATGAAGAGAGAATTCAAAAGACAATGTACCAAATGGTTGTTCAATGTGTGTGTAAGGTACCTTTTAAAAATGAATGATTATGGTGGATCAGAAGTGAGGAAGGAATGAACGGAATGAAATTTTTAGTTGGTTTTTAATGACATTTGACGGAAAAAAAAATTCCAGTTCGATGAGCCAATCATCAGCTTTTCACCAAAATATTTAATGAATATATTTCATTCACTCACTCACTCTCTCATTCCTCTCCATCATTATTTTCCGAATTAATCATGCCAGGTTTTTTCAAATCCGTTTCTGGAAGTAGAAATCAAGACAATTCCACTTCTGTCATGTACAACGTAGAAGACATTGACATTCATGAATGGACTGTCGATGACTTTGCCAATTGGTTATCTCAAAAGAATTACAAGAAGAAAATTATCAAAAGTATGTTGGGTGTTCTTTTACGATGTAATATAATTCGTGATGATGATGATTTGAAATGAACGTTATGGACTCGAAATGAGAGTCCTATTGATGATGATTTTGTTCATTGTACGATTCACAACATGACGACATTTTAATGGCATTCCACAACATCCCTATCTTTTTTTAATGACATTCCACTTTTACATTTGATTACTGACACATCATCGATTTCTTTTTGAACGCATTCATCAACAACAATTGTTTTCATAGTTTTAAAAAAAGAGAAATGGAATGGTGATTCACTCATGGAATTAAAACAAGAATCTGATCTCAATCTCTCTAAAATTCCATCCGGTGTTGCAAAATCAATATTTGCAGATATTCAAATGTTGAAACAAAAACAAATCGAAGAAAAGGAAAAGTGGCCAAACAAACCAAAACAATCGGCAGATGAAATTCGAAAATCTGTTCGATTGACACAAGCGCCTCCCGTTCTCACTCAACCTGTCACAGTGTTGCCAATCACAAGTGACAACAATTCAACAGGTGCGAGTTCAGAAGTGCATTTTGTTGGACCCACAACTTCCCTGACAGGTTCCTTTCTTCTTAATAATAAGAAAAGAGATCCAAGTATTCACAGAGGAGCAATTATTATGAGAAGTGGCGGCTCGAGTGGGGTCCATTCACCTTCTTTCTCATCAGCAACAATCATGACCAATCCAACAAATTCATCCTTTCTATCTGGTTCAAATGGAAGTAGTAGTGAAGGAATAATTTCTGAAATTAATGAATTGTTCAATGATTTGAAAGGAGGAAATGGTGAGACAGGAATGATGACAACAAATTCTGTTGTGAATATTCATTCGAATCATGCAAGCATGACAAATTCATTGGCACCAAGATCTTCAATGATGATGCAAAATCAATACTCGAATACTTCAATGATGATGAACAATCCTACTCGAAGTTCATCCTCTTATTTGAATCAACAACATTCGATGGGACATGAAATTTCGGCATTTTCTGTGCAAGATGATGTTCAGGAATGTCCACCATGGGATATTGAATCCATGAAATTAAGTCACAAACAAGATTATAATTATTGTCATGCAAAAATTGAATCCATGCTTCAACTTGGAATGAATGAACAGAAAAAACATGTTACAATCAATCATCATCAACAACAACATGGAAAAACCAATATTGGTAACCAAAAGAATTCTCTCTTCACACTCACTAGTTTGAATTTACAAGAAATTACTCAAAATTTAATCATTCCTTCTCGATTTTCTTACAAGTATTTAAATCCAGCTCGATTATTGAAGAGTCTCATTTTAGAGAATAAGAAGAGTCACATTAGTTTTTTAAGAATCAAAATTGCAGTTCGAATTTTAAACTCGGATGAAATTGCAGAATATGTCAAGTTATTGAATGCGTTATCCAACACTGAAGAAGAAACACAAAGCCAACAACAACCACACACATTCTCACAAACACTCAAATTATTGAGCTCAAGAATTCAATACGCTGCCTACACACCTGCTCTCATTATTGGACCATTCTTTTTGGAGTGGACGAGATTTGGATTGGCTGTAATAAGACATGTGAAAAATGTGACAGCACATCATGTCGTGTTCTACGATGCAAAAGTAGTGAAAGGAAATGATGAAATTGCGTCACTTCTCTCGAAACTATCCACATGGGCATGTTATTGGAATGGTCAAAAAGATTTTGATATTTTACACGCCAATTGTTTTACTTTTTGTAATACTATTTTGGAAAATATTGAATGTTTGCATGATTTACCATCTCATATGAAAGAATTTTTGAATTTGTTTAAATATTGTGGAGTGTGTGGAAATACCGTTTATTTAAATGCAACGCCAGAATTGGAAAAATGTGTCTCTGAATTTGGAAGTGAGTCTTTAATATCGAAATTGAATCGAACGGGAGAAAGTGCCTCTTCAAGTCACATCACATTTACCAATCAACGAGTCTTTAATGAATTCACATCCATCATTCAACAAAAATTGACACCCACTTATTTAGATGATCACAAATCACTCAAATATCAATTACAAATGATTGAAAGAGGTTTTTGGTATGATATGGAACGAAATGGTCCAACCATGTACAATGAACCTTTATATTTGAAACAACATTATCAAGATGGTCTTGATTCGTCATTTGGTGAAGAAGTGATGAAGTTGAATGAAGAATCTCCTCCAACATGCAATGAAGGAGCTTCTATTTCTGCAACTAGTACTGGAAAATGTCAAGCCATGTTCAATTCGAGTGGTTTATTAGAACATGCATTTCATATCAATGATGAGCATAATGTACATACCGATTTTGAATTTAGTAATTATCGGGTGGAATTTCCAAAATTATAAAACATGGAATGTTTAAAAGTTCAATGAGTATGATTTTCATCAATTCATCATTCATAGATACCCACACACATCATTTGGTTGTTTAATGATCATATCAAAACACAATTTACACAATTATTTAACACTTATTTACATGGACCATCACTATTGGTTATTTACAATGATACCTTATTGCTGTACAGTAGTCGTTGTAGCAGACGAAAAATGTTCCATCGTTCTTCTCACCAATCGTTTCACATGACCCAACTTTTTCACACCCAATTTTCGAAAATCTTCTTCCGTCATGTCTCGAATATCTTTCATGACAAAGAGTTTCTTCTTTTTGAAGAGAGACCAATTTTCTGCCATTTCATTCTCTTCAAGAAAGGATTGAACGGAATGTTGTTCTGCTTTTTGAGAGAAATCAATGGCCTTGGAGAGAACCCAAATTTTGAAATCTTCACTTTGTCGTAAATGTTTAAATGCTTCTTCTTTCATTTGAGACAACACTTGATGATAGAGAGATTTGAGACTTTTTTTGGCTTCTTCTTCAGAATTCGAAATTAATGCCTTTTTCACACTTGCTTTCAATTTGGAGCTCACATTCAATTCATAAGGAGAATCATCTTGTAAGAATTGTGTGAAAACTATTTTACATAAATCCAAGAATGTCCAATGTGGAGAATCATCCTCTTGTTGAATCAAAGAAGAAGAAGAAGGTTGAACAAGAGAGTGGTGGTGGTGGTTGTAGGGGTGTTGGGGGTGTTGGGGGTTGTATTGGTGGTGGGATGGACGTCGACGACGAGAAACATTTTTCACACTTTCCATAATAATTTCATTGGAAGATGACCATTCAATGTCATTCTCAGTCAGTGAGTTGAGAGACACATCAACACTGGTCTTTCCATTATTGTTGTTGTTGTTGTTTGTAGGAAATGTTGAACAAGAGACTTTAGGATTCAAAACAGCCATGTAAGGTTCCATGATCTCTACAAATAATAATTGTTCTTCATTTCGTGACGACTCTAAATACTCTTTCAATCGTTGCTTGCCATCGTTTTGTTGAATAAAACTTTCAAAGTTGTTATACGTTTTGAGGAGATCGGAAACATTGGAGAATTCACCACTGGGTGAGGAGTTTGTGGTTATCAAGGTGGTGGTGGTGGTGTTAGTGACACCACTCATTCCACCACTAATTCTGTTCAGAGAGGAATTTCGTGTGACAGTTGGTGAAGGAGGAGAAGAGGGCGAAGAAGAACGATGGTGGAAAGGAGATGACATGCTTGTCTTTTGTTGTGATGGTTTGAATGCAAGCATTTTGTTTTGGTCAATTGACGCTTTTAATATGGTGAGGAAGAGAATTTCTTTCCAGAGATGTCAATATCAGCCATGATGATTTCTTTTTTAAGAAATCGATCCCTTATCGCGAAGGAGATGCCGCTTTTCGAGTTTGGTTCACCCTTTTCCTTTTCGCCCATTCCTCCATCCAGTTCTGTATTCAGACATTATCTCCATCCTTCAAAAACTCTATTCAAAATAGTAGAGGTTTTTCTTGCTAGCTATAATTGTTCACAATCTATCAATGCATGGAGAATCCTTGTGAGCCACCTAATCTCAACGCTTTTTTAAACCTATCTGTCATCTTTTCAAGAGTTTCATAGGGTGGTATATCAATTCGATTTAAACACGTGTGAGCCACTGGGAAGTACTCGGTCGAAATATAATGTCTCAATAAACAAAGTGTGAATGGTGGAGAGAGTCCAGAAAATCCCTCACATGGTAAACAGGAGGTTCCTGTGGCAAATTGTAAAAGTTGAGCTTGTTGAAGGTGTGAAAATTCTTGTTCGAGCATTTTCCAAAAAAGTTGAACCGTAGGATGATTGTCGTCAAATCCACCCTCATAGAAGGTGTGTTGTCTCCATTCAGAGATGGAAAATTCTGTACTTCCGCAGAGTAGTAATTCCAATTCGCTTTCATTGAAAATGGTAAGGTATTCAGGAGGAATCACTTCGTAAATGCCCTCAAGCATCTTTTCGACTTGCGGTCGTACAGATTCAACAAGTTTCCATTTAGCGTAAGCCTCCACAAATTCATACTTGTTATCATCATTGACTTCAATTTCTTCTCCGTTTTCGCACAATTCATAAACATTGTTTTCTCCGAAATCGTTTATATCTGCAGTGAAAGTCATTTCCATAATACTGTCAATATTATCTAAGAGTAACATCTTTTTGAGAGATAAGTACATGGTGGGTTCTACGGCTTCTAAATCTTCAAACGTAACAGGTCGTCCAACAATTAGTTTGAAAATTACTTTTGAAAAATGTGTGTCCATCATTTTGTTATCAGAGAGAGCTTTTCCAATCAACTTGCCAATGAAATGAAAATATTGTAAATGGTCAGCATTGACAGCTGAAGTGGGATTTGGATGATACGTGTTGGCATGCCCAGTTCTAACAAATAAGGCATTATTAGAATCTAGTATTTTCTGTGATAATAAATGATAGAATTCTCTTGTAACTCCTCCCACATCGAAACCTTGTTCACCAGCAAAATAAACAAACATTGGTTTCATTAAATCGACTCCCTTGAGAATGGAGAAATTTTTGCAAGCATCAAAAACTAGATGCTCTCTCCTCACAAACACAACCGTTGGTTGTAATAAGCCCTCTCCTTTCAATTGTCGTAACTTGTGATAGAATAATTCTTTCCTTGTTTCATAGTCCAGTTCTCTCTCGCTATCTGTATAGATGACTGATGGAATTGTGACATTGTTTGTGGTTTGAGTGTTATTGTTGAATCCATCAAGACACAAACTTGCAATGGCTTTCATTCTCTCAGCAATACTCATGACATTTTGAGGTACAACAGAGAGTTCAAAATATATAGAAGAATTATTGTTTCGTTGCAAGGTTGTGTTAGGAAATTCACGATCAGAAATTGTCGCCTTGTCATAGTTATTGGGAGTGATCATACTTCCTGAAGAGTCGTAAGATTGTGCTATTCCCTTTGAAATGTAGTATAAATCATCTTGTTGCATCAATGAGTGATGACTCGTATTGTGTTGAAATGAGTGTTGTAAGGAAGTGAGAGAAGCAGAACTCTCGTTCGATGTTTTTTCCACTTGCTGTTGTTTAAAGTAGGCAGAAAGTCGTTCAATTTGATCATTTAAATTTTTAAATTCACTTAAAGGTTGTATGGAATCTAATTGTTCAATCGCATCCGCCACTTTGGTTACAGGATAAAATAGAACCTCCACAAAATAATTAAATAATTCCTCATAGTGCATATATACAGGTTTGTTCAATAAAGATGTGCTATTCTTTGCATTATGGATTACTGAAATATCTATAAATTTTACAAAACATCCCGATGTAAAATAGAGTCGATTGCAAGATAAATCACCGTACAGATTTGATGCATCCAGGATGCTATCCTGAGGAAGTGTATGAAGTAGAGTTAGCTCATTTAAATCATAAATTTCAAATTGTCTCTTTTCCTTGTTCCATCCAGCCAAATAGGAGCCATCTTCAGGATTATCTTCTGTCAGGACACAAAAATTGGTAATTCCAACCAGTAGTGGATTCGACTTGTTGGTCTCTATATTGAATGAATAAATATTTTGAGGTTGACTCACGTATATACAATTACCATATTTTGTAAAATAGTGACAATACTCCCTACAGAGATGAACTTTGACACAAGTCAGGGAGGAGACATCCCATGCTCGAACTGTACAATCTGCACCAGTTGTGTATAATATTCCTTCTGAGTGGTTAAAAATCATGTCTTCCACCTTTTTAAAATGTCCAACCATTTTAGCTATTTTCTTTCCAGTTTTCACATCATAGACAGAAATGGCATAATCATAACCGGAACAAAACAAATAACCATTTCCAACAGCAAGACAGCTAATCCAATTCTCATTAGAGTCAAAAGTTTGCACACAATTTTGTGTTTCAATATCCCACACTTTAACCGATCGATCATACGAGCCACTGTACAGTAAGCCATTTTTGATATCAATATGAAAACATGTGACAGCTTTGGAATGTCCCTGAAATAGCTTGATACAGTCTCCAGTTTCTCGATCCCAACAACATATTGTTTTATCCAGTGAAGCAGTCCACACTCGATCTCTATTCACTTTCAAACATGTAATCCTATTGAAATGTTTAAATCTTTTAAAGTCCTTGACATTTCTCATCACCAGTGGTTCACTTGCTTTTTCCTTTCTCACAAATGAACCAACCGATGTTAAATCTTCCTCTTCATCCACAGTATAATTTCCAATGATATTAGAAAAGGCTGATCGTGATGCCAACATGGACGCAGATTGAGCCATATTTAAATGATTTGAGTCCAAATGACTTGTGAAGGTTTTGAGAGTGGCTGTCGTTGTCGGTGAGAGTGGAGTGTTTACATGTCCATTAAATAATTGATCGGGATGAATTTTGAATAATTTGAGAAGAAAGTTTTTCTTTTGTTTCAGTTCGGGAGATGACAATTCAGTGCTGGTGGGGTCAGTTTGCCAAAAGTTTTGAATATCTAATGATCATAATAATAATGGTCATTATTGTTGGCATGGAATGATGATGAAATTAGTTAATTGAGAAATATATAAATTCATTCATTCATTCGGGTATATATTGCGAAACAAATGAAAAATCCATTATTGAAATTGTAGTTTGATATAGAGATGATGATGATGAGTAAAGATTTTTCCATTTTGGACATTCGGTAGGAATTCATCATGGCACATTCCGATAAAGTACATGATGTATTCCGAAACAGTTGAATGAACAAAACAATAACGACACTTACCATCACCAGCATCTTCTCTCCCACTTGGACTTTGCCTGTATGAATATACAATAGGTAACAAAGTGAAGGACAGCAAAAAGGTATGTTCAGTATCAATAACAATTAATAATATAATAATAATCGTCGATATTGACCTCTCGTCCGCAACATGTGTTTCGCAATGCACTTACCCCATTTTTTCTATCGATTTGGCTTCAATTTAAATTTCTCCGTTGGCAATAATTGTGATGTGACTAAGGTCCATAGAGTGATCACATAGAGCAAAGCGCACTGAATCTAAAGAACCCGACAATAACCTACAATATCTCTCTTGTTCGGAATATGATTCTTTTTTGTAAACTAAAGATCAACAGGGAAATTTTAAAAAGGAAGGCTTCGGCCAAACACACATTCAAAAAAAATACATTGTTCGGTTCATGCATGAAAGCTATTAGTATTCTTAGTCAACCCAGACATTGTGCATACCAGTAGTATAAAAAAGAAGCATCTTGTTCTTCAATTCAAACACACACACTGTTGTATAAAAGAAATCGCCTTATTTGTAAATTAGTGTAATTATAGCGAGATACCTTAAGCGTTCAACCTCATTCTCTCTCGCTAAATCCTTCCACACCAGGTTTTCTTGGACATTTCTCTCACCTAGTGTAGAGTGGGTGAGCAAGTAATTGAACATTTCATTGACCTACTAATTCAATTTCGTTGAGAGAGAAATTATTTAAAACCATCATCATCACTATTCGAGACACACATTCATGATCAATCCTTCTGCCTCGACGACCTCTGCTGCCACTCTTGTTGCATCCTCATCGTCATCTTTGTTTGTTCCGAACTGCTGCAGCAGCAGAAGCAACAACAACAACACGACACGAGTCGGCTCCTACACCACCACCAACAACAACACCAACAGCAATTCTCATAACGGCCAACATAATGCTTCTTCTTTCTTAAGCTCCAAAAATAATTTCATCGATGCTGAAGGAGGAAACTCTCTGTTGGCGCCTTCAGTCTTGGCTCATGAGAATGCGAACAACCCTCATCTTGATCCTCACATCAAGCAACAACAACGACTCCCTCCACATCGATGGAGCCATGAGGATTTGAGTTACTTTTTCAATCATCAAGCGCTACAGACGGTTCAGCATCATCCTCAACCAAAGATACCCACTTCGGGAGGAGGAGATGATGCACCAAGATCTTCCTTTGGGAGTGTTGGTGATTCTTCTTCTTCTTCCAATTTAATTCCTTGTACAAACTCAACTACTACCACACGAAATAGACTTCTCTCCTTTTCATGGTTCGAGTCGAGCACTTCTCATCATCGGAAAGAACAATTAGAAAAGACTCACCTTGAAACACCCATCTTGGAAAAATCAACCTCTTCACCACAACTTGTACTCTCTCCGAATTTTGGAGGACGTAAGAAGAAAGCTACCACTCTTATTGCCTCGTGTGTGGTATGCTCGTTGAGTACGAGCATCTTTCTTATGGCCATGATTACCTTCTTGCTCTCAAATTTGTTTATGCATCCGGTGGCGTACATGGCAGTCTCTTCCAAGCAACACATCTTGATGAGCAAGGATGGAGATACCTATCGCAAGATTACTCACTCCTCAAACATCCCAGAAGAATTGATGCAATTTCCCGATAATACGATTATGGGAAATAGTGATGAAGACAATCAACAGTTGGGATCCCATCGTAGCACTGCAGGAGGAGTGGGCGTTGGTTTAGTACACAGTGGAAACCGATTGATTGATGTCTCACGTTTTCACTTGTTGAAATCTGATCATCATCATACAGTTGTAGGATCCAATCTTGATGGAAACATCAACAAACAAGAGCCTTCTTCGCTCTCTCAGTCATCCACCATCACCCTTGCTTCTCATTCATTGCCACAACTCTCATCTCTTCCAAATTCTCATATTGAGGTGCATCCTCCATTTGCGAATTTGGAACATGAGAAGGGAATGAAAGGAAGCCACAGAGAACGCTTAATTGATTACATTAAGGCTTTACCTTACAAGCATGATCCTTGGATTGATTTCAAACTACCCTACAAGAATGTCACATTTTCATCTGTTTTTGACGACTCCATGAAATTAAGATCTTGGTATATTCCTGCGTCGAATATTGAGTCGAATAAGGCTGTCATACTCGTTCACGGCGCATTCTATGATCGAAGAGATGTCATGGAACATATTCCGTATATTCACAAGTTAGGAGTTCATATTCTTCTCTTTGATATGATTAATCATGGTGTAAGTGATGGTGACAACGGTTGTGCTTTGGCATGCCGTGAATGGATGGGTGTGATTGGAGCTGTCGATTATTTGGAGGGAATTATACCCAACCTAGAGGTTGCTATATTTGGAACTTCTACGGGTGGAGCTTCATCCATTATTGCAGCCTCTCAAGATCCGAGAATTAAGGCAGTGATTGCAGAAAACCCTTTCGCCGATCGTATCTTGCAAATTAGAGACGTTTTGGAAGTAGCCTTGTACAAGAATGGTTGGAGTCATCAATTACCAAAATTCATGTCTTCAGTTATTGAGCTCATTGGCAATTATATCCCTTCATCATTTATTAAGGTTGTATCAGTACTAGTCAATTGGAGAATGTGTGATTTTAGAATGGGCAATCATTATCACGCAGTCGACGCTGTCAAAGAAATGACACAGCCCATGTTATTGATTCATTCAAAGACCGATAAGGTTGTTCATTTTAAGCATTCAGAAATTATTCGAAGCGCTGCTACTGGTCATGTAGAGTTTTGGGTTGTCGAAGATGCATCTCATTCGGAAATTCATAGACATTTGCAAAATGACTTTGAACAAAGAGTGATTGCCTTCCTCCAAAAACATCTATTTGGAAACCAAAACAGCAAGCCAACTGTGACTTAGCACTATAATACAATCAAGTATGTTAAAATTCTTGTACCTCCAGATAAATTATTGAGCGATAAAGGATTTCTAAATAAATTGTGTTTGGGGTTTTGTTTTCAGAGAGAGTTGGCTTTATTCACTTCTTTTTCTGTTTCTTTTTTTGTTGCTTGTTCTTTATCGACCCAACAGCATGTAGGACTCTCTTGCTTTCAATGCTAGCTGCTTTTTTCTTCTTTTTCTCCGCTTCATAAATAAATCGTTCCAAAGGAGTCATTTCCTCAACTTTTTTGTTTTTCAAAGCTTGTCGTTTCTTTCTTTCAGCCAATACTGGCTTCAAATGTCTATCTGCTTCTTCTCTACCCATGTTCATTCTCTCAGCACAAAATCTGTAAAAAGCGTCCCAATTCAATTTGACATGAGAAGTCGAGTCAACGCTCGAAGATGCACCACTGTTTCCAGCCTTTTGACTGTTACCATCACTACTACTTGTAGGAGGGTCATCAATGTCTGCCCATTCAAATTCTGTCAGTGAATGATCAACTGTTGGCTTAATATATGCATCAATAATTTTAGTATCTGGAAAAGTGTCTGGAAAAATAAATTTCTTCTTCGATCCTTTGTAATTGTACTGAAAATCTCCCTTACATCCCCATGATCTTTCTGTTTGTCCAATATTGTAGGTATCATCAGCAACCCAAGCCTTAAACTCCTTAAGCCCATGAACAATTTGATCAATATCATCTAAATCTGAATCCTCAAATGATTCAGGATTAAATACATCAAGTACTTGTGTTGCTGTCACTTTTCCAACATTATGTACACCATCTGTATAATCAGATCCTAGTAACAAAGCTAATTGAATTAAATGTGTGCGTTTAAATCCAAGTTCTTTTTCAATATTTTCCATCTTGTATTCCTCAATCGTATTCTTATTAATGCTCTTGTTAGAAGAGCCAAAAACATTTCTATAAACACAGTTGGCTCCAAACAAGAACAGATCTGAATCCTCAGTTATAACAGCATCCACAAGTCCTTTCTGACATAAAAATCCACATTGAGCATCTGCTTCAGATGGTGACACCACATACGGTATTCCAAAATGAGCCAATAATTCTTTGGCGAGTTCTACCAATGAGACAAATAAATTTGCAGTTTTGGAATTTGCATTCGAAAGATCAATCATTGGATAGTCAGAATAGAATAGATTTTGTTCAAATCTGGCAGCATTGAGATCCTGCAAGGAGACCTCTTCCTGACTAATCATGGGAACGTTCAATTGCAGTAACGAGCTTTGTTCATCTTCAAATGATCGTTCCTCAAAACTATCATCCAAGACTACTTCTTTAGAGAATGAAGTAGATTTGCAGCTACTCTGAGAGACACTGTTTGGAGTCGATCGATTCGAAGAGTCATTAGCATCGTTGCTTGGTGAATGAATAGAAATGACATCATCCGAGTCATTATATTGTTCCATTATCATGTGAAATTGTCGCTTCTTATTAACATCATCTTCTAGACAGTGAATGTCATCGTCCTCATCAATAATCTCTATAATTTGTTGTGGTGCCTGATTCGTTTGTTGTACATCTTCCCATTCTTCATCCAATGTCATGTCGTTCTTAACTTCTTCAAACTCGTTGTCTTCTTGTTGTTGATGATGAATATTGTCATTTACAGAATGGATCGTTTCCTTTTCAAATGCTCGTAACTCTTCGTTTATGTTCCTAATGGTTGCTGAAATGTCTTCAATCTCATCTGCATGATCTTCTGCAACAGTTGTTGAGAAAATAGAATCTGGAAGCATGTCATCCTCAGTGATATTATTAAGGTCAAACGTCACTTCAATATTATCATCTTCTTCGGATGACAAATGATTTTCACGGTTATTGTTTTCTTCGTCTTCTACAATGTGGATTGTTGTATTTTCATTGATGGGTTGGGATGGTGCTTCTTTTGCATTGGTCACTTCTTCTTGCAGAGGATTCTCTGCTCTTGAGAGAAAATTGCTAAATCGAGTGATTGCTTCTTGGCTTAATTCAACTCGTTTGGTGGTTGTTTCACGTGAAATGTGTTTTTCTTTTGGAGGTGTGTGCTCCATAAGTATAAATCCTTGATTTGGATTCGAAGCAAGTCTACCACCGGCTAATATTTGATATTCTTCTCGAGTACTCTCTCTTGTCACTGTGGACGTTGATGAGGGAGTTAAACTGAGCTGAGATGAAGAGGTACGTGGTGTTGATGATGTATTTTCTTCCTCAAGAAAGAATCCTAATTCTTCTTCTTCTTGAGGTTCATCCTTTACGACAATTTGATCATGCTGTGATACTCCATGAGAAGAGCTTTCAGCTGTTTGACTTTCTGGAAGAGAAGCCAATAATTGTTGATTTTCCGTTATTTTCATTAACCTCTGTAATTGTATCGAAGCAGCACTTCCCTTAATAAATGAGTGTAGCTGTGTCGTAGAGAACTTTTCTGGTGATTTTTCTTTCAGTTCCTTAATACGAGATTCTGAGCGGTGTCTCTTAGATGCCTTTAGTTGTTTTAAAATTTCTTGTTGCATTCCTTGTGGTAAAGCTGTAAAAACATCGGGATCAATACCCGATTCCAAATCAATATCAATAGCGAATGAACTTTCATGATTGTTGGAGGTGGAAGAAGGAATCTGTTCAAATTCATCTTCTTCAATCTCATAATTGCGAACGTCACACAATACAGACTCTGTATCCTCTTTCTTTTCAGATAATGCACTATTAGAGGGCAATGCAAAATTAAAAGATTGTGTTTCCTCTTCGTCGTCTGTCTCATCTTCTGATTTCTTAATTTTTGATTTTTTCATATTTTCAATCCGTTTTTTCGTCGACGATGATCCACTGGCACTATCTTGTATGACTCGTGACAATAATTTCTTTGCAGCTTTCTTTAATCTAAAATTTTGTTTTGTTGATTTCATTCTCCTCCTCTGTAACGTTTTTTGTTTCACTAAAGGCGTTGCGCCATCAAACACAAACACTGGCTTTACATTGTAGTACAATAATTTACAAATTCTTTTAAACAATGCTCGGAGGTATCTTACTTGAAGTGTTTGATGCGCACCACCCGATCCTCCAAACAACAATGAATCATCATCATCCTCCAAACCCATTCCGAGCATGAATTGATGTAACCAAACACTAATATCTACAGCAACTCTCTTTCCCGATAATACATCAAGGCTTTGCACTGAGAATGCAGCTGGACGCAAGAGTTTCCACAATTCTTTCACGCCCATTTTTTTGTGTTTTTTTTAGACAAGTTCGAGCAAACACTTGAAAGACAAGGTTTGAAATTGGTGAAATTTGTCATTTTGATAATAGTTGCAGATTACTGTGGACCGAACTTTATTTCTTTACTCTTAATGATAGTGAAACGAGAATGTATGAAAATGGAGAGAGATTGATCATTCTTTTAATTTTGTGTAGTGCTTTCTTTCCTCATGTTGTTGTTCTTGTTGCTTCATGACATAGTAATTCAACTTTAACACAGAGTCATCACATGTTTTGATTCCAAAATCATTGGATTGTGTCGTGGGTGTCACTGTTCTAAATTTTACCAAATAATTATTTTCCAACACAGTGGCCACATCAGAATCCTTCACTTCAATCACTTGTGAGCAATCGCCCAAAATTAAGGCAATCAATCGTCCAGAGACATCTTTCAATTGTTTCAATCCTTCCATACTATTCACAACATTTAAAACATAATCATTTTCACTTGCTAATACTCTCTCCTCTCGTCCTAGAATGGTGTAATTAAAGTGAGGTAATTCATGTTGCAAAAATTTGACAAATTGTTCACATGAAGATTTTGAAAAGAAGGTATTACTTCTACTACTCGAGTAGGCACTCACATCATCCACTGTGCTATGGCTACTGGTACTCGCCATATAATTACAATATAAATATACATTTCGTTTCTCCTCTTGTGCAATTCTATTCCAAAAGTAAGATTCCATTTCAAGAAGGAATTGTCTATACAGTGCTTCGTCTCGACATCCATCAGGAAGGGCTTGTAATGTAACAGATGGAGTCGTATTGGCTGTGGTGGTGGTTGTGGTGGTACTTGCTTTTTGTATGGGACGTTCTCCACGCACTTGTACTCCTCGTTGTTTCATTCCGAACTCAAACCATTGCTTCCATAAATTACGATGAAAGGAGGCTTGTTTTTTCAATTGATCAATTTCTGATCGTTGTTGAATGAGAACATGATACGAGAGAAAGGAAAGGAAGAGAGTGACAAGGAGAAGCCAAATGCTCTGAAAGGATGATAATGATGATTGTGTCATTTCCGAGAGAGAGATCAACACCACAACAATAGTTGGGAGAAACACGTGTTTTTTTTTGATTTGAAAAAATTAACGACGGTAGGATTTCAAACATTTCATACCCAAAAGTTCCGAATCGAATTCGAGAGGAAATAACAAAACCTCCTCAGTATGAGGAAACACACATTCAATACATGTATGAAAATGCAAAACTATAGGAATATGAAAATCCATCTCGAGGAGAATCACAATAGCCAATCCATGCGAGTTTGCTTGATTTCACGCTATTAAGGTCGAATTTTTCAGAATAGACTGCATTCACCATATTGTTCTGTGTGACTGACATTTCCACCGTCACTGACTTTTTGTGATTGGTTGAGAAAACCATCGATGTTCCCCAATTGTGGCTCGTCAGATTCGCCTTGGCTTCTTTCAGGAGTGTATCTTTGGAGGTACCTAACGCCTTCACTCCCAACGCATACACGTCCAGCAAGCTCAACAAATGATCACCATTTGTCATGCAAGATAATTCACTCAATTTTAAACTTGTCCTTTTTCCTGTAGTGTGGCTGCTGATCGTGTAGGATTTAATATTCTCTCTGGCATGACAAATTGGAACAATGAAGTATGTACCTGCTTTTAGTGTCAAATTCTTTGTGTATGAAGATCTATTGCTACTCATTGGACATCCTCCAACGACAGAACCTGTTGAGTCTAACATGATGAATCCAAGTCCTGCAGCAAGTTTTGGTCCATCCTTATAACGTTGATCCTTCTGGTGGATGCCAAAGAAGGCTTCATCTTGGTCGTCATCGAATTTAACTTCAATAATGGGATACGTAGTCTTGTCGTCAAATGTTCCTATCTGATTGGTCGTATTGCAAACAACTTTCACTTGATTACGAGAAAACTTGGGATCGTACTTGCAAACCACCACGCTAACGAAATAGTTTAGAAAATCCTGGAATGGCATATAGAACACTCCATCGTCCATAAATGCCATATGTTGAAAAGCGATCTTGGCTTCCTTGGTCCATCGTGTGTCGTCATCACACCAATCACCCTTCCATTCTGTACCTCCCCAAGGATTTCGAAGCTTGACCAATTTCACACCATTTAAGGCTTCTTTACAGTCCAAGAGAGTATAAAAGTGAGAGGATATGAGGCCTACTTTTTCACAATTTGGGGAATTTGGAGTGGCACAACAGAAGAAATAAGACTTTCGAATGCATTCACACAGCTCATCCCAAATATTTTGAGCATTAAACGAAGGATCTTTTGAATTGAGACGAAGGCTGAAGGTAGGGCATCCTGTCAAGTCTTCAAATGCCTCATCTGCAAAACCTGAAATGAGTTTTGAGTAAGAGCCACAAACTTTTGCATACGCCTTCTCTAGAAGCATGACCCAGAGCTCTGCAGCATTGTTGTGCGCAAACACAGGATTGTTCCATTCATTCACAGGGAAAAAATCGTCGACAATAACTCTGGTCCATTCTCCCCCAACACAAATATTAACCTCGTAGATACCAGCTTCGTTTGGTACTCGAGTAGTGAAGAGACGCTCAATGAGCAATGGTTTGGAAGAAATGCTCGAAATTGCTGATAACAACCAACAGTCGCCTAACGAGCCTTGCTTAATGTCGTCAGGTTCAATGCCGTCGCAAAATACTTCCAGTGATTTTCCTAAAATTTCAGAAGCGCGAGCCCACTTGATATTTTCAATTCTTTTTCCAGCAAATGATGAGTCATAAATGGTAGGCTCAATTTGAGGAGGAAAATCTTTGTCTACGAACTTTGCATTTGAAGCAATTTGATTTTTCACAACTTCACTTTGTGTGGCCAAATTTTCAATGCTTTCCAAGGCAATTTTCAAATCCTTGTCCACTATTGACGCATGTAAATCGTTCGCCTGAGTCTGAGCTTGTACTGATTGTATAGAGGTAGAGCTGTTGGCTTTCGAGGAGTTCTGCAAAGATTTCAAGTCTGTCACAGAGGAAGTTGTGTCACCTTTTTCAAAGACTCTGCTTATTTGATATGCGTAGGAATATACAAAGGGCTTTGTTGTGTCCATCAAATACAAGGAAGAATACAATTTGGTGTGAAAGGGTAATACGATCATTCGATGTTGATCGCTATATTCTGTCACCACTTTGCAGTTCTCGAGCTGTTTCATGAAAAGATAGCAATTGTGAGCCTTGTCACAATTATTCTTGACTGCCAATACCACACAATTAAATACTTTGAAATAGTATCCATATACAAAGAGTGAAGCTTTAACTTCATTCTCTTCAACAACTTTTCCCTCTGCAACCTTGCAGTCATATGCTATTTGGAATAATCCTTTTGGAGGCTTAATTCGAACCAGTTGTTTTTTCGTTTCGTTTGGAAATACTACCAGTTGAGGATTCGATGAATCTTTCATGGTCTCCTGAATGAATGTCATTTCACCTCCCTTTACCTTCAAATCGTGCACAATCACGGCACTCGACGTGTTATTCTCAAGACTCAAGACGGCAAAACCTTCTTTGGTCATTTCGAGAACACCAAATACACCAGGTATGAGCTCTCTCCTCTCGACTACCAAAGCTTGAGCCTTAGATACATTGGTAAAGTAGTAGGACAATAGAGTGGACCCTGCCTCTTCGTCAGTCAGAGGCTTTTCTGCCTTCTTTACGAAATACTTGTATTTGTAGGTAGTCTTCTCTTGTTTGTCCAAAATTTGAAGTTCGTTCAGGATTTTCAAGTCATACAAATCAACATAGTCGTCATAGATCCTATTAGGCTTCAAATTTGTCAGAGTGGTATAATTAATTTTGACTTGAACATGGCGATCACCCCTATTGTTCAAAATGACATTATTGTTCTTGAGAGCAACAATTAAACTTCCGAAACCCATATGGAAACACTCAAAGAAAACTCCATCATAGATCTCTCTCGACTCGGTTGGTTTGTCTGCAAACGAATAATTGTACATGAAATTATACTTCCAACTCTTATATCGATCAATGATTGGAAAGCTTGTAAGGTATACCTTTGTATCTCCGGGATACAAGAATAGAGGGTATTCCTTCGTTTTGGCGTCTTGGGCTCCTTCAACGGTCGTATGGAACATATTCGCCAAAGAAAACACAAATTTAAGGTAGATGTACTTTCCCGAAACATTATCCACGTACATGTGAGCTAGTTTGATATCTCCCATGTAGCTATTTTCGTACGTGATTTTGATCTTTTCAGCGTTGGTAGAGGTGTTGGATGAAGACATTTTTTTTGAGTTCAAAATTTACAGTTTTGGTTCGCTTTTTGAACTTTCCAATGAGTACGAAAACTTGAATACCAACAACCTGCCTCCCAAAACAAGTGTTGTCTCACATCTCCTCAATTATTGTTGGGTTTGTGTGGCTCAATTTACCTATATATCCAAACCAAACATGGTAATTATTATAATGATTTTCATCATGTATGATTTATTCTTGAGGAACTGGTTCTTGTTGTTGTTGCATTTCCTCCTTATAAATTCCACTGTTCACGATAATAACATCCACAGCAGGTCTGTAAACTTGGTTGGTTCGGATAAGTTCCAATCGTTGCAAGAATTCCCATCCCTTCAACACTCGTCCGAAAACAACATGTTTTCCATCAAGATGAGGAGTTGGAGCCATTGTAATAAAGAATTGAGAGTTGTTAGTGTTTGGTCCCTTATTGGCCATTGCAACGCATCCACGGAATGTCTCAATGCTCAAATCTTCATCGTCGAAAGATGGACCATAAATTGAAGTTCCTCCAGTACCGTCTCCCTTAGTGATATCACCTCCTTGAATGACAAATCCTCGAACAATTCTGTGGAAGATTGAACCTCTGTATCCAATTTGTCTTTCATGAGTGGCAAGTGAACGGAAGTTTTCCACAGTCTTTGGTTGAGCATTGCCGAATAAGCCAATAACAATACGAACAGGAGGATTTCTCTTCGAAGGTTTACCAATTGAAATATCGAAAAAGACTTTTTCAGTGACTTCGAGTTTGACGGGATATGGAAGACCCTCCTCAGTCTTCTTGTATTTAATTTCTCCACTTAGTAAGAATACTAGGCCTGTAATAATTGTGTATAGAGTTTATGTAGAAGTAGACATAGAAAGATTCAAAATTTGATCATGAGAAATCAATTGATTTTGTGTGGAGGATGACAGGTGAGAATGATGGTGATAATCATGGATGATGGTATTGAAGAAAATCATTGATCCACATTTGAAAGCAACATGACAAAGAGTTGGCGTTGTCATGGGAGTGTTGAAAGGAAGAAGAAAAATCAATTTGACCCATGATAAAACATTGGGTTTCATTATTCGGCCATAGGATGAATGCCGTCGTGGGTATTAATTTAGGATTTGTGTAAGCCAATCATAATTCCACAAGTTCCACGTGGATTGTCATGTGTTGGTTCACCATCATCACGATGAAAATTGAGTGGACAATGACCATTAGACTCTCGCATCACTTTTTTGCACGATCTAAATAACAACGTACCCAATAGAACAATGAAAGCAACTAGAGCTCCTCCAATCAACACAGCAAATCTTTTGACGGTATCCTCGGGAGGTGTAACTTTCTCTTGGAGTCTTTCAATTCTCTTCTTCTCCTTTTCTCGTGGATCTTTTGATTTCTTTTGAATTGGCATTTTTTTTACAATCTGAAACACCACACATTTTTCAATGACGTGTTGCTTGAGAGATCACTGACTGGCTTAGAAGGAGGTGAATTCAACAACCTCAATGTTCAAATGGCCTTTTTTGTGAAATGAATGGTATTGGAGTATAAATGAAAAAACAAATAATGTATGCAATTTCCACTTTTTAATAAGTTATGTGTGATGTTAGAGTTGTGGATAGATATCTACACTACTACTTGTTGTCACTCACTCGCTCAACCAAAGCTACACCTCCAAGACCTCCGGCAGCACAGACGGAAAGAATGGCATACTTTTTACCAGTTCTTCGCAATTCGTTCATGGCTGAAGTGACCAATCTTCCACCCGTTGCACTGAAAGGATGGCCAATGGCAATTGAGGAACCATTAATATTCAACTTTTCAGGTGGAATGACTCCAATAGCCTTACTTCTTCCAAGTCTCTTTTGACAAAATTCGTCACTCGCTAGACATGCTGTGGTGGACAACACCTGAGCAGCAAAAGCTTCGTGAATTTCGAACAAATCGACTTGATCCAAAGTGATACCAGCATCATCCAAAACCTTTGGGAATGCTAAAACTGGAGCAAGCAAAAGTTGAGGATAAGGATCAACCGCAGTTGTGGCATAGGATGAAATTCTAATGTCAACAGGGTATCCCAATTCTCTGGCCTTCTCCTCACTCATGACAAGTACACAACTGGCTCCATCGGTCAGTGGCGATGAAGAGGCAGCTGTCACAGTTCCTGTCTTTCTGAAGACTGGCTTCAATTTGCTCATCTTGGACGCATCACTATCCTCACGAATGAGATTATCTCTAGCAACGACTTTACCATTCTTCAAACGAACGGGGACAATTTCTTCATCTAATTTACCTTCACGTCTTGCTTTGGCTGCATTCTTGTGTGATTGTGCTGCAAATTGGTCTTGAGTGTTTCTGGTGACCCTATTGAGCTCTGCCATCATGTCTGCGTGATATCCCATTGTCTATTTTGAAATGTTTTAAGAGAGGAATTTTGTTGGGAAGATGGAATTTGCATGACAAGTCATGAAAGTGATGATCACAGATGGAATTTCATGTAAATTGCAGTTGGGAAATAGATATTAATTAACAAACGTTCATACTGTGTGAATATTGTTCACAGTTTGCATGCACAAACTTACCTTACCAGTAGATCTCTCGGCAATAGCAGGTGGGGTTGGTATCCAACTCAATGGAGATCCGGCATCCTTAAACAATTGAATCAATCCTTTCATGGTTCCCTTATCTTTTCCATAATTGTATTTACCTAAGGCCAATGTGAGATTTCTTCAAATTGATTTGCAACAAGATCACATGAATCGGCATGAGCATTGTATAAATGGTAGAAAATAGTGACAGGTTCATTGTCATGTTGGATAAATAGTAGAAAATAGAATGGGTTGAGGCACATATCAAACACAAACACCCAACAACAATTTTCAAGTGGCACATTATGATCAACGTCAGACACACACAAAAAAAGATGCTGATCGAAACAAACCTTGGAAGGGCCATTTCTCCGTTGGACATTGAGTCCGATCCACCAGCGACAACAACTTCTGCTTGTCCATGTTCAATCAATCGAATGCCTTGCAAAATGGCTTCCAAGCCCGACAAACAAGCTCTGCTAACAGTCACTCCTGTAATTTTCTTTGGTAAGTTCAAATCAATGACAATTTCTCGAGCAACGTTGGGGGCTTTGGTGTTGAGAACAACATTTCCCCAAATGATTTCATCAATAAGATTTGGATCCAATTTAGACTTTTTCAATAGACCTTCGACGGCAGAAACTCCCAATCCAATAGAATCAACCTTTTCCAATAGTGATTGTGACAGTCCAAGATTCGTATGAACATAAAATCAACAAGTGAATGAAATTTACACAGAAGAAATGATCATGCGGTTGAATATTTTTTGAATTTTTAAATTTGAATTCAATATTTTTGTATTTAGAAAATGAAACGTTGTTGCCGAATTCTGAATAATTCTTCGTTTGTCAACCTACCTCCATCAAATCACCAAAGGCCTTCACAAATGGTGTTCTCGCACCGCACACAATCACTGCTTTTCTCTTTTTTGATGAGGAAGCCGAAGTCTCATTGAATCCGATCATTGATTCCTCCGATCCATGTCGTTCCGAGAATGATCCGAATGAGAAAGAAGAAGAATCATTTAATCCTGTTTCGAGAGAAGAAGAGGAAGGAAACAAGTGCTGTTGCAGCATGGAAAGTCTGCGACATGATGATGAAGAGGAATAATTTGACATTTTTTTTAAATTCTTCCGAAGATGAATCGTTTGTGATGTCCGCTCTTTGGGAGAGAAGATTAATTTTCCGAAACAAATTGTTCCTCTCCTCGACTTTGAACAAACTCCACAATACACAACTCTCTGAGGTCAACTGATGATTCTCTCTCGTGCATTCACACAACATGATCAAGTCATTATTATTGAATAGGGAGTCTGATACCATTTGAAAACGCGTTAATGTTTATCTTCATCATCATTTCATAGAGTCTGAGAGAAGATCACGAAAGAGAGGTTCCTGTTCGAGATTTTCCTTATTCAAAATTCCTGCCTCGAACACTTCATTCCAAGTTTTCAAAGTAAAGAGTTGAATATACTTGGGATCAAAAGAGTCCAACTTGAAGGAATAAGCATCCATTTTCGTTCTTGTACAAGTCATGGTTTGGTTTGTTTTCTCCACATGCACTGTTTTCTCATATTTCGATTTCTTGATAAACGTTCCATATTTGAAACCCATGGGATACGAATTCCAGTCGATTTGTTTTTCAGTTTTCAATTTTTCAACGACTTGGCTGGCACGAAGTCCATTCATTTCCTTAGTGCTGAAAAAACATGCACCCAAATTGGTTCGTGAATTTCTCTCACAATCATAATTCGATCTCCACCTGATGTTATTCACAAATTCTTGTGTTGAATCAACTTGAAATAATCGAGCATCGAAATAGGCCTTTCCTCTTTTCAACATGTTTTGAACAGCCTCTGGAGAATAGGATTTTCGAGTTTGATTGGCAGGACATTGTTTCTCGACATATTCTTCCTTAGTTGGCCACAATGGAACTAATTGTTGACAATTGAAATTAAATCGGACTGAGCAATAACTTGCCAAAAGAGTTGACCATTTGGTGACCTTTCCTCCAAATGCAATGGATTTGGGTCGTGGTTGTTGCTGTTGTGGTTGAATTCTATTCTTCAACAACATCTCGGAAGACTTTTCATATTGGTTGTCCTTGTCGTCTTGAATAAGATCATGATCCGCGGATCCAGCAACAACACCTACTACTTGAACTTCATTAGGAAAGGTCAGTGTAATCTCATCCGATTGTGTGTAGGCACAGGTGGCCTCTGTAAATTCTTCCAAGAGATCTGCAGCAGTTTGAACCATCACGGCATGCAATAAATCATCATAGGGTTTTCGGAAGGGATAAGAAAAGGAACTGAATTTGTGTCCATCCAATCGGGCCATGAAAGGCTTATCGAGTGAAAGAAATGGGCCTTGATTCTTTTCATAGTTTTTCATACGTTCTCCAATTTCGATAAAGACTCCTTTGTGGCCTTTTCGTTGGTCATTCGGAGGAATGGATGATGTTTCGTCTTGTTCTTCATCGAACGTAGAGGTAGTGGTGGTGGTGGTCAAAGGTGTTGTTGACTCCGAGTGGCCAGCAGCAACAACAAGGGATGACGAAAGATGGTCCTCTTCATGAACTGTTTTTTCAATGTTAGCGAGCATGATGATATACAGATTGTTGTTGTGCCAATTGAATTTGTTTTTTTTTGAATTTGGAAAATAGAATTTGAGAACACCAGCAAATGCAATTTGGAAGAACGTGGGAGAATAGTTCATTGAACTTCATTCGGGTCAGTACGAGCCATTAGTCTTGAGGGGATGGATCAGAAGATTCTTGTAAAGAACAGAGGCACCAGTGCGAATGCAATTCACACACTATCTTTGAGAACAATAAGAAATAACATGAACTGGCAAAACAGTGGAACACCTTAAATAGGCCTCCATCTATTCTTACTTTTTAAGCAAAATGACATTTTAATCAATAAAAACATTGGCTTCATTCAAAAACAAAAAACACGCTAAAAAATCTCAACACATCACTATTGAGAGGCATTGAAACACAGCAACAACTCTCGATCAAACAATAGCTTTTCTTCTTGATCATAATTGCCAAAAACATAATGCAACCAAGGCTCTACAGTGTACGAATTGCCAATGAATTACCTTCAGTGTGTGCTGTGACTGTCTTTTTCAAGGCAGCTGAAGGAGAAGATCGAGACGAAGAGACTCACACTCTACCAGTCAATGTGGCACACGTCTTTGAAGAGAGAGAGAATTTGTTTGTCGATAACATCGAGGTTGTGACAGAAGACAATACCTATACCTTCTCGGGGCCATACTTGAATCACGATTCACAACGAGAGACATTCTTTATTGTTCAATCCAAGCATGGTGTTGAATTGAGGATTCGAGACAAGGAACTGAAAACGAAATACGACTACTCTGATGTGATTGGTCCATCATCGTCCGATAATAAGGATGTCATTAGTTATTGAGCAGCAAGTGATTGAATCAATTTCTTATTGTTTGAAATGTGCACAACATGTTCTCTCTGTATATATTATTTAAGACCATTTCTTGTTAGTGACGATATGGTCTTTAGAGTCTCTTATTTTTTCTTTTTGGAAGGTTTCTTTTTCAGCAATGATTCTTTCTTAGTGGACGAAGGGTTTGAAGATGATGAGGTTGTAGAATTGCCAGCTTCAACCTTATTAATAGGAACAGCAACTTTGGAATCATCCATCAGAGTCTTGTTACTCTCAACTGAGTGACCGCCTTGTTGTTGCATCAGTATTTGTCTTCCCTCCTTCTCTTTCATGGTTTCTCTCTCCGCTTGCTTTGCCAATTCTTCATAATCCTTATTGTACTTTTCAAGAAGATTTTGAAAATGTTTTTTTCGTTGATCCTCAGAAAGTCCTTTCAGAGAGGCAATTTGTTGGAATGCATGATTCACTTCCAAATAAAGTTTGCTCTCATTTCCGAAAGCCTTCTCAATTCTAGCCATACTTTTCTCCAGCAATGACAATGCTTGATCAATATTTCCAGCAATGTTGTAAAGCTTGGCAAGTTCAGTACTTGCAAATTCTCTCTCAAACACATACTCATCAGGTGCATATTGTTCGTCAAATAATTGAATGGCATTTGTCAAATGTTCAATTCCCTTCTCGAGGGATCCGAGTAAATGGTATTGCCGACTCGATGAATATAATTCATGAATAATTTCAGGTTGAGGATATTCATTGGCAATAGTGGTTTGTCTGAACGCTCTCGAATCGTCAGCCATAAACTCCTCTAAAAATACTGAACCTTTGGTGAGTGGAATTTTGAGTAAGTATTTTGCAGGGCTCATACTGATCACCTCACGTATCAACTCAAATAAATTATCTGCTTTTTCTCTCCACTTGTTCACTTTCTCTTGATTCTCCTCGGAAAGAGTCACCTCAAAATTTGTAGAATCTTGTTGAATTCCTGCTTCTCCCATTTTAGTCATCATTTCTTCCAATGCAAGTTCGTGGATACAGGAACATAATGAATCATAATTGCAAGCAAGACTGTAAGCAGCTAGAATCCATGTTGGATTATCTCGTCCATAATGTTTGTCAATAATATTCATTCCTGAAGAGATGAATTTTTCAGCTTCCAAATACGGTAGTATTTCGCTGGCAGGAAGATCTTTTGCTCCATTCGAATAGATTTCTCCAATCGTCACAAGAGCTTTTCCAAGCTTTACTTCATACTCTGGATTCTTCTTGGTGATACTTTCGGGAATGGCGTTCAACAAGACGCAAGCTCTTTTTGCATACGAGAGACTGGTCTCAAATTTTTCAGCGAGAGAGCCCATAGCAGCGAGTGAAACCAACGTTTCACCCACCTGAATCGAGTTCTTTCCGTAAAATGTCATGGCTTTTGTGAGTGTTCGTTCGTATTGATGAAATGCGAGCTGTACACGTTTTTCAGACTCATATAAAAATCCTTGCCTTTTCAAGAGGTCAAAAATTAAATCTTGCTGTTTTCTAATTTCTGATTTTACATCTGTCTTGTAGCTTACAAGAGACAAGCTGGACAATTTGTTTTCTTCTCGTTTCAATTTATCAATGATAAATTTGTCAGCCATTTCATATCGCTTCCAATCAGGAAATTGTTTGGCCAAACTTGTAAGAGTAATCTTAGATGAAAGCTCTGTATTAGAAATATAGATTCTGAGTATTGAATTAAGCTCTTCTTGAGAGAAAACTCCATAAAAGTAATCGGTGAAGAACGTGACATAATTTAAAGCATAGGCACTGTCCTTCACAAGAGTCAAATGTTCCTCATTTGCTTCAGCAAGATTGTAAGCCACAAAGTACATGCTGTGCAGTTCTTTTAGAGCTTCCAAATACCTGTGCGAATAGAAATGTATTAATGCCAACTTCTCTCTCATTCGATAAACATTGATATGATTTTCTCCGAGAAGATCCACCGAAATTTGAATGCAATATTCTGTTTCTGTTGTTGCTTGTTCCAAGTCTTTGGCATCCATCAATAGATCTATCATTTTGTGATAATACTTTAGAATTGTGTCCAAACCTCGTCGAGCTGTAAATCCTTCTTTAATTTTGGCTCTTATCAGTTCAATTTCATATTTCGGATCCAAACGCTCCAAAGTAGTTGGCTGAGAAGATATGAACTTGTCGATAAGATTCTTTAATGTGTTATCCAGTGGTAAATTTGGTGGAGAGGAAGTTGTGGATTCGTGCGTTGATGTTGCCATGGTGGTAGCGCTAGAACTGTCGGGAGATGATGCTTCAGCCTTTTTATCGAGGCTCTTGTTTTTTGTTGTCGTGCTCTTGTTTCCCATTTCCGATCGATGAAAAGACATTATTTGAGGAGAATTCATCCAACTGAGGACGATATTTCCTCTGGAATGATGATTCAAAACATTTTTGCACGATGACGATGGATATCGCATCAAGGAAATTAAATTTTTAAACACAGGCATCAAATGAGAGGTACTTTTGAACATTTTTTTTTCATGTTGAAAATTTTGATTGAATTATCTTATGAATCTTTTGGAGATTGATAAAGAATAATTATTGAACTCAATGTGATGAGTATTCTTTTTAGAATGTGTTGTTGCCGTAACAATGTCATATCATAGCATGTGTGGGCATCAATGAGAGGTACTCTTGGGCATTTAATATGTTGAATGAGACAATTTGATCTAGAATTATATCAACAGCTGATATCAACATTTTCTAAATTAAATTAAATCCCTCTCTGATTGTTAATGAATTGATCCATATAAGAGTAGACCTTTTGAAGATTATTGATAAAGAATAATTGACCACAATCTCCAAATGTGATAAGTGTACTCTTTGGAATGTGTTGAAAAGTATAAACAACTTGATCTTCAAAATCCACCGACTTGTCATAGATCGATGCTTGCATTAAGGTTGGAATTGATATGGACTCTAATTCAGATTTTCTATCCTTAGAAAATTGCAAAAAGAGAAGCAAATCAAGAATATATCCTCGCATTTTGCTATCCATTGTGCCAACATTAAATTGTAAACCTTCAATCAATTGATGAGTCAAAAAGCTTTGTTTCACTCGATCGAAACATTTCCTATCGAGCATTTCAGGTTCAGTATTAATGACAGACATTCGAAAAGCCACATCGGGAAACCATCTCATTAATCGTACCACAGAATAACTCATAAACTTGACAATGAGAGGATTATTTCGAAGCATTAGAAATGGATCCATCACATAGGCTGATAGCGCAAGAGTCGTGTTGAATGGCTTTGGTTCTTCCACTTCCATGAAAAGAATTTTTCGCTCCAATTCAATTTGTTCGTTTGAATTTTCTTGTTGTGTTGGCATGAAAGAAGAGGCATGTTCATTAGGGTCATAAGTGACCTTTCTGTTGCTGTCCATCGTATTAAGGTCTTTGGATCCAAAGAGTAATGACTTTCTGAAAATAAATTCTTGCAAGTGTTGTTCTTGTCGATCATTCACGAGAGTGATGAGAGATGAAATTTTCTTGGGTGACTCTCCACGACCAATAATGAAGTTTCTTCCAACAGGTGCCAATAATTGCAATGTTTCCACTCGAGTGGGAAATTGAGAGGCCATGTGTAGTCCAAATGGACCTCCTCCTGCCACAGCAATAATATTGAATTTTGTATTGCTTCCAAAGATATGATTCATTAAACCCATCATCATGATTGCATTCTTCTCCAAGATGAAATGTAATTTTGGATATTTGATGTTGGAAGATGCTGTATCTGAGGTATTCGTGCTGCTGTTAACATTATTATTGTAACTGTTTGCAAAGTTTGGTGTTGAATTTAAATTGGAATCGAGCTCAACAATTTTCAATAAATGTCGTATTTGAGTCATGTCAAAAGCATTTGGATTCACCACAAATTTTTCTTCTTTTGGGAAATAAAAATCGATGGATTCCTTCTCTGATCTGGTCCACTGTGTGAAATTTGTTTTTCCGTAGCCAATTCTTGAAGGAGACACAACAACCCAATTCGATGGACATCCTTTCATAAAATTAGCTCCTTCTTCGAAACCTCCAGGGGTTCCATGTCTTTTTTAGAAGTTGGGATTCAAATCCAACATCATTTCATGAAGAATATTCGGTTGAAATTCAATTAAACAAAAATTAATCCAAAAGTAATGGAGGAGTTACTTTTCAAACTTTGATCAATCCACACACACATACAAGTAAAGAAATATTTTCCCATTATTCTTTTTAACATTTTCAATATTTTCAAAATTGTGAATATGATATTGAATTGGACCATTCGGAGACTGATAAATTTTCGATTCATTTTGTTCCTTCATATAAAAATACCCTGATTTTGGTGACATGAGGTTGGTGTAATCGTAGAGAACAATTCCACTCAAAGCAACACACACCACAAAAAAGTAGAAGGAATAAATTTCCGAACAACACATTTTTTTTGTGAGTGGTTGCACATTTTAAAGAAATACATTAACAACATTGCTCAAGTATATATATACCAATTTTACTCGTTCATTGTAGTGCATAATTACTGTCGCAACATCATTCAACAATAACAACAACAGCTGAACCACAAGGTCACAAGACTAAAATAATAGTGCTGTTGAGTATGCACAAGGTATTATGGTCAAAATTATATTTTCACTAGACACTTTGTGAAAAGAGTACTCTTTTTCGCGTGGTCTTTTGTGGATTTGTGAAGACTGTAGCATAGATTTAGCTTTTCAAGCTTGGGCATTGTCTCCAAACAGTGAATGCCCTCCATTCCAATCTTGTTAAATCTCAAGTTTAACCATTTAAGAGAATTTAAATTGCCAGAACTCAATAAACTCTTAATACCATCGTCATTGATGCCACAGTCATACAGCTTGAGTTTCAGCAATGACAAAGAAAAGGGCATGTTGGCTAAATGCATACATCCATCATTTCCAATAGGATTCATACTCAAGTCTAGATAGGTCAGATTTGAAAACAATGCATCCTTCAGTGACTGAGCTCCTTTGCATGAGATCTTATTACTTCTCAATCGAAGAATTTTAATTGTCTCGAACGCTTTGTAATGGCGAGCCAAGGTTTGTATACCAGTATCGCCAATGTGATTGCGCGATAAATCTAATTTTTCTAAGAATTTGAATGAAAGATTGAAAGAGCAAATGTCTCGTAGACTGTTCAAAGTCAAATCTCTCACAACAAACTCAGTCACAGACTCCAATCTTCCGCTTTCACAGCAATGGACAAAGGATTCATTATTATTTTTCGAGAGAACTATATTGAGCTTGAATTGTGATCTCTTTGCCAAGTCATGCCACTCCCGACATACCAAACTTGCAATCTGAAACAACCACTTGAAGTCAAAAAATCGGAGTAGGACATTGGTCAGTACATCTTGCGAGATTTCGTTCGTTCGTTCGGTAGTGGCCGATGTGGATTCTACGGGAGCAACAGATAAATATTCAAAATTAGAATCATCTTGTTTTACTTTCTTTCTTTGTGTTTTTAATTTCTCAACACATTCACTCATTTCCGCAAGCTGACAAGAAGATCCACCGTTAGAAAGTTTCTTTCTTTTGGGCATAATAATTGGACGTATTTTTTTGTAAAGAAGTGGCTTCGTCACATTGTATTATAGTCCTATTACATCTCCAATGAGAAAACCAGTGTTATATCTACGTTGAGCGAAGGAATTCCTAACAACACAGCTGCCAAAGTATTTCAAGTTATCGGCTCTTGATCCGTGGGATCAGGCTCACGATTCTTCCGGGCCCTCAGTACATCCTGCTACCAAAGCAAGAAAACACGTCTCCAAAATGCTTGATTTAAAATCCGTCCCAAATTCTACAATAGACAGAGTGGTATCACAACCAGCCACAAAGAATTCATTGTCGACTTTTGGAGAAGGCACTGTCGTTCATCTCCTGTCCGTACCATCTAAAAGAAAAGGGGAAGAGGTTTAGGCGTACCAAATAACAAATCAACAATTAGAGGCACCTATCGATATCTTTTATCTCAACCTTTCATGGAATTCATTGGTTGTTACAACAGCCTTATCCAACCAGAAGCAAAGCCAATAACAACCACAACCGTATCTTCTCCCAAACTATCCTGTTGTTTCTTCCATTCTTCCTTCTGTTGACCAATTAGATTTCCATGATGAAGATACTTTTTCTCCCTTAAAATAATTGCATCATTTTCATACTTATTCCAAACAATGAACACAAGTATAATGTTTTGGATTGTGAGTGTGTTCGAAATGTATGCCTCATTCACTCGGCATGACACGTGAAAACTCTCTCGGTTTGTGCTTTCAAGTTTGGTTTCTTTTTCTTTCGTTAAATCCATGTTGGAAAACCCAATTCGTTCTCGCCTCAGTACTAATTCATATAAACGTAGGAGGGCGCATTCTCGTATTGGTTATGATCTCGTGTACCTTAATTTTTTGTTCCATCTGCGTCATGAGTGTTGAGTTTTGAGAAATATGAGTGGCATCCAATTCCTTCAATACATCCGAGTAAAAATTCAATTCTGCGAGAAAGTACAATAATTTCAATCGAAGTCTCTGTTTTTGATATTTCAATGCAAATAAATATAAATTCGATGCATCAATTCCGAGCAATGATTTTGAACTTGGTTCTGATTCGCGATACAAATTACTTTCAACCATCAAATGTAAACCCAAGTAATGATATTGAAGTAGGTATCTGAAAATTGTTTGTTTCTCCTTTTCAAAGTGATGTTTTTCTCTCAAGTGCTTTCGAACATATTTAAAACTGTGATCGGAAATATTCATGTTTTGAACGGAATCTGATGATGATGCTGAAGGATCTCGATTGGATTTCAACATTTTTTATGGATCCTTTTATTCCAACCCTTCCTTTATAACTATATAAACTGCTTCATCAATGAACGTTAATTAATTGATGAATGATTTATTAAAACAAAAATGACAAACACATCCTCTACGGCTTCTAACCCTTCTTCTTCGTCCTCTCTATTTGATGCCAATTCCGGCTGGATCCACAATAATAACCTTGTTTTGGAAGGGATCAAGAAATGGTTTTATGAAATACCTTTTGCAACGAGATGTATTTTTGTACTATTGACTGTTGTATTTTTCTGCGTGCAATGTGTTTTTTAATTATCCCAAAATTGGGGATGTTTGTTTGAGTTATTTAGACATCACAGAGAATCACTACTCGGACATGTATCGGATTGTTAGTTATGCTCTTTTTCATGCCAATTTGATGCATTATTTATTCAATATTATGGCTCAAATTTCTTTGAGTAGTTTATTAGAGACTCATCGTTTCAAAAGCTCCATCAAACTTTTTGCATGTACCTTCATTTCAATTGTATTTGCATCGATATCACAACTCGTGATTGCATGGTTAATGGACACAATTTCATTGTATGTCTTTGGTTACAATGTTAGAAGTGGTAATTTTGTAAAGGGGAGTAACAAGAGTGCCTCTTCCATGTTTAACATGTTGAACGATATTCCAATTATCAACGAGTGTTCAATTGGATTTTCCGGTGTGATTTTTACCTATCTCACCATTCTGTCTATTGATGGATTCCAATCTACCCAGTCACTTTTTGGACTTGTAACTGTTCCGTCCAAGTATTATCCATGGATACTCTTATTTGTGACAGAATTGCTTATTTCGAATGCCTCGTTTGTTGGTCACCTTTGTGGAATTGTGATGGGATATTTTTATGTATTTGTTTTTGAACGAAATGTATTAATTTCGCACTACTATGAAAAACTACTTTGCCAAACTGAAAACATGATCATTCCTAATGTAGTGATAAATTTGGAGTGTTATTGGCCAAATTCTCAACAGAAAACGAATTTGGCACCTTCGAATAATAGTGGATCATTTCTTGCTCACATGATGGAAACGGGACAAGTGTCTTCATCCTATGCAAGATCAGGTAATGGTGATTATTGGGAACAATTGTCATCAAGCGGAAGGACACTTGGCTGCCATTAATTGGTATATGTTACATTTTGAAAGAAGTCTTGAGATACATTTTGGTGATCCATACCTCTTAGGTCTAGACAAAATGATGATATTGTCTGAGAAAAGCGACGTACTGGCTGAATGTCTGCAGGTTTGGTGGTCACCTTTGTGGAATTGTGATGGGACCTTCAATTTATTTTCCATGAATTGTGTTTGAATAATAATGGATTGCCAAACAAGTTGAGATATCCAAAATATATCTCGTATTTTCTCATGCGCTTGTGCCCAAAACAAGGTTGGTGTGAACAAGGATTTAATGAATATTCCAATCACTCATACACGATCAGTAATTTATTATATCAATATAATTAACACGAGGTTGAAAATTTTGAGAATCCCAATTTTGGACTTAAATTGTTGAAAAAAAATGTCGGAACACACACAAACAGCACTTTCCTCTTCTCAAACTTCATCAAACCCCCCTATTGAAAAATCCCTCGATTATCACCTTCTTCTACACTTTTATAGTCAATATGATAGTCTCGGACACTTTTTATATGATACTCGTGAACGAAGATATGCAACCTGTAAAGAGTATTTGAATCGTTTGAGTGAGGTTGCCGAGATGAGTAATTACGAAGTTAGTCCAACGATGGTTCGGAGAGCTCTCTATATTTACTACTCGTGTTTGACTGGACATTTGTTGGATCCTGTAAGAGCATCAAAATTAGCTTCGTGTGTGGAGTCATTACAAACAAAGGATCATATATTTAAATGTAAAGATGAAATTTTGCAGAATAAGGTTTTTGTGGAGACAAAAGTTTTGGATCAAGTTTGGCAAATTGAAAATAGGAAATACAATTTAGAGGAAAAGATACCAAAATGTGATGCCAAGTGTTCTGAATGGTTTTATAAACTGGGGCTGTGCAATAGATTTTTGAAAGCAAGACGTATAAAGAAGGAGACAGATGTTGCCTTCAGTGAGGCAGCAGAAACAGAAATTGAAGAAGGAAAGAAGTATTATGCTGTCTGTGATGAATTTAAAAAGAAGGCTGTAAATTGTGTTGGAGAAGTATTTTGCGAGAATCAAGAAAAGGAATTGAAAGAATGTTTATCGAAAAGTTCGTTTCTGCATGGCTGTGAAGATGAAGAGAAGGCTCTCAAAAAGTGTTCCCATTACAATTATGCCCTCATGAATCACCTCAAATTCAGAAAGAATCACATCAAGAAGCCAAATAGTTCAGAGGGCACTTCTGCAGGAACATCTGCGAACGACCAAGATGACGAGCCAAATGTGATCGATGAATGAACGCATGAATGCGATCTTTTCAAACTCTTCTCGAATTGTGACAGCAATATGCATATTGGTTCCTTAATCGTCCGGTAATTTGGAATTCTACGGTGCGTAATGGGATGAAACTTTGCACTTATAGTTTTACAGTTTTATTTTAGGTTGAGTAAAATTAATTTGAATTTTGGAATTTCGAAATACTGCGCTTACTGTATTATTATGTAAATGTTATTCAAAAAGGATTAAATTCTAGACTCATAGACACCTGCTTGGGTAATGTATCTGACCCACTTGACAGCTTGATAGTTGGACTTCTCAAAGACCTTCAAGAATCTAACATGCAAACCACTAGCAGTAAACATTGGTACTTGGAAGTTGAGACCGATTGGAGGTCTGGACCACTTCTTATTTTCTGCAGTTTGTGCAATCAAGTCGACCTCAGCAGAGAGTGTCAATTCAGTGTCACCAGGGAAACGTTTGACTGTCCAAATAATTGCTCCCTTTTCTGCCTTATATTTAGCTTTACCTTGGGCAACATGAATCTTACATTTGGCAGTATTGGATGGACATGGAATCTTGACAATAACATTCTTACCAAACAAACGAGAATGGAAGACTGACTTGATGGTAACCTTAACTTCCAATTTAGTCTTGCTCACTTCACGAACAATTGGTGAAAGCAAACGGAATGGAGGAACAATACCATCAGTGATACGATATCTCATCAATTCAAATTCACCATCAGGTGGAACAAAGCTAATTGTACGGTCGCTGTCAAATTTACCCAATTTGACACATTGGTGAAAAGTAATGTCATCGATATCAATTTCCTTATATCTCTTCTTGTTAGCAGTTCTCTTTTCTTGTTGCAACATGAGTTTGTCGTTCAAACCAAATTTACATTCTGGCATTCCACTCAACAAACACTTCATTACAATACGACCAGTAACGTCACTGCTCAAAACAGTACCCTTGTTGCTCAAAAGCATGTTCACATCCTCAATGACGTCCAAAAACACCTCATTCTTACGGTAGACAATACCTGCCTTTCTCCAAGATACGGCTCCTGTGACTTCCTTTAATCTAGCTTCAAGTTCATGTGGCTTGATATCTTTCATACCACCTTGTACGATAATGGCCTTTAACACTTGAGGTTCCAGATTTTGTGGATAACCAAAGTCAAGAATTTCGTCCAATAATTCATAGACAAGTGAAAAGTTTTCCTTCAATGCGTCTTCTGTGAATTTTCCATCAAAGTATGATTGGAAAATGAAAATCAATTTATACAAAAATTCAAAGACTAGAGCAGCACTGGGGTTTTGTTTTGTTACGGCTAGCAAGTACATCTCTTCATGACGAATGAACATGAATGTAACGCTTCCAATAGTTTTGACTGGACATCTGTCGGCGATCTTGGCAGCTAAAATTTGAGATCTGAAAGCGCTCGAAATGGAACGACTAGATGTTGTGAATTGATGATGAGAATGATGAATCAGTTGTTGTTGGGAGAGAGTGTATAAGTATAGTAGTTTGAAGGACGTAGTTGTGGTATAGTGTAAATCATGATTCCAATCATATATATTTGTTGTTATGAAGTTGTTGTCGTTTCAGTCGTCGTATGATGATGATGATGAGCATATGGATAACGGCCGAGTCATCATCATCATTGCACGGAACAAGAGTTATTGTTTGGATATCCAAAAAGTGATGATGAAAATAAAATCGTCGTTGATAAGTGTGGCCGATACGATGATGATGAGCTCCAAGATGGATTCCTTTTACCGTAAGTACTTACGTTTCGACATCGTCTCTGTAGGCACGTGAGATCAGGGTATGTCCTCTTGAATTGAGAATGAGCACGGCGCTAATCATTTTTTTTTAATTTTTTTCTGTTCCTCCACAAAAAAGTCTCTTTAACCTTACCCGTCGTCAATACACAACGTCATCGATTGAATTGAATGCCAAATATTTCAATCGATGACAATTTAACCCAAGCGATCCAACATGGAGAAATTCATTGTTTTGCCACATCGACAGAATATTACCTTGAGGTAGTACAATTTGCACGAATTTATTAAATGATACGTTTTGAATTGATCGTGAAGGGAGTTATGGACAGTTGGAAGAACTCAAAAGTGTACAGAAGAAGAAAGGGTGAAATTTGATGAGAAGAATGTGTCAGGAAAGTAGTTGGATGCATCCGTTCCACCTCTTCATGAAGGACAACGCTATTTGCTTTACAAAAGCAATCAGAATTGCATTTCATTCGTGAAGAAGTGACAATGGGATGCAATGGATGGTGAAGGTGCGATCAATGGATCCATTCATTAAACGGGATATTATTAGGGAGTATGGATAGATGCTTCAAATAATCGACATGATCATCATCGTATCATCATCATCATTGCGAGAGGCATTAAGACGTATAGCTGAAATCAGTTTCCTTGAACTGTTTGGAAATGTAGTCATGATTGAATTTTGTAAAGAGTTCATACTGTTCTGAGAGTTTTTCTTGAATTTTCTCATTCATTTCTTGATAATTCTGTTCATCTCTTACTTTCAATAATTGTTCAACTTCCTCCATTGTGAACGTATTTTGATTAAAATCAATGTTGGACTTTTGATCAGGAAAATGTTGTAGTAAAAACTTGCGTTTTTCTTTCAAATAGGAAGAAATGAATTCTTGAACAGAAGGCTTTTTAGATTCCTCTCTGGTAACATAGGTATGCGTTGTTTTGGGTTGAGTTTTTGAATACAATAATCGTTCTCGTCGTTTTTTCATTGATTGCCTAATCGTGTCCGCATCCAGTGAAGACGACGACGACGCTGATGAAGAAGACTCTCCTTGTTGTTGACTTGTAAAATCTAGTGTTGCGGATGATCCAAAACAAAATGGTTTGGCACCGCAACTCATGTTGTAGTCATGAAGTAAACGGCGGCTATTCTCATCCTCACTAACGAAGGTGTCATACGAACGTTTGAGAGTGGTCGTTGCGGACATACGTATATATAGGCTTGCAGTGATGATTTAAAATTTTTTTTTTGAATCGAGCAATTTTTGCAACGGCGCTTCAAACATCAATCCCGAGCCACAAAAAAATTTTGCAAATCCAGTTATTTTTGGACTTTTCTTGGTTGATGGAATTCTCTCTGCCAAATCCAACACTGAACGCGCTCGAACACAGCAGATTCAAACAACTTGTGTGGAGATGATGAATCAGGACCATTTACAAATCGATCGTAATTGCCATACGGAAGCTCTAATTGATCTTTCAATCAATAACAACCAATCCAACTACAGACCGTTGGAAACAACGGAAAATTGTGCTGAAAACTCTTTTCGAGAGTGTTTTGATCAACATCAACCATTGAAGAAGAATTCTTCTGTTGCTGAAATTGTCTCACACAGTGTCCATCCATTGGTTTCAGAGTGGAGAAGTGGATGGACCCTCTTGACAAAGCACAAGCTCAATTCAAACACTCATGATTCGGACATTAGAAATGAAACACTACTCACGGAAGAGTTTATGAAATTCAGAAAAACGAAAGGAACCTCTCTCTCCGAAAATGTATTTAAATTACTCCACTATTTTAATGTGGAACGATGTGTGGAATTGCAAAATAATTATTTATTGCCTTCAAGGCGAGAAGGTCAAAATGGTGATGATGGCTTTGATCGTCCAAACTTCATGTTCGATTTATCCACTGATTATTTAAATTGGAATTGTGCAATTTTCAAATTGACGCACTCGGTGAAAGATCTTGCGGATGGAAGCAATGAGTTCTTTAGTGTGGCCACTGAATATATTCAACCCATTGCAATGATTGTTCATGAAAATTGCTTTGAATTGTCACAAGAAATGCTAAACAGTGAGTGTGAAAAGAATCGAGAAATTCGAGAAGGCATTCAACAATTTAGAGAACAACAACAACAACGAAAAAACCAATCCGAGCTCAACACCCAACAACAAGATGTATCATCCAATCATCATCATCATGCTCAGCAACGACATGTTCAACAGCAAAATGACAGAATTGGATTAAAAAGATGGAACCAGTCAACATTCTTTGAACGATTTAAGGATGATTATGCCAATTTCATGTGTGTTGGATATCCAAAAGAGATTGTTTACAAAATTCTTAAAATGGTGCTCGAAGAACACTTTTCTGGAAATTCATTGGTTGCTTTTTCATTACTCATTCCTCTTCTGGAGAGAGGTCTGCAAGACTCTATATACATTGACTTGCTTTACAAAAACGACAAGCAAAGAATTCAACAATTTGAGGACTATCAAAAATTACCAAAATTTAGTGAATTATTGGTCATGCAAGAATTGAAGGACATTTATGGGGAGAATGTCGCACTCTTGCTGAGATGCTTGGTTGGACCTTTGAATTCGATCAATTTGAGAAATGTTGCTCTCCATGGATTCATTTCTCCTCGAGAATTTCAAGATTGTTATTTGAGTTTAATTTTACTAATTATTCCTTCTATTGCAGAAAAATCCTTGAAACATGTGGAGAATACGATTGGATTGAATCAAGCCTCTCTGAAACGACCAATCATTGATTTGAAACATTGCAAACCTTTACAAAATATTTTCCAAGTGAACCAGATACAGGAAGACAGTTTTATTACCACCGCCTACCAAGTGGATCGTGAAGAGCTTTTTCAATTATTGGAAAATTCATTATTTGTAGTGGATGAATGGATACCTCTTTGGAAAAAGGCATTCAGGGAGTATTTTGAAAATCAGAATTATTACAAAACAATTTCCATCCTTTTTCCATTATTTGAACACTCGATAAGACGAATTTTCGTGTGTGTGAACAAGTGTGAAAATAGATTATTAACTGCTGAAAAGAATAGTTTGTATACCACTCTCGATATTCTGTTTACCACAAAACCCATCCCTTCCTATGGAATTGAGAGGAATGCAATTTTTGACATTATTGACAACAAATTATTGAATCCAATTTTCGATTTACTGATATGGGTGGAAAGTCCACGAATTCGAGATTTGATCTCACACGGAAATATTCATATCGATACCATTCCTCATGCATTGATGGATGAAATTATCAAACTCATGCTCGCTCTTTTAGCAGCCTTCGATCTAAGACAATGTAACGATAACTATTATTCCACACATCTTCCAGAATTTATTCAACGTGCTGTAAATTATTTTGATCATGTATACGACTCTCCTTTTCATTGCAAGAATATTTTGGATCGTCAATTGAGACGAACCTTTGAATGTTTAGAACAAATGGAAGAAATTAAATCATTGATTAAGGATCAAGTGATTCATTCACCATTATTTGAACAAGTTCGACAGGAGATGACTTGCAACGATCCACAACATGAACTCTTATTGCATTTGATAGAAGTGATGAATATTGAACTTGATGCTCTTATTACCTTTACACAAGAGTATTACAATCTTTCTCATATTGACGAAAATGGTTGTATGGGATACATGAGAAAACAATACCTCATTCCAACCACTCATCCAGTCACTCTCTCCGATAAAGAGGTGAAAAAGATCAATCAATTACGAAGTATTGCCATTTCACTCGAAGGAATGATTCAAAAAAGTATGGACATGATGAATGAACTCCTTCCACTCGTTTCCAATTCCAACAGTAGCAATATGGACAGTCATACGAAAAAGAAACCTCTCAAATCCAAAGAAAAAACATCTCTCAGTTTAATACCATCTGCTTTTGAGACATTTCAACGATATGCCAAATTATGTTCATTCCTCATCTATGCTCAGTATGATCACACCACAGACACACAAGATACTTCCGTGTCGAGAGTTTTGGAACGTGTGGTGGGAGGAACGGCCACTGCAATCAAATCTGGGAAGGTCGTTCGTGGTGTAGAGCTTATTTCATGTCTTTTGGGCTCACAGGTGGAACAGTTGTTGCAACATTCATCCTCTTCCTCTAGTATGGGTGGATATCGACTGACAGGAACTTCGAAAGGAGAATTTGAACGGTATCAAGTCGATCTTCGAGAGTTGGTCAAATTGGTGCATTAAGCATTCAAGAACTCTTAAGATGAATGGCAATTCGTTGGGTTGTATATGTGTTTGAAAATTGTATCTCTTTGGTGGCAAGATCAACGAACAACAAACCACTCTGTTCGAGTGAACAAGTCGAACAAAGTCTACCAATTTCCGAGTTCACCTTTCGTTTAAAAATGAGAGGTCCCATCTTGACCACTGTCAGACATCAACAAAAAAAAACAAAGATCATTATTACAGTCAATCAGTGTAACTGTTTCATAAAATCATCCCAGAAAATGCCAAACAATAACAACAACGGAGGTTCCTCAATGGAAGAATTCAAACTTGCAGTGGTTGGAGGTGGAGGTGTCGGCAAGAGTGCTCTCACTGTGCAATACATTCAAAACATTTATATTGAGGAATACGATCCCACCATTGAAGATTCCTATCGAAAACATGCCAAAGTTGATGACAAGGCTTGTTTCTTGGAAATTCTCGATACAGCTGGTCAGGAGGAGTACAAAGCTTTGAGAGATTCATACATGAGAACAGCGGATGGTTTCTTAATGGTTTATTCAGTCATTGATCGAAAGACCTTTGAAGAAATTAATGAATTCTATGAACAAATCTTACGAGTGAAGGATTGTGATAAAGTTCCAATGGTTCTCGTGGGAAATAAGTGTGATTTGGAATCGGAACGAGTGATTCGTTTGGATGAAGCCAAACTCTATGCCAAACAATTAGGAATTCCATTAATGGAAACCAGTGCCAAGCAACGACTGAATGTGGATGATGCATTCACGGCATTGGTGAGAGAAGTGAGAAAGGCTAAGAAACCATTTGGTGGTGATGAGGAAGAAAAGAAGAAGAAAAAGAAGATTTGTACCATCATGTAAGCCTGTCTTCATGGAGTTGAGAGCAAAAGAGATTCTTTTGAAGAGAAATCCTTTGAATTTAATCCAGTGAAGACCTTCTTATTAATAATCAACAATTTTGTGCAAGATATCTATATCATAACATACAGTATTAAACAAGAGTATGCTTCAAACACTATGAAATTTCTGAAAGAATACTTTCCACCTTTCGGACATGTTGGAGAAGCAAACTCCGAAGTCACTCCTATTATATTACAACATTAAAAAATGTTTCGCTTGTGCTCTCTCATCATGATGACAGTCTCAACAATCGTCACGATGACCACTGCCATGATGTTCTCTTCTTTATCATTCGGTGCTCCGAATATACCGTCAATTTATTGGAGAACATCTCCTCTTTCACCACCATTCTCTTCTCGGAATGATGTTTTGAGTTTAGTGCCACCTGGATTTCAACAACAACGACAACAACGAATTTTAGTGGAATTTGATTTATTTGTGGATTTATTATGTAGTGATAGCGCAGCTTGGTGGACGAGTGTTTTCTCACAATTGGATTCGTATTACTTTTCGAATGCCACAAGTTCAGCACCAATCCGATTCAATTTGTACTTGTTGCCACTGCCTTATCATACTGCCTCCTATTTAGGTTCAATGACCTATGTGGGTGTGAATCGATACACCAATTATGATCAACGTGTGTTGAAACAAATTGTGAATTCTTTTTTCACCAATCAAACACCCTTGTACAATAATATTGTGAATGCCATGACTCAACCACAAATAATGAATTTAATTTATTCCAATAATATCAAGAGTTTGAATATCATTCCTCAGCAAGCATATTTGAAATTGATGAATGATCCTTCTATCGACATGAGAACAAGAACTTTATTCAAATTGTCGACTGCGACGGGCGTGTTTGCAACTCCAAGTTTTTATGTGAACAAGGTTCCAGTACAGAATGGAGAAGATTTCAGCGTCCAAGATTGGATTTCGTACTTCAATCAAATTTTGAGTAGCAGTTATTAATACAGTGTGTTTGATTATGGCTATAGTTCTGTTGTTGTTGATTGAACTTATTTCATGAATACCACCAGTGATACAATTTTCCAATAATTCATTATTGGAAACACGCGAACAACTATTCGCTTCAATTCACTCTTGTTTTTCTATTAGCAACATGGAAAAAGTATCTCTTTCAGTATTTGGTCTCAAAAGAATTGAGAGAGGACGGTCCAGAGATTATTCACACTCAATTCAAGCACAAATATATACGTTTACAATAGCTTCTACTTTAAATGAAAGTCTATCAAAATCCAAATCAAGCAACTTGTAGGAGCGCGTTTCAACGAGTTATGAAAACTAACATTAAAAAAATGGCCTCAATATGATTCATGTGGTTAATAAGGATTTGACTCTCGGGCAGCAAGTACCTGCTTGCAAGGTATCAAGTTTATCGGAGCTTAAAAACAGCTCAACCCTAAGTATAGGGAGAAATCTTACGTCGAGTTGGTGATCGTGTGATAAGGTTACCGTAAAAGCTAAGCGGGTCCGCTTTAATTTGGAATGAGTGAATGTGTTGGTCTTTTGAATGCCTGCGAAGAGCATCATCATGAAGCGCATATTTTGTGAAACGTCATGCTAGATGGTGTATTCTTCCACATAGAAAGCAATTGCCTACTTGCAATCAAGCGACGCCTCAATCTACAAGCATAGCAAAAGAAATCAAGCCCGCATTCATCATTGCCTGAACTTTTCAACCTGGTTCTCGAGAAACTTGAGAGCCATCTGAGAGAGGGTTTGAGTGGTACAAAGTGAGATATCTGTCAACAATTTTCCATTGAGAGAGAGATCTCGCCAAGAAACATGGCAGAACATCGTTGTGGCCAACCATGCCACAGAATATCAACCATACATGTATTTCAACTCACCAACCTTCTTTCATTCTCAATCAAACAATACTGCCAACTCAACACCTTAAATGTTGCGACCACAACCATGCTCAATCAACCACTCCATCAACCCCTGTCCTCTCCGTCAACAAGAGCCCGACATGAGCTCCCACCACCAACTGGAATTGAGTATCTTTTCAATCATGATGAAATCCCCTCGCTTATTTCTTGAGCGACCTTCAATAAAGTCTCATGAGAACTTGGAAACCAATATAACTCCATGTTTCGCGCAATGACGCTCGACAAGGATCATGAACAGCGAGAAGGCACTCATTGGGTTCAAATCAAAAACAACAACAACATCAACAGGCAAGAAGAAGAAATTGTCTTGACAAGTCTTTTCTCATGTCGAGCACTCCGTTCAACTTTCCATCCTTCACCACTTCCATCACCAACAACAACGAGGTGCCACAACATTTGGAAGGAGTTCGATCGACCTCTTCTTCTTCTTTGACGACGACGACGCAGCAGACTTTATCTTCTGTAATTGCCAACACCAACACCACCAATACGACAGGCAATCATGATCCGCCATCCCTTTCAACATTTAGTTCCTTCATCTTTCAAACGGAATCCTATGAAGAGCTCATTCGGGAAGGATTACTGACTTTTCCTTCGTTATCATCATCATCCTCCTCCTCATCATCACCACCGTGGTTTAACCACACTTCTTCTCCTCGTTCCTCCTCTACCTATTCTTCACCCTATTCTCCTGCGAGTGCAACCACAACAACATGTCGAATGACAGACTCTCCTTCCACACCACAGCTAGCTTCTTCATGGCATCATGCACAACAACAACAACACAATCAGGCAACAACAACAACAGCGCATCCCTTGGATGTCTCTCTCACAACCACCACCACATGCAATGCCATGAACCCACCACACAACACCGCCATGAATCTCAATAATTCCAATTATGGAGTGAGCACGTGTGTTGGTCATTCTGATCCACCAGGCAGGAATAATGATTCCGTCCCTATGACTCCATCCCTTCAACACAATCGATTGCTGAATCAGGAGATTACGAATTTTGTAACCAGTCAAACAAATCCACCAGCATCAGCAACATCATCATCATCGGGTATGGTCGGAAATGGAGATTTTAGTGGCAGGTCGTCGTATTCTTGTTCAAACCTCTTGCTCCTTACTGATGCTTCAACAACCCTTAATAATATTCAAAGTAATACCAACAACAACAACAATAATAACATCCCAATGAATCCTCTTCCAACACATCCAACTAAAAAGAAAAAGAAAAAGGCAAGACAACCATTGGGTCATCTGGCCACCGCACAAGCATATTCAACAAGTGCTCACCAGCAACAACCCTCTCCTCAACAACACAATCAGTTGTCGTCCTCTCCGCAACATTCCTTGACCTTTACGGATGAATATCAAAGTTTCTCACAGGGTGTCCATGAAACTCAAATGAAAGATCGAAAAAAGAGACTAAAATTTACCGAATTTAATCCTCACCAGGTGAGACGATAGAGGTTTGCCAATGTTGAGTCCTCATTATTTTGGACTAGATGATCGATTATTCCTTTAAAGTCTTTTAGGGAGTTACTTTTAAATTTCAACAAGGAATTGAATTTTTTGTTATAGTAGTGTTGATTGAGAATGAATCATAAGGAATTCAACTTGGTCATTTACTCCTCCTTCTTTCTTCCACTCTTATTCACGACCACATTCAAAGTAATAGTTACAGGAACATTATAACGATCCAACACAATATTTGATTTTCCACTGTAATGCCACCCAAAGGAGCCATGGAGTTCTCCCTTCTGATGAGCCACATGTTCCCTATCATCCACCGTGAAACGCAATTCTCGAGCCAATCTCAAGAATTCACTCTTACTAATGCTCGTTTCTTGAGCTGTGGTGGTATCAGCGTGGGACATCTTTCGTTTCTTCGTTGAGGTACCACTGGGTCCATGAGCAGATTCTTCTTCCTCTTCGGCTGCTGCTCCTTCTTCTTCTTCTTCCTCTTCCTCCATGGCTTTTTTAGTCTTTCCTCGTTGAGTTCTTGCTTTTCTTGGAGCAGCACGTGTTCTTGTAGGTCCTGCTGCCTCTTCCTCTGCTGCCTCCTTCTCTTCACCTAGTTTTGGACTCGTCTTTCTGTGTCGAGTGGATTTCCTCATTGTTTGTGGAGAGGTGGTGGTGGCGGTGGACACTTCACCCTTTGCTGTTGTTGTTGTACCAGCCTCGTTCGTGACCATCATTTCGAGTGAGTCTCCTTTATGGATATTCATGTAGTAATCAAAGAGATGATCAATAAGAATACTCTTCTTTCCTTCCGTTGATAAATTCAACTCTTGGCACATTTCCTTCAAGTTATCTAAGGTGAAACGTTCCATGCCTCGCCGTACAAAGTTTGGATAGTGGGAGATGAGACGAGCGAGCTTTCTGTACTTGGAGGTGAGACCCTCGACATTCTCTCCAAAGTATTTGCAATAGCTATTCAGAGTTTCCTCATCGACATCTTTCAAATGGTAGAAACTCTTATTGAGGTAATTGGCTCGGAGTGGATCATCAGTATTCTCATCACCACTCATGACAGTTACACTTGCCGTTGTGGTATGGGCAGGTTGGTGAGATGGTGCCATCATGGTTGTTGTTTCTACACGTTGTTTTGCCACCTCTTCGGTTCCACCTCCTGTAGCTGTGACTGGAGAGGTGGTTTCTTCGGTAATGATGGGTGGATGCTCTTCACTGGGCTCTCCTGTGCTTGTATTGGAGGTTACATCTTCAAAGGTCATTGCAGAAGGTTCTTGTGTCTTGCTCGTGTCTGCTGTTGTTGTTGTTGTTGCTGCTGTTGAGATTTGCTCAAAACGAACTTCTGAAACGTTTTGTGTGAGAATCTCCTCTGCTTGTGTGGTTGGAGGTTCAGTAGGTTCAGTAGGGTTCTTAGGTTCTGTCATGCTGGTTGAGGCGGCCTGTGCATTGGTGTCTCCTGTTGAGGCAGTTGTGGATGCAGATGGCAAGTTTTCCATGTTCTGCTGATCAGTGCCTTCTGCTAATAAGGTGTTGTTTGTTTTTACGGTTGTTGCTGGAGTGTTTGTTGTTGCTGGTTTCGACCATTGGTCACCGCTTGTTACCATGGGAGATGTGGACATTGTGTTCGCAAGGTGATGCAGCCAGCCACTTGTTGATCACAAGAGTGTGTCTCCTATTCGAGTGATCTAAAGTTTTGTGTCGAGCTCGTGTTTGCAATAAATTGATGGTGTTATTGATTAATCAATCGACAGGTAATTCGCCTAGTCTATTGCAATATGCGACAAATAAAAGGAGTGGAGAGACACTACTCGATAAAAGTTTTTAAAGACAAAGATTAATCAATAACACCATCGACCGTCATGATACAGATGCAACAGCAGCGATTTAAACAGCAATCGCTTGCATGTAAAATGTGATTCGAGCATTTCCTCAAAAGTGCACTGTACAATCTTAAACAAACCTCCATGAAAATCGTGAAATAAACAAGAAAATTTCCAATGTTGGTAAAACATGTTGATATCCAAAAGTAGTGATTACCTAACTTTAATCAACTAAACTAATCTTCATATCCAAGTTACGAATTGTTTCCCAATAAATGTCAGGATTTGTTCTCTTCAAATATCTCATCATTCTCTTTCTTCTATTGACAATGACTTGCAATTTTCTTGCCGATGTATAATCCTTATGATTAGTCTTTAAATGTTCAGTGAGTGCCTTGATGCGTTCAGTTAAAACAGCAATTTGAACAGGAGCACTACCGGTGTCTCTAGGAGATTTTTGGAAACGTAAAACTTGGACTTGTTTTTTCTGCTTGTTGATTTCTGGTTTGGCTGCCGTGGTGAAACTGAAAATCTTCTTCACTTGTTCAATACTAGTCTCCGAAACTGGTAAAACAAATTTTGTAGCCTCTGAGTCCGAGCCAAGAGGACTCTCCAAAGGTGCTAAACCAGTTACCATAAAATCGTCTGACTTTATGCCACAACGGAACTCGACTGCCATCTTTTCGTCGTAGTCTCTTACTTTCCATTCGTGTCTCTTTTGCTTTGGAATTGTAAGGAATGGTGATTCAATGGCTGGATATTTAGATTTATCAAAGGCTTTCATTTTGGTATAGTCCCAAACAGGGTTGCCATGCCTGTCGAGTTTTGGTGGTTGCATGTATCTCTCTTTCAAATGAGATTTGGCAACAGGGAAGCTATCTTGGATGATGTTTGATGGTGGTAAGTTCTTTTCTTCTTCCTCTTCAAAATTATATTGCTGTTGTTGTGTTCGGATGGAACTCATACTAAATGTTTGCTTTTGATGCTGTTGATGATGAATACATGATGATGAGAAAGCTCCCTGACTCAAAAGACTTGTTGTTGTGGGTTTATGGGACAAAGCAACAAACTTTACGAGAGGCGAGCCCGACGATAGTTGCAACACTTTTCTCATTTTTTTTTCGCGTTTACAAAAATTTTATTCTATTCAAACCTCAATGTTTCAAAATGTTCAATATGTTTGTTTTAATGCTTCTTTTTCAGAAATTGTCGATAATCAATTTGCTCCTTATTTACATTCTTGCTTGAGTTCCCCAACTCGGAAAAGTTTGATGTCTTTTTGAGATTTTCTCGAATTTTCTGATAGAGAATATCTGCAGAAATCCAATTCGATTGGTTGGTGACTATCTTATTGTTGCCGACCTTCATTGACAGAGGTCTGTCCTTATCTGTCTGATTTGTTTTGAGTTTTGTAGAATTTTCATGTTGTGTGGAAGGGTGATTACTACCCGAAGGAATGGATGAAAGAGAAGAGTGTTTTTGAAGAGGAGAGAGTGGTTCATGCTGTTGTGATTGAGCATGACATGAATTTGTGAATGAATTTTCAGAGCTCTCAGTTGCGATGGATACAATTCGTTCAGAAGAGTTTTTCAGTGATGAAGGCGATGATTGACAATCCACAATCTGATTGGAAGAAGCATCTTGTAATAAGCAGACATCGTGGTCATCTCCTACGTGACTTTGACTGGTTGATGAATTTGAAGAAGGCGAAGACGACAATAAATGTGAACCCGTAAGCGTTCCTCTCACAATATCCAATGAGGAGGTTGCCGACGAATTGTCTTGTGAATTGGAACGAGGCCTTCCAATATTCTTGGCTTCTTTTTGTTGAGCTGTTTCATAGGTTGGAGTATTGACATTATTGGCTGTCTTGTATGTGGTCGTTCTCAGAGTGGTTTCAATATCAAAGTCATCTGCTGGAGGTGAGCTATGAATGGGTGTCGTGTTGCTCGTTAACGTATTAAGAGGATCATGTTGAAAGTTCGTAGTGGTCGAGCATGCTGATGAGGAAGATGGTGTGGATGAGCATGACGAGCATGCTGATGAGTGATGGGAGGTAGCAACAACTGATTGTTGTTGTTGTTCGAGTAGTGAGGATGGTAAATGTGCATGATGAATGTTACTGATGGATCTTCGATGACGGGTGGGTCTGTGAGGTGAGAGTGCAATGGAATCAATCAATTGTTGATTGAACTCAGTGTTGGATAGGAGTGGAGGTGAATCCTTTGTGTTGTTGTTGTTGTTGTTGGGATTTGTGTTGTTGTGAGAAGAGTCTGTGATGTCCTCTCTCTTGCTCGTACAAGTATCAGTATTGGTAGTAGTCGTATTCGTAGCAGTATTCATAGTATTCGTGGTGGTGGTAGTAGTAGCAGCAGTCTGAGTACTAGTATTACTAGTGGTAATGGCAGACTTCACCTTTTGTCATCATCCAACAATTCCACCTGAGATTCAAGTCGATTGTATCGGTCTCTCCATTCCAATTCGAGTGCTTCAATTTTCTGATGAAGACTATTCCTCAAATGTTCCAACTCTTGATTTTTGAGAGTTAAATCTCGTTCTCGTCTCGTATTCAATTCACTGATAATCGTTTCGAGTGTTTGAATTTTTGAATTGGTAGCCATTTCATACTCCTCGAATAAATCCTTGTGTTGTGTAATGTATTGAGAGAGTCTTTGTTCGGTTTCAATGTCCTTATTGTGGTAAAAGGCAAGTTCTTCTTTTGCTTCTGCTAGCTTACTCTCTAAATTTACTTTTTGTTTCGTGAGTGTTTTGATCTTTTCTTGAACATTATTCAATTTTTCTTTCCATGCTTGTACCAAATTGGATTGTTTTTCCAAAAGTTCTGCTTTGGCTTGAGCGAGTTCACTTGCATCAATGAATTCAATTTGTTCAATTTTAATCTCAGTTGTTCCAGCAGGTTTGATGAGATGACTACCACCTCGTGGTGTTCGAGGTGAGGATCGAGTTCGAGGTGTCATTGATCCCTGATTGGTAGGAGTGGACGCATGGTTGGATGAGGGTGTTAATCCACCACCACAACCACCACCACCTCGAGGTGAAATGGAATCTTGTGTATTGAAACTACTTGAACTAATATTCATCAAATTGAGAAGAGGAATTGAGTTGGAGCTACTGTTATTCAATTTGTCTTGTGAGGATGCAGCTGATGTTGGCTTTGGTACTACTGAAGACGACACATTCGGTGAATGGAGCACTTCTGCACCAGAATCTTCTTGAAAATAATCTCCACCACCTCCTCTCGGATCAAAAGAATACTTGCAATTAGATCTGAATTGCTTAATCGATTGAACCGCATTATTGGTATCCACAATAATTTCAAATCCATGATGTAATGTACCTCTATTCCAGCAATATCCTACTGTTATGATTAATCCAGTTGTGACATTATTAGTGACAATCTTTTTAAAACAAACTCCTCGTCCATGTAAGACACCATTTAGAAATTCTCCACTGATTTCTTCGAGCAGTGGATCTCGTTTATCTTGAAAATAATAGCCTCGACCTGTCATGTGATCTTGAACGAATGACCCTTCCTATTGAATGTTGTAGAGTTTACAAAGAGTCATGAATGAACCGAAAATAGAAAAATGAGATTTGGTAACATGATTCGGACAAAAATGGATGATGATGGAGATATATATGTATAAAGTACATTAGAAAACATCCAAGCACACACACACATATTGATGAATATTTGACACAATTATCACAACTAATAACGTACATAGAGTCTATTATCGGGCCATTGATATTTTCCATGTCCATGCATTAAATCATCTTTAAATTGTCCTTCCTTTAAACCGACATGTCAGCAAGTGACACGTGGAATTATCGAGTGAGTATACATCACCCACAACATCCGAATCATACAGTTCGATTCGAACGAAATGTTTTTGGGTATTAATTCAAAATGACATGCCATCACCAAGCAACCTACATAAATTCTGTTATCGGGCCATTGATGAATACCCATTCCGTGTCTCTTATTGTTATTCCACTCTCCATTATACTCCTCTCCGTTTTTGTATTTCTTTTGTTTGTATCCCATTTGAAAATTCGATTTTGTTGGTTGATAGAATTCTGGTTTGATGTTCTTGCGACAGTGATCTCTTGTTGTTGTCACTCGTGAGTGTGAAGTGAATGAAGAAGATTCTGGACACAGCTGAGTGATGTTATTGCTGTTTCTATTGTGGGTACTTTGTGTTAAATGTTGATCGTTTTTTGGCTCACGTGTTTGTTTTGATGAATTTTTTTGTGTGTTGTGTTCCATCGTCACGTGTCAGTCTCAGAGAGAGCTCTTTATAGTGAAAATATAAAAACAAAAGACTTTAACAGATTTCAAATTGAAAATGTTTGTTTTTATCAGAATTTGAAGGAAACACACCTAAGCTCAATGAAACTATGAAGAATTTTCTCAAGAAATTGTTTTTATCAGCCATACGCGGCAATCAAAATAGCCATTGTAAAAGCCCGAGTCAACCGAAAAAAAATAAGCAAGCGAGGCCAAATTTTTCTTCGTCATCATGTTGCGTCAAATTGCTAGCCGGACACTCAACAAGAAGTACACTCGCGCCTTGTTGAATCAAATCATCATTCAATCTTCAAGAAGCGTTTCCACTGCCAATCTTCCTGACACTGATCCAGTTATTTATCATGATGACTTGATTACAACAGAAAATATTATGCGAAAGTTGGATGAACTCTTGGCCGACGGTGAAAGTAAAAACTACAAATCAAAACACGAAATGACACATGAAGAGTTTGAGGCTCAACTCAAAGAACAAATGAACAGACCTGTTTTTTACGATGAGGAATACATCAACTTTATCACCAAGACCTTGGACTTTTCCAAAGAGGAAGTAGAGGAAGTTGTCAAGGGACAAGAACCCAAATTCTACAAAAAATCTGATGATGGTGATTTGGAGGTTGATTGGATTGAGTTTGCTAGATTGTTCCAACGTACAGAAACTGAAAAAACCTTGCTTCCACAATTTGAAAGAGAATTCAAGGAGATGAAGCAATTCAAGTTGGAATTGGCTGAAGAGGCTCATATGCAACAAGTTACCATTGATTGGGCAGATTGGGAAAAGAGACTCGGACCTGGAACTGTTCAAAAGATCAAACGTGATATGGACAAGGTGATTGAGAAGACTCGTCCACGTATTGAAATCAAAACCATCCAAGACAAACTGGATGAATTGATGAAACCAGTTTTGGGACAAATGAAAGATGACATGGTTGATGCTCTTCCACTCATTAAGCAAGTAACAGACGAGTTGGTCCGTGAAACTCCACTCTTGAAGAAGGATGAAAACGGATTGTATCAACAATATTTGGCTCCATGGTTCATTGACAAGTACTATCCAGAAGAACGTGACCAATTGATCCAAGAAATTGAGGAAGATGAATACGATGTTGAATACATCAATGAACTCAAGGCAACCAGATTGAATCCTGATGAAATTTTGCTTCGTAACAAGGATTGGATTATCAAAGAATCTTCAAAGATCGAAGAAGAAGAATACAGATCCATGTCATCCAAGTCTGCCACCATGTCAGCCAAGAAGAGAGAAGAACAAAACTTGTATCATGGTGTCATTGACGGTGCTCGTCGTGTCAAGGAATTGGAATCTGAAGTTGCTTCATTGAGAGCTTCTTCTGAGAGTCAAGCTGAAGAGGCCAAGGAAGGAGCTGAGAAGAAGGAAGAGAAGCTTGCCATGTCTGAAGACGAATGGTGGGCATTCTTGGCAACATTTGGTGTTGATAAGAACGCCAAGCAAAAGCGGGACTTCTCTCACTTCAAGAGTGAACAACAATTGAAGGCTTGGGAGGAAGGCGGTGAAAAGGCAAGACTCGACGCCGAACAAACATTCTTCAAGACTGAAAGACTTGGTAAATAAGCATCTTGAATACTTTTGAACATTTTCCCTCCTCCTGTATATAACAGTTCTTTTCTTTTGTTGGTTCAATTTTAAACAAACCTTTAGGGTTGCATTAAAACGAAAATTTCTTAAAGTTCTTGTGACTTGGTGTTTGAACGAGGTTGCTTGAAAGTGAACAATGAGACTGTACGAAAAGTTCGATAAATACGTCGAACGTGTGTGAAAAACAGCATTTATCGTTGTTTTGTGGTTTCTCCTTCCATTGGATTGGATTCGGCTAGCTCCGCATCGTCTTGAATGTCAGTGTCATCACTTGTTTTAAAATTATTGCTCCATAATTCAAGCATCTTGGTGTGTGTTTGAATGGCATCCTTGTGTGCCTTGTATTCAAGCTTGGTTTGAGAAGGGAGATTCAACAAGTTCATGACATCTTGCTTCAATGTTTCTTGGATTTTTTCGTCATCTCCATTCTTATTCCAAATTGAAATAATGTCATGATTGTCTCGAATGGAAATTACAACTCCGTTAATATCATCATCATTTGCAAATTGTTGACCAATGAAAGATAAGAGTAAATCTTCCCAAATTCTAGCAGAATAGCCACTTTTACATCGAAGCATGAGTCTACCTCCGTTTTTGTTTTTTCATCTTCCCACATTGGTTTAATCCCTTGTTTAAATAGATGATAATCCATCGATACTTTAAGCTCATATGGTCTTTTCATGTGAGTGTAGAGTGCCCAGAATTCTTCCACAGTTGAAAAATCTCCTACAGTTTTCATACAATCTTCATAATCAATACCCTTCTCCTTTCTAAAGTAGGAAAATGTAAATGTATGACCTAGTGGATGTTTATCCAATGGTTGATTTGATGAAGAAGAAGAGGATGAAGAATTATTATTGTATTGGTGCTGATGATGCATACTAGTTCCTCTCGACTCAAGGTTTGGAACGGATACAACAGCCGCAGTTTTATAACTTGTCGCTGCTACGACATTATAATTAATACTAGTAGTAGTGGTAGTTGGATTGGATCCGACGGGAGATGAGCCTGGTGGTAAAGAAGATGTAGTAGTTGCCGATGACGATGAAGAGGAGGATGGCGGTGAACCTGTTGGAGTTGAAGCACTGGTATTTGATTGAGTTTTCCTTCCGGTTCTTGGCTTATTCTGAACTGATTTCCAATCGTTCGTGTGATGATTGCTCATTTTCAAAATTGTTTTGATGCGGGTGATAGTGTTGCGAGTTGATTTGTTGTTGTTGGATGATGACGAACACAATATTTTTTTTTTTTTTTTATCACTGTCCATGCTTTTATTTGTTCGAAAATTCAAACGTTATTCATGGCTGTGTGTGCAATTAGTACAGTTAAAGGTGGTTCATGTCATCAAAGTTAGTGTAATTATTGTTGTAAATTTCAATTATTGTTTGTCATCAAGGTTAGTGTAAATTTCAAATATTGTTGTAAATTTCAATTATTATTCATGGTCGTGGGTATTTCATGTATAGTTTAAACTTGTTCAAATCAATGAAATTGGGATTAAAATCGTATTGTTGTTCAAATTCATTCCAGGTGAGTTTCAATTCTTCCATGAAAAAATGATTTCGTTTCATCCACATTTTAGTAATAGATCGATAAGCTTCCTTAGTAAATACTTTGTCCCATTTCTTACCCAATCCAACTTTAGCACCTGTTAGGCTATGGATATCTTGTTTAGTCTTGATGAGGTACAATAGTCGTTTGGAGAACTTCTTGTTATTCTTTGCATATATTGAGATATTATATAAATTCCTAAACATTTCTTTTCTTATATCACTATAGTATTTACATTCAAAAATAATGTGTTGCATTGTCTCTCTACTACAGCAAGGACATAGCAAGTTCGTCTTGGATATCTTGTTTAAATTTTCCAAAGTCTTCATCACGTTCACTCTAATTTTAAATATTAGATTTAAGGTTCTGAAACCGATTCCTATTGAGGGGTAAATGTTGGTGAACTTTCTGTTCTTGGGAGGAAGGTTCTTTGGCGTATATGTTCTTTTGTGGAGGCGTTGAAATAGAAGTTTGTACATTGTTTGTCTAGTGTTTTGAGTGTATAATACATTGTTGATAATAATATACCAATTATTGGATGGAATATTAGTAAGAATATTGTTACAATCAGCACCTTTCTTAGCAGCCCTATCTGCTAATTCATTTATGCGGCTATAGATATCTTGTTTACCTGTATGACTATTAACATGCATAATTTTGATCTGATCCTTCATTTTTAAATAATTACGAATTTCTTCAACATAAGGATCTCTAGATTTTCTGAATTGGAAAAGTTGGTCATAAATACTTTTCGCATCTATGACTATTGTTCTAGGAGTGTTGTTATCTAGCAATCTAACAACTGTGTGGAGCGCTTGAACTTCACTGTTGTAGGAAGTTCCTTGTCCTAAGGTGTGACTTGAGATGGAAACATTCTGATCAGTTACAATACCGTATCCAGCAATATTATTGTTACACGATCCGTCAGTACCAATTAGTGTAGCTTTGTTCAAGAGGTTTGACATGGATGTGTTGTTACCAACATATTTGTAGTATTTGCTTTCGTCTTTGATTTTTCCAAAATCCATGCTATTGAGAATGTTGCGAATTTGGGTGACATGATTGGAATGTTTGATGTCATTATGTAATTTCACTTGTAAATTTTTAGGGTCAGGAACCCACATACTTAATCTGTTCCAATCTTTATAGAGCAGGAATTGTCTTAAACCTTTAGGGAATTTTCCATAAGGGATGAGAGTTTTTTCATGCCATTGGTCACTCGAATGCCACAATCTAATATTGGAAGATTTGTTCATGAAAATTATTCTCTTGAGATATTGAGGAATCCATGGGTCTGGTTTATACCAAGTAGGGATTGGATCATTGAGGATGTCAAAACCATGCTCCTGTTTGATTCGTTCACAAAGGAATCTTGTAGAAGATCCAAGACAAATATCATATTGTTCAAGGAACTTTCTGACTTTACACATTAGGTCCGAGTAACTCATTTCTTGAACAGAAATTAATCCAAGTCCACCTTTGTCTTGATGAGTATAAAACCACTCGAGAGCTAATTTTCTCTTGGTTCTTAATCTTTCACATATAAAGTTGCGAAAGAATTTATCAATTTGTTTCTCTAGATGGTCATTAGCAAGAGGAATTAGGTGGTACAGTGCATACGGAACAATGTCTGTGTTGATAATTTTGACAATGTTCTGTATTGGAAAATTCCAGCCAATAGAGTTAGTTCTTCTTTTAACTTCTTCAATAATTGAAGTAGTGTATTTCTTTTGTTCCTCAGTATTATTGGTAATATTATTACCAAGTATAATAATAGAATCATTACTTTTGATCGTACTTCCAGATAATGTCTTGATACTACATTCCTTATCAGAGAAGAGGTTAGTTTTGGAATGATCTAATTCCATGTGATAGCCATGAAGATAGGTTTCAATGTCATGCAAAGAATTTTCAATTTCAGGTAGTTCGTTGGAAAATGAGTTCAAATCATCAATCCATGCGCCTGTACTAATGTTCCAATAATTTGCAACACTAGCACCATTATATGTTATTTCTAAAAATTGTAAGAGAGGCTCAATCGCAATTTTGAATGCAAGGGGAGAGAAGGTGTCGCCTTGTTTCAATCCATCTTTCACATTGAAACATTCAGATTTACCATTAGGTATAACAAACTTTGTCGTAGATTCACCTAATATTTCCAGAATTCCATCAGCAGTAATTTCATCAATCCCTAAGAATAGCAGTCCATCACGAAGCATAATTCTCGGTAATGAGTCATAAGCTTTTTTGATGTCAACAGCCAAACCATAAAAAGGTTTCTTGTCCTTTTTGCCCAAGCAATCATATTGTAAATTGAAAGGACTCTGTGAATAGTTTCTCTGCCGTCTTCACCACCAAATTGAGCTAATGATAATCTTCCCTTTAACACTTCCTTCAATCTTTTGGTGATTAATTTAGTAGCTATTTTAAGTCCTGAGTCCATAAGGGCAATAGGTCTATAGTTAGCAGGGTTTGAGTGGTCCTTATTCTTTTTGTGAATTGGGAGAATGCTGACACTTTGCATAGATTCAGGAGTAAATCCAGTTGTGATGATATTTTCAATAATTTGAAAAATTTCCTCCTGTAATTCCTTACACATGTATTTGATAGTTTTTGTCTTAAACCTAGTTCATTGGGTGCTGTGGATTTCAAATTCTGAATTATCCATTCTTTCTCTTCCGTGGTAATTCTACCGAGTATTTTGTCATTGCAATTATCAATTAATGGATGTTTGTACTTGAAAAACTTGGTAATGTCAATTTGATGATTTCTTCCTCTAAAGTTGAGGTTTTGTTGATATTTGTCCTTGATCACATTGGCAACTTCATTGGGGTCACTAATTTCAGTTCCTTCGATAGATAATTTGTATGGTGGTGATGACGTTTTGTAAATTTTCTTTCTCAGATGTTTAGAGTTGGTTGCATAGTTTTGTTCCCACCATTTCATCTTTCTGTTCAAAGCCTTATCATGGCTCCATTTGATATGGTTCTTGATTTTCTCTTTGACACTTGCAAGACATTTTGGAACCTGTTCTAAAGTTTTACCAATAGTGGTCAAAAGTTTGTCACAAGGATATCCGTGCTCATTTCTATCAAGTATTAACATGAGCTTCTTATATTGCTTATTATATTTGTAGATTTTAGGATCAAGTTTAGGTGGATTGACCTCCACAAATTTGTCGCCTAGTTTATCACAAATGAAAAGCCATTTGTCGTTATCAGATTCTAAATTCTTAACTTGAGATACACATTCTTTGCTAATGGCCAGCACTTCTTTCTTATTTTTGGGATCTTGAAAGTTACGCTTCTTCCGAATTAACAAAGGTGTTCGTTGACATGAGAGGTCAAGTAGAATTTTAACCATTTTGTGATCTGATATGAAGTTGGCATTCAGTACTTCTCCAGATGCAATTGGAAAATCTGTGGATATGTAATCTATTATAGACTTGGATTGTTTGTTAATAGTATAATGAAGGTGCCATGATAAATGAGGGAAAGGATAGTAATTAAGATTTCTCTTGTTAATAAGATCTAGTATGTTTTGATCAGTTCTTCTAGATTCGTTTGAGGAGTGATTCTCGGATAAAATCGCATTGTAATCACCTCCAATAATGATTTTGTAGTTAGGATATTTTTCAATTAGGTTGTCAAGAATATATGTGAATTCACATCTGTCAGCTGGTTGATTTGGAAAGTACGCAGAAATTACTAGAGTATTAATTGAATTGATTTTACATTTCACGCCAATAATTCGCGCGTTATTCTTAATGATCGGATCTAAGATGATTTCTTCAATATCTTTGAAAGTGCTTTTGTTGAGGCAAATAGATACACCACAGGAATCTCTTGGATTGTGATAATATGTAAATGAAGAATAATATATAGAGGGAAAATCTGGACCAATGTAGACGCTTTTAACTTCCTGGAGCATGATTATATCAGGAGTGATTGAGTTGAGGTAGCCTCTTAGGGCTGATAATGGTTCTGCTCTGAGACCATTAATGTTGAGGGTTAGAATAGATAATTCTGGAGCTACTGAAGTGAATCAAGTAGTTTTAGCTTTTTGTGACACTCATCAATTTCCTCTTGATATATCTTCCTCTTGGTATTATCTTTTGTACAACCAGACAGAAATGTTAGAGTAGCAATTCTATTGGTAATCATTAATTCTTCATTATTTGCTCTGATAATATTAGCCATTTCCTTAAATCCCATAGCCAATTTCTGATTCTGTCTTGCCTCAAGTTCTGCAATTCTTTTATCCATAGAAGCTTCAATTCTCTTGATTTCTTTTAGGTGATCTTGTTGCACTTTTTCAAGAGTAAAGGAAACGTCTTTCGCTGCAATTTTAGAAGATCTGCCTAAATTTTGTGAAATTTTGTGAACTGTATCAGGTTTCTTTTCCAGGAAATCTTCTAGCATTGGATAATTGAGAGCAAAATCCAATGTCCATTCATTCATTCCATATGCAGCATGGTTTACCAATCTGATGGCATTAGATAGATTGTTGAGTCTAATCAAACATATTCTCTTCTCTTGATTGATGATAAGTATGGATACAGGTTGGTCATTATTGTATTTTCTGGCAAGAGAGGATTCCGTTTGTATTCTAGCTCTAATCAAATCATTTCTTTCAGGCCATCTACCAATGATGTCAGAGTATTGTACATCCATTGCATAGTTGAATGGTATGTCGATTTTCATAGTGACTGTTTCCTCTGTTCTAGGAATAGTGATATCATATGTTTTTGCCTTACATAGATTATTTCTGGCTTTCATACTTTTGACAGTGATCACTGCTGCCATTTCTTTACCAATTCTAGCTGTAGCAATTTCAACAATGGGTTCACCAGTATCGCTTTCAATAGCATTCCTCCAATCTGCCTTGACTGTAGTTTTCCATAGTTCTCCTATTGGAATATTATGGACACGTATAATTTTGTTGGTGTCGTTTTCACATGATGAAGTGATATTGACTTCTTTAAATTTTGTACGTAATGTTTCAACTGCCTGTTCTACTTGAGCGCAATCTTCAATAGTGACAATTATGGTATTATTGAGCTTAATAATCGGATTGATGGTGACATATTTGCCACTAAGTTTGTCCTTAATTAATTCAATTACCTCATTCTCTTCAAATATTTTGCTATATCTAACAGCAATATATCTGGGAGGAGTGATTTCCTTCACTGCTATGTCATTGATGTTGAATTCTTCATTGTCTTGTTGGACATTACTACTTTTCTTGTTCTCAGATAATAGTTTGTTAATATTCTTCATTCTTTCCTTCCATAACTCCCAAACATGTTTTCTGTCTTTATGGTTTTTAAAAGCCTTTCTTTCTGTGGTGATTTCGTATTTAATGTCATCAGAGAGTATTCTGAGAGTGGCTTTTACAACATGTTGGAAATTTAAGGTCATAGGGTTGTGTGGGCTAGCAATAACAGATACAATTTCTAAAATCTGATCAGTGTCAAGAAGAGTTCTGTTTGTATCTAGTTTAGCATTATTGTGTTTGAGAAAAGTTTTACCAACAATTTCATCAACTGACATGTCTTGTATGTTGAGGTTATTAGTCAGCTCATTATCCAACAATTCAATGTTGTCTTGGTTACTCATGCTCATACTATTAGTTTTAGCGGCCAATTCTTCATCAGCTATTGGATCAATAGTTGGGTACAATCTAGTGTCAACACTAGTAGAGCAATTGTGAGTAGGGTTGAGATTATTTGTCAAATTGGGCTCATTATCTACAGATGAACTAGCAGAAGCAATGTAGTCGTTTAATGATTGAAGTGAGCTAGAGTGCTTGGGTCCATGATTGGATCCATGGTTGGGTCTTGTTTTACCGATCTTGCTGGGCATCCTAATTGAATTATTCTTCTTTTTTTTTAATTTGTATAACGAATCTGATCTTGTTAGTCTGATTAAATACCATTCAGTCAATAGCGCTTTGATCTTAATAACTGCCATCGTAATAGGGTCTTGATTACAGTTTGATCACAACGGTAACAATCTCAGTACTTATAACCGGTGGTAGTTGTACGGTACCAAATCAGTACAGTACTTCGTAGAGAGGGAGAGATAAGTTTTAAATTTAAGTTTAATGATTCGGAGATGGTTCTTTGGGTGGTGATAAAGGGTGCTCAAGGTGAACACCTAGCGGAGGTGTTGTGTTATTTTTTTTTCCTCGAACGAACACAATATTTTTTAATTTTTATTTCTTTTTTTTAAAAAATTCAAGCAACTAACACACACCCCTGAAAACAGACGACAACAAATGATCGAATTTCGATTTAAGGTATGTACGGTGGATATCAGACGCAATACAACATGTAACAATAAATGACCCTACGTAGGGTCTCCCATCAGTGAATGAACCAAGTATCCTCAATGATGTATGTGAGGCCGTTGAACGACATCCCCTGACATAGATTTTACCTTCAAGCAGACTTTTTGAGCCACGAAATTGAAAATGTTGAAATGGACTTAACGTTAGACCTTCCAACTCAATGTTCTAATCTCAGTGAGAAGAACCAAGAGGCTTCTGCATTTGGCAACGAGTTCGAGGTTTATATAATAATTTCAACATTAAGAATGCGCCTTAAAAACACTTACAGCTTAAAAAAATACTTTATCAAGCAAATTCTGAGGATGGACTCTTTAAAACCAACAACAACCACTCCAAACAATGTTTCAGATCCCAACAGCCAAAGCATTGTTGATAGAACCATTAAGGAGACTAGTAGTGTAAGGGAGGAAGACAATCATCAAAGCAGTGATGATCTAACTGATGAATTTAAAAGAGAGTTAGACTTAAAGAATCAACTCACTGATGCGTTAGAAATTGATCAGATAAACAACTTTGAAGAAGAGCTTAATCAGAAACAAAGAGATTTTGAACGTCAGCTCGAAGAGAAAAAAACAATTTCATGAAGAAAATTAATCAAATCAAAACAGATTTCATCAATCAACTGAAAAAGCAAAGTGAAAACTCCACTCAACAGTTTGACAACAATATAAAGTGTCCAAATTGTGGGCATGTATTTTGTCCTTATGGAAGTGAAAGGAACAAGACAAAAGACCTCTTGTAATCATTTATTGAAATAAATTGCCACTCGTACCACCAGTTTACCAATGATCATACCACAACAAATTCTATCGACCCATGTCTTTGTTGTCATTTAAAGCACTCGTTCATGCACTAAATTATCCTCCTAAACTAATTATATGGATTAGGAGAGTTGTCTTCAAATAGGTCAGTCCTTTTCCTAGCATATATTGTCAAGTCCTAAAAAGGAATGCCCTTCACCCGACATTTTGACAGCGAGAGAAAAATATACAAACTCCAAACTTGTTTCACAACTCCATTCATCTCTCTCGTGTAATACAATCATTTTTCATGGAGAGACAGGAGCGAAGGGTATTCTTCAACCAACCAAATGAAACTTCTCTCCCCTTCAAGACCTGCTTTGAATCTCTCTAAGCTGACAATACTGCCTTCGAAGGAGGATAGGGAAAATACGACCTTAATATATATACCATCTAACAATCCGCATACACACATTCTCGTGTCTCTCCGTTGAATTGACAAAAGAGATAATTGTTGGCTTGATTCAAAAGCATTATAATATTAACCAATTAAAAAAAGAATCATTGCATCCTCATATATAAACTCTTCAATCATCACTCTCAACAAACAAATTGGTCACCAATTCCTCCTCCTCTTTCTCGACGTCGTCTTCGTCTTGAATCCATCTCGAACACACGTGAAGTGTCCACTCACAACAACAACAACAACATGAAAACAACAACAACAACCCATTCAACGCCTGCCTTTCTCAGATCGAATGCACGTTCCAATTCGTCCTTATCATCGAAAACATCCTTGTCTGGATCGCCACGATCGCCTCAAAATAATTCGAACATGTTTTTGACAACTCCCAAAACGAATTCGAGACATTCGACGCGTTCAGTTTCGTCGTCTTCAAGGTCCATGACTTGTTCTTCGGAGATGTCCTCTCCTCCTTCTCCTCCTCCGACAATTACATTGACTATTACTCCCAGTAGTAGTAGTGGTCCACAAGATTCATCATCCAACTCCTCCTCATCGATTAATTCAAAAAAGATAAGAAAATTGAACAGCTGACAGCACTTCGAGAGATGAGAAGTAAATCCACCAATGAGCTGACCTCACAATTGGATCTCGTCAAGAATATGGTTCGAATTAAGGAAAAGAAAGGAGGACGAGTGAGTGTGAGTTTCAACTTTGATGATGACCAACCCTCTCCGACTTTACAAAAACTTTACAAAAAACAAGACAAGACATTTAATTTAACAAACATTTATTCCCCTCCACAAGATGAGGAAGACAATGAAGAAGACAATGGTGAAATCCATCATGAATCTTCTGAGGATCTTGTACAAGTTCTCGAATCCATTTGCATTGGTGAAGAAATCTTGGATGCTCATCATGATACCAATTCTGGTCGTCATCGAAACACCACAACAACAAATTCAACAACAAGTTGTTGTTATTATTCGAATCCATACGACGAAGATGAAGACGAGGATTCTTCCTCAGACGATGAAGAAGGTCATTCTCTTGAATGGAATGAATCAAGTTCTCATCAACGTCGAAAACACATGACCTTAACTCCAACAAGAACCACAAAACGAAAATATGCCTATTATTGTTGACCTAGAACTTGTTGGAAACTTGTTATTGCTTGATGTTTTAAATTCCATTTCAATTCAACCTGTAATTCAACCGTTCAATAGCTGTGTATAGGATCGTTTCTTGTTGATTGAAATTTATGATTATATAACCCTAAACTACATCCACTAGTTCCTTATAATTGACTAATAAATGAAATAGTTTGAGTATTCTGTCATGGCATTGTGATAAGTTGTCAAGGCCAACAACTTTTAAAACGATCAAACCATTTGTTCAGAACATTTTTCTAATCCCTTTTTGCTGCCCGCATATGGCCGAGTGGTTTTTCTGGAACTGTGGCAGCCAACTGGTCCAGCGTTCGAATCCCAGGGGTTGCTGCTGTTATCGTGAGCAGTTTAAACACCTTTACTTCCGGGGTGCCTGCTAGGAAGTCACTACGTATCTTACGTTCGGCTTGTAAATAATGTACATATAAACTATCGAACAACGTTTATCATCGAATAAACCCATCCCTGAATTTTTCTAATCCCTTTTTAGAAAAAAAATGTCATTGAACGAAAAGAAGAGATTTAAAGTGGTTTTTGTTGGTATGTTGTTGGAGGTGGTAGTGACATTAAGTTCATTCATTGGATAAATCTTCTCATTGTTGTTTGTCTCATACGATCAATCACCATGTGATGATTTTTTAAAAAATTAAATCATTCAAAGGTGATTGTGCGGTCGGAAAGACTTGTCTTTTGATTTCATTCACTGGTAGGTGTTGTTGATGATTGTTATGATGATTTTCAAATGGTTGAACATGATGACACTTGGCATATTTCTATTTTTGGCTCTCATTTAAATAGAAAATGAATTTGATGGAGACCATGTCCCGACTGTTATTGACAATCGAATTCACACTGTTAAATACAAAGATGAAGATGTTATTTTGAATTTATGGGATACTGGTAGGTATTGCCATGGACGTTGGGATCTGGATTTGGAAATCCATCAACCATTTTGGGAAATTTAACATGACAATTTCAAAATGCATATCTTCTCATATTATTTCATTTGAATTCGAATGATATCAATATGCAACATGATGTATCTATGAATCACAACAATAACAGCTGGACAAGAAGGTTTGTGGTTTGTAACAATTCTTTTTTTCGTGTACGATCGAGTGAAAACCAAACACACACATTCAATGATGAACTATTTTTTGTGAATCAATTATTATGATTTTATTATTATTATTATTATATTCAACAATGCAATGATTTAATTCCAATATTAATGCTTTTCATATTTTCAATTTTCACAAATTAATCGATGATGACTTTTTCACAGATTTTGACAATTTAAGACTTTTGAGTTATCCAGAGACAGATATATTCATTGTTTGTTTTTCAGTGGTGTGTCCAGATAGTTTGAAAAATGTTAAACAATTGTGGATGAAAGAAATTTCTGAACATGGAAAAGCATTTTCTCAAACAGTTCCTTGCATTTTGGTTGGAACAAAAACAGATTTGAGAACAGATGAACGTACCTTGCATGATTTGAAAGAAATTGGACAAGAACCTGTCACTTTTGAACAAGCTCAACAATTTGCCAATGAAAATGGTTTTTATTTTTATAGGGAATGCAGTGCATTGAAGAGAGAGGGAATTGAGGAAGTGATTCAAAGTGCAATCGAGGCGAAAATTCAATTGATAACAAAAACAGGTCGAAGAACGATGGAATCAAGCAAGGAGGAATCCACTCCAAAAAGTGCAATTAACACAACAACATCTGATGAAGCAGTAGCAACACCTGTGACCAATGAAGAAACTCTAGATTTACCACGTTCTTCAACAGACCAACAACTTCAATCAGTGGACACAAGCACCACAAATGAAGTAAGGAACAAACCTTCTCATGAAAAAGCAGACACTCAACAGCAGGCAAACCTCATGTTGTATCCATGGTTGGTTCTCGTCTCCCTTATGAAATGTCAATGTGAAATTTTGTGAGTTGGCCGACACCACTCACACTAAAATGCACGAAATAATTCACGAAAAGCATAAATAATTTTATTTTCATCAAAAGAGGTACAATTTTAAGCTTCATACAACAGACCTAACATTTTGGAGGCCTTTTCTCTAATGAGAGAAGATGGTGATTTCAGCAATTCCGTGAGTCCTTGAGTGGTGTGTCTTAAATTCACTCTACTTCTCTGGTCTTGTGATAAATTAGCCAATAAATGTCCAATAATTAACACAGCACAAGCACACACTGTGTGCCATTCGCTCTTATAGAAAACAACTAAATTCATGACCAAATCACTCACTCTTTCTGGGAATTCTCGAATCCAAGTCTTGGCGAAAATCTCTGCAAATTCATCAAAGTTGAGCGGGGTCATGGAAGGAAGTGGAGCATTTGGATCATCTTGATCAACAACCTTAAACGATTCATTTTCTTCAAAGATTTTAGTAAAAGCTTCACTCTTGAGAGTTGGAACCAATTGACTTAGAGCCAGTCGACAAGCATAACTCACTCGGTCCTCTGGATCATGAACGTGACAAAGTAAAATTGGTAAATTATTGAAAATAGTGGCAACAAGTGTCTCTCTCATTACTCCATCACAGAAACGATAAAGAGCTCCAAATAATTTGATAGAAGCTTCTCTAATTTGAGGATCTTTCTTCTCAAAGGATGGTTTCAATCGAACACATAGGTTCATTAAGAGCGGTGAAATATATTGATCCTCAGCAATCTTGAAAATTTTTTTCACACTTGTCATGGCTTCCAAAACAACTGCTTGATTCAAATCTTCCAAATTTGACAACAATGCTCCAATCACTGGTGTCACATATTGATGCAAAATATCTTTTGGATGAATCGAGAGATTGCTCAATCCACGTAATGCGTACAATTTTACAACAATTTGTTCATCAGTTCCGCTTCTTCCCAACAAGGCATTAATACAGTTATGAACTAGCTCACGATCATTTTGAATATGATTAAGAAGTACAGAAACAATACATGTTGCGATCACTCGTTGACCAATAAAGGTTCTACTAATGAATGGTTTCACATATTCAAACATTGGTCGAACATATTCTGTACCAGATTTGCAAATCCTTTCTAGAATGGATTGAACAGCATCTCCATATTGAGTTTTTTGTAAAAGCATTTCCAAAGTTGGAGCCTCAATTTCAGTTGGAGTTTGTTGGATAATTAATTCTCTACGTTCTTGAATGGTTGTTTTATGATCTTCATTCTCCTCGGAGCCATGATGACCATTTTGCTCCAATTCTTCCAATGCTTCTAATTTGGCATTTCGTCTAAATTCTTGAGTCAACTTGTAGAAATTAACAATGCATTGCTGAGCGAATTTTGTGGGTGGGTTTACAGTCATTTCGTTTGCACTTCCAACTCGAATGAGAGCAGTAACAATAATTTGAGAGTAATTCTTCATGGCCACACTTGAGAAATCTTCAACTGAAAGAATCTCATAGAGAGATTGAGTTGCTGAGACAGTGGTGTGCGTTGGAAACAAGTCAACGCTGTCTGATGCTCTCTTTTCTTCATAGAGTTGAGCATTGTTAATAATATCCAAGAGATGATCTAGTAATTGTTGATTTAGCATTGGATCAGTAGAAATAATTTGGAAGCACTTGGTTACTTCGATGGTGTGAGGTACTGGATAAGCAATGAGTGTATTCATCACTAATAATGGGAAATGTCTTGTGAAACCTCTAACACCATGTAAGAGTCCGCTCACAATTTGTTCTCTCTGTCCAGAAATAAATTGAGGAATTAATTTGATCATCTTTTTCACATAATTTACAGCCTCATGTTCAAGTTCCTTTCCTCTTGATCGGATGAGCCCATTCAAAACAATACATGAACTGTTTGCTCCATCCACTTCAGGATCATTCAATGTATCAATCAGAGTATCAATGAGATTCATTAAATGATTCTTATCTTTGATTGCTTCACAGAGTATTTGTGAAAGCTCCTTGGTGACTTCAAACAACTCCTTCACATTAGATGCTTCAAATAATTGGTTTCTGAGTGGAACAATGTTTTCAATATATTCTGGCAATTCATCATTTTGAGATTTGATATGCTCCAACAAGTGTTGAATTCGCAATACGAGATAAATGCCATCCAAACCATATTTTCTAGTGCCAGTGACCGATTCTGTAATACGAGGAATTAATTGACCAATAATTCTTCCCAAGCTTGTCATTGAGTTTCCAAACACATTATTGGTAGCAGATTGATCATATTGTGATATGAGCTTGGCAAAATCTTTCAACAACGAAACATAAATAGAGCATGCTCGCTCTCTTTCCAAAGCATTCGTAGAATTCATGTGATCGGTTTCCAAAGCTCTGAGAATATCATCCAATGATCCTTGGCTGTTGTCTGTGTGTAAAATTGCAAATAATATATTATTATGGCTTTCAATAATGGAGTCATCTGTAGAGACTAAATCATCGAGTCCAGTCACAGGTGGTTGTTTTGGATCGGTTTTCACAGTAGTCTTAATCTTGAGTAATGGTAAAATACTATTGAAAATTTCGTTTTGAATCTCCACTTCAACTTTTGGTGGCAATTTGACAAGTGTAGATAAGGCATCAAGACCCAAAATTCTAAGTTTGTTAATTGAGAGGAGTTGCTGAACGGTAGTGGCTTGTTGTAACAATTGGGGCGATGGTGTCATTATTTGAATGACAAGTTTTATCAATTCGTCACGTGATTTGAGAATGAAATCTTGCAATCTACTTGGATGGACAGACTTTCCAATTAAATCAATTGCCTTCAAACCATTTTCTTTCAATTCGTATGGAATTGGTTGTGGAGGTTGTGGCTTCAAAATCGGAATCATGTTCTTAATAATGTGAACTTCAACACGAGATGTAATCAAGGACAGTGGAGTTAACATGGAAACATATCCATAGGATAACATGGCAGTGGCTCTCTCAAAGTGTGTCACTTCATTACCAGTATTTCTGGCAAAGAATCCTGTCTTCTTTTCTGGAGCTTTCATTACGTTTTGTAATTGAGCGAGTACAGTGTCACAGTGGTTGACAGCTGCCTGGCCCAAACCACGAGCACAACCTAATCTTTCTTCATCATTGGTGTGATCTGTAATCTTGAAACATCTCTCAACTGCAGAATGAATAAATTGTTTCAATTGACTCTTTTGAATAATCAATCCAACAGTGGACAATAAAGATTTCTTCAAGAGTCTATTATTCTTGTAAAAAATTTCAGAGTGTTCTAACAAGGCCTCTCCCAATGCAACAGCCCACTTGTCATCCTGCACACTATCAATGCTGTCACGCACGAGATTCAATAAATGATTGTCCCATTCATCTTGAACGAATGAAGCATTGCTTTCACATGTGTCAATATACTTTTTCAGTGTTGGTAACTTCTTTCCCCATAATTGTACCACATCCGGGTGAATATTTGGCGATAAACAATACAAGGCACGCAAGATGTTGACCGCTGGTTGATTTCTGCCAAATGGAACAGTCAATTTGAGCAACAAACGAGCAAAGATGAAATTAGGTTTTGGAATGTTAACTTGTGCATCAAAATCAATGATAAAATCATCATCATTCTTCTTTCGTTTGCTAATATCAGCAATGGCTCGACACAAAACTGGGAAGGCCGTGTCATAGAGTGGCATGACAAATGATTCTAAAAGGAAAGGCCACAACACCTTATCCATTTCCTCTCCCAATTTTGTGGTAAAACTTAACAAGATGCGATCACAGGTTTCTCTCACTTGATACCAAGTGTAGACTTGTGGGAGAGTTTGTGGATCCAAACCTTCTTTCGAATTCGTCGAAGAACCGACCTGAGGAGATGATGGAGTACTATTGGAGGACTCTCTATTCTCATCACTCTGTTCAGAATTATTTTCCTCGTCTTCAGTATTGGCCTGAGAATTACTGAGAGTAGTACTTTTTCATCAAAGATGATGGCATCTTCCTTTTCATTTCGGGTCATAATGGCTTGAGCAGCTTTTTCTTCACTACCAACAGTAGACACAAGAGAAGCTGGAATTTTGGTTTTCAAATCATCAGAAATTCTCTTTTCAGAAATGGCACAACCTCGCAAAATGACATGCACTAGATCGGTACCACCCTGTGAATTCATGTATCCATCGTGTTGAGCGAGTGTGTGAATTAAGACACTGAATTCGTTGTGAACTTCAACATTTTCTGCAATGATCATCATTTGATTGGATGGATCTTTGAGGATTTTCATCAAACCACTCACAATGACATCTCTGTATGAAACAAGGTCGTCGTCATTATTTAGAACCAAATATCTGAGAGTTTTCAAGGCGCTCACGTGAACAATGGCGCTTCCATTGGGTTGTTCCAATTGGGCCTGTACGAAAGAAACCACTTGATCTGTATAGGCCTTTGCAATGAAATGGAAAGTTCTCAAAACTTCAGTAATGTTTCTGTTTGCGTTCTTGTAGGATTGTCTTCTTGTCATTGTGGTAATTAAAACAGAAAATAATGTTCCGAGTATGGGTTGCAATTGATCGTTCAGTGATGTTGCACAATCCCGAACTACAACCTTAACAATGTGTTGAAGACCAATTGTGACTGGAAGAGGGTCTTCCTTAATTTCCTTTTTCAATGAATTTACGTAATTTGGTATTAATTTTGGCAATAATTGATTGAGTTGGTCTGTCTCAATAATGTGACACATATAACCAATGGATTGTGCTGCTGCTAATCTAATTTTTGTTTCTCTCACATTCAACCATTCTAACAAAATATGTTTCATTGCCGTCAATATGGATGAATGATATTGTGAAATTGTGGACTTATCAATAGGATTCAACATTGCATTATTTTGTGAAGGTTTCTCGGATAATTCCAAACAATAAATTGCGGCTTCAGACCATCTTCCCAGCGCGGCACAAAATACCCATCTCAAATTATCATGTTTGATGAGAGCTAACAATGGTAAAGTTCTTGAAAGTACTTCCTTTAAATTACCAATAAATAATAAAGGATAATAAAATGCAATATCACTCAATGCTTTGATTACAAAGTAATGTGGTGGATTTGTACTACTAATTGGAAATCTCTCTAATAATTGTCCAGTTACTAGGTCAGGTACATAACGTGACAAGGCAATTAACAAGTTACAAGCACTTGCTTGCCAGTCTGAATTGATCGATTTATCTTGAACCATTTCATTAATTGCCATCAGCACAAGTGCACGAGAGAGGTCATCTGGAACTTTCAAAGGTTTATCTGCTGCTTTCACATTCGATGCACGAACAATTGCAAAATCATTGCTTGAAGGTTTCATATTCAATAATTCGGTGAGAATGTTCATGACGAGCACTCGATGTTTCTTGTTCGATTTGGAACAAATGTTATTCAAGAAATGAAGAGATTTGCTCAATAGTAATAATTCACACTGATCACCAATGCTTATTAATGATTGATGAATTGTTTTGTGAACTTTGATATCGGCGTCATCTAAAGCAATCAATAGTCCTTTCACAATGTCTAAAAAATTAATTCAAGTTAATTCATTAGAAATTACAGATATACAAAAAATCATTCAAAACAAAAAAGCAGTGAATGGATGGTGATATTTTGTAATAGTATTGGTGATTTTGATGATTCAACGTGTTGGTCCGAAATTTGATTTTGTCGCCACATTGAAAGTTGTTGAAATTTCATCACATGATGACGTTACAATTTCATCAACCATCATTCATATAAAAAATTAATATATCAATGAAAACATACCATCAATATTTCTTCCGGTATCATAGGAAGGAGAGGAAAGCTGTTGAGAGTCTCCTGATGATGGAGAGTTCACGTTGGAACTGCTTCCACTTTTTCCACCTCCAAATCCAAAGAAGGACATTTTCTTCGAACGATCACTGATTTTCAAAATGATATCTCTCTGGAGATTGTTCTGAATGTTCTACCCAAGAACGATTTTGGCCTAAACAAGGATGTGGTGTAGGAAGCGCTTCCGAACACAGTGAAAAGATTTTTTTTTGTTGTGATATGAAGTTTCGCTGAATTGCAGACTTCGCAGTCTAAAACTGTGCTGAGAAAAAATTCAACTTGTGATTCAGCAAGCAGAATGGTGTGTGTGAGGAGAGAGACACTCTCTTGGAAAGGACCTCGAGTGGTGGCGTTGCGTTCGTGTGCCAAAAAATCCTTCAAATATACCTTTCTTACTTATGGATGCCTGTTGCTCATGTTATTTAGTTATTCGTTTTATTTGAGTTATGTGGTGCCGACCGTTGTGATTCATAGTGAGGCTATTGATTCCGATGCCGATGGAGTCATTGATGAAATTAGATATGATGATTTATTTATTAATTCAATTTCGTTTTCAAATGATACGTTCTATGATCCGCTGCATTTGGATGTTTTTAGAACATTTACTCTCCTCAAACAAAACAACACAAAATTTCATTTACCAGTTTTTGGATACATGTATTACAATACGGATCTAGAATTTTACTATCATCAATTGTTTCGATACAAAGATGTCAGTGATGATCATAGATATCTCTCTGAGTTTCATCATTTATTGCATTTGACATACAAGCTATATTTGAGAATGTTGTTCAAAATCATTCAATTAATATTCAATATTGAGTACACAATTTTCAAAGAGGTGGAACATTTCTTTCTCAGATTTTCAGCACCCAAGAAGCTTAAAATTTCACTAAGTATACCCATGTTGAATCATTCTCTGGTATTACACAGCGACGAGTATGGATATTTTTATCATGAAGTAGTTATGGATGCCCCCAACTACAAGGAGCTCGTTTGTGACAGGAATATGGATTGGATTGAGTACAGAGTACAAATTTTAGACCATGTAAAAACTGGCAACATTCTTTCCAATTGCGACACTTTCAAACGTGATGACGATACCAATGATGCACCGCTCTACTCAATTATTTCTGATATTGATGACAGTATCAAAATTACCAATGTCACAGGCGGTATTGCTGCCATGATGAAATCCACATTTAATCCATTCATCGCAGTTCCATGGATGAATGAATCCTATATCAAGTTTAAGGACACATACCACAATGCGAATTTTCATTATGTGAGCAGCAGCCCCTATGTACTCTATAACAAACTGGAGACTTTTATATTGAAAAATAATTTTCCAATTGGATCCTTTCATTTGCGTGTGTCCCACTTGGAAAATCGCTCATTTTTCACAATGCTTCGCTCAAGTAAGGTATCCAAACCTGTCACCATTCACGAAATTATGAAAAACTATAGTAGACGAAAATTTTTATTGGTGGGTGACAGTGCCGAAAATGACGCGGAAATTTATGCTCACTTTTATCATCAATATCCTCGAAATGTTGATCGAATATTAATTAGATGTGCCTCTCCAACATTGGAGGCCTGCATACAGAAAGTGCAAAAGGCAATGGCTCTCTATCAAGTACCACCTCATGTCATGGACTCTTTCGCTACTGATAGCTCAGATATTTTGGAAAAAATCATCAAACAACAGCAAAATGCAAGAAATTGAACGAAAATGGTTGCGTGAATAATGAGTGAATGTATGTGAATAATTTATTTTGCAATAATTTGGTCAATTACGATTTGGATGTGTGTGGAAACTGAGCAGATACTTTATTTTGGTCCTTTCAATTCTGGTCTATGCAAACTCAAGAGGTTCGTTCGCGAAACTATGTGTAGTTTCAACTACAACATGAGATACTTGGCTTCCAACTTCTTCTTTAGCTCTATGGAATCGGCATGTTCTGGATAAATATCCTTCAAGACCTTTAGAGTCAATTCGTGGGCCACTTGATGATTACCCTTTTTGAATGCTAGCAAGGCATTGTTGAATACGGGTTCGTGTTGATTGGGAGCGAGTGCCATCGCTTGAGCAAAATAATTTTTGCTTTCCTCGGAGTTGCCCATTCTCAATTCTAAAACACCTAAATTATTGAAACTCTCCGAGTGTTCATTATCTATACTGGTTGCAATTTTGAAACATTGATAAGCGAGACCCACATCACCAATTCCAATAGCCACTTGACCAATATTGTACCAAACATCTGCTTCGTTGGTGTCATCAGCCAATTGCAGAGCTCGGTCAAAACATGAAAATACCATATCATACTGTGAAGCGTAAAAGCAACATAGAGCCAAATTATTCCAAAGCTCCGTATTGTTGACGCCCATTTGTATGAGTCTTCTGTACAATCTCATGGCCACTTCTGGCTGATCCTCATAGAAATAATTGCTAGCCAAGCAAGCTATACTTTCTACATTGCTGCTATTTAGTTGCAAAACTTTTTCATAGTATTGAATTGACTTGTCGAGATCGTTTAAGGAATCATGCACTCGGGCAATGCCCAACAGCAAGTGTGTATCATTTGAAAATTTCAAACATGCAGATTCATATTCCTCTAGGGCCTTATTGGGTTGATCAAGTTTAAGAAATACTTTTGCCAACTCTAAACATGTTGCAATCATCATTTGAGATTTGATAGCTGATCGAAATTGTTTTTCGGCGTCACGCAACAATCCAAGTTGATAATAGCACTTTCCTAAACGAGCTTTCCACCACCAATCCTTAAATTCGGCCTCAATAGTGGCAAATGAAGCCAATTCCAAAGCTCGTTTAACATCATGCTCCACAAATATTAAATAATCAAAGAGGGCTTTGGCAAGAGGAGGCATAGTAGCATATTTTTTCAAATCAATATGTTCTGTCGAGATGGCATAGTCTTGGTCAAGCCCAGAAATTTTCATGGAGGCTGTTCCCAATCGCACAAATCTTCCTGTTGATGTCACAGGACGTGTTGTCCCTGGACGTGAGCCTTTAAAGATATTTTCAATACTGGAGGTACCTCCTCTACTTTGGCCAGCGGCGCCCGTTCCTCCACAGCTCGAAGTTCCTCTTCCACTATTTGTTCCAGGTCGAGAGAAGCCAGTAATTGGTCGCCCATCTTTTGTTTGAGGCCTAATGCTGGGATTGGCACTTCTCTTCCCTGATGAATTTGTGAGAGGCCTCTTGAGCGAGGTACCTGGTCTTGGTGCTGTCGTGACAGAGGTCTCATCGAGCAAAATATCAGCAATTCCTTCGTCTTCCATTTCGGTGTCGTCAATCCACATTTTTGCAGTTAGGGACTTGCATTTGAGATACCACATGGACATATCTTTGTAATTCTTTCGGAGCAATTCATTGCAACTATCCACAGCATCATCAAATTTTCTCCTTCGATATTTGAGCACAGCCCTTAAAGCAGGATCTAATTGATAGGCCTGAAGGTTGCTTGAGCCCGAATTTGATCCCTCATAGTATGAAGACTGATCACCGTCCAAGTATTGTTGTTGTTGTTGTTGCTGTTGGTACTGTTCCGAACCTTCATCCATGGATGAAAACTCAGAGAATCTAGAAGGTCTTGCTCCTTCCTCGAATTGCATTATTTTTTTGTATGAATTTTGTAGTTGTAGACTCGTGGCGGGTTTAGGCAATGATGAAGGAAATTATACTATATTATCATGAATGATCTAATTCGGATTCGATAGAATGTAATGGAGTAACTTGACGTCCCTTACAACTCAATATTATATATAGCCAGCGGTCCATACGATTCAATCATTCCTTTGGATAGATAAAAATGAAAAAACTTCTCAATGCTGCATCATCCAAGTGTCATCACCTCTTCTGTTTTATCAAGCAACAACAACACTCACCAATAGTCACCCCAATAATAAGGAGCTACTCATCGGGATTTGTTGAAAATCCTCACACACAAGAGGAAGTCAATGGTTTAATTTATATTCCGAATTATCTCTCAGAGGACAAGGCCAACCAATTACTGGCACATCTCGATTCTCACTCATGGTTCGATTCATTAATTTCTCGGAGAATACAGTGCTACGGTATTCACTATTATTTCACCAAATTATTCCATCCTGGTCTACAGCCCATGAGAAGAAGTAATTTACCTCTTCAAGAACTTGAATTTGTTACCAAAGATATCGAGCGAGATTTTAGTAGTATCGGAATTAGATTTATGAAGGATGAAGAAATTGTAGGACTTCCCGACTATTATGAACGATACAACTCGACAACATCTCTCAGCATGTCATTGAGCTCATCAGAATTGTCATCTCGTCATTCCACCATTATTCCAAGTCTTGATGATGACACTACTATTCACCAAGTTACTCATGAAGACGACAGAATTAATCAATGCCTCGTTCAAGAGTACTATCATCACACCATTGCAAAACATGTAGACAACACAAATGTATTTGGTAAAGAAATTGTGGGTCTTTCTCTCGTGAATGCTTGTGAAATGGATTTTGAACATGCAGAAAATCCCGAAATTAACTTTAAGCTCTTAGTAGAGCCAAATTCCTTACTTATCATGACGAAAGATTCTCGGTTTCAATGGAAACATGGTATTAAGCGAAAGAAACATCACCCGAGAAGAATTTCCTTGACATTTCGTCATTTGCTGTATTCTCCTGAAACGACGAGAGTGGAGTGATTGTTTGTGAAAAAGAAAGACACATACCATTCAATTTAGGTTTGACCAAATCATATCTTTGATGGTTTTGAAAGTCAACTTTGATTTGGCTCCAATGTTCCGAAATGATGAACTGGTATATACCCATCATCTCATGAGGATGTCATGGAGATCTAACGTCGCCAACACCTTGATTGACCAATTTTTGCAGACCAAGTCGATTCTCCATGATGCGTTTGTGTTTGTGAGAATTTACCCCATCGTTCCTGCACATCACCAAGTTGTAATTCTTCTTCATTACCGGCTCAATAGCCTTCCGAGAGAATCTACTAGCTCTTGCTCCATATGCCAAGCACCTTCAACTGTCGTCTTTATTTAAAATTTAACACAAAATAAAATGTCAGAGGAAGGCTCATCAGCATATCATCACTTTGCCCAATCTTCCGCTGCGACTTCTCATCTCAATAACAACTCCACCAACGCCAGCATTGAAGTAGATGCTGATTTTATAACGGCAGATGATTTTGATGACCTATTGGATTCCAATGGTGGCGCTCATTCTCTTCTACTTGGCTCTCAACACTCACAACATTACTCATCATTCCACCATTCACAACAACCACAACATCATCCACCACTACAACAAATGGCCCATACCAACAACAACCATCTCTCTCAACACACATCTTTTGATAACACAATTTTTGATTCAACCACAACCTCGTCGTCACCTCCTTCCTCCACACTTCTTTCACAACTCCATTATATGAACCAACAACAGCAACAGCAACAACAACAACCATTGAACATCATGATGAGTGGTAACAATCACCTTGAGCCAACCACCTTACTTTTGGACAGTAGTGAAATGATGTCCAATCATCTTCAACAACAACCACCACAGTTGAACACACCATCGTATGATGTGATGAGCATGTTGTCAGGCAGCATCACTCGTCCTCTTCGTCATCACGCACCGACCAACGCCACAGACACCACTACCAACACCGTATTTGCCGGTCCGCAGTTATCCTCCTTTAACTTGACAGCAGCAGTTCAGCAACAACCAACCCAATCAACAACAACATCTTCTCAACAACAACAACAATCATCATCTCTCACAGACGAACTCTTCTACAAAGAAATAGATCAAGCATTGAGTGATTATGACTCCTCTCTTGGACTCAAAGTCCTTCATGATGTTTCATCATCCTCTGCGCTCAATATCTTATCATCATCGGCACACCAGCAACAATCCTATCATCCTCATCATCAGGACTTGCTTTTGAGCAACATGATGTTGAATGAAGCAGCAACCTCCTCCTCCTCCTCCATTCTGAACAACAACTCCACAGTTGACCTGACTGGAGGTGGTACGAATAACAGCAGTAATAATAATCCATCATCAATGGTCGTTCCGATCAAAGCTAATACACCAACCCTCACAACCAACAACACCAATAACATCACCACCACGAATTCAACTCTCTCAGTCGGACCATTAGGACATCAAGTGATTGGAGGTGCTCCTCCACCACCAACACCACAAAACATTCAAGAGTTGCTTCAACAACAACAACATCTTTCTTTCCAACTTCAACAACAATCACAGCAAGGAGGAGGAAATGAGAGCTCATCCACGATGGCCTCGCAACTCATGATGATAGGAGGAGCAGCAGGAAATCATCACTATGTGAGTCCTTCCCCAAACATGAGTGGTAGTATTGTTGCTAATAGCTCTGGAATGATGTTTTCTCCTCAACAACAACAACAGCAACAAGCATCATTCTTGATCCAACAAGCCTTCTCTCAGCAGCAACCTGTGGTGTTCCATCATCACCATCAGCAACCCAGTACTCCATCGTCGAATGCACCAGTGGTAGGTACTTCTCAGGCTGTTGCTGGCAATGGATTTGTGTTTCAGACACAATTTCCCTTTCAACAACAACCACCACCACAACAACAACAAACCTTTGGTGGAATTATTCCATTCATGACCACTTCCTCTCCTAATTTCAATAGTAATAGCAATAGTAACAATAACATGATGATGGTTTCTTCTCCAAGCTCACCATTGCCAACATTGCAAACAATGATTGTCAATCCATTCCAGACTCAGCATCAACAACAAGCTCAGCAATCATTCCCGATCAAATCTGTTGAGAACATCAAGATGGAGAGTGATCGAAGAAAGAAACGTTCCAATAGTACCAATTCTGTGATGAGTATTGATTCTACCTCATCATCCATTAATTTACAAAAGCACATTCATGTGAGAAGTCATTCCAATCACTCGAATTCGAACTTGGCGTTGCATTCTAACAACAATAGCTCGGGTAATAACATGACACCACAATCACCTCTCGTATTGAACGGTTCCAATATGGGTAGTAATAGTAGTAATAGTGGTAATCATAGAGCAATTTATTCGGAACCTTCCTCTCCCGTCATGGTGATGATGGGTAGCAGCCCCATTACGATTCACAACAACAACAACCAAAACATGATGATGTCCCCTTCACCAACTTGCAGTCCTACCTTAGGTTCATCATTACCAAACAGCAACATGACATCATCTCATTCAAGAAGAAGTCGTTCCGGATCCATGAGTAGTGGAGGCTCTCACAAACCCTCTGCAGTTCCCAAGAGAACCAGCAGTTTACAATTTCATTCGTTTTTCTGTGATGAAGAGGGTAATGTGAAGCAGCAAACCTCATCAACAACAGGAACAACAACAACGACGACCACTTCTTCCTCTCCTCCAACTCTTAACACTACAAGCGCTTCTGCTCAATCTTCTGCAGGAAACTCTTCTTCGCCTAACATGATGATGGGTGTTTCCTCTCCAACTATTGCCAAATTGAATCAAATTGAAAACAGAAAGAAGAGAAGTCAAAGTGATGGAAATTTGCAACTATTTGAGCAGAAACAATCCAAGAAAAAGTCTTCTGGACTCAACTCTCCTCAATCATCAACCATGTTTGAAACGTCCAATTTAGAAGTTGGAGGTAGTGCTAGTGGTGCATCTTCTAACTCTCCAGGAGGAGGAGGTACTCAATTCACATTTGTTGATAATTCTAGTCCTAATTTATCCCTTCAACAACAACAGGTACTATTCAGTAAGAAGAATTACATGCCTACCTATGTACTAAGGCACAATATTTATGACGAGTTCAAGTTCAAATCCAAGAATCCCAATCAAAAGTATTACAAATTCTTTGCCAACCAATAGTTGCGTTTGGGTTGGCCATTTGTAAATAGCGAAATGCAACCTTTTTTATAAGAACTGCCAGATGCCAATCACCTAATTTTTTCATCGTAGTTGGTTGATTGCAGAGAGTGTATGATTATCTTGCGTAATTTTAGTAAATGATTATTTGTAACAAACCAACAGTGGGGAACAATCATCATGTGTGCCTTAATATGCTTCTTTAGATGTTCAAATTTTTTCATTCCATTCATGCAATTCCCCTTCTAATTGGACTACCTTCAACAAGGAACTCAATCTGCAGTAACCATCCCTTCTTCATATTTGGTTTTTATCAAAATTCGGAAGATGTTTCACTCCATAAATCAAGGAAATACTCTTGAACAAGTAATTGCGCGTTAATTGAGTTGATGAAAATCGTCACAAACGATCTCTTCGAAAACTCATCATAAAAACAAAAACACCATCAAATTTGGTTTCCACTCACAACCATCATGGTCCTTTCGACGGTTGTTTTGGTCATTTTGGCCATTCTTTTGCCACCAGTACCAGTGGCCATTAAAACAGGATGCTCTTTACATTTGGTCATTAATATATTGCTCATGATCTTTACGGTGTACATTGGAGCCTTAATTCATGCGATTTATGTCATTTTCGCAGTACCAGGTCCTTAAACCATGAAAATGTGAGATCGTCCTTCCTTTAGAATTTACAAACGTTTATTTTGATGCTTCAAATAAAACGACGTTGTAAAAAGTGTTGTTGTTGAAACAGAACGAATCATTCCGATGAGAAGACAGGATTTCCTCGAAGATATTTATACCAAATAAAAAAAATTAAAAAAGTGCTTTGAAAGAGCTTTGGTTATTATCTCATAAACCATCACATATTCTGTTCGTGAGAAAGTAATTATAATTAACAGGCCTGATCAAAACTTCTACTGCTATTACTAATCAACAGTTGGATATTTTTAAACAACGTTTTCTTGTAGGAAATAATCATCAAAAATGGAGGATTGTCCCTATGAAAAGGTGAAGTGGATTGCCTCGGGTGGATTTGCAGAAGTATGGTATGTCATCATAATGTTCATTCTGTAATAACTCGGAGCCCCTTGATGGTTGACTTTACGGTTGACTGTCATGAAAATGATCATCATATAGGAAAGGAATTGATAAAAGAACAAAACAGCCAGTGGCTATCAAAATTGTTGATTTGGAAAATTCAGAAGAGGATATCGAGGATATTCAAAGAGAAATTCATGTTCTCAAAACAATGGATTGCGAGAATATTGTCAAAATTTATGGCAGTTATGTTGTTCGACAAAAATTGTGGATAGTTATGGAGTTGGCAGAGGGAGGAAGCGTTGCCGATCTGATAAAACCTGGTCCTCTCGATGAACAATATATTGCAGTAATTTTGAGAGAAACTTTAAAAGCTCTAGAATATTTGCACGCGGAACATAAAATTCATCGTGATTTGGTAAGTGCAAGAATAACTCGGAAATTGGAATGAATAATTTATTCAATTATTCGTTATTATTCGTTATTATATATATCTTTATCTATTTAATTATTTTATTATGATTTTTAATGGAACCATTTATTTTTGAACGAATATAATATTACAGAAAGCAGCCAATATTCTCGTTGGCGAGAATGGAGAGGTCAAACTTGCAGATTTTGGTAGGTTTTTTTGAAATCGAAATATTCAGACATTAATGTTGATTTTTTGAAACCTGCATACATTACGAACATGAACAAATAATCTTGTTCGTTCATTTATTCATGCATTCATCAATTGAAAATTCAATACCTTCTTTTATGCACGTACTTGTCCCATGTCTAGGCGTGGTTGGAGTCTTGTCAACAAGTGGAACCACTGATGAAACCATTCAGAAACGATATAGTTTTGTAGGGTAGGTGTCATTTAAGATTATATAAATTCAATGTTTCATTTCTCTGTAGAACTCCCTTCTGGATGGCCCCAGAAGTCATTAAACACGAAGGAGCTGATCAAAAAGCAGATATTTGGTCACTTGGAATAACAGCCATTGAAATGGCAAAAGGAGAGCCTCCATATGCTCATGTGCCCATTAATACTGCCTTTTTTCTAATTCAAAAGAATGAGCCGCCCACTCTCGAAGAGAACAAATTCTCTAAGGCATTTAAGGAATTTGTCATGTTGTGCTTGCAGAAAAATCCACAAGATCGATTATCAGCAAGCGATTTATTGAAACACAAATTTATCAGAACAGCAAAAAAGAACACCATACTGGTCGATCTCATACAGAGAAAGGCTGCATGGGACAATAACAAAAAACTAAAGAAGGGAAGAGGTGGCTCTTCAGACTCAGACAGTGACAGCTCGCTCGACGACGAATTATCAGACGATGATGACGACAGTGAAAAACAAAAATATACCACGCGACAAGGAAAAGGTTTTTGGGAATTTGGATCTGATGGAACAAACACAGTTCGAGAAGTTCCAAATCTACCTTCCTCTTCGACCACCACAAACACACCAATCTCAACACCTCCAACCAAGAAATCTTCCTCTGACCAAAAGAATGACACTGTCAACTCTGTGTCATCAGTGAGCACAATTTCAAGCAATGCTTATCCATCCGAAAAACGAAGGAACCCTTCACGAGATTCAATAGAAACTAGAAGTGACGATGAAACCTCTCCTAGTACCCATACCATCGTTCAACGTAAGGACAAGACACAACCAATGGATTCTGTTCGAAAAGGTGCATTACCCTCAATCATGTCTGAATTAATGAAAGAAAATAATAGTACAATATCACCCGCAAGCACGAGCTCCATAATGGAGGACATCATTATTCCATCATTTAAAGATGCAAAATCACAACAAGCAGCAGCATCGTTATCAACCATTGTCGAAGAATTAGAAAAGGTTGAAAAGAAAGATTCTCAATTTGCCCAAAACCTTCTTGCTGCTCTTATTACACGAGTTCAAAAAAGTGAAAATATACCTCCACAATTTAAACATGTAGCATCGACAGAATCTTCAATTGCCTCCAATTCAGAAGGTATGGAAGCTATCAGCCAGAATTTACTCAAACGATGGAAACTTAAAGTGAAAACTCTTGACCACTGAGAACTGAATGTAATGTAGATAAAAACTCTCAAATTAAGGAAATTTTCAGCAGTTATGCTTATTTGAACCTATGGATCACCTGACAATCGCGGAGACTTTCTGGTATTGGAATCTTCTTGGTGAAAGTTCTTGGCAATGGCTGTTCCTATAGGAATCCTTAAACGTGTTTCCAGTCGATATAATTATATTAATTGGAGGTGGCGTGTAAGGAAATTTTAGATAGAATGAATAATGAGAAATGTCAAATTGACGTCAGAATTTGAAAACGTAAATTTTTAGTGCTCGCTCAATTCCACGCGCATTTGTGCGGTCATCGAATAGAACAAAGTTGGCATGTCACCCAAACAGATCTCAACTTGAAAATTGTAATCAATCCCTGATTGCAATCGATCCCTCTCTCTAAATTAAGAAATCATTTCAAAAAAAAGCATGCAACACGAAGAGGATGACCACCATCATCGGCTTTCTTCTTCTTCAATGACCCACCACACGAGTAATCTTGTCTCTGATCCATCAGCACCATCATTCTCGGAAGAAGAAGAAGAAATAGGCTTTGAATCGGACTCTCTGAGTGCAACCTCGTCAACTGCCATCTCAACCAATTCCTTCCTCTCTGTAACGACCCTCCATGCTGCTGCTGCTGCTGCTGCTGCTTCAAATCCTTCATCATCAGTGCCAGTTGGCTTGTTGAACAGCCATCCGAGTAATGGTAGTAGTAGTAGTGGGCATGGATCGAGTCCCATCTCTTCATTGTCTCCTCGTTTTTCTTCTTTGCAAAGTATGACCACTCTTTCTTCAACGCCACCACCACCTCACAATTTTGGAGGAAACACCACAAGTGTATCATCATCAGCACCTCCTTCCTTCTCGCTCTTGACGACGACACATTCGTCATCCTCTTCCGTAGATCGAATGATTAAAACCTTGTCATTATTCTTACAGGATGTTCATTCATCGGAAGATTTGCATTATTGGGATTCCAATAACGAAACGAATCGAGAAAAACTTGCGAAAATATCGCTGTCGACGTATCACATGCAACGATTGTTTGAAAGGATTGAACAATATCATCAACAAAAGAATCGAGAGGGAGACTCGATGAGCAAGGCCAAACACTTGTTTCAATGGGTGTTGGATAAAATTGTGAACACTTCTGATTCCTATCATGCCACAAATTCGGATATGGATATTTTGATTCAAAAATTTAGGACAGTTGTGACAGAAATTGAGGTGTTTTTTAAAAAGTTGAGAAATGAAAAAGAAGAGACAACAAGGAGTGTGGTTGTGAATTTGCGATATTTTGGAGCTTTAAATCAAATCATTTTTACTGGAAAATCGACCACTTGCCAATTCATACTTTCCTCTATTATTAATCCTCCAAAAAATTTACGAGGCATAACGTTTAATAGAAATGTGAACATTGAAACGTTTGATAGTATTCTAGACCCAGAAAATACAATTTTTTCGAGCTTACGATTCATTGATTGTCACGAACTACTTCACAAATTAGAAGATGACCAATGCTTGGGTGAATATGTGTTGAATCAAGTGAAATCTGTATATATTGAAAAGTGCGAAATTGCTAACTTGAGCTGTTTGTTTAAACCCCATCGAATATGGAAACAACTTTCAAAACTGAGGATGAGAAAAACCAAATTGAATGACATTTTCTCTTTCAGTGATTGTATTCCAACTATTCGAGAATACCACATGTCACACAACTATCTATCATGTGTACATATCCCATCTTGTATAGTTACTTCGAATTTAGCGATTTTAGATTTAAGTTTTAATTTATTAGAAACTCTTGACAGTTTCTCGAGAGTTAAACTTCCCAACTTGGAATTTTTAGATGTTTCACATAACTACTTGACCAGTGTGAAAGGAATTTTACGAGCTTGCGGAAAGAATAGCCTCAAGCAACTCTATCTTCATGCGAACAATATTTCCCAATTTGAAGATGTCTATTTCTTAAATTATTTTGAAAATTTGCATGCATTGACACTTTTAGAGAATCCCATTGAGAACGAATCAACTTATCATCAAACCATATTGAATTTATTTTCCAACTCTTCGAAACTCTTCTATTTTGATGAAACCGAATATGAATTGAAACAATTCAAAACTTATTCATTTCCTCTTGTAAGTGATGAAGAGGTACGAGAGGCATCAGAAATGTCTGCTGTCACTGTATTGCCATCTTCTATTCCACCTCCACCTCCAATATTCTCTAATATCCCACCTCCACCTCCCATGTTTTCCAACATGGATGAAAGTGTAGTACCACCACCGCCACCTCCTCCAGATATGGGTGGAATTGTTCCTCCACCACCACCTGGGTCGGTTCCTCTTCCTCCAAATGTTCGAGTGATTCCAAGAAAAACAAAAAAAGAAGTCTCTAAAACAAAGAATATTCATTGGAAACCTGTCACACTGACCAAAACGAGAAGTAGATCCGTTTGGAATGTAGAAGAAAAAGTGGATGTCATTTCTGTGGATCATTTACAAAAATTGGAGACCATTTTCTCGGCCTCCAAGGATTCTCCATCTCGAATAGGTTTAGCTAAAAAAGCCATCTCCAAGGAATTAGAAACCGTTATTGATTCCTCTCTATCCAGAAATTTGGAAATTTTAATTAGTGGATTGTTCAAACAGTGTGATGTGATCTCCATCATTCAAAATATCAATCATCTAGATACTCAGAGATTATCAATAGAGCAAATGAAAGCCATTTCTCAGTTTGTTCCTGCCATTGAAGAGATGAGAAAAAAGATCTTTATTGTAGAGAAGAATATTCAAAAATTGAAACCTGCACTTATGTGGACATGGCATTTGTCACAAGTTCAACATTTACCAATCAAAATTCAACTCATGCAATACATCAAGTCCTTCGACACCAAGTCTCTCCTCTCAATCATTGAATTGAAATACAATGCTTACGAACAGATACAAAATTCAAAAGCATTTGTGAAAGTTCTTCACATTCTCTTATTTCTAGGAAATTATATGAATCGAGGAAAAACCAAACTTGAAGACGCTCAAGGATTTCATTTGAACATTCTTCCGAAATTGAGTGATACCAAAGCACAACACAATTCAAAAACCTACACATTAATTCACTTTCTTGCAGAAACTTTAAAGAAAGATAGTAATGACCTCTATAATTTTGAAGCAAATCTTGAGAATTATGTTTGTAATCCAGATATTGTCAACACGAGTTTGGAAACGATACAACTCAATTTGAAAGAACTCGAAACTGTGAAAGATTATTTCCTTGAAAATCGGCAGCTCTTGCTTGCTGGAGATGAGGCTAAAACAGAGCATGATGAAGTTTTGTGTAAAAACTTTTCATCATTCTTGGCCCAATGTGAAGAATCAGTGTCACAAGTTCAAAAAGCGTTCAATAAGCTTCAAAATAGCTTTACGATGGCCTGTGACTTTTTCCATTTCAATTATGATGAGGTCGCTTCACAAACGAATGGAAGTGGCAGTGATCAATTATTGGTCATCATACGAGACTTTATCATTCAATTCAAGAAAGCAAAGGAAGACATTGAAAAGGAAGAGAAGAAAAATTCGCAACCATCAACACCTTCGCGTAGGGGCTCAGTCATGATGCGGGTACAATCGATTTCTGAAATGAAAGTGGAAGCTCCTTCTTCATCGACGACGATGACAAGTTCGCCCTTATCGACCTCCCCAACATTAACTCATCACAATGACACGATTATTCGGAATTACCGCAACCGAAGAAAACATAGCCTTAAATCTAAGAGTTTTTCATCATTTGCAGAGTTGCAAGCAGACTTGGGACAACAGACAGCCACCCAATCCTCACCAACCTCATCCACGAATACCATCCCCACAGAAAGTGAAACCATGGTTGATTCCAACATTAGGTGTAGAGAATAATTTATTAATGATGGTGAGGTTGTTGTTGTTGATTATTTTGGTTTTCTTGTTGTTGCTTGGACCTTGAAATAATTGTTTGAATCATGGCTTCGATTTGTTTTCCGAGTTCAGCAAGATCCAAAGCCGTCACACAACTCACATTCACCAGTTTTGAATTAATATCTTTAGATGTAAAAAGATTAATTATAAAATCTCTGGCAATATTTGGGTCCTTTTCTCCAGTATAGGTTTCGAAAGTGTCTTGTAATCTCACTCCGGCATTAATTTTTTGTTCAAAAAGGTCATACTTGTTGAATAGTAAATAAACTTGAGCATTAGTGAACCATCTCGAGTTGATGTGGTCCTCGAACAGTTGAAGAGATTCTTTCATACGGTTAGTTTGGTCATCCTCATAACACTTTTGATCAAATTCACTCATACTTGTCACAAACAAGACGACATCAACTCCTTCAAAATGATGTATCCATTTTTTACGTTCTGTGAATTATCAAGTTGTTGACATCACGTTCCGACCATATTCATTCAAAATTTTCCAAGAACAAATTGTCACAATACCATCAAAAATGTAAGAAAGTGTTCCAATAATTATGTTTCACAAGATATGGTAGAAATAACTCGAGTTAAACATACCATTTCTCTGTCCACCGACATCTATCATGACAAACTCGGTATTATGAGATACAAATTTTTGTTCAATGAGACCGGTTGTTTTCATTCTGGCTCTCACAATATCTTCCTCAGTAGGTATATAATTTTCCTCACAAATTCGTTCCAAGTTATCAAAGTAGTATTGAGCGGAGTCTTCAATTTGAAATGCACTTCGTTTTTGAAAAGTTCGTTGGACACCAGGATCTTCCCACAGTTTTTTAATTTCCAAACCGAGTTCCGAGCTCCATACACGTTCAATAGAGAGCAATACTTTGGATGATAGTTGGTCAATCTTGCCCGCTCTGAGATGTGCAAACGTGTATTGTGCAATTTTTTGTAAAATGCAACAGAGAGATAGTGTATGTAAAATGAGAGGAATATTGGCAATTCAATGCATCATAACAATTACAAGCATTTGAAAAGAGAATAAAAGATTTTCAGAATAAAACTTGGTCGTGGCGTCAATCACTTACCTTTCTCTATTATCTTCATTTTCTATCGGTATCTGGAATGTATGTGTCGCTTTTATCAGACTCATCATATTTCTCAGCACGTTCTCATAAATGACATTCTTTTTCAAAATTCTCTCCTCGACCGGAAAGCCATTGTTATAAATTCTTTGAAGTTGTTTGAATATTGTACCTGTTATTAAGTAATTAATATATGAATCGCAAAATAGCAACAATGATGAATGAAATAGCGTTCAGCACCATTTTAACACCAAAAGTTTCCAAAAATGAAAAGTTGTGGTCATCATTTGGTTAAAACGTTTTTTGATGGATAACACGGCACGGTCCCAAAACGGTGAATGATGTAAATGGCACTCTACAACCACTACTACTTACTTTTTCCAGAGTCACCAGCGCCCAATAACAGAATCTTTTTAGAGTCTAGTATTTCTTCTTCCTTTGAAGATGATTTGTCTTTGTTTCCAAAACAGCCCATGTTTTGTTGTTGATTGTAATGAGAATATAAAATTGTTGTGTGTGTAAATGAAGTGGTAGTGACGTCGTTGTGATTCAATGTAGAGGTGATGTTGTATAAATATTTGTTGAAATAATGTATACGATGAATGTTAATTGATGGTGATAATTGTGATGATGATGACGGATGACAGCGATGATGGGTGTTTCAAATAAATATTAATTGTGTAGGTCAATAGGAATTGATGATATGAAGACAAAGTTGTTCTCGGTATTCCACTTCCACACTAAACTATATCAACGATGATTCAATAATGATGGTGTTGTGTTGATGGATGGTATTCAGGATGAGAGAACTTGTACTCATTCAAAAAAGGCTCTCGTCCTGTGGTGATGATGATGTGGTACAAAATTTCCAAACCGATGATGATCACTCACTTTCTACTCTGATGATGAGTAATACAAGTTTGTCAGTCTGACTGCACAAGGTCTTCAGTAGAGTTGTAAACAAATGAAGAAGTGGTATAAAAGTGGTGGATTTGGGTGTTCGGCAGTTGTTGTTGTTGTTGTTTCGGTGGTGGTGGTGATGGTGGTGGTGACAGTGAATTCGTTTTATCGCCGACTACAAAATATGTTTTGGTTTGTATTTTCTTTTTTGAAAGGTTTTGAAAATTAAAATCTCACGCTTTGGAATGTATAAAATCAAAGAGGAGGGTGAGATAAAGGGGCTGCTACTAGTACGATGTAGTAAAAACTTTGGTTTCAGAAAAGAGGGGAAACTGCATCAAGTACTTGTTGAGGATTTAATGGTATTTATTGGTTGCAATCATCTTTGGAAAGACTGTAGATTCAGGAAATTTGTCCATTCTCCTGAAAGAGAAAAAATAAACGAGAGTGTGCATGTTGAGTGTTGAGCAACCTTGGACGCGCGTCAAAGGCTTAAGAGCCCAAGATCTTTATCTAAGAGTGGTGGCCTGCTGCAATGTAGTACATTGGGTGAATTGAGGCTAATTTTCATCGTTCATTCTAATCACTCTAATGAACACTCGTAAAGCAACCAAGCCAATCAAAAAGATGATTTTATTGAAACTGAACCCGCTTATTGAACTTGACCCAAAAAGACTTTCGGAACACTTGTTGAAACCATCCTCTTTCCTTCAATTCCGATGATATCACGATGACAGACACAAAACAAAAAATGTCTTCTTCGTATCACTCGACGAGCAGCCTTCTGAGTGGTGGAGAGAGCAACAGTCCGAGCACAGGAAGTAACAGCAGCACACCAACCAACTCCCCTCGTTTCATACCCTGTTCTTCTTCCTCCCATCAACATTTGGAAAGTAATCATCAGAACAACAATGGCACAAGTCTTGGTCGGACTCTCTCAAGATCTTCTACTCCATTACGGGAACAGAGGAATAACAACAATAATCAGAGCGGATCATCATCGGAACATAATGTCCATCATCTTTCTCCGAGACAGCAACAACAACAGCAATCATCACCATTATCCATCGGTTCACCCTCCGAAGCTAGGCTTGTGATGGATCAATTGGACATGACTCAACTTGTGCATGAAAATAGCCAAAACTTACCTACCACAACCAATCCCTCTTCATCCTCTTCCTACGTGGCTATTGCTGATCCACCGTCCTCAGCGAGAAGTCAACTCAGCGCTGAGCTACAACATTTAAGATCTGTCTCCGATCCAACCTCTCTAGTGACTACCATGAGTATTTCTCATATTCAGAATAATTTGACAAATAATAATAATAATATAACTTTGCAAATGAATGTACAACAACAGAGAATGCCTTCTTCACCATCATCGGTATCCTCACAAAGTAGGAGTTATGTTTTTGTAATGGCTGAAAATAATGTAAAATTACAAAAAGCAAAACTGACATTTGGAAAGGAGCATTCTTCGAAAATACCCTCCTTGTTTAATAATGCGGAGTTGAGTGATTTCAAAATAATTTTGAAACATTCATCAAAATTGAATTTATTGAATTGTTTGGGCACAAGCGGAAATGCTGGTGATAACTCTACCAGCGAAAAGAACGAGTCTTCGAGTACCGAAGCTGAAGACGTCAACATTTCTTCATCGAGTATTACCACCAGCACATGCGGCAATGGAGTGAGTGGCAACACCATGCTACCACATTGCTTACAAAATGCAAATCAATTCGAGGAGGAGCTTTCGATACGAACAATGCCAGAGAAGCCCTTTGTCACATTTACTGAGCTACATGTCAATAAGGCAATTTTAGCCTTATACAGCCCCTTTTTTATGAAAATGTTTTTCGGTGATATGAAAGAGAAAACGAGTACTCAAATAGAAATCTATGACCACTCTGTGATTGAGTGTGAAGGATATGATCATAACGTGAACGAAATTGGATATGAAGATGTCAGAATATTTTGTATCATGATACAGAGCATGTATAATCTTCAAGTTGAATGCTTGGAATGCGATTTGGCTCCTCTCTTGGAGACAGCTGACAAGTACATGTTTGGAGATTTAGTGACACTCTGTGAAGCTTATTTAGAGAAAAATTTGAATGAGTTCAATGTACTATCATGTATATTTTTAGAAAATTCCAAGTATCAATCACTCAAAACTAAGGCGAGCCGATTTATTGCCCAAAAGTTTTTCATTATTTGTAAGAATGGACAGTTAAATCTCATTGGAGACATTGAGACTGTATTGAGCATCCTTTCGAGGGATGATCTAAATGTCAGGACAGAAGACGATATTCTTCATGCTGCTCTGCAATGGATTGAATACGATTTTGCTACACGAAAGAAATACTTTCCAACCATTTTGAATCACATACGGTTACAATATTTATCACCAAGTTGTTTGAATCATTTAATTTCTCTCCCAGAAAAATACGTTCCAGATATGGAATTAACAGTCAAGTTACTGAAGAAAATTGCAAAGGCCATGAGCTGCCAACTCAACACCATTGTTCAAAAAGTAGAAAAGGCCAACCAACAATTAGCACTGCATAAGAGTCAGCCGTCATTAGCATTGATCACATCACTCGCCAATAGTAAGGATGCCAAAGATTCGAAAGATTTGTTATCGCCAAGCCTCAATACAAGTTTGCCCGTCATTCAAAACTTGGAACAAATTTCTGTTCTGAGCCCTACCTCCATATTCGACAGTTCTGAAGTGATTGGAGCCTCCAATAATGGAGAGGATGATTTTATTAGCACAAAACCTAGACATCATGTAAGCGGTATTGTGACTGGATTTGATGTGTTAATGATGGTAAGTGTAATTCACAATTCATCTAAAAGAGCAACATATACTATTGAATCATCTGTTGCTATTTCTCAATATTATGAACTCGAAATATTATTTACCACGCACATTGCATTTACATGAATGTTAATACATGAATGTTTCCAACTATAGGGCAAGGATCTTAAAATTTCAAACGATCAAAAGACTCTTTGCAAAGTGAATACAGATGGATGGTCGGTCAATTTATGTGTTGAACCGGTGAGAATGGGACAACGAAAGGAGCTGCACATTAAGGTGAATAAGACCATACATGGAATAATTAACATTGGAATTTGTAAATGTGATGTGAATTTAAATGGTAACCTCAATTATGAGAATGGTAAGTAACAAGAAGACGTAAGGGCATTATTTAATTTTTTTTATTTATTAATCAATGACTATAAATATGGCACTGAATTGCTTTCACTCCACGACACTCTCTATGGACACATTTAACAGGCTGGTGCTATTATTTGTACAATGGGCATACGTGCCACAATTTTCACTCGTTAAATTATGATGGAGTGGCATGTGGAACCAATGATTGTTTCAAAGTTCAATTGGATTTACGATACAATGGTACATTATCGTTTGCTAGAAACGGTCAACCCTTGGGAATTGCATTCTCTGATCTTTGCAAAAAGCTTAATGGAGAGGACGATGTGTTTTATTTTGCCGTAGCTCTGTACAGCTCTGGAGATTCGGTCTCAATTATTAAAAATTGATTGGTGACGTCTTGAAAAGTTGGAGACTTTAGAGTTTGGACTGTCGTTCAGAAAATTTTCGGGCGCCTTGTAGTGTTTCCATATTCAAAGGGGCTAGGCCATACTCGTATTCCTTTTGCAGTTTTGCTCGAAGAGGGCTATACACTGAATCGTAAGCTGATAATTTATCGTGTCTCATGCACAATTGAGGAAAGGTACAGAGTTGTTTGGCTAATTTAGTGGCCTCTTCCAAGACATTATCATTTTCAGATACTAATCGATTTGCAAGGCCAATATTATATGCTTCACAACCATCAATTTCACGTCCAGTTAATATCAAGTCCTAATCATTGAGAATTCAAGCAGGGTATATTTCCAAATGATTAGAAGAAGAACGGTGAGGTACATGCAACATTGTGCAAATGAGAAATTATAATTTAAATTTCAAAGGTTGTTTGTCCTTTTTCAATCATTGTGAAAATGCACCACGAAACTTACCATTGCTCGTGAAAGGCCTAGAAGAGCTGGTAATCGAATTGTTCCTCCATCAATAAGAGGCACTCCAAATCTTCGACACAACACACCAAAAATTGAATTTTTCTTGCACACTCGTAAATCACACCACGCGGCGAGTTCCAAACCACCAGCACAGCAGTAACCACTACCAATGGCTGCAATAACGGGTTTAGATAAGACCATTCTCGTTGGTCCCATTGGACCCTTCAATGTTTCGTATGCAGATTCTACTTGATTCATATTTCCTTTCGCCACTTCTTTCAAATCAGCGCCCGAACAAAACATATCTTCTCCTCCATAAAGAATGGCCACAAGGGCAGTTTCATCCTTTTCAAAATTATAAAAAGCTTGGAACAACTCATCGGCACATGGACGATGGACGGCATTCTTCACATGAGGACGATTAATCCTAATAATTGTAATACCCTTCTCTTCGGGACATTGTGATACAATAATGTGTCTAAAGTTTGTTTTCGGAGCCAGTGGATGTTGTTTTGGAAGACTGTTCGTGTGATGATGACTTCCGTGATACTTTTTATGTCGATGAGAAGTGAATATATCTTCCGATTCAAGAAATGCCGAATTTTCCTGCATATTCATGTGTTTCTTTGTGTGGTGGTCATCACTAGTGGTTGTTGTTGTTGCTGTTGTGGATGAAATGGGGTTGGTTGGAGAACTATTACTCATAGGATCGGAATGTACCCGAACATCTCTACTTGTAGTACAATTCCGTGTGGTGGTGGTGGTGGTGGTTGCCCCAGCAGTAGTAGTAGTAGTGGCCTTTCCTTCTTCTTTTTCCGATAAGTCCTTTCTTTGGCTGTGAGAGTGGTGTGGAAGAAAAAACGCAGGCACTAGCTTGGACATTTTTTTCTTTGGCTTGTTTGTTTTTTAATATATGAAGAAGAGGAAGAAGGATTCAGGACACAGTTTGAGAGAACTGAAGAAGTGAGTGTTTGGAATTGAATTGAACATGCCCAGTGGAGTCTTCCTTTGGGTGCTGCTTGCGTTGTTTTTCCCAACCTAACAAGAGATTCGTTTGAGGTTTTTTTGGAAACAACAAAAAAAATATTGAAAGCAAAGACCGAGAATTTCATATCTCTCTTGTGCCTAAAAGACATTCATCCTTAAGAGTTTCAAAATGAGGAGCTCACTCACCGATGAAATTAAAAAACAAATTAAAGAAAAGTGGAAGGAAGCATTTAAATTGAGTGTAGAATTTAATTCCGATAGGGCCATTCATGAGGATCAATCATTGAAATATTTACATACTAAGAAAAATGTGGCAGGTGAGTACACAAGTTGAAAATTGATGTAAATGAATGAATTTGGAAAATGATGAAATATGTACAATGATAATGTGAATATGGTCGATTTTAATCCAATGATGGATTTCCTGTCCTTGTGAATACTTTTTCGGAAATTTATTTTCACTTTACTGACCTCGTCATTATTATTGCTTTTTTTTATCACCATGGTGAATATCCTCGAATTTGTTTAATTAATTTTAAAAGTCTATACAAGTCATGATCAACATCGATTTGATGGACTCTACGTCATTCGAGGAGACATTCTCGTAGAATCTTGCACAGCAGAGGAATATCGAAAACCTTTTCTTTCATTGGATCTCGAGATCAAACGCGTAATGGATCCTCTCACGAAACGAAATGAAACCATTGAATCATGGACCGATGAGGATGGAACTTTTCTCATTCAATACTTTTTAATTGAAACAGGTCCGTTTGTTTCAGATCGAGATTTTATTTATGTGTTGAAAGTTGTGGAGACTTCTCCGAGTGAGAGTTATGTGGTCTTGACAAGTATTGATAAGATTTATACACCTCCTGAACATTTTGAAATTGATAAGTCAGCAGTGAGAGCGAATAATATCTTTGTGTCACAACGATACGAACAGTTGGAGAATGGAGATTTGAAAGTGAGCTACTCGACTCTATCAAATCCCTGCGGTTGGATACCCAATAGTTTGACGAATATGTTTCTGCATGCACAACCCATGAAAATGTTAGATATTGCAAGATTGGCTGGAAAGAATGTGAAGGGGCATGAGCCACATGTGAAACGGCATCAATAATCTTTTTGTCACAGTTTCCCATACTGAAATAATTTCATTGAGTAAATACAGTTTCGTTACTGTTTCAACAATGAAATTATTAACCTTACTTGAGGTCATGGTGAAAGTGCTTAGTTGGCATTCAACTTGACCTTTCTAAATGGAGAGCAATTAAGGGTTAATACTGAGGTCATGGCGACAGTGCTTATGATCATTCAAAAAGGCAACTCTTGCATTAAAAGTTTGAAGGATGTAATCAAATTTATTAATAAATACTCAAGATTTCAGTATTGCTCATAATCATGCTGCTGATTAGTCTTTTAATTAAAAGTATTTGGTTGTTGATAAATTTGATTTTGTGAAGGTACAGATGTTTGTGAAATGTACTGTTGTGGTTGTTGATAGACCTGAGTGGTTGCCACATACTGTGGTTGTGATTGAGGTAAATAGGCCGACTGAGGATTAAATGGAGGTTGATAAGGTGGTGGCTGATAATATCCTGGTTGTTGTTGTTGTTGTTGTGGTTGTTGATAATACACAGTTGAAGTCACTACAGGTTGAGGATGTTGTTGGTAACCAGGTGGCATTGGAGGTTGATAATTACAAGTAGTATTTGGTGTGTTCGTGGTGTGGTACGTTGAGGTAGTGGTTGTGACCTGTTGTTGAGGAGGTTGAACCTGCACATTCAAAGCAAAACTTGTTGGATAAATCACACCACTCATGCCCATAAATCCTGTTCCCTTGTAGGTCATTCCTCCCGACATGACAAACAAGTAAGCATTAATGAATTCATCGAGAGTGATCACTCCATTACGATCTGTATCCATCATGAAAAACAAATGTTTGGCTTGATGTTTGTGCAAGCCAAGACAGGCCATGGCTCTCTTAAAGCCTCGTTTGTTAAGGTAATTGGCACCAAACATGGTATGTTGATAGAAGAGAGATTGAGCCTGTGAGATCCATGTACTGCGGTAGGTATAGAAATGTTGAGGCTATATTCGTGAAAATTGTTTAAACATTGATCATAATTATGATCAAGAAAGATCATTCGTTCATCCAATATTATTGATTATGATCAATGAATGAATGAGTGAATGATATATCAACCAATTTGAATGGGTTAGGCTTTTCAAATCTATTAAATTACATTCATTCACTTACCACTACAAATCCAACAGGAATCCATCTTGGGCAAGTACCATGCCAAAACACGGAACAAGAAGAAGGTATTGTGGTGGTGGTAACGGTGGTTGGAGAACTGTGTGTATTAGAAACAGCAGAAGCAATAACAGCTCCTCCTAATAGACCCAATCCTAGGCCCACCAATCCAGCTCCTACATGGCCGCGATGATGATGATGATGATGATGTCTGCCCATGATGATGATGATTTTGCTTGAATATGAGATAAAAGAAATAGATCTCAATCGCCAATATTTTTTTTTAGTTAATTTTGTGCAAGAATGGTTCGTGGTTTTTTTATAGTTGGATCCATTTCTCTTCTAAATTCAATCGAATTCGATGAATGGAACTTGGTTTTGGAGGTTACATGAGCTTGGAAAATGAAATTAATATCTTAGATTTACCACAGGGCGGAAACAATGGATTCCAATATCAGGCATGTCTTGAATGAGGAGCGATCTTTACAACATTTTAGGTGTACATCATGATGACCTAAAATGTTGTAAAGAGGGAATATCTAAAAGTATTTTATTTTGAAACAATTTAGACAAAACTGTCATCTTTCATTTGAAAAAAATCATGACCTCTGCCCTTCTCTCACTTTCACCAGAACTCATTTTCCGAATTTTTGATTTTCTATTGTACTCTATTTCAAATCGGAATTTATTAACATTTACCAATGATGTGATGGAATTGTGTAAATTAGATTTAATATGCAAGGAATTTTCAATGAATACAAATTATAGAAATTATGTGGAGAACAATTATTGGAAACCTCTTGTCTTGTGTTTGTCTGGATTTTCTGAGAGTCAAATAACAATGATGAAGACTTTGACAATGACGACAAATGAAAGGAATCTTCTTCAACAAGAAAATAATTTTAATCTTATTGAACCAGATGTGATGAACATGTTATCGAAACGAACCTATAAGAAATGTTTTGCAATTATGAATCGTTTTTTAAATCGCCAAGTACATCAACAAAGGTTTCACACACTCGACAGAAAAGCACCATCCTTACTCGTACTTGGACCAGGTAAGAGAATTGTTTCATTGATGTTGGAATTTGTGGATGTAATAGAATGGAATGATATGTCATGCGTGAAATGAATCAATGCCCAACAACATTCAAATTTTTGAAATAATTATTAATGTTCATTATTCATTTGAAATTTTTGAATAATTGTCACAATTAGAGGGTGTGGGGAAAACTTGTATCATTCGTCGAATTGTGCAGAATCGTTTTGACGAGTATTATGATCCACCTTTAGATGACTCATTTGAAAAACTATTAACCATTAACGGTCTTAATTTCAAGGTCACTCTGTACGATGATACCTCTCGATATGATTACGGTAATATGACTGAGCATTACATACGAAAATGTACCAGCTTTATCATTGTGTGTGATGTCCATCGAAGGGAATCTCTTGAAGACGCTTGTTATTTCATTCGGAAAGTATTCAGAATTCACGACGATGAAAATGTTCCAATTTTATTCATGATTAATAAGATGGATCAAGTGTTGCATGGTGCTACTACTAGGACTTGTTCAAATGTTGCAACAATGGTGATGACCACTGATAGGGTTGAAGAAGAATTGAAATCTATTGGTGCACTGAATTATGAAATTGTGGAAACAAGTGCCAAAATGAATAATAGCAATATCGATGAACCTTTAAAACGTCTCATTCAACGGAATTGTCAATATCTTCCTGATTATGTGAAAAGTGAAAGAAAAAAGATTATTGAAAATGATTGCAACACATGGAACGAAAGTGTGGAAGAATTCAAATCTTAAGTGTTGTGTTCTGTAATCCTCATGCAAGCAAGGATATCTATACGGAATTTGAATTCAAGTCTTGTGATTCTTTTAGGTGACATATAATCCTCATGCAAGGATATTTGATTAATAAGAGCCATCGAGAAAGATATGAAGGTCCAAATCATTGTGCTAAATTGTGAGGATTTAAGAAATAAAGATGCCAAACACCACTTGCAATAAGAGGGTTTGGGCAATCATTCTTCATCTTTTGGTTGTTGGATGATGATGAATGACTCGCCAATGATGATACATTGTTCAACCAAAGGACACTTAATTTGAATCTTCTTTGGTGTTTCAATGAAATTCCTAGTTGATGATGATGAGCCTTGTTTGCGGGACTGTTGTTGGCCCTTTTATGTGTCATGGCCATGAATTCTGAATGTTGAGAGTTTTTTTAAACGAAAAACAGAGAACCAATTACATCGAGATACCTTTTCACTACAAATTACCTCAGGAAAATGATAGCACAGCAGTTTACAAAACATCATTTTCCTTGCACCTTCGCTTGATCAAGCCAATTCCCAGAGGGACTGGTAATCTCTAGTGCAAAGACGTTCCCCAAAATACAACGCGAAATGTCAAAACCTTCTTTTGTTTGTACAAAGCTTGCATTCTCTATTCCAGTTAACCTTCTACGATACCAAATTTGAAGAGTGATGTGAAGATGTTGTGACCCAGTTCATCAATTCAACTGAAAACTTTATGTTGGTGTATCAAATTTGTCGAGTGATGTGAAACTTCAAAGAGGATCACAATAAAAAATCAAATTTATTGAAATGTTGCTATTAAATCAAAAATTTAAAAGATTGAAATCAGGAGAGGAAAACACAAAAATCAAAAATTTCAAGGGGAAGAGGGGGAATCGAACCCCCGGCCACAGCTTTGGAGGCTGCGATGTTACCATTACACCACCTTCCCGGTTGTTACTTGACTTATCAAAATAAAATGTGTGTGAAAAGGTTAGTGTTGTTTTGGTTAGTTGCCTGAAACAATAAGGAGCTGTTTTCCACCTCAATGTTGCTCATAACAATTTACACCTGTGGCCACCTTGAAAGGACTTTCATCTCCTTTGAATAGAATCGACGAGTGTTTAAAGAGCGTGTGGGACGGATTGAATTCAAGAAGGAAAACTATGTCTCAATTCCATCGATGCGCCTCCTCCTCACAAATTCATATCCTAACACATGCATGCTGCGCTCTATGTGCAAGAGGGTACACATAGGGTTGTCACACTGTAAAAAAAATAAACCAATGCATTCCAACTCCTATGATTGTCACTACAAGTTTGTCCAAGATAAGACAATCAAACTTTACTGAATCACTTACACATCCGACATGATCATTAAGGCAGACTTCCCGAAGAGGGTTTCAATCCAGCATATTCTCTCAATGATCGATTGTACAAGTACGAGCAACAACATGAAATTCCCAAGCAAAATATGGCAAATAAAAACAAGCATCCTGCACTTGCAAGTTCCACATATCCAATTTGCATAATGTCATAAAATTTGACATATTCCATGGGTTGTCTGGTCTTCTCGTAGGAAATAATTTGAGGTCTAAATTCGTCAAAATAACAATTCACGGTTTGTCCTTTGGTATATTGAGCTTGAGGACTTGATGAAGAATGTGGAAAGTATGTGACACTTTCTAATTTTGAAAATTCCTTGTCCATGTTCTTGGTGTCGTATTGAACCAATGCAAAACACTTTCCCTGGACACTTGTGGTCCGTTCTTTGGTCAGATCTGAAAGAAGTGTAAAAGGTGTTGTTGTTGTTGTTTTTGCCTTATTGATGTGATGATCATCTAAAAATGATGCATGTTTAGAATTCAATTGAGAAGAAATTTTGTGAATGAGAGAGGGTTTTGTACTGACAGGATCAATCCTCATGCTTGTCTCCATCATGGATGTTGACCATGGTTGAGTAAGGTCCAATAAATTGCCATTCGATGCCTCTTGTTCAACATGAGCACTGTCAAGTTGGTGAAGTAAATCTTCTACTTGTTGTACTTGACAATTAATGTTGGGATCCATGACCGTGCATGTTGTACTCACTGAGGTTTCAATGGGTGGAAATTGTTTGACTCGACTCACGAGAATGCTCGAACAAATAATGAAAACACATCCAAAGGCAATAAATGACAAGGTTAAAACGAGAGAAATCCAAAGCCAGAGTCTCTTATTTTCTAGACTAATCATTTGAAGAATTGTGTTCTTGATGGAATGTTCAATGAGGATATATTATTAATTCGGATGTCTCTAGTCACACAACAGGAATTACTGTCGAATGGGTCAAATGCAGAAGTATAGGTGTATAGGTGCAGAAGGGAGAGAATTGGGACAGTGCCTCTTTCTTTGTTCTGGAGGAAGGTCCCTTGTGTGTGCAAACTTATCTTTCAGCGCAACCACACGCAACTTCCGAATCAGGTATTTGTACATAATAAAACAATATCAAATTTTGTGGTTATCATTATCATCATCATCACGAATAATTTGCCACAAACATGATAAGACATGCACAAACGACATCATCATCACGACGACAACCCTCGAGGTTAGTTAATTGAACTGCCACGAACCCTCGAAGCAAGACAAGGCTTCTCCTAAAAGATTCCAAAAGATTCGCTCGTTATTTTTTAGGAGAAGAGACGAATCTTTTCCCGCACACAAGAAGAGACAAGACTTGAATGACCTTTGATTCTCTTAATAGAGAGAATGGGATGATGATGTATAAACCAATTCAATCTCTTCCTTTGAAGTATACTTTTGATTCTCGTTTGAAGGATGAATTCAAGAGAGCTCACAATCAGTCGAACAAGAAGTGACGATAAATATTGAAAAAAAAACAACAAGAAAAATAGAAGAGAGGTTTGTTTCTTGCTCTCATTTTGAAAGCTTGATTTTGTTTTGCTAAATATTGATTGTGTGGTTGATTCTTCTTCTCCAATTATAATAATTCGTCTAATTAATCCCACTACACTTGGACTCTAATTATTACTTATGGACGTTGCACTTGATGATCTGTTTGATGAATTTCATCGGCTCGTCCTGGATTACCATTCTCCGTTTCAATATCTTCTTTCATTACTGCTTCAACTTTATCATCAATATTGATGATGATATCGTGCTATCAACCACTATTCTGTGTCTTGATTTTGAATTACAACCTAAACTTCTTCACCAACAACAACATTCTTATGACCAACAATATCATCATCACGGCTCTACACAAATTGTTTCTAAATTTAATCTATTTTCCATGTGAACCTATTCCCGTGTACGGATGCTTGTTGCTGTTTGGACTTTTTACTATCCATTCTACTTTTTCATCATAATAACAACAACTTGATTTTGATTGTTTGGTTCACAACAAATGAATGTAACGATCAACAACGTACATTATCTCATAATCAATCTCATGTTATTCACGTTGTCGTTTTTGACTGACGATGAAAACTCTGTTAATTCTTATGCTACTGCGTGATGTTTGCTCTTGTTACATAACGAAATGTGGATGTCTTGCACGTGTGCCGTACTTTTTCATGTTGATGATGACAACCAATTCACGCACCCCTCTAACATAACAGATGGGTCTCAGACATCCAGTTCCAACCAAAGATACTCACTTTGACGAGTCCGATGAAGCCTACTGTGTTTGCGTGGGTATGCAAGGTACCAGACCAGAAATGGAGGACGCTCACAGTTTAAAGCTCAATATTCAAAATGAATTGAAGACCCTCCAACAAAAGCCTCACTCATACAAATCTCTGAACTTTTTCGCTGTTTTTGATGGACACGCTGGAGATGAAAGCTCCAAATTTTGTGCAGAGCACATTCTTGAAGTTGTTGATGAGCACTTGGAAAAATCAGAAGATTTGGAATTGACCGACGATTTGATTATTCGCTCCTACTTGGCTCTCGATGAAAAGTTAAAGACTTGGATGGAAAAGGTTAAAGGAATTAGTCCATTCAACGGAAGTGGTTCAACTGGTATCACTTGCTTTGTCAAGATTAGCGATAATGAGGTCGAGGCCATTTGTGCCAACGTTGGTGACTCTCGTTGTGTATTGTATCACAATGGCAAAACTTATGAAATGTCCTACGATCAAAAGCCAATGAATGAGGGTAAGTTTGAAAATTTATTGGCTCAATTTTAATCATTAACACCATGATGTGAAAATATAATTTTAATGGAATTTGAAATTATGTAAATTCTCGAATTCGTGATTGTTGTTTTTGACGATGCCATAACTTATTATCCAGTTGAGAGAAAGAGAATCGAGGCTGCTGACTGCACAGTCACCATGAATCGTGTGAACGGTAACCTTGCTGTTGCACGTGCATTTGGTGATTTCCGTTATAAGGGCAATGAAAAGAAGAAGCCTGAAGAACAGGCAGTTTGCTGTGTTCCTGAAATTATCCGAAAAAAGTTGGAAGGTTTCAAGAGAGGAAACAAAGAGGATCCATCCTTTTTGATTTTGGCTTGCGATGGTTTGTGGGATAAATTCACAAATGAAGAGGCAACACAATATGTCAGAGAGCAATTCAAAAAGTATGACATTTTCAATGAAACTGAAATTTCTAGCGATTTGATGCAACCAATCAGGATTACTTGGTTGAACAAAAAGGTCGATGAATGGGACGCCAACGACGTTGAAGGATGGATTGAAAGTTTAGGATCACCATATAACAATTATTTCTTGAGCAAGTTTAGAAATGGTTTGGATTTAAAGCAAGTCATGTTGCAAGATGATAAATTCAATCGCTTGAAAGAAACTTTGAGACATGCATCAAACTTTGTGGACGAATTTAAGAAGAAATTCATTGAAAGAAATGAAATCCAAGAAAAGCCAAAGACTATTCCAAGAACCACCCGTGAAAAGTTGATTCATTTGACTGAACGTATGGTTGATTATGCAGTTTTTGAAAAGAAGAGTGATGACAACGTTTCTGTGGCCATCATTTTGTTCAAGTAACTTGATCATCACACAAGGTATCATTGTTGAGAATACAATAATTGTTGTAAACTAAGCAGCCACCATTAAATAATGCTTTCTCGACTTGCCCTGAGGTAATTTTGTTGAGCTTCCAAACTCTTGTTGTGATCCAATTTCCTCGTTGCATTTCCTCTCCAACTCTTTTGGATTCAAATAAAGTTTCAAAGTCAAGTCACCAGACACCTTCTTTTAAGTCTTTGCCGAAAATTGATGAAAATTATCTCCCAAACGTTCATTGCAAGAAAACTTTTATTGCCAACGTTTTCCCCACTACTTCGTCTCATAAGGAACACACAAGTACTAACATCACCCCTAAAGCAACCCTTGTCACTGAAGACGGACCGCAACATTTCCAACAAAGCTAAACATTCCTCCTCATAAAAAAAATTGAGAAATAAAGCTCCAAGGAGTTGGATCACCCTGTCAAGTGTCATTTCGTTTTTTTACCATGAATTTCACTTGCCATCCGATTCGCATGACAGTTTCCAATCTAAAATCCCCACTTTACCAAAGAACTCTCAATCTTCACGAAGTCAACTGAGCTCTTTTTCATGCTCTTATTCGCAACCAACAACAAAAAAACCTTCAAATTATTCGTTGTATTCCTCCCTTCCACTCCATAGGACTCTTTCACACAATTCTGTTATCTTGTTTCTTCAGTAAATAATTTTCATATCCACAATGGCTTCCAGCACCGCATCTTGTTGCAACAACAACACTACCACCAATCTCCATCCAAATTCACAACACCTGTCAAATGCCACTTACACTCCACTCACGAATAATTTGCCTTCTTTTTCTCCATCGACAACAGCAGCAGTGGTTACGACATCAGAAAACAACAAGGATCCTTCTTCTTCGAATGGTATTAAAAAGCAAAACAAAATGAAGAAGAAGAAGGCTCTTTCCAATGTCTCTTCCTCCATCCTGAACGTGATTGTTGTTGGAAGTGAAGCAGAAATGCCACTTGTCAATTCTCAGGCTTGCAGAAAACAAAGACTACAACAACAAGACCCATGGATGAATGGCATTTTGTATGAATTCAAAAACGCTTGCTTCTGCACCACGTATACATCGAGCTATGTGGTTGCAACTGTTGGTAATGGAGCATCATCCAAGAAGAATTCAACAACAAGCCACAACTACTGCAACAACAATAATACTCGAGCTGTGTAAAATCAAAATTAGAAATGAGGATCGATAATCATCGAGTAATGATACAATCCCTCAAAAACTTGTCTTCTCAAAAGGAATGTTCCATTTATTCTCATCACATATTCAATACACACACATATGAACAAGCAGAGAGTACTTGAAGAAGAGTCGCTCTCTCAAATATTTCTCACGACACTCAAAAGAAGGTGAAGAACAATTAACATGTTTTTCACAGCACCATTGTGAATAATAAAGAATTAGTACATGATGAGAACCATTGGAGTCTCATCATCAATGGATTCCATACACACACCTATATATGAACACACTGTTAAGCTCTGTTGGTCGCGATTTATTTCCTCGAAAAAAGTTTCTCTTAACGCCCGGAGACTAAATCCATCCTGAGTTGCGTCTCTATCTGTTGGCTTTGTCTTGCTCTATTTGTGATCATTGTGAGCATGAGTGGCTGAGGGAGATGACACTCATGTGTGTGTGTGGTCATTTGCTTTTGACCCTTTTCATAGGACCTACCGTATTCGTCTTTTGTCTAAAAAAGAACACCAACACGTCCATGAAAGTGTCAAAATTTTTCTGTTTCAAGACCTCATGATTTCGAAATTGATGATCCAATTGCTTCATTTTCTTCATTATGCCCATCTCAGTCCATGTTCCAGAAACATGATGATGGTGTGACATCTTCACCACCAATGGCCACCACCTCGAACCGTCTAGCTTATATATTATAATTTAAAAAAATTGACATTTCAAATACTGAGAGTTATCTGCACGTCATTCCTTTCGTTATGGGACATTCTCATTCCGTACAGGCATCAACACCTTGCTCTTCTCCTGAAAAACCATTCTTTTTACAAGTATCACCAAATGGACGCCGCTCCTTTTCTTTCCATGTTAATGATTGTGCAAGAAATGACAATTCCTCGAGTGAAGGTGAATCTTGTTCGAATGAATGTGTCATTTCTGTCGATTCACAAGAATTGTTAGAAATGGAGAACAGACAATTGGCAAGATTGATCATGAATTTGGAATTCGAAAATCCAATCTTGTGGAAACAATATGTGGTTCAGTATTATTTAACCACTCGATATCAATTTCCAAAAATGAAAAACGATCCAAAAGGTGAGAAGAAATCTCTTCCACTACAGAAAGGAACTTGTAATGTGAGAGAGAATTCGAAACAAGATCACACCTTGATGAACAATAGTGAAGAGCAACTTTCTTCTCAAGATCCATTGATACAACTGTATCGACACCACAGCTCGGTCCTTTCCAAGTCACAAGTCAATCTTTCGAATTTAACAACCATCGTTGAAGAGGAGCATTGTATGATTCCTACAAAAAAGTCTTCTTCCAAACGGTTGAAAAAGAATTCTTCGAACTCTAAATGCACTTCGTCATTCACACGAGTGGTGACAACCTCTTCAAGTGCTCCAATTTTACCTTCTTTACATTCTAACAGCAAATTCAATCAAGAACATGGAACCATGCTTTCCTCTTCGATTGGAGACTTGTTAGGCGATTCTCAAAGAACGTTGCCTTCTTCTTCTTGTTCAACCAATCTTTCGAGTCATTCTTCAGAAAACAATACCACCGCTCATGAATCACTTGAAAGTAGTGCTGGCTTAAAGAACTTGGAACTTGATGACAACAAGTCTCAGCAGCGTCCAACTGTTAAACCCTCTTCGGACCATCAGGATGCAAGAGACTTGTATGATGGAATGACACGTCCAAGCTCCAAATCATTGCCCCCACGACCTCATATCATTCGAATTTCACAGTATGAAGTGGATTATAAGGATGTGGAACATGAATTTCGAAGAGAATTTCTCAATTATCAATTAAGGGAATACAAATTTCCTCAAAAGAAGAGACACGAGAGTCCATACCACGTTGCACCTCCTGATCAATTTTTGTGGGATTTGAAACATTCGAAATGTGGTGGTGAAAGAAAATAACGAATATAACGATCACGAGATGGAATTTCAAAAAAACAAAACAAACCAATCAACTCTCTAAGGCTCTCTTATTCTTTGTGAACCATCAATGTGGTTGTTGCTGTGAGTGTTTGGACGTGCGGTGTGAAGTCATAGTATTCATTGAGGTTGTATTTTCTCAACCTATGATGAAGGTTGTACATCTGTAGTTGGTTGTTGATTCGACAAATTACGACACGATTTATACAACACTCAAAGTTGAGGGCAAATGAATGACAAGAGAGTAGAAAATCCCAAATTTCTTTGGTGATCATGCGATGGAGAGATTCAACAATCAATTTGACAATCATACAACCTTGAATAGCATTCGAGACTACCAAGTTTTTCATTGACAATTGACAAACTATCAAAAATGTTCCCAACGACGATTACCCATTTTCTGCTGAAATAAATCGAAAATGTACAAACATCATGCATGATACTCCAAGATTCTTCAAGAAGAATACAACATGCTCACAAAATGTCTTGAGTTGAAAATCACTCGTCGAATTTGGAATCAAATTCCACAAAATAACACCATTTTCCCAAAATTGTATTCACAGAGACAGTTTGGGGTGTTTCCTATGGCTCATAGCACAGAAGGCTTCCGCACCACAACAGCGTTCAAACACTTGGTCCAACTAGCTCAAATGTTCGTTCATGCATTGGTGCCTGTCTGTCTGTCGAATTGTTGAGCTCAACACACCACCACTACATTATTATTGAACGCTCTCTTTTGATTCTTCTTCTTTCAACGTGGAGACACAACAGGGTTTGCCATTGGATTCACAAAGATTCCTCTCCTGCATCAAGCACCACCACCTCCAACAGTACCACCACCACCCTAACAACCACCACCACAATGTGTGTTTGTTGTTCTTGTTGTTGTTGTTGGGCGCTCATGCACCACCACCACCACTTCTCGCATCGAAACTCTTTCAAAAAAAAGGCTCAACACCGAACACGCCAGCCACACCTTTTTCTTGCGTGCGCTTGCATCTCTCTCTCGCGCTCTCTTCTTGTAAGAAGCCAACCACCGCTACACTACCACTACCACCACACGTGTGTGTGCAAGGCTTTGCTCTCTCTCTCCCTCTCTCGACCCATCAAAAATATACAGAGGTTGAAGACGCTGGCCTTGAACGACAACAACAACAACAACAATTCAACTTCTACCTCTTCTCAGAGAAGTATTTCTTCTTCTTCTTGTTTGAATTCAGGACTCGTTGTTGTGTTCGCCATAGAACAAGCCTCAATAGCAGCATTCTCGTACGCAACCACAAGGTGTTATCTTTACGCTAAATATTGCACAGAGAATACGCCCTCGCTCATTGTACTTTCTTTAAAGTCAATTAGTAGTATTAGTAGAACCATTAGTAGTCATTGAAGACGCTATCCTTCATTTCATTTGAGAAAAGATTGATCGCTCATTTCAAATTTTCCTTCCATACAACCAAACCATTTTTCAAAACCTTTCCCAAGAGGAATGAGAAGAACACCTCCTTTGACAATTGGCAGCACCGCCATAAACTCTCGATCCAATAGTTCTGCACCAATCAACATTCACAACACTCGCTACTCACCAACAAAGATTCAAAAGCCAAAGAAAACCAGTCCTAGCAAGTTTCTCTCTCCAAAGACTCTTATGAATAGTGCTCGTTTGGCTGCTGCAACCTCTCAACAAGTTCCTGCCAAACAATGTTTCTATTATCACAATTATGGAAGAGGTGTTGCGAATCAGCAGCCGCAGGTCAAGATTTTGACTGATCAGCCACCACATGGATATTCTCAGCAGCACACACCCTTTCAGCAATTTTCGTCCTTTTCCAATCAACAAACCAAATATGGTCATCAAGGGATCTCAATAGTCACTACAGCAGCTGCGAACACATTGGATTCAACCACTCAGCGATCATCACAAATATGTTCGAACAGAATTGGTACGACACAAAACAAGCAATTGCAAGAACCAAAAAACCAAATATTTACTCCTCAACAACAAACAAATTGCTTGACATCTGCTTCCCAACAACATCACAGACACTATCATCATCACTTTGCAAACGACCAACAGGCATTGACTTTCCAACACTCTCTCAATTATAGGATTCTCAATCCTCAATCTGTGGTTCCTTCCTCCGAGATCTATTCCAACAACAACAACTTCAACCACGTGACATCTACCATGGGTCAACGTCATTCCACCAACCATTCAAATGGTTGTTTTGTGACCACAGCTACCCACCCAGCTTGTATGAATGTCTCCTCCTCGTATCATCGCATCAACCAGTCCGTGCATCCTTTGGTCCATATGAAGAGTAGCAGCACAAGTTCCCTTCCCATTCCAACTTCCACCACAACGCCACTTTCAATGGAGCAGCTCTCGAATGTGAGTGCCAACTCTTCTCTGGCTTCGATTGCCACCTCAAGCACTTCTGTGAGTGCCATCTCAACTCGAAGTAGTGTCTCAAGTAATACGAGCTCTCTCAGTATTGGAAGCGACGTGTCAGATTCTCTTAAATATAATCATGATCCAAGAGTGACTACGATAGCAAGATCAACGTGGAACGTTCCAACTACCTCAACGACTTTACAACAGTCCTCTTTCATGTCCAATGGCAACACCAACTCCAATCCTCAAGGGCATGGACTCGATAAAAAGGCTGAACCCTTCTCAGAGAGAAAGCCTGCTCTTGCCATGGAACCCTCCATTAAGGAAGATGAGATCATGCCAACCTCCACACAAAATCAAGCATCTTCCATTCATAACAAGCAACTGGGATTAATGTGGTCTCCAACCAAGCTACAACGAGCTCAAGAACGAACTAAAAGACAAATTCTGAGTGTCTTATTGTCACCATCGAGCTCTGAAGATGATGAAGAAGAGGAAGAGATCTTTGCCAAGATCCAACAACGATACAATGAGGCAACTCTCAGAATCAACTCGATCATTAACTCAACTCTACCTGTGAACACCATTACAACAACCCAAACCCAAACAACCAATGTAAATAATATTAATCATGCTAACCAGACGACCATCATAGCTAATCCTCAACAACAAAAACAACCACAACCAAAGGCAGCTCCTCAACTTTCCTCGAGTGCAGAAAGTAATGGAAGTGATAATCACTCGCGCTCTCGACCTCTCACCTTCAAGACCCAAAATCTGACATCCTCCCTCCAGCAAGAGAAGGATCGCATTGAGGGTTTGTATCTTCCTCCCATTGTTTTCCCACCAAAGAATGTGCAAGCCAATAATTTTGAGATTCAAGAGGATAAAAAGTTGGCCATGATGCTTCAACAAGAGAAGTGTGCATTTAACAATTCCTTTGAGAGCAGTTGTAGCAGTGTTGAGTATGCCACTCCCAAAAGTTCGACGACTGAAGCGGTCCAACAAAGCAATCTCGCTCATCGATATCCTCAAATCAATCATCGATACAGCGGTGTTGTGAATAGTATGCTTGATACTTTATTTGAAAATTGCGAAGAGGAACGAACCATCATGTTCGACGATGGTGACGATGACGATCTCTTGAGTATTGGTCACTCACCCATGTTTTCGAGTCCAAGTTCTTTAGGAATGGAAGAGTGCAGTCTTTCATCTTATGGTGAAGAGAGCCCAGCACTTTCACCTGAAAGCCTGAGACAAGAAGCTCTGAAGATGGAACGAGAGCTCTTCTTTGATCGAGTACCACCTGAAGCTAGACTCAAGATTGACGACTTCTCGGTGCAAGTCAGAAGCTTTGGTCAAACAACTTATCGACACATTCCAATCATTACTCTTGTGGCTCATTGCCTCAATCAAATTTTCTTGAATGGAAGCAAGGCCACCTCTCTCTTCCTAGAACGAATGATGAGTATTGTATGTGACCGAGCTGAAATTGATCATCGATGCCTCTTGTCCGCCTTGTTCTTTATGGTAAAGCTCCAAAATCCATCTTTCATCCATGATGAGAACAACATGTCACTCTTCAGTTGTGATTCCTCAATCAACAAGAAACATCAAGTAGCATGTATCTCGACCAAGAATTTCATGTTCATCTTTCATGTGTGCCTCATGATTTCCTCAAAGATTAATGAGGACAATTATTATAACAATAAGACCTTCTTCAAATATATGGCTCCTAATGAATTTAGACTCATGTTCCACGCATTCAATATGGATATGGCTTTTGATTACATGCCAGATATGAGACGCGTGATGGTCAAGGAAGACGGAAGCGTTCCAATCTTCCCTGCGTTGAGCTGTAGTGAGAGATTCCACAGCCAAACATTGGCCAATGAACACCAAAAGAAGCTCTTCCAACAATTCAACACTACTGAAGTGAATATTACTCGAATGCTCAATTACGAAGTGTGTGTTAAGGAGCAAGAATTGTACAACTTTTTACACAAGCTTGAGAGAGTTAACGAAAGCTTGTTCTCATGTTAGAGGATTGTCACATTGTTAAAAAAAAGAAATACTTGTATACACTTCCTAAATAAATTCCCCCATCTAGATGAAACTCCTGCAAAATTCCGAACAAACTCCGCCTGTTCCATCAAGTCTCTCAGCTTTAAAGGCCAATTTCGCCGTGAGTTCAACAAACTCACAGAAAAAATGAAAATACACGATACAATCCCGTTCCAAGCGATGCTGGCATTTGTGTTACCTTTCCTTGTGATGATGGTGCTTCCTACTGGTGTGACATGTTTTCATCAGCTTCTCGCTTCAGTTTCGCAATCTCCAAAAATCATCAATCCAAAACTCCCAATTCATTTTCAAATGAAATGGAGAATTATTGCTTCGACGAATAATAATGACAGCATCCCTCTCTATTGGAATCCATTACCTCCAAATGGAGTCAAATACATGATAGGAACTGGTAGCACGTATTACAATTTTGATCATAAGGCCATGTTGGAAGTTTATGATGATTTTTGTGTGCCAATTTTTGGACCTCTAGAAGACAAATTGAATCGTTTCCGATGTCACTTTCTTAATGTCAATCTCGCGAGTTATTTGATATCATTGGATGAGTCACCATTTCCTCCATGTTGCGTATTTGGAGCACAAGTATTTCATCCACCAGAGCCAGATTTTCTCAAACACATGGTCTACAATTCAAGTGGAGAAATTATGGGTGAACCCGTCAATTGGTGGGTATTAGATAGTGATCCCAATGATCCTGCCGAACCATTTGGTTATGGATTTTATAAAAAATCGTCTTCGTATGGAGAAATTCCTGCTGCGTTCTGGTTTCGAACGGTGAATGGATTTTCCATACAATACTTTTACAAATTCGAAGAGAAAAACCCTGATCCTGATGTCTGGAGATTGCCTTCCATATGTGTGAATGCACCTTCATGTGGATATTTGAATTAATAACGATAAGAGTGACATGACCCTTATGAGATAAGGTTGTTGTGTGAACAATTTTGAGGATTGTCCTTAATCAACACTAAGCTTCCTCATAATATATAATTGGTGACATGTCTTTGATAGTATTATGTTCGACAGACAAGAGATCTTATTTTATATGAGACTTATTAAATCAAACTTCTTCTCCTTTTTCTTCATTGATGGGACTAGGTGTTGTCAATTGAGGTGTTGAGTCGTCAATGATGATATCCTCTTCCTTTTCTTCATCTTCATCGTCATCCAATTCTTCCTCTGCTCCTTTCATGTTAATCATTTGGCAAAATTCATCAAAATCTACTGTTCCATTACCATCATCGTCCACATCTCGAATAATTCCTTCAATGTCCACAGTGAAACCAAATTCCATGACAGCACCTTTCAGTTTCTCCGTACTAATGACTCCTGTTCGATCAAAATTTCCACCCATTGCAACAAAGGCACTCACAGTCTCATTGTCATGAACAGGTCGATCTTGCTTCTTTTGATTTTCTATGAGGTTGACTAATTCTTGAATGGTGACATATTCATCACTTTGTAATTTTTGTACATAATCAAATAACTCATCCTCATTGAATGGAGTTTCCAATTCCTTAAGAACTTTCCTCAAATCCCACAATTCCATTTTTCGACTGTCTCTTTTTACATAACGATTAAAAACATTTACAATTTCCTTCACATCCACAATGGACAAAATTTGCTTATTATACGTAATTTGATTGATATCTACAACTCCCAAAAGATTTGATGAGCTATTTACACTATGAAGATTGGAGACAGAGGGCGCAATCTCACATTCTGTTAAAAAAGTACTTCCTCCAACATTGGAGCTCGAAGTGAGCATACTTTGAGATCGTCGTCTCGAGGAGGATAAATTATGATGAGATGACGAGTATGGATGATTGGTGTTCATTGTTGTCGATGGTTCAGGAAAGACATCCGACGAAGGTGCATTTGGCAGAATTGCACTCACTGGAGAATCATCCAAGGTTGAAAAGGATTGATTCAGCGAAGAGTGGCTGTTGTTGAGAGGAGAGAATGTTGATATGTTGGATTTTGAAGACGGAGTCAGTTTGGATTTGCTTCCTTCTCTCCGATTGGACCTCAGAGGGGTGTTGTTATTATTATTATTGGAAAAGGAAAATTGAACATTTTTCAACATTCTGAAAGGACATTATTCGAAATTTGCAATAGAAAATATGAGTAATCGATGGGATTGAAAGGAAGAATTCTTTCCGATCGAATGGGTTGAATTGCGATGAGTTTGGTTTACAGTAATTTTTTTTTGAGGTTGGTTGGGCGGTACTTTTTTTTCTGTCAAACGTCAAATTGAGGCTCTCTGAATTTATTCTTTTTAAATACCTTTTTAAAAATCAAAATCATCATCGTCAGCATCTTCGTCTAACACTAATGATTCATCATCACTTGGAATGTATCTCGACTGATGACTCTCAGCGACACGATAGACCTTATCATCCATGGCATCAGAAGTACCACGTTGTCGATCATGTCTACCATTCCTATTCCTTTCATACAAGTAATAGTCACTACTACTTTCTTCATCACTTGAAGAATATTCTCCATATTTATAATTCATAATTCTACTAATTGGATTAGTAGATCGTCTTCTTTCCAATTCCATCACTTTCATAGAATATTCATAACTTGAAGGAAGATTAGAAACAAACATTGGAGATGGAGTATTTCCTTTGGGTGGTTGAGTTTTTGCTGCGTGTTTCAAAACATTTCTATTGGAGTGATTCGTGTGAGTTCCAACCATGGAATTAATGACATAGTCATCAATACTGGACAGAGAAGAAGTGGTGCTGTAACTTGAGGAATGATTTGAGGCGCGACGAAATTGTGAAATGTTGTCTTGAAACATGGTGAACTTGTGAGTAGAGGAGGATTGAAGAGCATGCTGTTCATACCCATTGGTGTGTTGTGATGAGGAAGGTTGGTTTTGGTGTGAAATAGGTAGAAGTTGTGAACATGTAGTGGAATTTGAAGGATTGGCAGTGATGTTTGTCATTGGATTAGTTGTTTGAGAGTTGTTACTCATGTCATTGTTGCTTCGTGTCGTTTTAGCAGTATTTGAAATTTCCTTATTAGACTGAGAAGATTCATGATGTTTGGCGTTGATCATCCTCAAGACACTATTCTTTTCATCAATTTTTGTTGGTGTTGTTTTGAGAGATAAAGGATTGGTAGTATTCACAGTGGCGACATTACGATGGTTGGTACCATTCGATGTATGCAATTCCTTACTGTGATTGCTTGTCACATTTGATAATAGTACTACTTCCTTGTGACTATTGACATTCAATTTTGATGGAGATTTGTCTTGCTTATTGACAGGAGACATTTGCTGATGATTCATTGAACTAGTTTGCGAAGGAGTGTCTTTGTTTTTTCCTCGTACAAGACTAAATAGAGATGGAATGGTAACCTTTTGTGGGGCATGATTGTTGGATGAAGACGATGATGGTGGTGACTCTTGTTCCTTGTTGTTGTTCTTGTCGTCGTCAGTGGTTGAATATTCCTCTTCATCATATTCCTCATCTTCATCGTATTCCTCATTTTCATCGTCATCTCGTTGTTGTTGAGAATCATCTTGTTTGCTATCTCTCTTCAACATGGGATGATTATTGTCATGCTTTCCACTCTTTTGAATTCCTCCCTTATTCCATTGTTGACTATTTGCAAGATGAATCTCAATGAGTGGTTTCGATCGTTGAACTCTCTCAAACAATTTCTCTTCACTAAGGACTTGTTTGGTGAGACTTGTGATTGGACCAAACGATTGAGCGACTGAAGAATCACTGGAGGAGTGTACACTATTTGCAGATGTCCAGTTTTCAAATGATGATAATTCCTCCTCATAAGGAGGATCGTATTCTTGTGTGGTTGTCTGCTGATGATGATCAATAGGTGGTTGTTGTTGTTGTTGATCAGAGAAATAGTCCTCATTGGAATGCATCGTCATCACGCATTCACTTAATGGATTTTTCTTTCTGAGTGAATTCAAAATTAGAAGATCCTCTTCATCGGCATTACAAACAACAGCTCTACGAGAGCCAGAATGAGGTTCCATTCGAATGGGTTCTTGACTTAATATTTGTTTCACCATCACTACCACATTGGGTGAAAAATTATTTTTTTCATTACTCTTATTTCCAATATCTGAGGAATGAAGTGAAGAGCTGGTTGTGGAGCTGAATGAAGAGCTTGTTTCAGCAGTAGATGTACTACTAGGGTCACCATGATCTCGACGAGAGTTCACCATGATGTCATGATGGTGTGTCGTACGTTCTCCGGCTACAGTTAGAATTCTAGCTGAAAGATCCTTATTGGACAAGGATAAATTGGATCTTTCAACAGTTGAAGATGAGGATTGATTGGTTGTATCCATGGTTTCTCCATGTGATTCCCCTATCCTCTTGTCTGCATTTTGATTGAACATAGAGTTATTGTCAACATCTCTATTCTTGTTGTTGGAAGCTTGATGCAAGGTTTCAAAGATTGAAGGTAATTCACTGAGAATGTTACTGATATCGCTTTCAGTCTCACTGGATGACGTCTCCAAGGAATCTAAGCTTTGAGAAGGATTACTGGATGGTGTATAAGGTGAATGTGAATGGCCACCGTAGTGATTAATTGGCAAGACATTCTGAGAGGATGATGATGATGGTGGTTGGGTCAGTAAATTTCGATTCTCTTTTATGGGTAAATGTGTTTCCTGTTGATTTTCCACATGATTTAAAGGCAGAGAGAGGTGGTGAGAAGTAAAACTAGAAAAGTCCATCGAAAGTGCACTCACAGTTGTTTCAATACTAGAGGGTCGTGCTTGACGCGATGAATTCATGACTGGAATTCGAACCACACTACAAGTGTCACTGGAAATGTTGTCAACCTCACTGTCACTACTGCTTGAGGAAGCTTCATCATGGGAATATCTTCGAGCGTTTAACTTGTTGATCAAGTCCTTACTATTTTGATAATTTCTAAGAGCATTCAAAAAACGTCTTCTACTTTCTTTTCGAGAGTTGTACATGTCATTAATGTGCATGATACTGGTTGGAGGGTATGAAATCTCATCATCACTGTCGTCCTCGTTGCTTAAAGATGGTGAAATGGAATGTTTCTTGTCATGCCATTCAAAACTTCTTGCAATATGGCCATACACTTGATTTTGTATCAAATCATGCATGGCTTTTGATTTCTTTGGATTTTTGTGTTTTTTCAGGTGACCAAAAAGACGAAGTGAAAATCGTGTTGTGATCTTATTGGTATCACTTTGGTGGTGTGAGTGATGAGAATCTCCTCCTCCTCCTCCTCCTCCATAATAATTATTCACTGCCCAATCTTCACATGAATCCAAATTTGATGAAGTAGAGGTGGCAGTATTGTATGTGGAATCCTCGGTCGAGTTGGTACTCGAACTGGGAGCTCCCACATAATAAGGGTATTGTTTTTGTTTCTGAAAAAAATTGAACAAATGACTACTTGAAGAACGAGTGCTGCTGCTTTGAGATGTGAAAGAGGACTCAGAATTGCGTGTGCAGCTGCTTTCCAAGTCATGGTCATCTTCATCATCGTTGTCAAATTCTGCTCCCACCGTATCTCGTCCATACTTGGTAAACACACTCTCCATGGTTGCCCAACGTGGAATTCGCATGGGTTTCTTTTGAAGTAAGATGGGTTTAGGAAGAGTCGACCTTGTGTCATCCAAATGAAGAGTATATTCTTCATCAAGTGTATCCTCTGAATAATCGTAAGAAGTCGTATGATGATGATATTGGTGGTAGTGGTGGTGATAAGATTCCTCTCCACCAAGGGCGCTACCACCCACACTCGCTGTATTTGTCGTCGATGAAACAGAGCAAGAAGTGGTGCGACGTCTTGGTGTCGTCGTGTGACGAAATTGTGAATTTCTCTCTGATCGTTCTTGCCATTTGAGTCGAAAGAAATCTGGAAATGAAACAAGTTGGGAACATTTGGTCACATGACCTTCATGAATCCACTTTAACACATCAATATCATGCAAATAGGAGCAAAAATATGTGGATTTTCCGTTTTGGAGATCTTTAAAGGATGTGCTTGAAGTGGTGATCTTGATTAGTTGAGCATCCGCTTTTGGATGGAATGAGGGATCTTTGTGACATCTCTTATCGTAGCGATGTTTGAGTGGTTCTGGTAAGGTGAGTAATTTTTCAGAAAGAGGAGAGGCAATGATGGTCCTAGCAGCACTGGTGACACTCTGAGATGCGGAATTTGAGGAGGGTTTTAATACTGACAATGAAAAGCTTAATTCTCGAAGAATGTTCCTTCCAAGTAAAGTCACAGAATTCTCTGAAGATTTTGAATTCAATTCTGTTGATGTTGATGTGGTAGCATTGGAAACCATGCGAGATTTCACTTCATGTAATAGATCAACAGCTTTTTGATGGACCTTACATGCATCGGTCTCACTACTGCCACTCTTTTTTGTCATTAATGCCCTGGACATGATCGAATGATTATTGTATCTAAATTTGATGTCATGTTGCTTTGTGGAAGTGTCAGGAGACTCTTTTTCCGAAAGAATCTTGGTAACATGAAAGAGAGTCTTTCTTTTCGATGCTTCCACTCGATGATTTAAACTCACAATTCGATTTCCAATGCGATTGACATCACCCAAGAGATCATTTGAAATTTCCAAAACTACTTTACAAACAGCCCTAAGTTGTGCCAATAATCCAATCATACTCTGAAAATGATTGTCTCTATTCTTTTGCTGTCGAATTACTTCCAATTCGAATTTGCTCCGAGATTTTGTTTTGAAAAGACTCGTAAGGAAACCTTTCGAATTCTTGCTTGAATTGTTATTATTTAGATCCATCACCGATAAGTATTTGAGATCAGAAGAATATGGACTCACGACCATCGCCATGGTGTCTTCTAGTAGTGAATTTTTGTCAATCTCATAGACTGGATGTTTTCCACGTTTACGATAATTGTTAGCAGCAGAATCAGAGGCGGCACTTGCAATACTAAAAGAGGAGGATGTTGAGAACGATGAGGAAGGTCGCAAAGTATCCTTAAATGTCACTCGTCTATCCTCAAATCCAACTCCAGAATAGTTTAATGACAAGACGTCAGAATTGGAATCAGAAGCTTCTGAAATTGCCATGGATGAAACTCTTGATGAGGGTGTATGTCCGCCATGCTGATGAATTGAATGAATGGAATGAATTGTCGAAGAATCTCCTCGAGTGGTTGTTGTTGTCGTATTGGATGTCAAGCTTTGGGTACGTAATATTCTCGAATTTGTATCACCACCACTACTTGAATCCTTATGTGGAGAAGAAACAATGGATAGTGCATGAAAAGGAGTATTATGTTGAGAAGTGGGTGGTGTGGCTGCGGGATTTGCATGTCCACGTTGTGTTTTGGATGACCTTCGTACGCGTTGTTGCTTCTGTTGGTGGTTTGTTGAATTCGAATCCTTTGGTTGAGGTTTGGCCAATTCATGAACATAAATGTATCCGCAATTGTCATAGTGATTAATCTTGCGAAGTATGAACACCATATTCGACCGATATGTATGTGTTGATGCGATGTAGAATTTTGTTGATATATTTCTCCAAGAGTGGTTACAGTATTGTTGTTACAATTTTCTTCATCTAGTCGTTGAACAGGCTGACTCACAACAGGGTTACACATTGATGCATTATTCGTTTCACAAATATCTGTTTTGGGCTCTTTGATAGATCATGGTTATTCCCCATCAAAACATTTCAGATCAGTATCTGGAACAATTTTGGAAGTTGGATTGAAATGCATTCATTCCTAGAGTGGTTTGGAGGAATAACCATGATCTATCAAAGAGCCCAAAACAGATATTTGTGAAACGAATAATGCATCAATGTGTAACCCTGTTGTGAGTTGGATATCGTCATGTTCGTGGCAATGAAATGATTGGTGTTCAACTGATAATCAATTATTCAAAATTATTTTCAAAAGTGGTGCTCTTGTTACTACGCGGCTACTACTACATTATGTTGTTACAAAGCAGCACTGTCAGTTCTCAAACTTTAATTTCGTATGCTTCATGTATGAATCACGAAGGATATATTTTCATCATTCAAAATATATAAATTTTGCTGCAGGCTTCATTCCATGGATTTGACGTATTTTTTGATTTCGATATTTTATTTTGGTTTTGAATTATTGCAGGTTGCACACAGAAAGTTCTTTCAAAAACATCACTTAAAGAAAGGTGAAACTGACAATCACTTTGAGAATGATGGCCACAACAGCAATGAGTAAAACCACTGCCAAAATTAAAATAATGATGGCCATGGTTCCACACTTTTGATACTTTTCGGCACCAGCAAGTTCCTTATTTCCTTGTTTGACGTTTTCAAATGTTTGTTCAATATTGTGATCGATACGATCCAAAAGAGATCCCTGTTCAACGACAAGGGCAGAAAATTCCTTAAATAATTCATTAAGCTCGACAATGGAAGTTAAAATTTCTCTCAATTCCTTGTCTCTTCTGATGTTTTCTCTTTCGTTTTGAATTAACATTTGAATTTGCTCATCCGTAAATCCAGGATCATATTGTTTTTGTTCTAGAGCTTCGATACGTTCTTTTTCCTCCTCTGTTAAATCCTCATCGACATGTTCTTGATTGTCAGATTTGTAGAGCATGACGTTTTGTCTTCGTTGCTTGAGTGCCTTGAGTTTTTGCAAATAGTCTTGTTGTTGTTCACGGAATTGTTTTGAGAGTTCATTCAGTTCCATGACGAGAGCTGATTTTGTATTTCGTTTGATGACATCTTCTTGATTTTTTGGTTTTTCTTCCAAAACGATGCGTTCAATATATTGTTTACATCTGACAAACAATCTCTTGATATCTTCGGTGAGAATTTCAATTTGTCTTTCTTCCTCTGCAAAGTTATTACTCTTTTTTACACTAAAAGTACAATGTTGTTTGTGCATTTGTGAAAGTTGCTCCACTATGGTGGTGATGATCATGTTAAATATATATTAAATAGTAATGAAATTGAAAGTAGAGCCGTGATATTAAAAAAATAAAGTATGGTGGGCATTATTTCAATTTTGTCAGAAATTGTCATTAATTGTTTCATGACATCCATGTGTGGTGATGGTGCCAATAAAACAATGCCAATGTCATAATTACACCAAGCGTCATTACGTGCATGTAACAATGAACAACCATTCAATGTTGAATAGTCGCCACAACAACAACAAGATGATGTTTGAATGTGAATCTTGACCAATCATGCCAACAGAAACAAAACTTACTGTACTTCTTGATCGAATCAATATCAATCTTGACCTGAGTCAAAACACGATACCACAAAGGAGAAGTTCCTTCTGCCCATTGTTGATCCATTCCACTCTCCATGTCCTTGGCTGCTCCAGAATTTAAATTAGTGGATGGTGAATAGTGTAATTCAATTTCCTCTTCCTCATCCACATTTCCGTAGGCTGATGATGCGTAGTAACTCCTTCGCAGCTGTGCGTATCGGTTCGAGAGATCCCGACAAAGGATGGGCTTCTTCATGAAAGGCACTTGAATGGCATTACTCATTTTTTTGTTGTTGTGGTTCTAATTGGAGAGCATCAACCGTTGAAAGTTTTTAATTAATTTCCCAATCCAAATGAATATCGATAAAGAACAGAATCTCCAACGTATTCCAAAAATTCAAATCGTACAAATAATTATTGAGATCAGGAGTGATTAAATTTATTCATTTTTCTAAAATAGAATACCTTTGACAGTTTAGCCCATTGAATATTAAAATATTATTATTATATTGGTGTTCCAATCAGCAGCCATTCATTCTGTGTTGATAACGCAATGTGGTAGTAGTGGTGGTGATATTCACAATCATTCGGAAAACTGTGGCCTCACAAATGCAAATAATCGAGAGAGAGAATTTTGAAGATTATTTCATCATCGTTCCAATATTAAAATAATCATTATTCTGAGAACCTTTCTCAGCAGAGATGATGATAGGTGCACAATTACTTTTTTCTTTCCGAATGAAAACATCTCCCTCACAATAGCTTTCAATTCAGAAAAAAAGTGACCTCCGAACACCTTGGCTCTTCCCAAATGATCGGGAGCCTTATCCACCAAATTTTCTGCAGCATTTTCTGCCTTCTTTACAAATTCTTGAAACTTGGCATTGTTTGCCAATTTGTTTGCCACATGGTCTTGCACTTTGGGGGCAATCACTTTCGAGAAAATTTTACCGAACAAGCTTGCAAAAGGTCCAAACATTTTTTCTAATTGAACTCCGAAAATGGGATCAAGGAATGGCAATTTCATTCCAATAGGATTCCTTATGTTGGGCTTGTGCATTAGTGGATTGAAACTACATTTTCAGGAAACCTGGTTAAAAAGAATTGAAAAGGGATTGGTTAGAAGGTCTAACTTGTTTTCAATGAATTTTGTGATATCAACCTGGTTTTGGAGGAATGTTGTGGAAGACATAATCTTTTGCAATTTCGAAATGCACTCGACATGATAACACACAACGGTGTCGATCTTGTACGCATAATGAAACAAAATGAATCACACAGACACTTCCAAAGAAGAAATTCCATCGGAACAATGTCAAACTCCTCCAGAACCCATTCCCGATCATCTTTTTGAAGATATTTGTCAACACTATGAAGAATTGATGGATCATCCTTACAAATACTTGTTCAGTGCTTCTCAATGGTTGCGTTGGTATCATCATTATCAACAACAATCCGACACGTTCGCACTGAAATTGATGAGACGAGTCGTTCAAAGTGGCACTCTTCATGCATTCCGAACCTTACAATTTGTACCTCAAGACTTTCATCATGATGTCAACACTCGTTCTTGTAATGATAACAATATTGATATTAATTATAATATTAATAACTATATTTATAATAATCTTGGACAAGAAGGATCATCTAAAGACGCGAATAATGTTGACAACATGAAAGTGAATATTAACAAGGAAGAATTAATTCAAAGTGCATGTCATGTACAGTATTATTCAGATCAATTGGCTGCCAAATGCATTTCAGAGAGTTTGAAAGTGAGACCAATCTTTGGAAAGACAAAAATTTCCATTTTTGAAGGAGATTGTTTAGAAGTGGCCATTCATTTGTTGAAGACTTTGAAAAGTTCTAGTGTCACTACTTCTTCTGCCACTTCTAATGTCACTCCTTTAAGTGTTGTGGATACTTCCTCTTTCTCCTCGTCACAACAATCACTCGATGAAAAAAACAAGTCATTCATCCATAAGAAGAACAAGAAGAATTCATTTCGAAAGGAGACTGTCTCCACCAATTCCAAAACGATTGACTCGACTTGTCAAGAACCACCTCTCGATTTTGAAAATGATTCATGTCCTTCCGATATGGTGGTTGTTGTTGAACAATTCAAAGTGGCTCTCTTGAACATGGCCTCCGCAAAAAGACCAGGTGGAGGATATCGAGAAGGAGCAGGTTCACAAGAGGAAAATCTCTTTCGAAGGACCTCTCTTGCCTTTTCCTTGGAAGACATTGAATCTTACGATTCGCAACGTCAATGGTATTATCCTATTGAAAAGCATGGAGGTGTCTATGTTCCATCGGTTCAAGTCATTCGAGGAAGTGAATCGAAAGGTTATCCCTTTCTGAATGAAATTTACACCTTGGATGTGGTGTGTGTTGCAGCATTGAGAACACCAAAATTGGATCACACAGGTACTCGAATTGATGCGTCACTTGTGGATACAGTGCGTCGAAAAATTCGACTCATCTTTGCAATGGCTCTCCAACATGGAGTGACACATTTGGTGTTGAGTGCGTTCGGATGTGGTGCCTATCGAAACCCACCTCAACATGTCGCTCAATTATTTAAGCAAGTATTAATGCAAGAGTTTGATGGAAAGTTTGCTCAGGTAATTTTTGCAATTTATAATGATGCAAATGCGTGGAGGAGAGGAGATGGAGGAAATGTGGAACCTTTTGAAAAGGAATTTGGAATTAAGGCAAGTGTGTTTGAAAAGTAAAGATTTGTCTCAGCAGCAAAATGTTGGAATTCTATCACCACAGTCCCTAAAATTTTATGGAAAATGAATTCTCCTCTCAGTGTACACAAATGCTTGTTGAATAAGAGAGTGAAATGTGAGTAGTTTGAGAGAGAATATTCGTATTAAGGCAAAGTATTTCATAAATTTTTACCTAATTTGACATTGATGGTTGATTTAAAGAAATAAAAAAATTGCATTTTCGAAAAGACAAATAGATTTCATTGCTCTCGCCACTACAGGACGATGATGAATTTGGAAGAATCCAATGGTGAAAAACTTCTCATTATTAGGCGATCATTCAAATATTGCCAGTCGGTTGTTCTTCTTCTTCTTCATTTCTAGTGGGTTCCCAAAAAGGTCCATGTTGATGTTGTGAGGTGGCTGTTGTTGCACATTCTTTCATTTCATATGATGAGAGTTGTCCTGATTGTTGTAAAGATGACACACTCGCTTCTTCTTTAATTGAACCTTTCGAATGGACATTGTCCTGATTGATATGATGCTCAAGAATCTTAATTACCAAGAACAAGACTCCCCAAAATACACCTATCAACAGCAGAACCCCAATCAAAACTCCAATCACAATGACTACATACGCCCAAGCTTCCAATTCTGGGAGGGCATTTGAAATTTTGAGGGTATAGGTGGAATTCACTCCTCCATTATTCAAACCGCCACGAATGGTCACATTGTATTCAGTGGTTTGAACTGCTTTCCGAATGAATGGAATGGATGCATTGAGAGTTTCTTGTTCGTAGGCAATAGGAGAAGTGGAGCTTTGGAGAGAAGGCCAGCTTACCACAACATTCACAATGCCTGTGGAGGTGTAGGTGACACCCAGTTCTTTCTCTGGAGTAACTACTAGGGAATAAACAACCGAGTCCTCTGCAGCGAGGGTTCCTCTGAGAGTGAAGATTTTTTAACGGCTGATCCATAACAGAAAGTGGAATGTGGATTTTTGAGAGGAGTGTTGACATAAGAAGGAACGTTTCATTACAATGAAGGGAAGCAAAGAAGCTCAGAGAGGATGATGACAAGAGGAGTGATGGTGCTGCTTGTTTTTCTTTTTGAGTGTAATCAAGGAAAGCAGCATGGAGCGAACCAAATAACCAAAAGAAGCTAGGAGCGACCGGGAAGTTCCTGCTTGAGCATGATGAGTGAAGGGCAGAAAGTCCTTGGTCACTGACCATCTTCAATCCCTTGTATTCTTCATCTTTGCTTCCCTTCAACAAGCCCTCAACACTTTTGGTGATCTCCTCAAGCCTAGCGCTTGGCTCCTTAAATGATAAAAATACACCCAACAACACATTCAAGCCAAGAAAATTTCACAAACTTTTTATGCCTTGCACTTGTCGGCATGGAAACCAACAGCTTGATCAAAGACTTTCAATTTCTCTCCCAAAGCCTCAAAGTACAAATCCAAATGTCCGCTCAAGCAATCCTTCTTTGCATCGGCAGCAAAGTGCTCAAACTTCAAACACAAACCAACTTCTGGAATCACATCGACGCAAAGTGATGGAATGTGAAGTCCCATGCTCTTGTGAAGGAGAGTCTTTCCTCCAACCTGAACACCGACATCAATCTTCATTTGATCAATATTGAAATCAAGCCATACAGCAGCGTTGAGATGGAGTTTGTTCAACAACTTTTGCTTAAAGCCAACATCGCATTCAAATCTCTTCTCTCCTGGTGTGTTGGAATATTTACAGGAGGCTCCAACGCTCTCTAAGGCCTTCAATCCCTTCAAGACGACCTTCTCAGCTTCCTTAATAACCTTTCCAGCGTCTTTTTCAACTTCTTTAACGACCTTACCAATGGCCTTACCAATATTTCCAACTTTCAATTTCAAACCTTGAGTGGTGTCTATCATGGTCATCATCATGACGAGGACCACAACGGCCAAAGTAACGAATACGAAGCGTGTAGATGATGATCTCATTTTTTTTAAGGTGCGCACCTATGTCGTATTGTTTACAACAATGAAAAAAAATGACCAATCCGATTAAAACCCTAAAAATATCTTGTTTGTATTTTATTTCTTCATGACTGTCATTCTGTTAAGAATGATGATTCCGTCTCTCCTTAAAATCTCAAACACTTTGAGCGAAATCTTTGACACCACTCGAATTTGGGTATTTTAGGAATGGCGATAAGCACCCTCTATTCAAATCTTTGCTCAGAAACCCAAATCCAGATTGATCAGTCTCCAGATTTTATCGGTTGTGTATGGTTGAAGCGGTCAACAACTTCTGCTGTTCGCTGTGGTTGTTGGTTTGATAAATTTCTCACACTTTCCTGATACTAAGGATGATTGAGGGGCGGAACAAATCCACTATCCTAGCACACAGCTAATATCCAGGATGGAGATAGTTGCTCTTCTTTCGAGGCCAAACATGATGTTGTTCGTAATGAATGTCCATAAGTAAGATAACATTAATGGACGTTTAATCTGAAATAAAGAAAGAGAAGGTTATTCGTTTAATTTTAAAAATTTTTTCGTCAATAGTTCGATCAATTCATCTTTTTTTCTTAATTCTTCGTCTTTTTCTTCCAATCTTTGATCTTTGTTTCTCAATTCTTCATCTTTTTTTCTCAATTCTTCATCTTTTTCATCCAATTTTTGATCTTTCTTTTTTAATTCTTGATCTTTCTGATTTAACAGAAAGCGTAACATTGAAATCTCATCATTCGATTTCGTATTGGATGCTGATTCCCATGGATAAATTTCTTCCATCTGTTTGCCTGAAGTTGAAGGTAAACTTTTGTTGGAGGAGTGGGTGGATGATTTGGAACGGTATGAAATGACTGATGAGGTTCCTTGAACCATAAATGTAGTCATATCTTGTTTGGGGGTGGAGGGTGAGGATGATTTTTCACGAATTGGGTTTGGAGAACACACAATTTCTTTCTGTCGATCAATAACAGATTGCCAATTAAGAGAATGAAATAATGTTTTAGCTTTCTCAATCATTTCCTCTGAAGTTGAAACAAGATCAAATGCTTTTTGTTCTGATGTTGTATCTGATAGAGATTGAGTTTTAGGCCAATCTTTTTCTTTAATCTTGTTCAACTTGTAACCCTTTCTTTTTGGAATATTTGTTTTAACCATTTCATAACCAGGAACAAGATTAGTTATATCGACCACACATGTCTGACTTGTAATTTTAAGCATTGTTTCCAAAAGCTTACGCTGCAAAAAAAAATCTGACGAATCCGTATCTTTAGATAACACATTTTCCAACACAATTACAATATCACTCTCACCCGAGCGTTCTTGAGGATAACAGTGAAGAGTTCCAAATAATCCATCGTCTTGTATAGTGATTCCGATAGTTCTTTTGAATCCCCTTGGAGGTGATCGAGTTTTGATGGTGAAAGTAAGTTTAAACATTTTTTTCAAAATTACGATTAAAAATTTTTTAGCGCTAAAAATTCCAAAACTTTTCAAGAGCAACACAGAGAAGGGAAAAAAACTCTCAGCGTTTGAGACATTTCTTTCACTACTCTATTTCAGAACAAATCATCACATCGAATGGTCTTTGAGATTTCCTTCAATATATGTCATGATCAAGTTTTAAAGTGAGGAATACCATTGTGATCTTCAACAATAATTGGGCGAAACACTTCCAACAAAAATGCTCAAACATCACCTCTTTACATGTCCATCACCACTATCACCCAACCACAACAACAACAATAACAACGAGTGGCAATTGCCACTACAACATGAGTCTCCATCATCATCACTCCTCACCTCCATCCGAGTCTACGGCACTGGCATACTTGTCAGGATGATGATCATGATCATGGTGTTGGCAGTAATGACAAGTCATAATGTGATGGCACAAAACTATCCATGTCGATTCGCTTCCGATTATTCCACCAGAGATTTTGCAAAAGAAGAGAGAGGTTCTTCTTCTACAAAACAAGTCCATCACATGATGTTTAAAGAATACAAATTGGGAGATAATCAAAAAATTGATTCCTTCTTAATGAATGTGAGTTATTGGGAAGGAAAATTTGCAGTTCATGGTGTTGGATTGAATATGTTCTCTGCATTGACCTATGATGGTAGGTTGATTTGTTTTTCAAAGGGGTTTGATTGTTCATATTTCCACATGAAATCTCCTATGTCATCAACGTCGTGTTGTTTATGTGAACCTCACTTCTCTTGTGACGCCCTCACAACACACACATCAAATGCATTTGTACAAATATCACTGAATGTGACAAAAATATGCCACCTTAACATTTCCAATTGTTTTTCAATTAATCCTACGTTGAATGGTCATGTGAAACTTTTTTGAAAAACAGGCCATCAAATTGATTATGATACTTCACGTCTTCATGAACCACTGCATGCATTTTCAGCTCCTTCCAAAGAATCTCTTCATTTGAACATGATGGCATTGGCTCTCAATGGACATGCAATTGCAAGAAATTTTTTCCTTTCTTCCATGCAACATTCGAGTTTAGTCACACCAAGTGATCGAACAAAATCGAGTGCATCATCGACCTCCTCAAAATTAAGAATGGAAATTTCCCAACAAGATATTGATACATTCATCTTGTCGACTCTAAAAACAAAACTAAAGAGTTATGAATTGTTTGACAATAGATATCCTGGTTTTGGAAGTTTATTACCATGGTTCAAAGTTGAGGATGAAGGAGCTGAATTATTATGGGATTGGCCCAATAGAATTCCCTCTCTTGATAATGGACAACTGATTTGGGCTCTCATTGGTCTTGAACAAGTGTTACGGGAAAAGAATATTGGAATTGATCTTGCAAATACAATTGAAGCAAAAATTAAGAAAATTTCAAAAACAGTTATACCCTTATTTTATGAAGGAAATGGTCTTGTACGATGTGTTACAACGATTAAGGATATTTATGAAAACCCATTGAATGTTTCAAATTATGAGACTGAAGGTTTTTGCTATCTCGATGATCCCTATGAGGGAGAATTGATGGATCTCTTCATGGACATGATGGCTGATTGGAAAATGTTTGGCTATCCGAATAATGAAAGAGAAAAAATTTGGATTGCCAAGAGACCTAAATTACGTGCTGTGAAATATCGATCCAAGAATTTTGGAGACATTTTAGTGGAGGAAGGTTATTGGTACAGCGCTCATGAAAAGTGGAAATATCTTGTTCTTCCTTATTTGGATATTCCTGTAAATAGACAAGTTTTCTTGAATGGGGAACGAGCTCGATTGATAAACTCTGTTGAAAATGGAATACCAGGTTTGTATGCAAGTGTTACACAACCCGTGAAGCGAGGTGACTATAATCCTAATTATGCGAGTGCATGTGGTATTCAACAAATTGCAAGTCAATGTAAGTAGTTTATGGATTTCTTCATGTGTCTATATTCACGAAAAATTATTTAAACTGAACTCTCTCAAAATTTCATCTTTTAAAGATGTGGAACATACGGATATTATTACTCCGTATGGATCTTTTCCAGTCATGTTGGCCGATCGAAACATTGGTCTCATGTGGTATTTGAACATGCTTCAAGGAACAAAAATGCAAGGCGTTCACGGCTCTACAGAATCAACAAATATTACAGGTACAGCCATTTGTCCAGTTGTGACATGGGATTCTAAAATTACAACCCTCGTGTCGATTTGTGGAGGCATTTCTACCTTCACTTCGAGATATATGAAAGAGAGAGGAATTTATGAAAGATTTTACAACGTGATTGAAATTGAATGGACTCGAGTATTTGGTAATGGTCCATTTCCTGGTTCTGATATTTCTTTTGATGTATTACGACCTCCTTTACCAATTCCACAAAATATGATTAATTTTACTCAGTGTGCAAGAACACCCTCGAAATATGTGTAACTTTTAACAGAATTATTATAGAATGAATGAAATTTGTACAAGTATAAATTTAACAAGAAGAACATATCAATGCCACTCTTGTTGATAACGAATGGTTCTCAGTGTTATCAAAGAACGAAAGAGTTCTTCCAGGACAAATGACGAATAGTAACCAACACGTCGTTCAACCCCAAGATCCCATGAACATACAAAAAATTGGTGTGAGTGGTAATTAAAAAAATCCAATTTAAAGCATTCAACAAATCTTGATACAGAATATTTTCGAGTGGTTCAATTTCTTTGACATCTAGTAAATGGAAAGGAGTTTCTTGTTGTTGTTGTTAAGAATTACTTTTTGCATGAGTCGTTTTTTCACACATTCGTATACCATTCATTGAATGCTTTTTTAGTCTCTGATGAAATATTGACTTTGTATTTGGAATAGGTTTATATAAAATTCTCTTCAATCAAATAAAGTATCTTGAGATATTTCTGAAACCTTAAACACAAAATGTAATTTCTGAAATTTTGTCTTCTCGAAGATGTTTCAATTCTTCTCCTCTTCTGTTTATCTCGATCGATTTGATGGCCACAGTGAGTGCCCATATTAGTCTTTCTTTTCGTCGCTGATGCAGTGCATTCCAATGAATTAAGGTGAGAAAATATCCAAGTCTCAAGAATGAGAGAGATCTCTTCTCACCTGTAATTGTTCGATCATCACTTCAAAATGTCAGCTGCAAGAAAAACAATCAACATCGATCTCTTAATCAAGAGGCAAATTGATTTTTGGCAAAGATTTTGATATCACTCCAACATGGATTTTCGTCAAACTGGTTTTTGTAAATGTTTCCCAAAGCAACATTACATTCCTTCAACGTTGAGATTTGACGATTTCAGTAGTGAAACATTAGCAAGAACTTGTGCCCATTAACTAAAAAGGAATAACTATTTAAAAGGACTGTTGGTGCATTTTCTTTCTATACATGCTTTTCTATTCTAAATGTGTTGAGAGATGATTGTGGAACAGAATCTCTCTCACTCCAATTCTAAAGAAAAATACATCCACAATGGCACTTGCCTTTTCAAGTATTCGTTTGCAGTCTTTTTAAAGAGCAAAACGGCCCATAACTGTACGTTCACTATTTTTGAATGAAATAGCAGAACGAAGCTAATTGTGATCAACGCAGTGCGTGTGTGGCATTTGAACTCGACAATTGATTAATGTCTTCTAACTGACTTTGATAGGTGTGCAAGCAAAGGGCGTTAAACAACCAACATTTAAAACGGTCGTTTGTTTCAAAAAACAAAAAAATAACACAAGTGATAGCTTGACTGTTTGTTGGTTGAGCATGCAACACGACTGTCGTTGCACGCCTTTCAAAAAGATTCAGCTTAACTGAAAAGAGTTCATTCATCATCATGGGAGGATCCTCTCTCCACTCTTGGAATTCGATTTTGTAAATGTCAATGAAAGACATGGCATGAAAGGTTGAGAGGAGCTCTTGAAAGATGAGTCTTGCAAGAGATGAAATCACACCTTTATGGATATTGGTCTTTCTGGTCCTCCTCTTTTCCTTTCACGCCGTCATGATTCTTATTAACGCGGACAGTTTTGTAAACAGATTGTGAAATTGATGCACTGTTGTTTGTGTTTTGGAACAAAACGGTAACTATAGTGATTCAAAATTCTTAACTTTTTCGATACTTCATATCATACATGTCGGTTAGAATTAAAGCATCCACTACTACTATTGTAACGGCCTCCATATGAAGAGTGAGCGAGAGATAGCGATCAGCTTCAACCAGTTGGTAAGAGAGATCAAGTGATACCAAGACATGGTTAACACAGGACGACCCCACCAACAACCAAGTGATGCATACATGTCCATAAGATTTCAACATGTTTGTTGCGGTTTAACTCCATTCAAGAAAAGTAAAGAAAAAATGTCGATTTTAAGGAAAGTTGTTAATTTACTAATTTAGGACAAGCCATACATGATGTCGAAATATCGAATAATTGATTTGTTTCGCAGTGTCCATACATTTTGAAATTGTCAAGCAGGTCATTATTGTTGATTATGATTCATGAACAAAACTAGGGCCCTTACATAATATGATCCTTGTTGGAGAAGAGCACACCCAAAACTAAACGCGCAGATGTAATTATCAGACTGGAATGATGATGCAGAAATTACATTTTCATGAATTGTTGTTGTTGCTGTTGTTTTTGTAAAATAAAAGGAAATGGAGGCGAAGGAGCATATTGTTGATAGCTTCCAGTGAGTGGAATTTCTGGGCATAAATTCACCAAATGTGGTGGAGGTGGTGGAGGAAACAAGAAAAGAGGAGGTGGCACGTTGGTGATTGTTGAAACCTCATTCATAGTATTGCCTGGCATTTCGTGATGCTGATGGCACAGTTCAGATGCAATAAAGGGAGGATATTCATGATTATGACGATGGTGGTGATGTGGATGCATCGAAGAAGGCGTTGAGGACATTTCAGCATGTTGTGTGGCATCATCCATGCTCTCATCCTGATCTGGCACAAATGGAGGAATGGCAAGCTCGGGAGTTTTAATCATTTGTTCCATGGATTGGCGAATGGTTGTATTAAGAGCATTTGTGGTGGAAATGCTGTCAGAGGCTGTTGTTGTTGTTGCCAAAGATGAGGTTGGAACGCCTATTGTGGTCGATTGTTGTTGTGTTGCGACAAGTGCCGTATTGGAGCCGGGTATCATGATCATTCCAGGAATATTAGCAGCTATCAAAGGAACACCCATCATCATGATTGGTTGTTCAAGAACTGGTTGTTGTGGTGTTTGTTGTTGAATAGCTTTTGATGTCGCCACAGTGCTCTGTGATTGATGGTGAGCAACACCACCACTCAACAAGGGATTCATCACCATCATATTCGGATTATTTGCCACCTGATTATTCGCATTATTGGTTTGAGTAGAAACCATCAAAGCACTGGTAGGATCATCCACAAATTGTGCATAGAAGGCTCTTACATTGGTCTTGTGTTTCCATCCCTTGTAGTGCAACTTCCGAACCGAGATGGAATCATTCGTTAAAAAAACATCACAATAATCGCAATAGAATTTGGGCATTTTTTTTTGTCGAACCAGTCGCTTGATTTTGTGTTTTTTATTTCGAAATGTTCGAATTGCAATTTAATTGTATTTTAATTGCATTCTTGCACTCTGATTCAGTCTGTGAAATGCTGATCAAAGTGATCTGACACTTGTGAAGGATCAATCACCGTATGATTATTTGCTGGTTTAAGCTTTCTGTATGAATTCTTTTATTTGGACCTTTTTACTTTTTAGAGCTGAAAGAACGTTGGGTTTGTGGTAAGACAAGATTCAAAGCACAGATATTACCATCAAATTTGTTGGAGCAAGGCCTTTCAATTAATGCAATTAGTTAAAATGGAATTCTGAAAAAACTTTGGGAGAATATGAGGCATCTTTGTTGTCCTCAAAGTTGACCTCGTAGGTGAAATCATTCGACTATTTCATCTCTACTGTTCACTCTTTCACATGTAGCGTGCTGGTTGAATTCAAAATAAAACTTTCGAGTTGTTTTTCTAATTTCGAAAACTGTTCAGGAATAAAATCACAAAATATATGAAAACAATGAAATGGAATAGTTGTGGTGTGTTTTTCAACGTAGAAGCCAGCATTTTCAAGCATTTCCATAAAAGTTTCAATTTCTGAACACATTCTTTCATTCTTGGAATAAGAAAATAGAAATCGAGAATTGATTTGTTTCAATCGATCGAGTCGAGAAGAATCAAAATGAATGGGTGACAATTTCTTGGCTCTTTCTTCTTGATGAAATCCAAGAGGAATGCCCCACTTTTTAAATTGATGAAGTGCCTTGTTGGGAAGAGCTCGATCGCAATGACTAGAATCATTCATTCCCTTACTCGACATTGAAACATCACACCATGGAGAGAATCCAAAGTAGGCTCGTATACAATTGTACTTGGAGTTTTGAGCAAATTCATGGTTGTGTTCTCTCTCCTGGGCCACTCTGTCACAGAGCATGATTCCTAGATGACCTCCAGCGCTCTCACCGAACACAATGACGTGTCTTGCTTGCTTCTCATCAACTAACCATTTGAATGCTTTGAAAGCGTCTTCAATAGCATCCTCAATCGTATTTTCAGGATACAAACTATAATCGACTCCAAACAAATCAAACCCATTCTCGGAGCAAAGTTTCTCCATGGTGTAACATGTCGAAGGCTCCCCCATGATATAACCACCTCCGTGGAAGTGAATGAGAGCAATTCTTTCCAGATCATGGTTTCTTTTCAGCACTGATTTGTCTATTGAAGTGCTGCATTGATTGCTTGCGCAGTTGGTCCTCCTTATTCGATCATGAAAATTAAAGTAAATACTGGGATGACGATTTGGGCTTTCAAAATTCGTCCTCAAATAAACCTTCTCATCGGGATAAAAGAATGGACCAGCCTTGGACTGATGGATGCCTTCGGGCAGTGTTGATCTGAATTTGACAATTTCTGCCAGTATTTCCTCCCGTGAAGTCTTGTTATCTTTGAAATATGCATTGTCGACTGGTGCTTGCTGATTTTCTGCACTATCAAATTTACCAATCAGAGTGTCCATCATGTCCATAAGAGCCAATTCCTGTTCAGATAGATTTTGGAGAGAGTGGTCCTCGAGGACAGATCTCTTCCATCCACTCCAACCATATTTAGCCTTCAATCGGAAAGCATGAAAAATCAAACGAGTGATTTGAGCTTGCACACTCAATTTGTACCATACTTTGAAATAGAGAGAGAGGGATAGGAGAAGAGACCCGAAACCAACAGGTATAGCATAGAGCCAAACCAACATTTTTTTATGAATAAACGTCGCTTAGGAGAGCTCTTCGGTGGGGGTGTGGTTGGGAATGGTGTGAATGGAACAATTCTTTGAATCAAATGGAGTTTCCCGAGATTATCTGAAATGTCTCGCCCATGATGAGATTCCCAAACTGAAGTGAAATATTGAAAAAAATGTCTCCAACCATCGGTGAAAAGATTTTCGTGTGTGGCAGTAATGACTACTCTCAATTAACGGATCAGCTTCCTTCGTTTCCTTGTATTCAAAGAATAACTGTGTTGCCCCGAAATCAAAATTCAGAGGGATTTTATGACTCTATTCATGAAATGGTTTGTGGAGCCTATTATGGAATTATTATGAATGGTACGGAAAAATAATTTGAATATTTGGCTTGAATTGACTTGCATCATTCGGTACATTCCAATTCATATGAATTATATTGATCATGATGAAACATTTGATCAATGGTGATGATGAAATTTTTGTTTCGAATCTCGAAAATTTTCGCATCACTCTTTTCCATTCAATAATAATCATGGATACTGACACACAGAAAGGGGTGAATTGTATGGCTGTGGAAGGTAACTATTTTGTGTGATCGCATGATTTGAGATGAATATTTTTGCATGAATGTGGCCGGCTGGTTGTTTGTGACATGATCATATTGACTCCAAATTGTCTTTTCTGCAGAAATGAATATGGTGAACTGAGCCAAGAGGATGAATCAATCACCGTTGTACCAGACTTCAGAAGAATTCCTTTCTCCTATGGATCTGTTAAATTTATTGCTGCAAACTATTTCACATCTTACCTAGTCACCACTGATAATAATGTCTACTGGTCTGGTAATCAGACCAATAGTCGTCGATTTGTTCCTCATGACGGATTTTTAGAGCTCAAAAAGACCATACTGAATGGACAAAAATATAACATTCACAAAATTGAAACTGCCAATTCGTCCATTCATTTCGTGTTAGAAATCCAACATGAAAATGGAGATTGGGAATTATTTGGTAGCGGCAATGGTACACACATGTACGAGGATGGAACAGACAAGACAACACAGGAATCAAATCATCAGGTACACAAATGCATGAAATACAAGCATCCACTTCGTATTTTAAAATGTGGTGGAAATCATACCATTCTTTTAACTCACGATTACCAGCTTAAGGGGGCTGGATTAAATTCGAGACGTCAAATTGGACCCAAACCTGGAAACTACAATTTGAAAGATACATTGGAACCAATTGGTTTTAAAACACAACAAATATTGGACATTACATGTGGTGAAAACTTTACCCTCTATGCCTTAATGAATAATGAATTGTGGTTTTCAGGAGCATGCTGTGGAACAAATTCAGATACATTCACACTTCTCACAACTTCTCCTGCTCCAATCAAATTTCTTTCGTGTGGATATGATTTTGTAGTATTTGTTGATATTTATGGTAGAACTTACACCAATGTTTCTAGTTTGAGTAGTGTGCCATTTGAGGTTGGAAAAATAGACTTGGAAGTTGTGAACAAGATTGCTGCAGGAAAACAATTTGTTTATTTCATTCATGCGTGTACGTCTAAACTTGTGACGGATCATTTTTGTAAATTGAGAAGGATCATGAACGAAGAATTACTTTTTGATGTGACCATTATATGTTAAAAGTAGTTCTATCGTATCACGTTTTTTAGTGTAAGATGATTGCTGAGTGCTGGAATGACTTTGATGAGGAACAAAGACACAGTTTCATGGAGATTCACCAAACAATTAATTGGTCCTGTTTTTGCGTGATCATGATGGAAACGGATGAACATCAGATGACATCACAGGATTACACAAACATTGAAAAACCCGTTTTTTATTTACATTTTTATTTACACACTCTTTTTCAATGAACAAACTCGAATGATCATTGCAATTCTATTTTACAAAATTGGACATGACGGACAAAACTTCATTACTCAGAAACTGTCCAAATTTCAATATCAGAAAATCGACAACAACTCTCTCCATGACTGAGAGATGGTGAATGCTGCCTCTGATCATGATTCTTAACCATGGCAAACATCTTCTCTCGTTCTTTGCAATGAATGACACGAGGATAGACAAATGGAAATTGAACCAAATCCAATCCCAAATTCACTTCCGCTTCCAAATTAATATCTGAGCATGAAATGGTTGGTAAATATTTGACTGGATCTTGGTGATTTCTCTTGAATTTGTCATGAACAAAAACAGTTCCATATTTCAAGTTGTGCAATTCTTGACCATTTCTCACAACCAAGAATTCACCACTTCGATGATTCAGCAAACAACCAATGACATCACCCTTGGAAACATTTGACAAGAATACTCGATCAGCAATTCTATTGGTTGAATCTCTCTCATCATACACTCGTCCATTATCCATGTGAAAAGCAATCGTGTCTTTGGACCAACCCACCATTCCTTTGAAACCAGCTGGAGCAAATCCAATGCCAATCTCAGGAGCCATTGTACTATTTCCAGAAAACATCTTTTCTGAAATCTTGACTTCAAAATAGGTGTATTGAGAATTGGTGTGAATACTCTTCAGGTGTGAAATTTTTGAGGGATGATTGAATTGCATACATGGGAGATCGGTTGGACTCCATTGAGCAGGTGGAGGAGTGCCGGCAGCTCTAGCTCCTCCATTATTGTCTTGTGGAAGTTGAGATCGATGAATCAACAAGGAATGTTTTTGTGAATGAAGTCTCAAAGAATTATCTAAGGAAAAATTATTGGAACTCGAAATCAAGGTTTTCACATCATAGCAATGAAAGAATCCACCTCTTTTCGAATTTTTACCATGGAAAGGATGTGAGGATGATCTCTCGTTCAAAAAGAATCTCTTGAAATGAGAGGGTGAAGGAAGAACCAATGGATGATTTGTAATGGCAGCTGGATCTTCTTGCAGTGCTGAAAGTGAAAGATGAAGTGAAGCTCGTCGTGTGGTGTTGGTGTTGGTATTGGTGTTGGTCGAAATGGTTGGAGGTGTTGTCATCGTCGTCATCATTATTACGTTCGATGATGACACAGTGGTATTTGCATTGTTGTTGTGATGATTGGGGTGGGTAACAGCAGGAACAGATTGGTTCGAGGATAATGTAGTGTTTGTTGTTGTTGCTGCTGCTGTATTGAAGAATGTAGTAAGAACATTTAAAACTCTTGCTGCAGTGGTGGTGGTGTTCGAAGAAGGTGGAGCTTGTGATGAGGAAGAAGAAGGATCATTGTTCGTCGTTGTTGAGGAAGACGAGGAGAAGGTGATGGTAAAGTGGCCGGATCGACTTGGGGCTGCCATATTGCAAGAGACAAGTATTAAGAAGTGTGATGCTGCTTCTGCTGTTGCGAGAGGTGTGATATCTTTTTTCTTGAAAGACAGAGTGTTGAGTGGGTGTTGTTGTTCTCGAAGAGGAGAGACAATACACCCACGAACGCACACACGAATGGACGCACATACTCGAGTGTCGTATCATCCACACTCATGCCCATGACATCTGAGGAAAGAAGATAATGGGTGCCATTGAGAGTTTGAGTCAGAATATTCACACCTTATCTCTCGAGAGTGTTGATATCCCATTTCTAAGAGAGGAGTGTGATGACGTTCTGTTGTTAGGGATGTTAAGGCTGTACTGTACGGAAAGCCATTTGTGTGAAATGTGGAAAACAATAGGATTTTAATTTTTCATTGAGGCTTATTAGCTTAAATGGTATAGTGACGGCTCAAGGGAGGAAAAATTGAGGGTCGAATCGACGAGAAGCCAATTTGCATATTTTCATTGTATCTAATTATTGATAAATTCGTATTCTGCTACCATTTCTTTCACATATGAGCAACTCCCCCGTGCGTTCGTTGATGCATAAACCCTGAGGACCTTTAAAATCATCCTCTAATTTCTTATGCAATATCCAATCGAGATGAGTATTTTCGAATAGGTTATAAAAAAGAATTGAATTTTCCGATTGGACGATAAGACAGTGGGAAATGGGGTCCATGGTTGTACCATAAGTCTTACGGAGTATTTTCTGATCACTACCAAATGCATCACGCAGATCAAATGGCTTATGCAAGTGGCACCATTCCATTCCCTCGTGAGAACCCACTTGAGAACCCACTTGCTTATCATCTTGTAATAGTTTCTTCTTGCACAATATTCCAAATTTGTTCCAGCCCCCAATGGCCAAGTAATCGTGTTGATCCATTGCAAAATAATGAATGGTCAAAGGCAAGCCATCCCAAGGTATGACATGCAATAGCATTCCTGTTTTTGAATTCAATACCTTTATGGATCGATCAAAGGTTCCAATAAATAATTTTGATTGAAATTTCAATAAAGATATGCCAGTAATGCCCTTAATATCATCCAGTACCCAAAGTTTTCCTTTGCATGTTGTTGATTCTATGATATTGCTGTCAGCATTTTGATAAAGTCGCTTGTTACTCAAAAATCCATCCAAATCATATTTATGGAGGCTTTTGTCTCCTTTGCAGTCAAAAAACAAGGCATCTGAAAATGCATCTCTATAACTTTCTTCAACACACAAAAACATCGGACCGGAAGATGGTGTCGAAATTGAAAATTTAAATTGTTTTGAATGTAAATCAAAAAAGTGAATTCTATGAGTGGCACAATCCGTACATAGTATGCATTCATGATTGTAAGAAATTTTGATATCAAACGGCTCTGATAAAGGAACATCATCCATCAACAAGAACAATTCATGAGTGTTTTGAAAAGTTGTCAATAATTGATCACTATTCCCCATTAGTGCTCTCAATTTAAAAGTATTCAAAGAGAAGCCTTGTTGTGGTGATTTTCTCCTCATTTTGTCCTTTAATTTCTCAAACAACATGTTCTTATCAGAGTGGTGTTCACCATCATGCAAAGAGGATGATTCATCATGTTCAACAAAATATTTCAAAATTAATGTTACAGATTCTTCATCGTCATCATGTGGTTTCGTTGTCGTGTTGTTGTTGTTGTTTTGATCCAATTTGACCGAGCTCCGAGTTGGATCAAACCAACCAAGAAGGCAAGATCCTGACATTCTATTTTTTCAAGTCAATGCATCCATTAAAATGGATGGATTTGGTGATGCTTTTTAACTTGTGATTTCTATTGTTAAATTTGAGTATTCTATTGTTTTTGGAATCAGCTCAGAATTCAAACTCAAGTGTGTTTGAAAGCGAACATGTCCGAACATGTCTATTTTTTTTTTTTATCACTGTCCATGCGTTTATGCGAACATGTCTATTTTTTTTAATGTATTCACCTAAAACTCAATGAAACGCAGGTGAGTGTTGTCGTTGTCGTTGTGGTTTTAGGTGAGGAGTATACCTGCACTCATCATATTGTTTACTTGTTCTCAATCGATAAGGTACAGGAAGAATCACACACGAGCATACCTTTGAGGTGGTGGTGGTCCTGTACTTCACTCAAGATTAGAAAAAATATTATTCTCAACTGTTTCCTATTGAATCATTTCATCAACCAACAACAACATCATCATCATGAATAATCATCCAATCGGATCGTCCGATTCAGTTCTCAATTCCTCTTCAAGTCTTCAACAACAAACACTACAAAATGGAGGATCTTTTGTATCACTTCCAACCACTTCCTCGGCCAATGTTTCCGAGAAGATTTTATTTGCTGCTTTTAATCAGGATTGTAGTTGTGTAAGCATTGGTACGGATAGCTCGTATAAGGTTTTTACGTTGGATCCATTGAGGAAGTGTTATTCGCAACGTAGGTTGAGTTTTTTGGTGTTCAAAGGCATGAAACGTGGATTTTGTAATTATTGAACGAATGTTCATGACGAAATAATGTGTATCATTGGTTGTGATTAATTTGGTGTTCATTAATTTATTATTATTCCATCCATACATATATACATGCCAATCATCAACATGTCGATGAATAACAAACGCTTGATCATTATAACACTATCCCGAAACCTCACCAATGTGGCACAATTATAATGTACATACCAACGAATATAATGCTAATGATGATTACATTCATTGGATCTTCATCATCACCTTTTGATCCAAAACAAAACACAATCCTTATGGTTACGGAATTTGGCGTCTTGCTTTTGGCCTCTCACCCATGCACTCATATGCACAATAATTGCCAACGCAACAACAATAACAGCTGGAGGAATGAGTTGCGTTCAAATGTTGTACAGTTCAAGTCTATTAGCTCTTGTAGGAGCAGGTCATCAGGCGAGTTTGAGTCCTAGAAGACTTCAACTCTTTAACTCATCCGAGAATAAGGCTATTTGTGAACTCAATTTCACATCAACAATTTTGAATGTCAAATTGTCAAAGAGAAGACTCGTAGTAGTTCTTCAGGACAAGATACACATTTTCGATATTTCAACAATGAAAATTCTTCGAACTATTGAAACAGATAACAAATTAGGATTATGCGTCTTGTCAAGCATTCCATCATCAACACCAACTGGTGTCAGTGGAGGAAAGAATGATGTGAGCTATTTAGCATTTCCATCCGCAACAGAGACGGGTGATGTTGTACTCTATGATGCCATTAATCCTAAACATGTAGGAGTTATCAAAGCTCACAAGAGCGACGTTTCAATTATCCAATTTAATCAAGACGGTACAATGCTTGCCACAGCTTCTGGAAAAGGAACTGTGATTAGAATCTTCTCAATTCCAGGTTGTGAACTTTTGCACACATTGAGAAGGGGTTCAACAGCAGCACGTATCTATAGTATTTCATTTTCATCTGATTCAAGTATGGTTTGCGTATCAAGTGACAAGGGAACTGTTCACGTATTTAAATTGAATCAAAGCTCAGAAAAGGAAGAAAAAGAGTAAGTTGAGGATGATTTGTGAAATTGCAATTCGAACTACATGAATCAATCATAATTTATTCTTAACGATAATGCTGTGCATGCTTAAAATTATTTTTTCAATGAAATTGGATTGTCAATACTATTTTAAAATCATTCACAATCATATATGCTTGAAACAACCCATTGCTGATGTTGATGTACAGAAAAAAGAGAACTCAAAATGTTGGAACTCTCAGTGACACACTTCACAATATGTGGGATAATCATCGTAATTTTGCCCATGCAACTGTGAAATTGCCAGAAAATGAGACAAGAAACATTTGTGGAATAACTCCAAACAATGAGTCATTGATTGTTGTCAGTTTTGATGGATACATTCATCGTTTTGCGCTGGACACAACCAACGGAGGGGAGTGTGTTTTAGAGTCCAAAGTAAAAATTCTTGATTAATAACAAACAAGTGATTTTTGTCTCGATATCAGAATTAACCACCATTGATTGACTGCGCAACAATTCCGATCCAGCTTAACAAATAATAATAATTAAATAAAGATGTTTCTTTATTTCAAAAATAATGATTCAGCAATTCAAATTATTTCGCAACCACATAGATGGCATGGATTAGAGCACCAAAGTAAACTGTCAGAATGAGCAAGATGATATTCAAACAAAAGTGCAAACCACAGCCATCTTTTAACAAGACTGCAACAGGTGGCAAGAAGAACGCAATAATAATCAAAACGAGAGTAGAGAGACCCATGATGGTGCCGACAGTTGTTTTTTTTGATGGTCGAATGAGATTTCTTTTTTTTCAATGTGTGACAGTAGTGCTGTTTGGATTCGGTTTCAATTCAACGGCAATAGCAAGGAATTGCTTTCCAATTCAAGCCAGAACAGTGTGTCTCATTGCTCAAAGGAGCTCTCACTGAGGTGACGAGTGGCATGATTCACTAAGGAGTTTGTCTGTGTGAATCTCTTGGAAATAAGCTTGCCCTTCGAATATTCCCTAATCCCAGATAAGCCATGGCCAATCTCTCTAATCCAAAACTACATCCAGCATGAGGCCAAGCTCCATATTTAAGAAAATCAAAGTTGAAATAATTCATTCCATTCTTTTCATATTCTTTCAACATTTCAAAATCATGAACACCTTGATGTCCCCTACCAATACATTCTCCTCTGAGATAAATTTCAAATGAATGAGACCAACTGCTGTCATTTGACACAGATTCATTGCTCGAATTCATGACATGAGAAGATTTCAAGCAAAAAGGGAATTCGTTCAAAATAAATAAATCTATATGATAAGTGTCACGAATGATTTGAGATAGGATTTGCATGTCATGTGTAGAGAGACCTTCTTCAGGTAAAATTTCTCGTTTCCAATACCAATTTGGTTGATTTTGATCATGATGTAATTCTTGGAGATGATTGTTCAGTAATGAAAGAGCTTCACGGTAAGAAAGGAGCAGACAAGGTACAAGTCCCTGATGATCATTGTTGACATCCATTGAAGGAGTGAAAGAGAATGAATGAGCAAACATGGTTTCATCCATATGGTCAAGTTCCAATGGAGTGTTCTGTTCATTGCTGGAAGAATTTGAATGTGAATACTCGTGTCGAACCAATGCCAATTCTTGAGACATTTCATTTTCAAGACTGGTCAATATTGAGTTCAATAATTTGTCGACCACTTGAATGACTTCGAAATAATGTGAGTGAATGACCATTTCGAAATCTAAACTTGTAAATTGTGTCAAGTGTCGACATGTTGTTCCTGCGTCTGCTCGAAATACTGGTCCTACTTCATAGACCTTCATTAAATCACCCTGAATGGCCATTTGTAAATAATGTCGTGTAGAACTTGTCAAAAAAGCATTGGAATTAAAATATTCTACTTGAAAATTATTTCCTTGGCTTGATTTTTGACATTCGATCAATTTTGGTGTATGAACTTCAACAAATTCCAATTGTTCCATAAATTGACGAAAGTATTTTGTAATACTTGATTGAATTTTTAAGATTGCCAATTGTGAAGGTACTCTCATTGAAATTACCCGATTATCCAACTGGTGTGAAAATGATATTTTGGTTTCCCTCAAAAAATTGTCATTGTTCGAAAATGGCATTTCAATAGTATTGGATATCTTCATACAATCATGAACATGAAAAGGTAAACTCCTTGCCAATGACAATAAATAAATTCTCTCAATTTTGATTTCGATATTTTTAAATTTTCCTGTAATTACTTTTTCAGCAATTTCCTTTTCTGCTGGACATACCATTCCAAAAACTTCAACAATCGATTCTGGATTGATCTTTTTCACAAAATTAATCATTTCTTTCTCCATTGTAAAAAGTGTGGCCAACACAAAATGAATACCTTCTCGAAGAATCAAAAATCGTAATTTACCACTTCCTCTATTGGAGTGCACTCGACACTGCAGTCTCACAAAGTTGGATGTGATGGAGTTTGTAATATAATAATGATTCGAGTCGTCATCACTCGATGGTTCTAAATGTTCCATTTCTGTAATCGTGATCCTCTTCAGGGGTGTGATCATTAAATTTTGTAATGATGATGAACGATGATTCATTTCAACAACTTGATCATCATGATGATTATTTTCATTAAACAATGAGGATGATGAGGATGATGTTGATGAATTTAATCTTGTCCATTCTTGAACCACAGACGGAGAAGAGGAAGAAGAAACAATTCGTCCAAACTTTTTTGATCCATTTTCACTTGTAATTTCTTCCCGAGTAATTGTCGGTAAGAGAAAGAGTTGTTGTTGATAATAGTTGTCTCGAATTGAAGTTTCTTCTTGTCGTTGCCGAAGACGAGCCTTTCGTTTCGCTTCGATCATTTTTTTTGAAATGTTCATCCATTAAAAGAAAGATAAGATTAATATTTACAAAATGTCACTTTTTAGAGATATGATGTAGTTTAACAAAAGTTTCAATGACGTGCCGAGTCTATGTTATTGTACTTTTTAGTGTGTTCAATAAATTCCATCAAATGTTGATTGTAGTCAGAAGGATGTAAATAATTGAAAATGTCATTATGATTAGCATTGGGGACTGTCACGAGCTTGAATTGATTTTGAGCTCTTTCGAAAAGTTCAACACCATGTGAATATGGAACGATGGAGTCTTCTGTTCCGTGCACAATCAAAACTGGAACCTTAATAGAGTTCATTTTATAATTATTATTAAACATGTCATATGGCCGTAGCAATGGCAACAGTGGTTTCATAAATGTCTTTCCCAATCCAACTTGTAATATCCTGAGAGAGTGAGAATGGTATCATTGGAATATATTGTGGTCGTCTCATAAAAATTGACAAAAAACACTTACGATAACAGTGCTATTAAACAATCATTGTCCATTGGTGGTGATAATGATTGTCCATTTTGATGTGTTAATAATGAAAAAGCTCAACACTATATACCTACGTGTTTGTAAAATAAGTCCACCAATATTTTGATACTTTTTTGCTAAATGACAAGAAGGACCTGAACCAATCGAAATTCCAAAAACATCTAATGATGATTTTAAATTTGCATTTAAGTGACAAACCCTCACATGCTTAGAACAATCTTTCGAAGAGTTTGAAAAATAACCTACAGATATCGGATGGATCAATGTTCTGTTCCTTCACCAAATATTCAAATGCAGCTTCAGCACTGGCATAGACATCTTTGTTTTCAATTTCATATCAATAGCGATATTTCAATATCAAGTATTGAATTTCGAAAATGTTATCATAAAAATTATTATGATCCTATTCTTAACATTATACACTACCTCCTTCCGATGGTTTTTGCCATTGATCATATCCATAATATTCATAGTGTAATACATTCACTGAATATCGCCAATTAATTTTTGAAAGATATCGGCATGATACAAAGTTGGAGAGATGATCATCATTGGTTCAATAAATTATTATAATAATAATTATCAATCCATACCATTCAAAGTCCTTCTCAAAAATTCAGCATATTGCAACTATTCCCACCACATGCCATCATCATTCCGATCACCATTAAATTCGTGTAATTCAATAATTCATTTAGGGAGTGATCGTTCATTCCAATGAACTCATAGAAAACACACAACCTACCATCTCTACAATATTCGTTCCATTTCCATGCGATAACAAGATGGTCGTTTTTACCTTTGAATCATGAGCCTTTAAGAAATAAAACGGAATGGTTCTTTTTGAACTCTGAGAATCACGCAACACCAGTTTTTGAAAAGTAGAAAATTGATTCTTTGGAGTGGGTGGTGGATAAAAGGCAAGAAAACTCAACAGCTTTTTGAATGGATAATGAATTCCGATCAACACAAGTGGCAAAAAAGTGAGTGAGTTTAAATAGATATTTGAAAAGAACATTTTTTTGTGTTCAACAACGATCTATTTAATTTCTTTTTTTGGAAATCAAAGACAACCCGACATTAAACAATACTCAGTAGTCTTATGTGTGTGCAACGAGATTTTTTCGCTGGAGTGAGCAAAGATTCAAATCTTAGCTTGGATAATGGAATTAGTCTCGCGAAAGTCCTTTTCTCGTCACCCAAAAACTAGTTTTGCTCAAGAGAATGCAATTATTTCTTTTCACAAATCACCACATTGACAGTCTTCCAAGAGATCCATTCGAGCATTCAATCTCACATCCAACACTTGTTCATAAATGGCATTATGAGAGGCACACATGTAAATAATGTATCGTTTTCCAGTTGTTGAGTTTTGATTTGAGTAAATTACATGACAAGATCGAATAGCTTTTCAGTCACATCTATTCACAGCGCATTTCGTTTGAGAGTTGAGGCTAGCATGTAATCCTTGATAATGTTTGCATCCAGAGATTCCTCTCAAATTCTTGACTCTATTTCCTTCATTGCCGTGTGCTGACATTTTTTTTAATGTTTTTGAAAAGTGACAGGCAAGGAGTTGAAAGCATTTCATGAGTTTAGAAGATTTCATTAAGGCTTGGCAGGATGATGATGAAAAGGTTCCTTATTGTTGGTTTTCACCAAGTTGTCAATAAATGATCCTATTATATCAATATGGTCTTCCTTTTACAAAACCAAAGATGTTCCGACTTGTCTGATACCACTACCCAAACTTTGCATCTCACTTGATTACAACCGCGGACGGAATGAAAGTAGCACAAGCATCACATTAAAATCATGTTGGTGTTTGACATTCGACTGAAAAACACCAACAGGAATTCACTTCAGATTCTTAACATTTCATTCATCGGACCAAACATGGACGAAAGGAATGGTCCGCTTTTTGAAAATGGTTGTGCACCTGGATCGTGACTCGAGAGATTGCCAATCTGGTGTGAATCTGAGTGGTCGCGACCGTGCAGAAGAATGTTGTTGCACAACGACGACGAAAGGTTGTGATTACGTTCTTTGGCATCACCTCGAAGTTTCTGTCTGTCAGTTGTTTCAACAGTTCATGGTTGAATATATTTGTTAAAAACAACTATTCGGAATAAACACTATTCAAAAAACATCTTTGAAGTCGATACAATACATACCTCTTCAAAATTACATTAAAATATTGTGATGGTACCAAGTCCTAATGAATCATTCTCAAGATTGACAAGTGGCGTTCACTCTTCCTGTCATGCATCATGTTCACCTTCTTCTTCTTCTTCTTCTTTGACAACAACATCATCCAACACAACATGCCCCAACCACAGCAACAATGTGAATAGTAGTCATTTCCCACTCATCTTCTCCAAAAATAGTAGCATCACAGCCTCCACCTTCAAAGAACAATCATTTCATCTTGAGAATCACATGTGTCTTGACTCTTATTCGCCACCTTCTTCTTCTTCTTGGAATGAAAGAGTTCTTCCCTCTCGAGAGGATTCTCTCATGTATCATCACCATGTGGAATTTAAAGACACAAATGACATTCCATGTTCCTGCACATGTTGTTCGAATTGTATTGTCGTTCCCAATTCTCCAACCACAAAAACAACAACCTCATGCTTAAAGTCGTATTTCATTCAAAATCAACAAGAACAACAAGCCGAACCTTCGAATCAAAAGATAATGAAGGATCTTGACATGCAACCCATCATGATGAGGTGCTGTCATCCTTCAACCGAACATGTCCAAAGGAATGAATTATGGTCAACATTATTCTCTCAAAGCTATGACATGTTATCAGAATTTTCATTGAACCATCTTGTCGAATTCTTTTATTTATTTCCTTTGAGTTTTGAATTGAAACTAGTGACGATTGAAGATTTTCAAAACGATTCAAATAGTAGTGCAACCAATGGTTTCATTGGTTTCATTCAAAATTCATCTTTCGATTGTTCAATGAAACAATTTAATGATCATTCTTCTCATGAATGTGTAGGTTCAACAACGAATCAAAGTAATGTCTTGTCACAATTGTTGAAATTTCACAAACAGGACGACAAATCCCTCCTATATTCGAAGATGAACCTTTTCAATCCGTCTTCACTGCCATCCTCAACACTCCTTGTGACCAAAGAAGATTCAACGCTTGGCAGTTCTTGTTCTTCATCTTCTTCTTCAATTCTGAATGCATCATGTTCTGAAAGTCCATTGAACGGTTCTCAGTCGACGACCACTTCTTCCAATCAGAACTTGCTTTTAAATTCTAATTCCACACCACAACAAGAACAAATTCTACACACTCAACAAGAAGGTGTGAATATTAACTCTTCCAAAGGTCAAGAAATTCTTCTGTACGACAAGATTATGAAACGAAAACGAGGAAGACCTCCAAAAACAGGTTATCATGTCGAATTTTCTGAACATACCTATTCCATGATTTTGAATAACAAGATGGAGGCCATTCACATTGAAAAGACAAAAAATCGAAGAGGAAAAAACAGAAAGAGTCGAATTTTGAAGAATATTTTGGACATTCAGGAACGAACACAGAATAATCATGCATCTTCAACCAAGGTGTTGAATAAATTAAAAAGAAATGATTAAGTCTTTGGTGTTAACTGTTCTCATTCAGATGTTTGTAAACATTGTAACTCTTGTCACAATTGGATATGAACTATTTCAAAGATCAATGAAATAGGCCTATTAGTATTAATGTTCCAATTGGATTCAAGATGGGCAATCGTTCATTCCCTTACTTGAAGAGTGTTTGTCCATTCCCTTAACATGTTACGATTAAGGGCTGATTCCAATCGTAAATGTGAAACTCAATACTTATTGAATGACAGAATTCTTGAGAAGGAATGTATTTAATGTACAGTCAGTATCACACTATAGTGTTAAAGGTGGTAGATGCATGTGAAATAGTAACAATATTTCACAGGTCCATTCGTAATGAAGGATTAACATTTCAGATTAGTTATTATGAGAGGTAACGTTGTTTCTTTTGATGATTATTTCAAATAAAATTCCACATTCTTTTTCCATTTAAAGGTATCCACATTGTTGGTTGTCACTTGATGCTTTTCGAGAGCAATAATTTCATTTTTCGGAACTTCAGAAAGCGATTCCAATTGTGCTCCCCATGAATTCAATGGCTTTGTGTTAATTAATTTCTTGGCAAATTCATTGATTTTATCTTCATCACCTTCCATAGTGATCCACACGAGATTTTCATTGTTCTTATCATTGCTTGCTCCTCCTTTAATTCCATGCTGTGATTCCATGTTTCACATAATGAATGTTTAAATGATATGCAAAACAACAATATTATTCCATTATTGTTTGAATCATTGTTTGAATCATTGTTTCATTCCACTGTGAATATGAATTGCCTTAAAAAAAACAACTCACATTACTCATTCCCTTAAATTCATTCATCCATTCCACATTTTTGTATTTTCATTTTGTATTTTAATTTTGTAAAGGGTCGGAATGAATTCATGCATAAACACTCTTGAGTGCTTACCCTAACCACTGTTTGTCGGAACATGACTCCTTGGCATCTATTAATGTATTCATTCATGAATCAAAGCGTCCGGTGAAGATCATTTGTTGTTTATTCATGAAATGTTTCAAATTCATTCGAATTATGAAAACTTACTTTCCGACAGCACGAAAACCTTTGCAAACGAAATTTGTCATTTTTTTTATTTAATTTAATAAATTCAATTCATTTTTATTATTATTATGAACAATTCAAAAAAGGTGTTGAAAAATTTGATTCATTCACGGGATAAGAGTTCAAGAGCGCTTTATCGCACGATTACAAAAAAATTATGACATTTGACACTCCACTCGTTCTTCTTCCTTCAACACTACCACCACCGCAACAACTCACAAGCAATGATTCCTTCAATCCTTTTGGATTTCATCCTGTTGATCCACAAACTCCAATTGACCTCGCCGCTGTTGGTATTGGAGCTTCTGTTTTATTGTTCAATTTTTTCGCCATGAGTTTAGTGTTTTCCAAATATAAAAGTATGGCTGTGAAAACAAAACATCCAATTTTAATGATGATTTCCTTGATATTTAATGCATTGTTATTTATTGGATATTGTGTAAGTAGAGTGTGGAGTGAAACTTTAAAAATGTTGACAAGTGAACTACATAAATTATTATTGAAATTATTGAAATTATTTAAATTTGTTGTTGAATGGCACTCGGCGGAATATATAGTTTAATAATTTATTGTTGTATCCTTCCAATTATGACTATTGTGTCATATTCCGAGTTTGGTTTTTCAATATTGGATTGGTAGGTTCATCATTCACAGTTTTCATTTATGTTGACAATCACAACGAATGTGCAATTTCAACCATTTCACAAAAATATCAAAAAAACACCACCACTTTCCATTTTCTTAATCTTTGAAAAAACAGTTCGGATGGATCAGTTGTTTATTGACACGACTTTTAGTGACCTACGTTACATTCAAAACTCAAAAGAAAATTCGATTTCCAATTTCATTGTTCATTGCACTTTTTATGATTCCAATTTTTGTTTATTGTTTGGTGGCATCGACTGTGAAAGAATTATTCTATGATCCAAAATTACAAAATAATTGTAAATATGGAACTATTGCTGTGGCTGTGAATTTGGCCATGTTGGCACTCTATTGTTTCATTATTGGAGTGTTAATATTTCTAAGCAGAAAGTAAGTGATCAATTCATGTCAAGTACAATTGTGCGCATGAATCCAATTTATCATCATTGCAATATTGATTGAATATTATACGATTGAATGTTTTGTTTGTTTTTTGCATATTTTGTTGATATGTGTGAATACTTTTCAGAGTGCAAGAAGATTTCAATAGCTCAGGAACAGAGGCCATGGGCTTGGTTGGAATTGTCATCTCCATAGTGATTGGATTATTGGCATGGCTCTTGTACTTGCATCGAATTATTCCAATTCGTATCATGATTACTCTTCTTCCCATCATTATTGGATGTTATTATTTTTGGTCCTACTTTGGTGGTATTGTGTATGCCATTGTGACATGTTCGAGTGAGGAATACTTTTTGGATTGGTTAGAAAATCAAAATGTACATGATGTAGCCACCAATCGAGAAATTCAGGAGGAATTGAGAGAATGTCGAGAGAAGCTTCGTGGCATGCAATGCTGTACTCTAAGCACGAGTATGGATGCCAATCGAATACTCCTCTAGATAACTTCAATTGCTACTTCAAGAACATGGGTATTTGAATTGTCCAACAGAACAACATTCACCTCACTACTCCTCTCTTGTAGAACAGACACACATTCTCTTTATTTGTCCAACAATATCACAAGCAAGACAAGGTTTAATATTTCTTTGTGGTTGGAGCTGAGAACTTATACTGTGAGTTGAAAATTTCATATGGAATGTCTTTCGAACCTTCCTTGTATAAAATCTCAATGGTTCGAGCTGTTGGCGTGAATGGGAATGATTCTAGCAAAGAAAATGCCTTATAATCCTGACAATATCGCAAATAACCAAAAAGCATGGTATTGTAGAGACGTTCACGCAAATCAGGATCTTGAATCTTACTGCGGAACTTGAAAAAGACACGTTCTGCTTCATTGAGATGACCACATGCAATGTAAGCATAAATAATACTGTATGCATTTGCCGCACCTCCAGTCTTTTCGATAATGATCTTTTCTAAATTCTTGATTTCATCAAACCTCTTTGACTCACCCATTGTAAGCAATAAAGGTCTGTAACAAGCAACTGGAATTTCATAACCATCCTTCAACAATTCAACATAATAATGATAAACCTTATCTAATTGTTCATTTGAAAAGTAATAACCGAATAAGAGAGTGTAGATTGAAATTGATGGCTTGATCTTTTCCTTTCTCATGTGACTGAATAAGAAGGAAATTAAATCGTTTCGATTATTTTCACATGCTGCGACCATCAAAATACTGTATGTTGATGTCATTCTCCTGATACCCATTTCTGGCATTTCATGAAAGAATCGCAAGGACAAATCTAAATTTCCGTTTTTGCAATGATGACTAAGAATTGGAGCAAATACGTCAGCATTCAAATGTCGGGAATCTTTTAAGCTTAAAGTGAGCGCATGGGCCTTTTCCATCATACCGGCGTTAACATATGCGTACACTAGTGTGGTGTAATGGCGACCGTGTGGGTGTGAAACTTTCTTGAATAACTCTTCGACCTTTTCCACGTTTTTACTTTTGGCATAAATACTCATCACAGTGTTAGCAAGATTATCGTTAAGTGGAGTTCCTGAAAGATTATTCTCGTAAATAGAAATACTCTCCTCCACAAGACCTCGTTCCTCATAGAATTTTAGTAAGACTGCAAAAATTGAGGAAGCAGCCAAGGAATGATATTTGTTTTTCATGGCTTTCAAATGTTCAAGAAGGTGCTCTTCTGTGACTCTTCTATCGCCTATTGCAAATTCTGAAAATTCTTTAAAAACTTTTTGAGAAGTGTTAGGATCTTCATCCTGTGGACACTCTTTCAAAAATTGGAGGATTTTGTTGAGTGCGGTCTTATTCGGAGTGAAAGAATTCTTTTTGAAGGATGAATACGAATCGTAGATGGATTGTTTGAGAGGCTCTACCTCTTTCTCCACTTCTTCAACGAGAAAATCATCAACGAATACTCCTACGGGTTTTTCTTGTGGTGTTGTTTCCGAAGGAGGTGAGGGAGTGAGAGATGATTCATTTGAGGATTCATTGATATTATGACTGTGAGTGGCTGTTGTTTTTGTTGAATTTGTTTCTTGCATCATGATACTTGTGGATGTCTTGCGGTGATAATTGGCCACCATCATGGTCCTATTATTAATTTGAAATAATGATTGTTCGGGATGATTCTTCATAGAACCGAAATCAACAATTCCTTGTAATTTCGCTATCAGTAAATTTGATGATGATATCCATTGAGAGGAGAAAGGAGAGGGCGATGATGCCGCAGACAGCAAAGCCTTCCTGGTTAGAAGCAACATGGCAGAATGACCTTTCATCATTTTTTTGAATAGAGTTTTTTCGATATTAAATTGAAATCACATGAATGAATTATTTATTAGTTGATCCTGAACAATTCATTGGATACTAGTAGTAGATATATTCATTCAAAGATGAAAAAGACTATTATTGGTGTTGTTGTAAATTAAGTTCGAGAAGTAGGTCCTCAATGGAAAGTTTAAGAGGAAAGACGGAGGAACAAGCATGTGGTGGCGATAAGGATGAACAAGACCATGTGGCAGTGGTAGCAGCTGGTGGATGATGCATCTGCAGAGGTGTCGTCCTATGTGGATAACATCCTGTGGTCGTGGTAGTGGTCGTAGAGGCAGCAGGTAGACTATCATCCAAACTTTGATAGGAAACTTGCTGAGGATTAAGAGATGATTGTGCAAGTGACGACGATAACGATGATGTCAATAATGGAGGAGTATTTACATTATGCGAGAAAGGTGGAGAACGGTGATGAACGCTCGTGTCATGGATATTCTGTGAAAAAGAAGGAGGGAGTATGGAAGAAGATGTCACGTTGTTTGCTTGTGGCCATTCGAATGAGGTGCTGTTATTGCCAATAGAATATGTTGCTGGCTGTTTTGGTGTGTGAATGGCTTGTGAATTGAGAAGATTATGATTCGCAAAAGGAAAACCTCTAGGTACTAGACCTCCACCGGTGCTGCTACTCTGATTATTTACATCCCTAGTAGAAGCAGTCGTTGTGAAACATGGGTCCGATAGAGAAGACACATGGAATAGTTCTGAAGGTGGTTGTGATTGACGAATTGAAAAAGGAGGAAATTGCTGGATTTGAGGTGAAGGAAGGTTGCATGAACTGGATTCGGCCATATTGGTGTCGGCTGCAATATTATCCGAACCTCTAGGTTGTGGTGGTTTTGGTTGCATTCCCATCACTGTGTGCGGTGATACTTGTTTGCCATGTGGCGGTGGCGATTGCCGGGTGTCTACATGTACGTCATGAAGCGGTTGTTGTTGTTGTTGTTGCGGTTGTGCATTAGATAATGTTTGGTGTTGCTGTTGTTGCGGTTGTGACTTTGACCTTTGTGCTTTCCTTCTACTTTTTGAACCTCTTGGTTGAGAATGCATAACATTTTGCTGATTTCCATAAATGGCCGGTATTTTGGTCAACCTCAATTCAGTATAATTACTTGCAAATTGTTCGTCTGTGACGAGCTTTTTAATCCGAAGTGCATGAGTTGGTTGAAGGAATTTAATAAAGGTATTACTAGTAGTATTATTACTTGGAGGAGTATTTTGAGAAGTGTTCGGATTGCCCAAAATGCTGGTCGTTGCGGAAGAGGAGGTTGGAGAAACTCTTTGGTTATTGCTTGCAAGATCATGATGTTGTGGTGGTTGTTGAGAATGCAACTGCTGTTGTGAATGAATTAGAGTTTCATTCACAAATGTGAAGGTGTTTCCAGTGCTGTTCTGATCAGAAATTGATGTTGTTGCACATGTCGTCGACACGTGGTGGTTGCTTTGGGGATTGCTCGTGGTGGAGACATCTTCGACAGGACTCGAAGAAGATGAATCTGACGACAACGAAGACGTTGGATTCGTCATCCTTTGTGAGTGCTGGTGAGACCCTCCTTGTGGTGAAGAGCGTTCTTCTTGTTGTTGGTCTTTTGGATTCGGCATGCAATGAGGCTTGATGACGATTCTAATGAAACACGTATGGTGGTACCTGTAATGACCACTTGTGTTGTGGTCGTTGAATATCTTGTTGGAAATGTTGTACTTGTTGTTGCTACTCTCGATAAGCGATGGGGAGAGTTGTTTCAAATATTCTTCTTCTCAAAAGTGTTGCGGTAATTGAAATTATTGAAACGGGGTGCATTCAATCCACGTGTAATTTGTTGAATTGGTGTTCAACACCTTTCTGTGGCTTCTTTGTCGATGGTACACTTGTAAAGGCAATTTTTAACGCGAAGAATAAGCTAGTCACACCTTGTATGAGCTAAACATGCGAAAATGTTGAAGAATGATAGTTGCCTTTGCTGTAGGAATGCAGGGCAGGGATAAAACGAAGGAAGGTACTTCTTCACAATGGGCAAAAGTCATTTGAATTATGGTGAAAGGGGTATTTTAGATTTTCGTTCCGAGGTTCCTCTCCATGGATATCAAATCTTGTTGTACCTGCATGGTTCACAACAATGCTAGGACACGTTATCTGTAATTATGTCGTTGTGGACAACAAGGCCACTTTTCAAATACTTGGTTGTTGAACCATTGGTCCGCATCATAATGGCCTTCCTGTTCTGGCGAGTATCCAAGATTGTGCAAGGATCGGATATAGTTGGTAGTATCCGAGTGTGTTTGTTTGGGTTCTTTAAACAGTCGTGCATACGGTTCATATTGTGTCAGTAATGAGATCATCTCTTCACTGAGTGGTTGAGAGCAGGCTTGACAATGTCAACACCTCATAGCTTCTCCATTTGAGAAATGGCAGCAAGTAATTGAGTAGTTGTGCAGTCCAAGGTCTGTCATGTAGAATTACGATTTGATGATGATCGTGGGAGCATAGAAACCCAAAAGACAATAATTTCACCAAGTCGTACACATAACTCACGATTACAATATTGACCAAATTGAGCCACCAAATGGGTACTTGTGGATCAAAGGAATAAATATTTCCCAGCACGATATCATACTCCAATTCTTGGCATGTTTGGATCATTTCTTGAGTGAAAAAACCATGCCCGGGTCGATAATATTTGGTCATGACACTCTCGAGAGGAGCTTTCCCCTTCAACTTTCTTCTCTCGTTGAGAGGAGCGAGTAAAATATCGTTGACAGTCTTTTCACAATTTTCAATTTCCATCACAAGCTTGTTTTTAGGCAGAGAAGCATGCTTTGAGTTGGTCATGCCATGATTGGCCAACTCTATAATGCCATCATCAAGCCACTCTACAAATTTCTCAACGAGTTGAGCGTTTTTCTGTAAATTCCGAATACAATAGTTGCCAATCATCATCAAGGTAGCACACGCATTGTGTTGTTTCAAGACTTGGCAAATTTCAGAAATACTGGAAGAGAACAACTCGTGTTTGGTGTTTACCTTTTCATTGTGGTCATCACAATTATGAACTTGTGTGCTTGGACTAGATGATGAAACTGAGGGCTGTTTTCTACCATGGCCGGGTGCGAACTTGGGTAGTGAATACTTCCAAGGTATATCATCAATAGTGATGGCAATCCGAAGGCGGTTTGAATCATCTGATGGTTTTGCTGCAGTATTGGGAGAAGTCAGAGCAGAACTTGTTGTTGATGCGGAGCGATCATCATCAAACCTGTACTGCTGCATTTGGCTGCACTTCCTCTTCTTTCCATTGAAAATAATCGTGTTGGACGAATCGAGCAATGAGAGAAGTCGAACACCAAAAAGCCACACAGTGGCAATCAGCATCAATCCAGCAAGCCACCACCATGAGAACATTTTTATGGTGTAACGGCTTTTTCCTTTTTTAAAAAAATGTTCACTCGACAACAGCCTCACTCATCTTTGCATGTGACCCCTAACGTTCTCCCAAGCGGAAATCAAAGCCTCATGATGATGAATAGAAGCTCATCATCGCCCCAAATGAACCTTAATCATCCTTACTTGCAAAGAGTGCAACAAGGAACGCATTTGGCTCAGAGAGGAAGAATGAGCCCTCCTCAGCAATCAAACCATCCAACCGATCCTCAACCATTTTCTCCTCCACTCAACACTGTTTATCATCAATCACCAATTTTAAACGTTCAAGCACATTCAAACATCCATCAAGGAATGTCTCCTCAACAACTGTTGCACCATCAAAGCCTTAATCAAAATTCTCACGGAGCTAACCCAACTTTGAAATTTCTCAATGAAGACTCGGTCGATGATTTGTATTCACTACAAGAGCCTTCTCACAGTGAAACACTACATTCACCTCGATCTACCAGTCAAAACATTGTACCTTCATCGTCCTCCAACATGACAAGCAGTAATACAACCCCTCTAAACACCACGTTAATTAATCCAGAAAGAATCAATTCTCAACTCTCATCGAAGGTGAGACACATTCCGAGACAGGATCCATTCTTTCATCATCTTGAGTATAGTGTCAAGTTGGCAATCGGTGCAGTTTCATGTTCAGTATCAAGAGTGTACTGTTTGAGAGACGCCTCAGAGTACAACCAATTTAAACAATATCATCAACAGAACGCAAATAGCTCGGGAGGATTCCTTGATGTTTGGCTCAATCTAAATGATCTGTCTCATATGAGATCCAACAATACCTTAGAAACCATCATTGGCGACGGTTTTCAAATTTCACAAAACGGCATGAGAATAAGTGTTGGAAGAATCAATCTAGATCCCAATACACAACAGTTGCATGAATCATTGATAGCCAATCATCCTTCAAACCGAGGAGGTATCAATATTCCTGCCCAACAGCAATATCAACAACAGCTGAATCAAGAGTCTCTATTTCTGGGACAACACCAACAATCAAATTCTCGTCCTAGGGTATATCGATTACTTCATTGCCTGTTTAATCCAGGAAGATCTTTCTGTTTGAATCGAGAGTTCAATGAGGAGGTTATTTCAATCCCTCAAGGTTACGATAGCGTATACCTTCAACCAAGTAAGTTATTTGACGATCGATGAAATGTTGTGACATTGCGAACAACTGGTTAACAACTGGTATACTCGGACACATCCTTTTCGATAAGGTGAGACCAATCCTAATTTCAATCATGAATTCATTGTCTTTGATGCAAGACAGTTATTTGCTGACTGTGTCCTCTTTGTCGAATACGACCACATGGGTGATGAGAAAATGTTAAATCAGGTCATGTACAATGACATGCTACGAAATAGTGACAAGATTATTAGTAAGGCTTATAAAAAGGCCTCAAACTATGTCGATCAGTCATGTAATCCACCTACAGACGAGAAAATGCTATTACCAGAAATTTCGAAACAAATTCAACAACGACAGCTTGTTTTGATGGAGCTTGAAAATATAGAGAAGAGGCGTCTGGAGTTGTTAGCAAATGCTGGCCAAATGGAGGCACATATTCGAGAGCAGTTTAGAAAGTCCATGACGTCACTACATGACATTACTCAATTGAAACTAAGTACACTGTTGTCAAGAGAGACCGAATTGAGACGAAAAATGGAGGAAATTGAATGGATGAATACATTCATTGCGTATCAGCGAACTTTGGAGTCTCCCTTGCAATTCCTTGAATCTACGGCACTTCACAAAAGGAAGCTCAAGGAGCGGCAAGATGCTATTGATTATTGTCTTATTCAAGGAAAGAATGTGTACGATATTCTCACAATTCCTGACATTACGGTGGAAGGAAAAATGGAGGTTTTGTCGCAAACGGTTCCATTGAACGGGTAAGTATAGGGATTTTTGACATCTTTATAATTCAACTGACCACCATTACCTTAGAATGGCCTTTAGAACTCTTGCCAACAACAGTTACCACAGTAATGGTGAGGCTGTGTCAGGCAATGTCATGATGAAATAAAATATTTAAACCTTAGTCAGCATTTCGTGGGTTGCTATGTTTAAGGTTGTATGTAAAGACGATGATACTCTCATAAATATCGATGGTGTGTTGTTTATTGAGTTGTGGGGTTTTGGAAAAATTGTTGAGATCCTCTCAAAATTCTCACCAAATACCTTCAACTGTTGTCTGTGTTCTGTTCTCTTTATTTATCCCTTAGTGGACGGAAACTGCCACGGTGGCACTGATGAAGATAGATAATTATTGAAATATACTAGTATGTTTATTATTAAACCGGGGTTGGAATGGCGTAAAAAGCAAAGCCTGTTATGCTTTACACAAAGTGGTATTTTTTTCCATATTTTTCATAACAAGTCTGGCATTTGTTCGTGAAGAGCAAATACAACACACCATACGACTACCTGGTTTGTACATACGGTGTACTTCAATTACATTTCTGGTATTGATTGTTGGAGGTAATGAATATTCAGCCCTACGAACAAGATCGACACCAAATCTTTCTCCAAGCTGTCCAACCAGATGCTTCATAAATTCGACAAAGCTGAAACGAAGGGGACATGCTTGTACCACACATAAGTATTAGTTAATAGAATGTAAATCCAAGTACCAAATTCAGCTCTCCATCCATGAACCACTTTTCCCTTATTTCGAGCATGTGATTCAATTGCTTTTCGTTCATCTACAAAACCATGGTATTTTCGGTAATACTTTAAAATTATCAGGGGCAGATACTTGTATACTCTTCTTAGTTTCACGATTATATATTCTGACATAGCCTATTTTTTCCATACCTCTAACATGGTCAGAAAGTTCAATATAATTTTTTTCCAGATGTAGAGTTTCGATTATAATAACTAATGGCAGTATAATTGGCATGATATCTATACTTGAATGTGTGACGTTGGAGATCCTTATGTAACACCGCTGAAAAAAATTCTACAATATTCTAATATTTTGACCTAAAAGACCCTTCGATTCTCCCATTCGCGTTTTTTATGCATGGTAAATTATGCAATAGATTCTTCCTCTTCTTCTTCTGTTAGAGCAAAATATGTTGTTTCAGCAACAAATTCTTCTGCCTCTTCTGCTTTTATGAGCTTTTCAACAGTGCGTAGGGAAACAATGTCGTTGCATTTAAGTTTGACTTTGGCAAGTTTCAAGATCTCTTCTTTTGACATGTTTGAAAGAATTACCATCCTACTCCCTCCTACCTCCTTTCCATATCTCATCACAGTTATATATAAGTTTTTTCTCAGGCGACGAGAACTTTAGTGCTTCTTGTTGTTGAGTTTGCATTTGGTAAGATTTTGGAGGAATATCTTTCCTAAAAGATAAATCAATAGGAATAGATTCAGTAACCACGTTGTCTTGACCGTTTTCTCTTGTTACAATACTGAAAGTTGAAAATAATGAATCATGATACACATAAATAATCTTCACATGATCAGAGCTTTCAGGAAATTCGTAAGGATGTTGATCTTTTCCATATGGAACTGTTGTCCAATGCCACACTATTGTTTGTTTCCTATTGATCTTTGTATTCATAATTCCCTCAATACCGAGCATAATCTTTTATTGGATGTGGTGACTCAAAGTATTTCTATCATTTCTTTTTGCATTAACACAAACGTTTGCACAATGTTCGACAAGTATCAAATGCTCATTACTAATAGTAATTACTGAATCACATTGCTGTTTTGGTTGGTTATTGTTTGTTTTTTGTTGCACAATCCTGACATAAAAGTCCTTCATTAAATTAGTAAAGGCGTTTTCAAAGGCAACTTGATAAAGAATCTCTTTTGCACCTTTTGGGTATTGGCTTGTGAAATGGTTTTGTTTTGTGTCATTTCCAATCACCAAAGACCAACGATCCATAATTTTTATCACTTCCTTCAAACAAGTAGCAAAATCAAAGTCTCCATTTGGTAAAAGGGGAAGCTGTGTTAGGGGTGTAAAGGAAGGTTTGGCGATTATTCGTTCAAGGATATATCTTTGAATGAATGGAGAAGCATAGTCCAACAATAAAAAGTCCTTCTTTCTCAAAATATTTGATGAGTATCAATATTGATAATGGCGTCATCGGGTTTCTGTATGTTATTCTTTAACCAATTCAATAGACTAAATGCAACAGCTTCATCTTGAAGAACATTGGTGACTCTTTCAAAGTTTTGGAAGGTTGAAATATATTCCCAAATTTTGCTGTTGATATAAACAGCATACCATTGTGTTTCACTGAGATGGCTCTTCTTTCTACATGTCATTTCATAGTACTGTGTTAACATGACAGTTTGTCCTTGTGCTCCCAAAGTGACGCTGTAGATATGGTCTCTTATAGGTTTCATCATTTGCTTTTTCAATTCTTTTTCAAATCAGCTTCTTCTCTAGTAAAATAGTCTCCATAAACAAGATTGGTAACGTTGAATGGAGAATTTCCAATGGTCTGTCCAAAGTGTTCACCAACCCAATTTGTAATAGCCACACAGGAATAAAGACTGTAACTCATTTTCATCTGTTTTATGGCCGACAGGCTAGCCAAAAAACGTGCTCGTTCAAGTCTCTCAAGCTCTGCAATCGAATCTATTTCGTCCTTCACTAGGACCACCTTTTCGTCTTTAAAAGGCCCATATAATTGGGAAAACAAGTCTTCTAAAGTTGGAGCGTATAGTTCCACTTTCAAAGCTATGTTTATAGCTTTCAGTAAACAGGTAAAGAAAGTTGTAGATTCTCCTTTTTTGGTCGTTTCTCCGCACATAGAGACTACATTTCTAATGTTGACATATATTGGTAGATATCCAATTTCTTTGAGCCTGGGCATTAATGAATTAACTACAAGCGAAGTCTTTCCTGATTGGCTTGGTGCTATTAGAATGCAAAATTCCCCTCTTTCAATTCGAGGCAATAACTTTTGTTCCACTGACTTGGTCTGTTCAATATAAATGTACTTATTTGTGTCTACAAGTCCGTTGGCGCATAAAGATTTGGAGTGTTTGATGTCTTTATAAAGACTAGATTTTTCTCTCTCTTCTCTATTTGACTCTGTGTTAGTTTTTCTCTTCCTCCGAGAAATCAATCTCGTCAATGGTTTGATCATGTTGATTTTCAATCATCGTTGTTGTTGTGGTTGGGTGATAGTGGTGATGGACATGTAAAGAGGTGATGTTTGAGCATTTTTGTTGGAAGTGTTTCGCCCAATTATTGTTGAAGATCACAATGGTATTCCTCACTTTAAAACTTGATCATGACATATATTGAAGGAAATCTCAAAGACCATTCGATGTGATGATTTGTTCTGAAATAGAGTAGTGAAAGAAATGTCTCAAACGCTGAGAGTTTTTTTCCCTTCTCTGTGTTGCTCTTGAAAAGTTTTGGAATTTTTAGCGCTAAAAAATTTTTAATCGTAATTTTGAAAAAAATGTTTAAACTTACTTTCACCATCAAAACTCGATCACCTCCAAGGGGATTCAAAAGAACTATCGGAATCACTATACAAGACGATGGATTATTTGGAACTCTTCACTGTTATCCTCAAGAACGCTCGGGTGAGAGTGATATTGTAATTGTGTTGGAAAATGTGTTATCTAAAGATACGGATTCGTCAGATTTTTTTTTTGCAGCGTAAGCTTTTGGAAACAATGCTTAAAATTACAAGTCAGACATGTGTGGTCGATATAACTAATCTTGTTCCTGGTTATGAAATGGTTAAAACAAATATTCCAAAAAGAAAGGGTTACAAGTTGAACAAGATTAAAGAAAAAGATTGGCCTAAAACTCAATCTCTATCAGATACAACATCAGAACAAAAAGCATTTGATCTTGTTTCAACTTCAGAGGAAATGATTGAGAAAGCTAAAACATTATTTCATTCTCTTAATTGGCAATCTGTTATTGATCGACAGAAAGAAATTGTGTGTTCTCCAAACCCAATTCGTGAAAAATCATCCTCACCCTCCACCCCCAAACAAGATATGACTACATTTATGGTTCAAGGAACCTCATCAGTCATTTCATACCGTTCCAAATCATCCACCCACTCCTCCAACAAAAGTTTACCTTCAACTTCAGGCAAACAGATGGAAGAAATTTATCCATGGGAATCAGCATCCAATACGAAATCGAATGATGAGATTTCAATGTTACGCTTTCTGTTAAATCAGAAAGATCAAGAATTAAAAAAGAAAGATCAAAAATTGGATGAAAAAGATGAAGAATTGAGAAAAAAAGATGAAGAATTGAGAAAAAAAGATGAAGAATTGAGAAACAAAGATCAAAGGTTGGAAGAAAAAGACGAAGAATTGAGAAAAAAAGATGAATTGATCGAACTCTTGACGAAAAAAATTTTAAAATTAAACGAATAACCTTCTCTTTCTTTATTTCAGATTAAACGTCCATTAATGTTATCTTACTTATGGACATTCATTACGAACAACAATAAACGAGGGACGGAACAAATCCATCATCCTAGCACTCGGATCTATCCAATAATGTCCATCCGTTGAAAATGAAAATTCCAGAGTGGATTAACAAGCGTTGCTGACCAAATAATTGTTTGATGTCAAAGATTGCATCTTGCTAGAGGCTCTGTTTTGCTAAATTGTCCACCTTGATATTTTCAAAGTCAAGGTGTCCTTTTACCTTTTTAAAGGTGATTTGCAGATTTCTTTTTCTTGTGATTTTGGAATATTCATTATGAATTCTAAGTGAGAGTAGGAATGTGGTGTGTTCGGGGATGAAAGGTTGTAAATATTGATTCCCATTCCTGTTTTACCATCCTGACAGGAGCCATCAGGATGGATTTCAAAATTGGTACTGTCTAGTCGATCAAGCGAAAACTTTTCCTTGTTAAGCTTGACGTTCACATTGTATTCTTTAAGGATGGATTTCCAGTGTTTTTGTTGGAAGATGTTGTTATCAGTATCGTTAGAGTGGTTCATTCCATAACGATACGTTTTTATGTTGAGATTGTTGTCCATAAGAACGGAAGTTCGGATGTTCATGTATATATCCACAAATTCTGTAATTAAGGGAATGTCGAGACCAGAGTTGACGAGCGAAAATACAATCCACCATGAGAGTTTGGAATAACGTCAAATCTTTGACCCCACGCGTCGAATTTGGGGTATTTATTGAGGAATGGCTGTGACCACTAAGCAAATGAAACAGTGGACAGAGAGGACCAAGAGAAGAACAAAAATCGTTGACTAGCTGGAGAAAAACTGTTCTCCCTTCAGATTTTTCAATGAAAACCAGAATCCAGGTCGACGATCAGGCTTCTGATTATTCTGCAGACAGACTCTGAGATCTTCGGAATGACCTATACTTCTCACCATAATCATCTCTTGAAACGTCACAACACTTCAAACAAGTCCATTTCTTATAATGAGAAGCACTTTTGTTGTGGTGGAGCGGACTGTGTGAATGTGTCATGTATCCAGGACTTGATGGAGAACATGTTGTTGTTGTTGGTTGGAGATGGAACCTCAACCACTGTAAATTTTAAGAGATAAAAAAACGTCAACTGCCACTTGATTTGTTCTTGCGCGTCTTTTCGGAAAGAACCCCCACACGGACATTGCAAGGCTTTGTTGACCCTCTTGACACAGAACTCCAAATTTCTTCGCGCATTCTTGCCTTCACGACGACATTTATTGTTCTTCTTCATCATCAAAAAGCATTTTCAAAGCTACACCAATTGTCGAATAATTATTTCAAATAGTAGTCAATTGGTCTACTCGTATTTCTTCTTGTTCCGATGAAATGTCATCCTCTCAAAACACAAGCATTTTGCAAGTATTGAACTCGTCTTCGTCGCATTCTCGAGGAGGCGTTCTCTCGAATCATTCGAGTCCTAACTTGATGATGAATCACCACCATCAGGGTTCAACTCTAGTTGGAGGAGTAGGATTGTCCATCACGAATGGTTCCATCTCTCCATCTCTCCATCAAGTATTTCCTCAACTTCAGCAACATCTGCAATTGGTGGAGGAGTGCAATCATAATTATGGTTTGCAAAAGATGCTTCAGCAACAAGAGCAAATAGCGAATCAAAATTATAACTTGTCAATGCAACAAGTAAGTTTCAATTTAAAAAGAAGCTGCTTCAGTTTGATATATTTATGTGGTTGTTGTTGTTACTGATAAATCTACTTGTCGTCCTACCTTTGCAACTGTCAACCTTCAACGACTGTCAAGGGTGACCTTATCACACGACAGAATCAAGCTGTCAACATGACTCTCTCACCAAATGGTTACAATTATCTTGTCACAAATTCTACCTCTCCAACTTTGAGTCCAAATTCGAGTCACACAAATTCTTCATCTTCCAACTCTTCGAATCACAGTAACAACAACAACACAAATAACTTGATGTTTATCAACGAGACCACTGCTGACGTGTTACAGCGAGGTGTATTTCCAAATTATGATCTCAGTGCTCCTTCAACTCCTAAAAGGAATCTTCTCTCAAGTGGTTCGCATGCGAATGGATTTTCGACACCTCAACCTTCGAATACGACAAGCACGAATCCTCTCAAGTCACCTCCCTCTTTGAAAACTCAAAAACAACATTCTGCCTCAACTCTTCATACAGCCACTTCATTGAGAATGAAAAAACATTCAGGGTTGGGAAATTTTAAGAATAACTATTTTGAATTGGAAATGAAAAAAACACCAAAATCTCATTCAAGTACTTCTCAAGTGATGACAGCAGCAACGGCGAGTGTTGCTGATTCGAACACAACAGGTGTGACACCAAACAATGGGTCACCTGCACGAAGAGGAATTGAAAAATCTTCAAGTTTTTCCAAGAAGAATCCACTGCTAAATTTGGATAGGCATTCGTTGGCAGCTGCGCTGAGCCAATCAAATTTGTTACAACCCAATCAACAATTGCAAGAGGTTGGAAACAAGAAATTTTCCTTATCTTACAATGAGTTGAATTCTGAGGATCAACTTTCTTCATTATATGGTCAACCACATGCACTCATTGGTCAAGCTCTCCATCAGCATGTATTGAATCCCAACAATGGTTTGTTCATGAATGGAAATGGTTCAATGAATGTTAACAATGCAAATAATCATGCTTCAATGATAGATGTCAACATGAATGATCAAAACTCAGAGAATTCGATGAAGCGAAATAGGTTATTGACCTATTCTGTGAGCTCTCCAAATTTGTTGAATTCACATGCACAGCAGCAGCAACCAGAGATCCTCTTATCTCAACCCTACCAAAATTTATCCTATTTTGCTCAACAACAAGGTATCTTTCAACAAATGTCAACTTCGTATCCTGTCAAGACGAGTGTGGATCATGGTCTCCAACAGAGTAGTACTAGTCACACGAATCAAGTGTCTTCTAGTCAACCTAAAGATACTTCCGATTTTGATGACATGCTTGAATCGTTATTGAACGAGGATTGTGTGTTTGAAGAATCAATTACAGTTCCAACAGGAAACAACAATGGTTGCAACCTAAATAATGCAAAATGGGATGAATTTGATACAAGTGCTAGCCAACATGTTTCGTCACCATTGTCCATATTTGCAGAGAAGGACGATCATCAACAAGACATGTCACTCCTTTTAGATATGGACAATTTCTTTTTGTCTTCAGGAAATGATGACGCAGGAATGGATCAATCCGCCAAAGAAATGAATGAAATCAATGCAACTGCCAACCAACCAAATGCCTCAGCCACAACCAACACCTCAACTCATCAAGATCAGAATTTACCACTGCGTCCACTCAATCCACAGGATGTCATGAAAGAATGGGAGAATATTTGTTCTCATAACAACCATCACCACACTTATTCGCAGCTTGGAGCTCATTCTCCAACTCATCTCAACAACCTTGAGTATGATTTACTAGATCAATTCTAACTTCTAACTTGTTAATAAACTACCATACACGTAGATATATTTGCTTTGAAAGTATCAAAATCCAAAGGTCTTCCAATATTGAAATTTAGGTAGTTGTCTTAGATCCTTGGTCTCAAACAGAGCAGAATGCTGTTCTACAACTCCAACAACTCTCAAATATTTTGTGAACTTGACGATCAAAGTGAATCGAGTATTATTTCTCAAATAAAGTACACAAAGTATGCTAATATTACACAAAATAACATTGCTCAAAATCTCGAACAAGTTCATATGTATAAACTGGATTGTAGTGATAAATGAGAGCAGCATCTTCGATTTGACTCGATTTAAATCTGTGGAAATTCTTTCGACATTCATTAACGAAAAATCTTCCAAAGAACGTGTTGGTGGTGACACTTTCATACGAATGATTGATCACTTCTTCAGTGTTCCATCCAAAAATTGCCTTTTCAGGATGAAATTGTGAGGCATAAATTGGATAAATTTCATGCTCAAAAAGACTTGCATATTTTCTTCCTTTTCTATCAAGATTCGTGGACAACAACTTGACATGCTTGTTCAATTATTCATTTCCGAGCCATTTGTCTATTGAAATTCCATCCTTGTGTGCATTGAAGGTCACATTCTTTGCTCCCAATGTTTGAATCAAGTTTAACATGTCACCAAGTGGAGCAGACTCCAAAGAAAACATGCGTGTGTTGTACAATAATTCTTGATTATTCACAGTAAAGTCCAATAGAATGGCCATATTCTCAGAATCAAAACCACTCTCCATGACAGAGGAATCATTGGCCAAACTAAGTGCCAAACTTAGCATGCCAATACAAGTTCCCCAAATTGGAAAATAATCTTGTTTTGAATGAAAAGCTTCAATTTCCCATCTCACAATTAATTGTTGAGACATTAAATATGGCGTAAATTCATGTGTCGAATGATCCACCAAATCAATCGCTCCTCCCGGTAACAACAATCCATTCATTTGTTCAAAATATTCTCTTATTGCTGAACAGGTAAATCAAACCTAATCGGTACCACTCTCGCTCCAGAACTCTCAACAAACTTGACTTTGGCAGCATCAATATTTACCAAATCGAGAAATCTTTCCCGAAAGTGTCGGTTGTGCCAAAATGCCAATGATAGGTCTTGTATTTGTGGGTTTTGAATTGTTGTCGCCATCAGGTAACAAATGCCAACAAAACATTAAACGACACCTCCAAAAACTCCCAATCCAAGGACATCAATTTAAGTGTTTCTGTTTTTACTCAAAACCAAGTGACAGTTAATTTCTGTGAATACATTATTGATCAAGTCTACAATTTCATAACTGATTGGTATGTGACAATGCGTAAACCAAACGTTCTGAATATTATAGCTCAGGATCAAAAGAGCATTGAAAAAATTATGGTAATCCTTAACAATCTGAACGTCAAGCTTAGGTCCCCTTGTAAATACTTCGTAAGCCTTATGAATTTTAACTTTCATTCAGAATTCACTGTTAAATTCCACACTCGGACCCCTAAAGATATGATTAAAAAAGTCAGTTGGGTAATTGAAAACGCTTGGTCATATATTCTCAATCTAAAGGAAATGAATGTGGTTTTTTCAGAAGAAAATAAAACCTACAAAGTAAGACTTGCAGTTGGTACAAAGAATGATGATGCAGTATGTAAGAAAAATGGTTTTGAGGAATACAAAACTGTGGAGAAATTGATTACTGAAGTTGCAAATCATGCCTCATTCTTTTTTAGAGACAACTTCTCAGTACAGGATGTCAAAAGAATCACCCAACAAATCTGTATTAAGGCTGGTATTCCTTTTGAAGAAAAGAAGCTCAAGATTGTTGAAAGACCTGCTAATCTTTTTCATAACGTCCCAAATATTGCTTACTACGACACAAACAACAGAGATAATCTTAAAAAATTTATTGCAACCTCTATGGTTGGCTTTGGTTTAAAGTCCTATCCAAAACCAGTAAGAATCCAATTTACATCAACAGCTGAATTTCTTAGCAAAAAATAGAAGTCCCATTCCGTTCCAACAAAGAAACAAGAGGATAATACCAATTTTATGAATGAATTTAAAGATTTTATGAATGAATTTAAAGAAGTTTTAGTTGAGCACGAAAAGCGTTTTAATCTGATTCAAAAACAGTTGACGCGTATTATGAAAAAGCTTGATGATATGTCCAGGCAACCTCTGTCCCAAACCTTGTCAGAAACTCGTGATTTTATGAATAACCACAAAGAAAGGAAACCATGTTCACACGGCCATGATCCAATCGAGATTCGAACATTTAGACGTAAACAGACACGTTTCTAAGATTCGACAACTGAACGTTTTTAATGGCTTTTGATGACCGATCCCACTTGGGGTCAATCACACTCTCAATAAATTTTTTTTTGATGGACATTTATGGAATCAAAAGATGGCAGCATGACAGAGAGGTTGACAATGTTGCGACACTTCTAATAAAACGTGTGCACAGAACTAATCCGAAGTGCTTGCGGTGGCCACAAAAAACACTCTCTTTTCATGATTATAAATAGTAAATGCATACGTTCCCCACCATTCCATTCCAGACAGCCAATAGGTTGACCATGTCTCTTCAGCCTCGTCATCACTGTTTGTTGCCATTGTTGCCTTCCATTCATAGACAGTACATGAATATTCCTCACCAAATAATTCTGACCTTAATTGTGAAATTTCATGAGATGCATCTTTCATAGCATAGGGTGGGTCACCTGCAAGATCAAAAATATCTTTTTCCTTTGTATCAGTGTCGCTCTTGGTATCCACCAATGTTGGTTCTTGCATTAGATCATATTCTACACTCGAACAGTCATTGATCGGTTGAAAGAAGGTCAAGAATTTCTTGCCAAATCGTGCTCTCCATGTTTTGAGATGTTGCATCATTTCACGTAATAGAATACCATGAGAAAGGTTTGAAATTTTTGGAGAAGGGTTTTGTGGATAGCTGTTAAAGGTAATGATACGTTTCGTATCCTCGGCGGCAATAGAAATAAATTCGTTTTCATGCCATCCACTGATGGAACTCATGAGCGCATATTTGTGAATCATTTCCATGGCATATGATCCTTGATCGGTGGGTGAGATTTGATGTTTCAATAAAATGTTCAACAATTCACATGGACGCAACATCCAAATATCAATGACTCCTCCTTTGTCTAAATAGGTAGTAAATGCTTCTGATGTGTAAATCTGTTTTTTCAATGGTTGTAAATAAAATTCTTTCACAAGTTCTCGATTGGTTTTAGATTTTTCGTTTTGAATAATCATACAAATTTGTGTGGCATTTGAGAAACCACAAAATTTAGCAATTTCATTCACCAACACTCCATAGACAGTAAAATCACAATCCTCGCTCAATAATACAAATCTCCAACTTTTACAAACTCTCTCTACACTCCCAAATAAATCATTCAAATTGAGAAACGAAAAAATCAACGCCCACATATCACTACTCAAGTTTTCAATCCATTGAAATCGAGTCATGGCATCTTGACAACTCTGTCCCGAAAAAGCAGTTCCGAATTTTTCATTTAATTCCCGTGCAATGGCATTCCAATCGCGACCGGAGAGATTTATTGAAGAGCTGTTGCCCTGATGATTGTCGCCACTTTCTCCTCCATCGTTTACCACCAGTGCTTTGAGATATTTAATTTTTTCTTGAGTCCATCGGTAGGAGGAAGGAGAGATTTGTTTTTGAAACATTTTTTTAATAATCAAAAATGAACTGAAATTCATTTCAGTTCAAGAAAAATTCAATCAAAAAAAATGTTACGCTTGTTCAAGACGACTGGGTTTACCAAAAGAGCAGCTCAGTCTGGTTTGGTGGGCGAGAAACAGTTCGGGATGCCTTTGGTTTTTTTGAGGAGCAATACACCAAAATCATCCTTATTTTCTGGTTATACCAATGATCATCATTCCTTATTTCATCAAAGTTATGCTTGCAATCATTCCGGGAATTATTCGAGATCCATTAAAAGTAGTGGAGAAAAGATATCATCACGAGCTCGGAAAAAGCATTCAGAACTAACTTGTATTCATGATGAACATCAACACATCACCACAACGAAAAAGTCTAAAATCATTGAATCAGGCAACACTCTCACTCAACCACATGTTCGTAAAACAAGTCCTCGTAAAACAAAATCATCTGAAAATGTGCAAGAAGAGATTGTTTTCAAAATGAATGACAAACAAATTTTATCATTGAATGATGAACAAAAGAAAGTAGTTTTTGAGAGTGTTGACAAAAACGTGTTGGTATTAGCTTGCGCTGGAAGTGGAAAAACAACCACGATTCTATGCCGAATTTTGTACCTGGTGAAAGCACATCATGTGAAGGAAGAAGAAATTATGTTAACCACTTTTACGCGACAGGCAGCACATGAAATGAAAAAGCGTTTGATAAAACTATTGGGAAAGAGAAAAACGAACGTTGAAGTTGGAACCATTGATAGCATATCGAACAAGTATTTACAGCAATTTGGTAGCTATGATTATGTAGTGGATTCGAACACTCTATTGAGCGTCAAAGAAATTGGATATCGATTCAGAAATATATTAATCAATAATCCCGAAGTTGCTGATCAGATTTGCTCGAAAATCAAATATCTATTTGTTGATGAATTTCAGGACCTGGATGATATTCAAATGGATATATTTTCAGAATTTTACAAGCGAGGAACAAAAATTATTGCCGTTGGTGATGATTCTCAAAACATTTATTCATGGAGAGGTATGTAATACTTTGAAATTGATTTTGTCGAATTGGAATGTTTTTTGAAACTGTTTTATTGGACATCCGTTTTTTGAAAATGTTTTGAATGTTATTCCATTACATCTTTTCACACAACATGTTCTTATGTTTATTGACTTATTAAGGTAGTAACATGTTCCACATTTTGAATTTTCACAAGAATTTTGGGAACACTGTCGTCCACAATTTAGTCACCAATTTTAGAAGCACAAAAGAAATTGTTAATTTGGCCAATGCATCACTTGCATGTAATAAGGAAAACATTCCAAAAGATATGTTTTCAACCAGAGGCAGTAGTGGCAACTTGCCAACCATTCGATGTTGTGCAAGAGAACAAACCAATTACTTATTAGAATCTATCAAAGGACATATCATACAAGGAGTTCCACTAGATCAAATTGCAATTTTATGCCATTCTAATTTTGGACTCTATGATATCGAATCTGAACTTGCCAAGCATCACATTCCACACGTCCTTCTCATGGACAATATGAAAAAAGATTCTCGACGAATGCCTTCCTTGGCAAAAAAGGTCTGTCTCACTACCATACACAAGGCCAAAGGATTGGAATGGGAAATTGTCTATATCATTAATGCAACAGACAAGTATTGGAAAGAATCAAATGATGAAGCAGAGTTACGACGATTATTCTATGTGGCCATCACAAGAGCAAAAACACATTTATATTTCACATTTCCTGACCATACTGGAGGTACTAATGAACACACAACACCCACTTACCTTAGGTACTTGAGAGAATTGAACACTTCTCTCTATGTAACGGAAAACATTAACCCACTTCATGCAAGAAGTGACGTTCACATTGATCGACATTTGGGCACTAAAAATCCATACGCAGTTACAGAGATGATTTGTGGGATCAATGGTGCCTTCATTGACACTCTTCGGCAAAAGGGTTACCTGCCTTCACTACAATTCAAACAACAACAACTCGTCACGACAAAATTTTCTTATTGCCAGGTAGTTCACTATAATCAATTGTATCCTGATTTTGGAACTTTTTTAGGTAGGTCCTACTTTAAATTTTGAATAACCAATATTGTGAAAACACAATTTCATCACAATGACATTTAATTTTTTTATATTGAATTTGTTCTATGAAAAAGATACACTAATTTGTAGAATGGTAGCAGAACAATATCCAAGATCTGGTGGATTCTCGAGCAAATACTTTGAACTTGCCACTAATTATGTTAGTCTCTCGACAGCCGAGTACCAAATCTACTCTAAATATTTTTCCACTCTCAATACCTTACTGCAAGAACATGGTCATTTACAAAACATATTCAAACATGTCGAACAAAATGATGAAGCAATAATGAGGTCTGTGGTCTTCAAACTTGAAGCAAAGTCAAAAGAGCTCAAAATTGGATCCATGGAAGAATTACCTGTGTTTGTGTATAATGCACTACCTAAAGAGTTTGAACAACACATGTTTCAAAATTACAAAATCTTCAAAGATGAATCAAAAAGTTCATTTAAAATTTTAAATTGCATTTGGGAAATTAGCAAATGTGAGGCCATTGTTAAAGAGGGAAGAACTCGCTTACTATATCTCTCTGCATTCCCTTTTCAAAAATATTTGATTAATATGGAGTCGATTATGAATCATTCATATTCTGAATTGTTGGATAATCTACAACATGTATACATTCCACATCTCATGAATCAAGTCTCTGAGGAAATTCAAAGTAACGTCAATTTCTCAAGACTGGACCGAATTGTTGGAGAAGTGGATCTAATCATTGATGGACATACGATTGTGGAAATTAAGTGTTCTACATCCAAAGAAGTGGATCTAAATTGGGTCTTGCAATTACTTTGTTACACTCATCTCGCTCGACAACAGGGTTATGAAGTTCAAAAAATTGCAATCCTTAATCCACTCCAAGGTTTATGGTTCGAGAGTGACATTTCTTTTTGGAATGAAGGAGAAGAATTGTTGATGGAATTGAAACAATTCAGCGATAAGCTCAGGGGGGACAAGTGTGGAAGAATTGAGAATCGTCATCTCTAAACGTTGATTTTCTCATCTTGGTAAAATGACCTAATCTAAACAATTCCAAATTCATTGTCGCAACATGTTGACGTGTCATGTCTGTTGATTACTTTGTTTCCAACTGTTTTCGAAGAAATATCATTATTAATAAATAATAATTGTTATTGTACATGAACCAAACCAACAACCCTCCCATTTTTGGCTCTTGAAACAAAAAAAATGATTCAATCACAACGTCAACCGACGCCATCCTCTTCCTTGTCTTCATCCTCCTCCTCTCCGAATAATCCCTCATCAAGTGGTGGCGGTGATTCCATTCAATCAATCTCATCGCCACCACTCCGAGATGCCATCCTCGCAACATCAACTTTGAATTCATTTAATTTTCATCATCATCATCATTTGAATTCATCATCGGGAACGATTGGTAGTTTGATAGAAACAGAAGGAATAAACTCAACAATGGTTCCTTCTTCTTCTTCCTCTCCATCGACTGTAGAATCTCAAGATCTTGATAGGAATAAGAGTTATTACAATAATTTACGAGAAAATCCCGAACAATTGAAACACTTACCTACATTGCATCATTTGGATACACCAACGTTGAGTAATGATGGTTTTGGATCTTTTGTTTCTGATGAGGACGATGATGAGGAATTTTTGAGCAATAGTGATGATGATGAGCCACTGGAACACATAATTTTGATTAATGACACGAAGTCAAACAATGATGTTCTATCACCAACACAACACGTAGTTTTGCATAATCATGAAATGAAAGAGCCTTTGACTGATCCGTCGTCGTCGTCACCGTCTTCACAAGTTTATAATTTTACTCTCTCGAAAGCACGAAAGAAAAACAAATATTTAACCATCGATTCAGTCGAAGATTTTGATGTTCCAGGATTTAATCCATTGGATGTGAGACAAATCTACGCTGAAAATTGGATTGTTAAATATTCCTCTCAGATTATTGGTAGTGGCCTAACATCGTCACAACATGGCAAAAAAACATTTGACTTGTACAAATTCTTTTCAAAAAAAGAAAAAACTCAATCATCATCAAGAACCTGAAATCCCTTTCCACCTCATCAAGCAATGCTTGTATTGTACAGAACTCAAATTGAATGGTAACAAGTTGCGAATGATTGAAACCAGTCTCTTAGCTCCATTGACACATTTGAGAGAGTTGAATATTTCGAATAATCGTATCACATTTGGAAAACTACCGAATGATATTTTTTCGTCATTAAATAGACTCACAAAACTTGTGATGGATGCCATGGGATTGAAAAAGTTACCAACATCTCTCAATACTCTTACAGAACTTAAATATCTTTCCATGGCGAATAACAAACTCACCACATTCAATTTATTGAATGACGAAATTGGAAAACCAAAACAATTATGGAATAATTTAACACAATTAGAATATTTAAATTTAGCAGGAAATAGGTTGAACAGATTTCCAAAACAATTATGCAATTGTAAAATGTTAGAAATTTTAATTTTGTCGAATAATCGAATTACCAATGAATTACCTGAAGAGATTGAGAATTTAACCAAATTGAATACTCTATTTCTGAACGGAACCAAAATATCTGCATTGGAAATTCACAGAAACATGGAACGACTGGGAACTCTTGCTCATTTAGAATTGGGTCACAATCCAAATATCCACACCATACCACCTCCCATTTTTAACATTTCCAAATTGGAATCTCTTTCTTTGAACCAAGTTCCATTCACATACCTGCCAGATGAAATTGGAAAATTGAAAAATCTTACCTGTCTTGACTTGTATGGCTCCAAAATTACGACCTTACCTGAAACGATTGCTGAACTGACCAATTTAAGAGAGTTGGATTTGCGATTTTGTCGAGGAATTCGAGAATTTCCTAAAGCTCTATTTGGAGAACAAGTGAAAAGTAGTACCATTTCACATACGTCTCCACTCACTCGTTTAATACGGTTGAGTATGAGCTCAACACTCATCGAATCTGTGCCTGAAGAAATTTCCTGTCTCACTGGTCTTCAAACTCTCCTTCTCAATGATTGTCCACTTTTAGCTGAAATTAATGGTATTGAGAAATTAGTGAATTTAGTGGAATTGGATGTCAGTAATTGCATTTCGTTGGCTGAACCTCCACCAGATGTTTGTGAAAAAGGTCTTTTTGCCATTCGTGAGTATTTACGAGCCAAGAATGAGAAGCCGTCCTTCTTCTCTTCCTTATTTGACTCTGTTTTCGGCAGTAGTAACCATTCAAAGAAGGACACTTCACCATCGTCATTTTCAAGTCCAAAAGTCTCTGCAATCAGTGCAGAAGCAACTACTCTTGACGATGGTGAACATGGTGGTGCAGTTGACACTTTGAAATCGTCATCATCACCTCTTCTCGACAACATTGAGCACAGAGAAATTCTTGTGGCACCATCCACTTCGAGTATCAATCACGATGGAGGACAAGTGGTTAAAAACAAAGGGTCCATTTCTGCAGAGGAACAAGAGGAGAATGACGACGACTTGTTTGATGACGACTTGGACAGTCGTAAGAAAAAGAAGACCAACAACGAAAACACAGCGACTAGCACACTCAAGTCGTTCTTTTCATTTTGGAAATAAAATGTGTGTGTAGGTGACAAGTCTTTTTATCCATTGTTGAAACAAAATCTTTGATCATCTGAACGAATGTGACAGGTGCCAACATGCCATTCCCATTACATCTTTATTCTTTGAACTTGTACTACAGCACAATATCATCGTCCATGCTTGTATATTTAAGTTTAAAATCAACACGACAATATAATTTTGCATAGTCACAAATAATTCTCATTAAATAATCATCACTGGATGCTATGGGAAAACCTTGTTCTTGCTCTCTTTCCAAAATTTCAACCATACTTGAGTAAAAGAGACCCATTTCTTTTTTCATATTGATTGGAAAGAGGAAGGTTTTTTTTAAAAATCCAACAATTCGACTAAATTTCACTTCAATAATCCTAGTCCTGCAATTATCAATTTTTGTGAAAAATCTGGCTCCTATCGATATTAATTTCGAATCTGAATCTGATTTTCCTTCTTTGGTATTTTTCAAATGATTACACGATTTGAAAAAGAAAGCACCTTGAAAAAGTTCAGTCATATTTTCACCACCAATAAATTTAGTCTTTCCTGAAACCACCATTTCCATCGTTTGCTTTTTAAAAAGTCCACTCGACTCATTCACTGTGGTCATAATCGCTGTGGGATATTTCTCTATCGAACTCGATGCACATGGTTTACAATACTCATGCCAAGAGACCTTACTGGAATAGATACAATCGAGTGTCTTGTCGTGACAATACGCTCTCATGACATTTTCGAGAGAATAATCCACATAGCCAATAAATTTTGTAAGTCTCATATCAGGCATGCTGCTATAATTTTCAACGGAGGAAAATGAGAGAACAAGTGGAAGGTTTTTTGAATTGAGTCTCCAATCGGAAGTGTGTTCACAAAGTTTCCAAACAAATCGCCAATCCTTATCAATGACATATTTTGCCTCAAAATCATCCTCTTCGAATACAAATTCATTGCGTAGTGTTTTGAGTGTGTCCTTTCTCTTCTTAATGGCTTGTATGGCATGAAATGGAAGTAAACACTTTTCATAGGCCTCTGTCATCCAATTTTTAACAAATTTCGAATGTTTCTCCTGAAATACAGCTAACACATCCTCCAATTCGATCAAAAACATGTCTGTTAAAATCTTGATATCATTGGCGAGTCGATCTGCTGTATTCTCTTCAATGTGAAAAATCTTGTCCAATGACCACGATTTGGAAGATTCCTTTCTCATGATGCTAGAATTGAAAAGAGTTTCAACTCCTGTTTTTTCATTTAAGGCAAGTAAGGTCGAGGCATTCATGGAATTTCGATTCGAATTTTCCAACGTATTATTCACACGATCTGAATCGACAATGGCTCTCTTCATGGGTAAATTAAAAAAGGCATTCATCTTTTCTTCACCACCTGATTCACATTTGGAAATTTCAAGCCATAAGGTGATTAATAAATCTCTCAATCGTTCATGTTGAAAACATGGATACAATCGATTTTGTTCCATGGCACTGACAAATTCTTTCAAATGAGGAACATCCAACCATGGTTGTGGATGGTTTCGATGAGTTTTTGAGTGGTGGTAGTGATGGTGGTGATGATGATGACCTATAGGACTACTTGACATGTCTTTTTCCATCTCTTCAGAGATCTCCTTTCCAAATTGTGACGATGTAGATGGAGAGGATAAAACAGGTTGATACGTGATTCCCATCTCATCAGTGGACAATTGAGGTCTTGTGTGGTGACCACCACTACTACTACTACTACTTGCTTGACCATCGTGATTATTAGAATTATCAGTATTGTGGTCATGACCTCTCTGCATAGAAGAACAAGAGGATCGAACATATCCTTGTTTCTTCTCTGCAAAATTCAACAATCTCTTACACAAAATCTCCACACTTTGAATCACGTCCTTAATGGTCTCAAAAGTTCTCACTCGCATATTCAGGGCATCATAGAATTCATCCAAAAAAATAAGCTTACTGGCACACTCCATCATGGATCGTTGTTTTTTGATTTCGGAAGAGTCTTTGAAGGAAGGAAGATTATTAGGAGTTGGAGAATGAGAGCTGTTGTTGTTGCTGCTCTTGTTACTATTGCTAGGGTTGTTGTTGTTATTATTATTCGTATGATTAGTACCGTTATTATTTGTAGATCCACCACCATTCCACCAATGTAAGGCTCCGACATGTTCCATAAATTTCTCTCTCAATTTGTGAATATGTTCCATGCCATCTCGGTATTGTTTGGAAGTGGCCCAATTGGAATGGTTGCTCCCTTCCAATTCATGCATGTTGCTACTGCTGTTTTTCGAGTACAAACCTGTGGTGGAGGCAGCTCCATCACTCTTACTCGATATGAAAGAGGTTGCTGCAGCACTTCCCACGCCGGTTCCAGAACTGACTCCTCCCAGCGAATGATTGGAAGTGGACAACGATAACTTGTGTTGATCGCTACCACTACTACCACTACCACCACTCGTAGCACCAGTAGAGGAGGAGGTGTAGCGAGCCGATTGAGGCCGTCTTGTGGTGCCACTACCTGTCCATTGTGAGCCTGATCTTGGTGTTAAGGCTCCGGTTGCACTGGCACCACTTCCTGAAGCACCACTCAGAGATGAAAGTAAGAGAGAGGAGATGGGTTCTGTGTTAATAACACTATTGAGGCAATTATTGTTGTTAGAAGATGATGAATTCATGGCCTTTTGTTGTTGGTGTTGTTGAAAGAGGATGGAAAGTGAGGTGGTGGCTGCACCAGTTGTTCCTGTACTGTTGCTACTCGTGCTACTCATTGAAGAGGCAGCCGATCTGTCCTTATGGGTCGTGGCCACGGATGAACTTTTCGTCATGACATCGTTAGAGGAGGAGTTGAAAGAGATGATGGGGGTGGTAATAATGGAATGTTGTTGTTGTTGTTCCTGGCTCGTTGTTGTTGTTGAACTCTCTGGAGGTTGTTGAGAAAGGGATGTTGCTATTGTTGTGGAGGTCGTCATGTGGTTCGTTATGGTTGACGTATTGGCATTGTTGTTTCCAAAAGAATTGAGAAACGAGGAAGAGGACGTCTCTGCAAAGTAGCTCGAGGAACCTCCTCCCGATACCAAGATGGGCGTAAAGCTCGAGTTGAGGATTAAAAGTTGAATAGGCAGGACGGAATTTGCCACCGAAGATGAGTCGGCTTGTTGTTGAGAGGATGTTTTGGGCACATATGTTGTTGGCGACGATGCTTCCTCGGAAGAGAAGGTATGTGGTGTTGTTTCGTAGAGCTGAGAGGATTTAAATGCAGGATGTCTCGGAGGAGGAGTGTAGTAATTCAAATTATCACTACGACTGGTGGATTCACTTGTAAAGCCGAACATGAAGTTGATGATGAGAGAAGGTGTGTGTATGAATGATTCTCGAGAAAGATGTGCTCTATTATTACTACTGCTTCTTTGGTTCTATGATCCGACTACTAGAAAATGATACTACTGAGTGTTAAGTCTTTTGGCAATGTGGTGATGATAATTGTCACGACAATTTTGCGTGATGAAGATGCTGTATGAAACGAAACACTCTCTACAATCAACGTTCGTTGTTGATCAAAAGTAAAGTGACTCTTTTGAAAATTTCAGAAATACAACAATCTTCACAGTTGTGATCCGTGATTATTGGTGACGAATGCTTTCGGTATTCTTGAAAAGATGTTTGAAAATCACACCTCTAGCTCACCTTTGAGAAAAGATTTCTTTGTTTTCTTCTTATCGCCACCTTTTTATCGAAAGAAGTTGTTGCGTTTCGCAAGGTAGTTTCAAACGAGGTGGAGGCAAGAGTTGTTGTCTGTTTGTTCTAGTTTTGGGTTTGACTGTTAGAATTGTGGTTACCCTATTTACCTCTCTGTAGCCATAACTCATTTCGATGTGTCAATGTCCATACATTGCAAAAGACAAGTGACACGTCTGTCAAATAGTTTTTCCCCACAACTTGCATGAAGGACAAACCCTTTGCAAGAACAGTTCTTTAAAACCCATTCAAAAGAAAAGGTGCTGAAACAATTCATTGGCAGGGGCACAACCTGCATGCATGGACACACAACAGTTGCAACATTGAGTTGATAAGGAAATTGGAAAATCATCTGGCACCCCACAAATGTCGGATCATACACAAGGTGGCGATGGGATCGGAATGGCATGTTTGCCATAAATTGAAGGAGAATTTTTAAGGAACATGCTTGTTTGGAGAGTGAGACCGCTTTGTGTAGTGCAAGTTTCTTCCTTTCAATTTGTAAATTAGGATCATGAGAAAAGATGTCGCAGCAAGATAGGCTAGAACCACATGCATTTCATTATTACAATAGAAAGTATGCCAAACACTTATGAGCGATGTTTGTGATTGAAATAGTACAAAAAGAGTAACAGCTGACACAAAAGAAAACAAAAACTCTCAACATATGTCGAGTCACAGAGATGGTGCCAGAAAGCACCATCAAAACATCATCATGACGTCCTCTCTATCGGACCATAACGATGGGAGGTTGACATTTGGCATACATGATTCCATTCCATCAACAGCAAACTCGAATTCAATAACGAATTTCATTTCGAGAGTTGATGCTCCTCATCAACACCATCCAACCAATGCCAATCCACAATCGCCAACATCCTTACCCTCACCTGATTTGATTTCTCATTCAACATTTCATATCATGGATGAGACAACTTGGTCCGAAAAATCATTCCTGACCAATCATTACTTTGTGAAATTCATTATTGGTGTCATCTTCCTAATGGTATTAATTACATTGATGCTCCTCCTTTGTATGCCCACTCTCTCTATTCCTCTCGTGCCATCATTACTTGCTCTTCCTCTTTTTGGAGAATTATCTTTAAAAAAAGAATTCATGAACGACCGAATCATGCAAGCAAATTCATTACTATTGAACTCACAAGCAACGTTTGCCACCACTTTGAACATGTTGCAAATGAATTCGCTTTCATTTTTCCCCATTTCATCTCTGAATGGAACGATGAGTTTTAATATTGTTGTTGGACCAATTTCTGAAAATGTTGTGACCATTGTTGAAATTACTTATATGGTCGATCATCCTAATGAGGATTCAAATCCATGGTTACAAGCTACCATACGACCTGACACCAATGTGGTGGTCAATTCTGGTTCGCCACCGAACAAGTCATTTGTGAGAAGTGTGAAAAATTTATCCGGAGCACAAATGTATCAACATGTGATTCGATTTTTATTGACATCATCATCTTTATTGAATTCTACTCAACAAATTATTGACATGTTTACCTTACAATCCAATGCATTTAGTGTGAATGTGAATTTGGCAAATTCGACCACCACCACCACCACCACTCCTACTAACTCGGCCACACCACTTGTTCCCTACCCAACATTCTCCGATGAATTTTTTCCTGGAATTTATCTGTATCCTGCATTTGTTGGATTTGCTTTTTTGTCATGTTTAGCAAGTTTTCTCATTTGGCATGGGGGGTATCGAAGAAGGAAGAATCCAGCTGCTTTGGGAGAGAGAGAAACAAAAGTTTGTAGACATTGCTTGGTGTTGAGCTGTGCATTGTGTTGCTATGTGGTTGTGTTTCTTGCTATTGGAAGTGCACCAATATTTGGCATGAATCGAACATTTACAAAATGTTGTGCTTTATTTCAATCCATCTATTATGGTAGTGATTTGGTGTTTGGAAACTCACCAGAAAAAAACATGTTTAATATTGATGCAACCAACAAATTGGAGAGATGTGTGACAATCGTGCCGTATCAGCATTTATTTTGGTTTGGAGAAGCTTTGGACACAGAGGAATATTTGAATCGTGCTCAGTGTGTGAATGATGAATATCGATCATTCACAACCTATAATTACAACATGATTATTTACTTGTCCGTTTTCTTGGGAGTGGCAGTGCTGTGCTTTCCAATATTTCATTGCATGATTACGATTTATTCGAACAAGTTGTACATGTTGACCAAGAAGCAACACTCTGGAGAAGTCACCATAAGTTTTGAAGTGGTCAGTAATTGAGCTCGTTATGCAAGTTCACTGTAGCAATTAATGTATCCCATTGTTCCTATCTATGATAACGATACATATGCGATCTGTTAATAACATGACATAATAACACCAATAAAAATTCGACCAATACCGTCTCACCTTCCACACTTCTCAACCTCCTAGGTTAAAAATTTCTCAATAGTCTCAGCAACGAGAGAGGGTCTCTCAATCATCATGTTATGTGACGTGTTTTCCAGCACAACAAATTGACTGCCCTCAATTAGTTCATGCACGAGTTTTCCCTTTTCAGGTGGTGTCAATCCATCCGTTTCACCTGCAATCACTAAGGTTGGGGTTTTAATGGATGCAATTTCATCATGAGTTGGCCATTCCAATTGAGTACAAATGCTCTTCATCATGAACATGGTATTATTTTTAGTGCATTCAGATTCTTTCTCAATAATTTCCTCACTAGTGGAAGTGTGATAAGCTAACTTCTTAAAGTTCATACTAAACACTCCTCTCATCAAATTTAAAGCAAAGACAGGTAATATCCACACAGGAGATTGACCTGGAGCGGCTTCCTTCGTTCCTAATAGTATCAATTTCTTTACAATGTCTTTGTGTTTGATGGTATATTTCATCGCGAGACCACTGCCAACAGAGTGACCCACTATTATGAGCTCGACACTGTGACCATTCTTCTCGTATTTGTTCCTATAATGATTGACCACAAATTCTAGATTTGAATACAAGTTATCGAATTTAAAATCCTCTTTATCATAGGTTTTATCAGAAGAAAAACTCTTTCCGTGTCCGATTTGATCGAGAGCAACCAAATGCCAATCTTTATGCTTTTCCGACAACAGAGAACAAACAGTTTCGAATTGACCAGCACGCCCTCCAGCTCCGTGACAAAAAATTATTAATTTTTCAACGGGTTGATGAGTAGAATTTTCATTAAATTCAAAAACAGTCAAATCGTGTTTGGTTTCAGGGTTTCGGTGGACTAACTCGAGCATTTTTTCAAAAGTTGCTCTCTCATTCCAGCTGTTCACAACTCGATAATTGTGAACTTGGGACTCCCTTGCTTCGCAAGTTGTGTTGAGCCTTAAAAGTCAAAGTAAAAGTACAACAATCAAAGACAGTGGTTGGGACAGACCTTCAACCTCACGAAAAGTGATCGTCGTCCTTTGCCTCATCATTCTCGCTCGAAAATCTCTTGGCCCAAGGAGGAAATTCATAGAGCTTTAGTTGTTCCAATTCCTCATTAGCTATTATAGTTCTAAGGTTAATGTATTCATCCATTTCAAATCTCCTCATCTCATCCTCTGTTGCAAATGCTCCTAAATGACTCGAATTGTAACAGTCACTCACATTGGAAGATGAGAATGAAAATGTTTGCGAAATACCTGAGCTTTGGCTATCAGTATCGTCCGAGTCAGAGTCTGGAACTTCAATTCCTTGTCTAAGAGAAAATGCATGAATGACTTTAGGATTTTTGTTTCGTTCATTGAAACTTCTGCTTTTCGAGGGAGAATTTCCGATCTCCTCAAAAGAACCAAAGTAAAACGAGTCAGCAAAAATATAGCAGTCTTCATCCTCTTCATTGTCAGAGGTTGTATTTTCGTTTCGATCAGCAGTTAAATAGTCAGAGCTATTGGTGGTATCATAAACAATTAGACGAGGCACATTGGATGTCACATCTGTGTTTCGTCGTTTTTTGAGGTGAGACAAATTCTTTGATGAGGGAATGGTGATTACGGGTGTTAATGTTGTGGATGGTTGTTGCGTTTGATTCTTCGAAGGATCTTCTTTTTGTTCATTGAGCACATGTTTTTGGCTTGTCCTGGTGGCAAGTGTCGCATGAGAATCTTCATTGACCGCTGTGGATGAATTCAAGTGTTTCTGTGAGCCCGATTCCAAGGTGCTCAATCTCCTGTTCTCTACTACTCCAGGAACCAGCAGTTTTCCTTTACTGTCATGCGAAGAAATAGATTTCAAGGACACTCCTCGATCGCTGTTAGACAAGGTAGAGCCCACAGTCAGGAGAGCATGTGCTCCTTCTTTTGAGCCGGTGGAGATGTTGCTTGCGCATTTGTTAAGGCCTGAACTTGTTGTGGAAGGCACTTTTGGAAGCACCAGAGAGGAATTGCTTCCTCGACTATTGAATGAAAACCCTCTTCCGTCCGAAAGAGAGGAAATATCTTCGAGTGTGGTTTCATCTCGTCTTGTTCCCAAATAACTTTTTGAGAACTCTTTGAGTGCCTTCGTTGAAGGAGCACCCGATGATGACTGAGAAAGTGTTATTGAAGGGGCTTGAGTTAATGGTTGAGGCTGGGATTGAGAGACGTTGGAGAGGCCTCTCCGTCTGGAATGTCTCTTTGGTTTGGAAGTGGATCTTTTTAATTCTGCGGAGTGTCTGGGGGATCGTATGGGTAGAGAGAAGAAGGAGTGGGTATCATTTTGAGCAATGTATTGTTTATGTTTTTGATGCTCCAGTATGATGGAAGTTGATGAAAGGCAGCTTCCCATGCCTTAAGGGTGAGTGTGCGGTTTTGGAGATGAATTAGGTAGGTTTTCGGAATATCAAAAACTTAGAGATACAAAAACTCTCTGAACCAGTTCGTTGCTGGAACGGAATACAGTATTATCATTAAAAAAACAAAGGATACAACAATGGTTGTGTGATGATGAGTTCAAATTATACCCTCTCTCTGAATTTTCGTTTCATGAGCGAGAGAGGCGGGAAGAACTGAAGTCTTTTTTTTAGAGTGAAAGAAGCACACAACTGTAGATTTTGGTCCATTCTTCGGACGTTTGAGATTTCAATGACCTACCGCAGGTCTCTCGCGAGATGAACTGGCCGTGTTATCATCACGGAAGAATATCCAAGTCATGCATGAACACATAATAAAAGATCATCACCTTTGAGATACCATTGAACAGATCTAATTGAAAGAACATTCTTCATTGGTGTCACACGTGTGATTTAGATGATTTGTGGGGAAGAATCACATGAGAGAAACAACATTCTCAAACGAATGGAACGAAACGAACCATGCATTCTCTCAACTCCAAAATTGAATTCTTTCCAAGTTGGATCACCAACAGCAATCAAGCCCAAAAAAATGTCGAATGATAAATCTCAAGCTGCCGACTTTTTTCATGTCTCTGCAAAGCAAGCAAAACCTTTCGAATATGAAGATCCCTTCAATCCTCAAAATACTTTGAAGGGATTTATTTGCAGAAAAGATGGACCCTTCGGAGGGAGTCTTTTCATCACTCACATTAATAACGTGAAATTGAACGAACCACAAAAGATATATGGTGTTCCCAAGTTGTTGTATCCCTATGTAGATAAGAAGAATAGTGATGATTTGGAAGAATTTGAAGGAGCAGAAGAAACTGTACCCAAAAAGAAAAAGGTTCCAGGTTCTTGTAAATACAAATCGAATTTTCAAACCGATGATAATGTGGTTGCTTTTGCATTGACCAACAAGTAAGTGATGAACATGATCTGTGTTTAAAGTCATCAGGCGAATGATTCATGTTTTTGTTGAATCATGTTCATGCGGATGCAAATGTGTGACATGTGTATGTGCACATTATCGATCATGCACGACCTCGATTTCATGCTTTTGACAACCATTCAATGCAATACTATCTTGTCACACATTTTCACTAGATGGAACGGTACAAACATTCTCTTCTTCAAATACTCTGACAATTCGGGTCAATTATTCATATCAGCAAAAACCAAAGGAAGTGCCACCTTATCAGACACACAATTTGGAGACTTTTTTGCGCTCACCAAAGAAGCACTGTTTGGCAGTAATTCCTCCGAGAGAACCATTAACCCCAAACATCCTCCCGAAGTACTCCGTGAGTTCTGTAGGAGGCCTGAAATTCAATCCATTTCGTGTGAATTGTGTGGCACTAAGGAACCTCATCTGGTGAAATATGATTTTGATATTGCATTGAAGCCACTTTTCATGCAATTCAAAAGTGGTGGTTCCATTGAACCCATCATTGACCCGAATGACTCACGACAACAATTGTTCGAGTTTACAAACTTTGCGGATATGTGTCACATTTGTAAGGAACGTCAGAAACGTGACTTTGCTATTAATGACGAATACAGAAAGAAAAACAATCTCGAAATTCGATACGAGTACAATCACTTTGCTACGGAAGGAGCTGTTCTATACATTTTATGCAAACCTAACAGACTATTGGGACAATACGATCTTGGAAGTGATTGGATTGGAGTGAGTAATCGAAAATTGTACAAAATTAAACCCAAAGATATTGAAGGTAAGTCAGTACTGTGGGTTTGAAATACGCTTTGTTGAATCACACGATTGCTCATGTTGTTTCCATTACAATTTTTTGTTTAAATTGAATGGATATGAATACTTCCATTCACCTTGTTGAACCTTAATGCATTTCCTAATGCATTTTACTTTTCGAATAACCACTGGAATCCACATACTTTGCTGAAACACTGCATGTCAAACCAACCCATATGAACATACTTGTACAAATGGTTGTAATGGTTGAAATGGTTGTAATGATTATTGTGACCTCCACAGAGGTTCATTGGGGAACATTTGGAGAAAAACAAAAAGCTCTCGTACAAATTGCAGTTCAGAAAATGCATCTCCGTGAGAAGGAATTCTCAAAAGAATCGCTTCGAGAAGAATTAGATATTGGACCTAAGGTAGGTTATGCAACCGATGAATCAGGATTTGTGAAAATGAATGTAATCTCGTTTGTGATTATTTGGCTCCTTTAAATTTAAAAAAAGGAATTCAAGAGATACCAAAATGATATTCTTCAGTATGCACGACAATACTTTAATAGCATTCCAAAAACCAGCAAGACCAAATCTAACAAGAAAAAGAAGTAGTAGGGGGTTGGTTCATCATTTGGATAATACCCAAGAACAAACAATCACAACGTTGTTAACAACTTGAATGACAAATTAATCATCCTTCATTACATTAATCGATCGCACTCATCACACATGCGTGTTCTCCAAATAAAAATCTTTGGAGATTCAGACGAATAGAGCTCATTAGATGGTGGTACAACCCTGAAACGCCCTTTTGAAAACCGAAATTTGTTCAAAAGTTGGATATTTTTTATTATTATATTCAAAAAAAATTATTTGCAAGAGCAACTCTTCGCAAGTGCCCACTCTCATCATATATGAACAAAACCCTGACCACTCATGCTGCCAGCTTCATGGGTGTTGTTGTTCCAACAAGTAATGAAAAAGCGGGACAGCAATGTAATGCTGTAGTACTAGTTTCTTTGTCGGAAGAAGAAATGGAATCATTCAATGAAGATGATGATGATGGTAGTAATGAATCCATGCCGATGAGAACAACAACAAGAAATGAAAAGAAAAAGGAAGAAACTTTTCCAAAGAAGAAGGAGTCCGTACAAGTAGGTACTGCTATTAGTAATAACCGAAACGGACCAATTAGTACAACCACTACTCTTGAGCACCATCAACAAACCAAGAAAAGAATCAATCATTATCGCCACCACAATGGCTCCACAATGAACCTGTTGATAAAAACTTTTTTTCTTGTGGCCATGATGATTGTTTTGTTGAGTGCTTGTTCGAACACTGTTGAAAGAATGTTTTGGAAACGATTGGAACCTAATAGCAACACTCACTTCTCAACATGCCCTGAGAACGGTTTCATGTTTGTGAGCGGTGCTCGCCTTTTTCTTACCCTCAGAACAACAAACCTTTTCAACCTCAAAGAAATTATGAACGATGGGACGGATGGCAGCAGTAGTGAAATTCCAGAAATGTGTATCGATTATGTGAAGAATCATACAAATCATACAGCAACTCCCACAACCGGAGAGGGAGAAGAACATTTAGAATTGTGGCAATACATTGTCTATTCGATTGCCAGTTTGATATTTATTTGTGGTGCTGGCCTCATGTCTGGCTTCAATTTAGGTCTCCTCTCCATTGATACCATACAATTGGACATTCTCAAAAAAACAGGTACAGAACGAGAAAAGAAATATGCAGCACGTTTGGCACCAATTTTAAAGAATCATCACTTGTTATTGGTGACCTTGTTATTGTGGAATGCCGTATGTGTCGAATGTTTACCCTTGTTTTTGGACAAAATTGTTCCCGAGTATGTTGCCATTATTTTGGGTATTACAGCTGTCTTGTTGTTTGGTGAAATTATTCCTCAAGCGGTCATTACAAGATATGGAATAGCCATTGGAGGTACAATGTATTGGTTTGTGTGGATTTTGATTGCTGGTGCGTTTGTGGTTGCATGGCCAGTCGGCAAATTGTTGGATTGGATTCTTGGAGCAGATCACGGAACCTTTTTCAAGAGAACAGAATTGAAGGAACTCGTCAATATTCACCTCAAAGCTCACGACCCTAAATATCATCTCACCGAACACGAAGCAAAAATTTTGGGAGGTGCCTTGGATTTTGCTCGAATCTCTGTGAGTCAAATCATGACAAAAGTTGAAAATGTCTACATGTTGGATGTGGATGGAAAACTCGATGTAGATAGCATGACCAGTATTTGGCAAGCGGGTCACTCACGTATTCCAGTCTACAAGGGAAATAAGAATAATATTATTGGTATGCTCTATGTGAAGGATTTGATATTGATCAATCCAGAAGAGTCTTTACCAATCTCGACCATTCTCACCTTCTATGGTAGAGAAGTGCTAAAGGTCTTTCCAGACACGTATTGCGATGAAATGTTGAAGATTTTCAAATCTGGTAAAACACACATGGCCATTGTTCACGAGCCAATGGAACCTGAGAGTGGAGGAGATCCCTACTATGCCATTGTTGGCATTGTGACACTTGAAGATATTATTGAAGAAATTATTAAGGATGAAATTGTGGATGAGACTGATATTTATGTTGACAATACCTCTCTCTCCAAAATTAATCGTCCCCAAAACAGCATTCTCCTCAAACTTGAAAGAATTCACAGACTCACTCCAAAACAAGTTCTTGCAGTCAGCTCCTACTTGTGGAAGAGTTCTCCCATCTTTAGAATACTCCCAGAAGACTGTCTACATAAATTGCTGGGTAAATGTGCCGTTGTAGACCTTAAAAAGACACCCGATCATGAAATTTACATCACCGAAAAGGGAAAGGAATGTGACCACTTTACATTGATTTTGAGTGGTAAAATTGAGGTCATATTTGGAGAGGACAAATTTGTCTCTGAGATGGGACCTTGGAGTTTAATGGGAGAGCGTGCATTGACCAAAGAAAAATTCATTCCTGATTTTGATGCTCGTGTCGCAAGGGACACCTCAATTGTCAAAATTGCAAAGAAAGACTTTATTGAAATTATTTCTCAAGCCATATCTCAGGATAATGCATTTATATTACCTGCCGAATTCGCATGGATGAATCCATATCTCACAAATTCGAAACAATTACCACCAGCATCTCCGCACATTTTCAGAATTACCAAGCCAACCAGTTCCCATAATAATATTGCGTCCAATGAGTCTCACCATCCTCCTCATTTGCCCTCTTCCACAAAGAATCCATCCTCTCATAATATATCATCAGCGACAGTAATGGGTGGAGATTCACTTCCTCCAAAAACCACAAGTACCAGCAATAGTAGTCATGAAGTGGACAAATTACTGAGCTCTGTTTCGTCGAGAGATGATTTGATATCGACACATTCTGCAGCGGTTGTTGTTGACATTGATGATGATCATACTGCTGCCAAGGGATTCTTCTCGACAGATTCTTATGAAGCCCTTCCAAAACAGCAACAAGATGATGATGACATGGTATAGGTGAAGTATTTGTGTGATTGATCGAACAACGACAAGAATAAATTTTTGTTGAGCAACCATGCAATTAGGTTTTTTGTAATGAGTGTTCATAAATGTCGAGTTAACAACAAGACACATTGTATCCTCACAGGAATCCACACCTTAATAAAAACCTTCGTCATCTTCTAAATCTTCCTCTCCAAAGAACTCATAATTTACAACTTCTGCACTGCTATTCGAAGGCCAAATCTTTGACAAGTCACACGAATAAGCCTCTAATTTCGTCGTTGGCGAAGAAACCTTTGCACACAAACCATCGGCATCAAACGTCAAGCCGTGCATATGAATCATATTCACATCAATGGCAATATCAAAAATAGGATCATTCTTCTTATTTGAAGTCAAATGTACTCTCTCCTTTGTATCCGTCACACCAAAGATCACCAATCCATTCAAAGAAGCTGGAATTTTTATCGTTTCTCTCACCAAATACTTTCCAGGAAAAATCAATAAAACTGGATACAAGGGATGAGAAGAAGCACTGGGAAATCTTTCATGCACACGTTTCAGAGCTTCAATTGCAGGTTCCAATCCAAAAAAATTTTCCATAGTGGTTGGTAATACAACGACATTTCTCATGGCATCCGAAGGTGTGTGAATGGATCGAAGAAAAGGCATGACATTTTTGTGAACTTCAAATAAACGTTTGTCTACACCGAAACCAATGGCTTTCAAACGAACGTTACAGACGGCGTTTTTGGTATCGTAGAGTTTGAGTTTTCTGGAAATTTCGAGATTTTTGGGAAGAGTATCGAGTGATGTGGTGGTCATTCCTCTGTTTTTCAATGAGTTTCGAATTGAGTAGTGAAAAATTGTCACACATAATAAGAAGTAAAAGGTTGTCGCACATCACAAAGTGACATGGAATGTGTGTGAAAAAATGTAAAAGGTGTGTGACAAGTGTTTTATCACATAAAGGATCGATAAAGGATTCCATGAAATTATTGAAAATTTCCAAATTGTGAACATTTCATCATCCATTTCAATTCGTGTGCAATGGTTTGATATATTTTAAAAATCATAATAGTAGTGGATAAAATTTCATTGTCACTTTCATTAAAAATTTCATTTTCATTGTCATCACACAACTTACATAATCTTGTCACTTTGTTTATCTTTCACTTCAATTTTCAATCTTTCATTACTAAATTCTGGAACATCCTTGAAAATGACATTATTGTTTTCGGACCATTCGTAACTGTTTTTTTCCTTCGAGGTTTTTATCGGTAGATCCGACTTTTTTCGGAACTTGATCGAAAGTAAAAACAACATAGATGGAACTAGATATGGTTTGGAGATTGATGAAATGTCATGATTTGTTCATGATTGAAAATTATTTTGAAATTATTAAATTCGGAATGTTTCCGAATTCCATCATGGGAGGATCCGAAAAACGTTGTTGTTATTGTTGTTGTTGTTGTCATTCAGGTTGTTGTTGTCATTCAGTGTCGATCGTTCGTTTATGAATTTTTCAGCCATGACAATGATCGTTCATGTTCCACAAGTGTTACGTTTTGTATTCATGTATATTATGAACAAAACTAGAGTCAACAACCAACACATACTTTGGATCAAAGGGTAAATTTTCAACCTTGTCAACGGTTGCGGAGAGTTGTAATTCATCCTCTCCTCTTCTTCTTACAAGCATCATTTTTTTTTGAGTGGTGGCATGACAACTGAGAGCTCTGTGACGCTCTCTCGATAGTTTGTTGATTGACATTAGGTTGAGAAGGTGATAACAACAGAATCTTTTGCCGAGCAGGAAACTCCAACAACTCCTCGTTGAAAGCAATCACAACAACAAATTTATTTAATAGGTAGCTGTAGTGTAGGTCGTTTGTTGAACATAACCTTGTTGTGGTGGAACGTATCCTTGTTGTGGTGGAATATATCCTTGTTGTGGTGGTGGGACATAGACTTGTTGTTGTGGTGGAACGTATGGTTGTTGAACCACAGGTTGAGTTTGATAAGTGACGTTGGTCACTGCTGTTGTAACTGTTGGACCTGCCAACTTTCTATTGCAATCATCAACCATTCCAGGAATGAGAATGAGATCAATCAATTGACCCCAAAAGAGGAGACCACAAGTTATGAACCAAATGATACCCAAGAGGAACGAATCCAAGTAGAAACGATGCAAGCCACAGAAACCAATACAGCAGCCGAGCCAGAGGATGTAAGCCTAGTATTTTGTCGTAGCAAGAGCACAAACCGAGTTAGGGAGGAGGGTGATGGAATCATCGGGTGATGAGATTGGAGTGATGATGAAGAAAACCGAACAGATCAGAAAGTTGAGAGAAATTCGAGTTACATATATAAATTCAACAGGAATACGCCATGAGATCATTCATAATACCCAATAGGAACCAATAGATGGATGTCGATAGATATTCGTTATCATCACACAATGTGTGGATGATGATGGAAACAACCAGACAAAGAGCGAGGTCGTTAACCGAAAAATTTTCCAAACCAAAGTTGGATGAAACCCAAAATTCATTATCAAGTGAGAACGAGATGATGAACAAGAGTACAAGAGCACACACCAACCAATAGGTCATCGTGATCACGCCGCGGTTCGGTCAATTATCAAAACCCCTAAACAAAAATATTACTTACAACTCCTTGTTCTTTCATTTTTTTTGTGTGTTTTTTCTTGGTTTCTCATGGCCTAGAAATCGCTCACAAGATGCTCCTTCCAATTCCTTTCCGCACTTCAGAGAGAGAGAGGGGCAGGAGGACGTGATTGGATTCGAGACTCGATGAGGCAGAGAGCGACCAGTCGGGAATACTGACAAAAAAACATTCTTTGTCGATTGAATGGCGAATGTTTGGTTGGCTAAGGCATTGTAATATCAAAAGATGTTACAATGATATTAACCTTACCATATTTAGTATTTGGGTGAATCGCATGTTGGCTTAAGAAAGCAAATGGGTGGAAGTGGTATAAAATGCCCACAACATTGGTGGTACAGATTTTTGAGTTAAAGTATCCTAAGCTGAGGTTTCATTTCAATCTTATCATATCAAAAGATAAAGATTTAAACACTTTTTGTCTAACTCGTAAAGCTTTCATGGAAATTCATTTAGACGAGGTTACGTAGAGATCTAAACGTTAAAGCTAAATATTGATACATGTGTTGTCCACTGCTGTAATATAGCAGAAAATCAAATGGTATCTTTCACATCATGATCTGTGTTCTTTAAATTTTTCTTTAATAGTCTCTCTTTGCGTTGCTTAGTGACTTCCCACCCATTCGCACTCCCACTTGCTTTCTTAAGCTTATTCAAGTACCTTTTTCGCTGATCGGAATGTTCTTGTGGTAAGAAAGAACATTGTGACAGTGCAGGTCCACCTTGATTCGAATCTTTTCGGCAAGGATTTTATTGAACTAACTATTTAATTTTGTTATTTAATTTTCATTTATTTAATTCATCATGTTTTCATGATATTCATGGATTTATCAAGTTATTATAATTTTCATGGATTTATCAAGCAATTGTTTAAATGTGACCTCATATCATGGAGTCTTCGTCTCTGCTACCTAACTGTGACTTCTTGCGCTTCACATCATGTAGTCGTTACTTCTGCCTTCATCCTTCCTGCTTCCTTGCGTTTCTTTGGTTTTCTCGTTGCTGAATAAAGTCAATTTACAAAATATGCAGAAAATCCCACAAACCCATTAGTCCTTCCTTTAATTAACAAACGAATTTTATTGTTTACTCTTTCGAAACGTTCATGAATATTGTGTTGTTTTTCTTTTCTATTAAAATATTCAAACATTTTTTGGAAGAAGATCTTTCTGAGTTGATTTTCCAAAACAATAACACTTCATGGAAATTCAACTGTTTAATTTCGGTACCGTATCGTTGGCTTAGATGGATTCACGTGCTAATTACCAGAAATTGAAATGCAAGAAATCTTTACAGGTGTACTCAATCGATCCTTCTCATCTCCGTAATTACGGAACGAAAATCCTGACCCTTTCCCAAGGCATAGACCTGTCCCCGATCGTCCATCAATAGCAAAAAGCTTCCATCAGCACTCACTTGGATGACTCTTGTATGGAAGAGAGGTGATGGAAGTGTGGTTACACCCGAAGAAGAGAAAGCCTTCTTCTCACTGCTAGTGGCTATCAAGTGGGGTGTGTTGGATTGAATACGATCTTTGACTCCGATCGCTCCCCAAAAGTAGACGTGAGAAGTCAAGCCTGAAGAGGTTGTTGTGTTGTTGGTGGAGAATGACATTTTCTGTTGTTGGCACGATCATTGGAGATGGAATTTGAATCAACTTGAAATGGGTGAACCTTAATCCACATGAAAGACTGAAGATTATTCTATTGCACGCGAGTACATTGTGGTAATGACAAATGAATAAAAGATCGATCAATGAAATTGTGCGAAATGATGAACAAAAAACGGAATTAATGTTTATTATTTTTGATTTCCTCTAACAACTCGCGCAACACGTTTAACATCACCTTCTGATGCTCATCCGACTTTCGTTGCTGCTCCTGCAACACGTTCAACAACACCTTCTGATGCTCCTGCAACACGTTCAGCATCACCTTCTGATGCTCGTCCGACTTTCGTTGCTGCTCCTGCAACACGTTCAACATTTCCTGTTGATGTTCGTCTGACTTTTTGGCAAAATTGTTAAGTTCCAAAAGAGCCTTTTGAATGATGGTAAGACTTGACATTGTTTTTTTTGGTTAGGGCGGATTCAATTTCATCAAACTCAGTAGCCTCACTGAGTTCATCCACATCTCCTGATGAGAGTTCTTTCTTGTTTGTGGTTGATGAAGAAGTTCCTTGGAAGGGAAGAAGGCCCTCAATTTGGATAGGGAAGTCTGTGTTGGTCTTATCTAACGCAGCCTTTACGTCATTACTGAAAGTCTGAGGGCTTCCAGCATTACTGGTGTTGATGGATGAGCTTCCAGAAGGATTTTGAGGCAACATTTTTTGTTATTGCTATACATGATAAGGTTAGAGAGAATTTTATAAGCTGTTCATTTGCGCCTTTATTTTGCGGTTCTCGATTACGACACCTCCGTTTTGCCTCAAAAGGAAATTACGGGTTGTTCTATTATTTTGAGGAATCCTTTAACGGCAAGGTGGTTTTGAAACGCAGCTCTCCCTATATATTTGCAAAATATTGTTCCGTTGATGAGAGAAATAAGAACATGAATATGAAGGATCGATCACCTATTAATATGATTGAGTTATATTGATTTGTGGGTGTTAATTTCAAACATTGTATGAAAAAGAGCTCTTTCTTCGATATTGCTGCCGAAGAATTCGAAAAAATGCAAAAACGTACATCACCATTCGTGAGCGTAATATTCAGGGAAGTGTTGCCTCCTCATTGTCGGACCACCACTTTGACCACTCTGGTGGCAGCCTTCACTTAGAGGATGAATATGCATCTTCGGCTTCCTCCTCCTTGTTTGGATTTGGAAATTTGATGAGTGTTATATTTATATTTATTTCAGAAGCTCTCAAACAAACACAAATTGATCCAAGAAGTGGAAGAGAAGTTGTCCTCCATGCAAAATTCCATGTGTTTCTTTATGTCCATGTTATTAACCTCGGTGGCTTTGGCATGTTGTGTGAAACCAGCTTACAAACGAATGGAACTTTTCCATTCTCTTCTTCTCCCTGTTCAACCTCCCAACATGTTTCTTCAACAAAATTCCATCTTCAAGACTCATCATCACTCCAATTTTTATTTGTGCACGTTTGATGCGAGATTATTATCGAGTGCGGAAGGCTTGAATTTCATCTTGTCTGCAATTACGTCCGAGAAGCAAAAACTAGCCGAAAGGGATGAAAAGGGTAAAATTGTTCTGGTAGTTCCGTCGAATCTTGGTCTAAACGAGAATCAACACTAAGTCTTGTTGAAAATTGTTGGAAAATTAGCCAAGCAATCCGAACATGGTTTTATTTCATCATCATCAATGGATAGAAGAAATTCGAGTGATAGTGATGAGTCATCAGGAAATGCATCACATTCAAATCGTTTATCGTCTCCGGCCACACCTCCAACACAGAATGACCAACTTTCAACTATTGTGGATGAGTATCTCGATGAATTATTTCGTCCTCTTCAACAACTCTACAAACAATACAATTCACTCGAAACCCATACCTTCTCAGAGTATAGAGCAAAATTAAGAAACCTATTTATTGGCAGATGCAGCTCCGAAAGTTATTGCTAAAATAGTTGGATGTTACAGCGAAATGGTTTGCAATTTCTTGTTGGAGTATTTGCAATTTGAAGGAGAACATAATTCTCTTACTGTTGCATTGATAGATAGCAAGCAATACCTCGTGACAGCGATTGAAGAAGTTACCCATAGTGACAAGGTTAACTTTACCATTTATGAGCAAAGAAAGACCAATATTTAAGAGCTCATTATGATTCACCTCTGGTTGATACTGATTTAATTGAAGAATTGAATGGACATGTTGCCGATGTTTTGATTGCACCAGGAAATATTGGATGTGACAATAAGGGTGATATTGTGCTGTTTGACATTAGCCCAAATTCTGACACTCGCTGGCAAATTTTGGCTCGAGTTTTACCACCTTGTGACATCTTAATTTGTAAAGACTTTCCCCCCTTGCGTGTTGGACATTCCTGTGTCCTCAAAACGTACACAAATTATAACGTTTAATCTCACATCCTTCTCCTTTTCATCTCTATTTTTAATCTTCGTTTCTTTTCAATTAGAAACCACTTAGGACCAGGTTTGATATTACTAGCACTCGGATGCATCCGATCTCGAAAAGGAAAGTCGAATTTGTTGACAATCACTAACCATTTGATGATGGACCATTTCAATTCACATCTCCATGTATGAATAAGGCATGAAGATCTTGTGCGCGTTCTTTGACCTCTCTTCGTTGTCTTTGACTCAAGAAAAAAATGATAAAAGCGAATTGGTCGGTCATCATGGTGTCCTGCCACTACAAGGCTTCATCATCATCCACTCGGAGGATTTCCTCTGCCCTGATGAAAACCAATCGTCATCACCACCACCACACCATCAATTTCAATTCTCATAATCATTTCAAACATTATCATTCCGATCGCAATGCATTCATTCTAAATAATAAGAACACCATGATGGATCCAGAAGATGATGAAGAGTTGAAGAGGCTAACACATTTAGGAAGAATTCATGAACATAATTTTGAAGGAATGGAGGATCGTACTGCCAAATTAGCAGAAGATTTATTGAAAGGAAGTCGAGTGGCTCTGAGTAAATCCATTACTTTGGTAGAATCAAAATTATTGGAACATCATAAACAAGCAAGACATTTGTTGGCATATTTGGCAAAATTGAAACCCATGAACGAGGTGAAGCCTTCGTTTAGAGTTGGTCTTTCTGGACCACCAGGAGCAGGTTGGTTTTGTTTCAATATTGATTGGATAGTTTGTTGTCTCATCAAAGTCATGTAAAATTTTGAATGTCATGATATTTGTAAAATATGCAAACAGGAAAATCAACCATGATTGAGGGTATGTATGGACGCTAATATTATATTGGAATAATAATGATAGAATGCTTATTTTGTGGATTAATTTTTCTAGTTTGTTTAGTGTTTCATGTACAAAAATTAACAAAGAAGATTAATTCGAATCTATTCATTCCATTATTATTCACAGGCACTTGGAAAACACATTATCAAAGATCGAAATGAAAATCTAGCCGTGTTGGCAGTCGATCCAAGCAGTACCAGAACAGGAGGCTCAATTCTCGGTGATAAAACTAGAATGATAGAACTTTCGAGAATGGAAGAGGCATTTATAAGGCCGTCACCTTCATTGGGATTTTTGGGAGGTGTTACTGCAAACATGTATGAAATTATTAGTTTGTGTGAATATGCTGGTTATGACAATATTCTTGTGGAGACTGTTGGAGTTGGTCAATCAGAGACTTTGGTGGCAGATTTGACAGATATGGTGATTTTGGTAGTACCTCCTGCTGGAGGAGATGAACTACAAGGCATGAAAAGAGGTTCGTATAATTCATTTGAATGGAAGAGATTATTTTCCAAATGCCAAATTTCATATTTTCGAAACATCAATATGCAATAATTGGATTTATTTCAATTGCGGAACTATCCGATACATGGGACAAATATTTATTGATGGGTTTCAATTTTATATATATGTCATGATATAATTATGATTTTTAACACGAACACACACACGTTAGGAATTGTGGAGGTAGCTGATTTGGTGGTTGTAAATAAGGCAGATGGCGACTTAATTTATGTAGCAAGAAGGGCAAGAGGAGAATATCGAAGTGCACTCCATTACATGAGACCAAAGTATCCAGGTGTCTATTATCCTGAGGTGGTATTGTGCTCGTCACGAAGAGAAAATCCAATGGAAGAGACTAAATTTCCAGTGTCAAACGTATGGGAAAAAGCACTTGCATTCAGGAAAGTCATGAATGAACATGGCCTTATTGAGGAGAAGAGACAAGAACAGAGAAAAACTTGGATGTGGAAACAAGTCAATGAGGAATTAGTGACACGATTGTTGCATGGAGATGAGTCAACTTCCAAATTTATTGCAAGTATTCAGAATTTTGTGGAGAAGGGAGAGATGTCACCACGTTTAGCTGCAGATTGCATTCTTCAAAAGTTCTTAAAGACACACAAGTAACTTTTTTGGAGCGTTTTAATGATTATCGTCTTTCTTGTTTGTGAAAAGTTTTGAATTATTTTCCAAATATTGTTTCCACAAAGTTTCAACCCTTGAAATGGTATTTCCAACAATGGTGAACGTTTGATGGGTTAAATTTTTCAAATAATTCTTCTTGGCCTCTGACGTGTCTTCTTTGTTGATCTTTTTTGGATCGTTCGATACATTCAACATGGAGTCCTGTAAAAAGGTAGCAGTGTCCAGAAATTCGTCAATGGCCTCTACGAACTGTTCATACATGATCGATTGTCTAATCTTGCTTTCTAAATTACGTGTTTCGTTTTCAATACTTTCAAGTTGTTCCTTTTCCAGAACTCGTACGAGTTGCAGCATGACACTCAATAGTCCATGACGCATACTTTCGTCCTGAATTTGCTGAATTAGGGTTCGAAGAGCAAAAATTGAATAATCCCATGTGGTGTTGGGCAACTTTGAGGATTGTGAACTCTGATTCAACACAATTGACTGAGCATTCATGTACAAACAGTAAAAGGCCTGAAGTAAGTCTTCTGAAATGACAGAGAGGTGAAATTCTTGACTAATAAGATCCTTATTGCGCTCAACAAATTTTTCTCGCAACAAGTCACTTTTGATTTTTCTCATTTCATCTCTGTGGTCCGACAGATGATCGAGCTTGTCATTTGGTGAGGAAGAATTTAAGATTTCCACAGAATGATCATTGTCACACACTGCTGAACTCTCGCTACTTTTAAATACTTCATATTCTGATGGATCAAACTCCTTATCATTGGCAATAACAACACCTTTCAGTAACACTCGATCGCAATCAGTAAATGCCTTTGGAATAGTCTCAAGACGAAAACCATCTGTAAAAATTCCCTCAATATCCGATTCAAATGAGAATGTAAAACTTTTCTTGGTGTTAGGAAGTAATATTCCACTCTTTTCATCGGTCAGCAAAAATTTTGATGCTGCTCGAATTCGTTGCAAATCAGTGACAGGTTCCAGATTCACCCACTTGAATCGCAACGCACAGCAACCAGTATTTTCAAGAATTACCTCTTTTTTACATTGCTTATTGGGTGTACAATCAAACAAAATATCATTCTCTGAGAGAGAAAAGGAAGGAACATTGGAGGTGTCTTCAAATGTTTCATGATCATCCTCAATAATATCCTCATTATGAATGGAATGAATATTTCGTGAGAATTCCTCTTCAACATCAAAGGTTTGATATTTCGCTGTGAATGCTTTTCCTTGAATTTTTAGTTCCTCAAGTTCTGGGGCTGGATCATGTTTAAAGGTTTTGCTCAAAATTTCTCCATACTTTTTTCTAATTGGGTATGATTTGATCTTTTTTAAGGAAATATATAATTCGAAAACTTACTTGACATAGTCTGAGCTGAGAGTTCGAATACCTAGTGACGTATTTTCACTGTGATAGAATGTAAATATCGTCATCCATTCAACTCCAAGAAAAGAGACACCTACCTTATCATCCCAACCTTATTGGGATTTCGAACTGTGGCGGGTCTACAGTAGATTTATGTCATTCTTGACAAGTTGATCATCTCCAAAACCAACTTACCTTCTTACTTTTGGTTCAATAATTGGGCAAAACAATGGATATGGATACCAACCAATTTGTACATATCTCACACCGTCATCCTCAGGAGCCTCTTTTAACATCATGATTCAGGATGGAAAATAAAACACTCAGAAAAACTTACTTCTCAGAGAAAGCTCCCAACTCCATTCATTGTGTCTCTTTTCGACAGGAAGTGACGCTTCCAGAAAATCAATTTCCTCTCGCTTTAATCGATATTTTTCATGACTTTCCATTATTAAATCTTTCTTGGGCTGATATTGGGTTTAGTAGATAAAATTGATATCGAATTTCATTGATAAAATTAACCGAAATAAATAAAAAAATTATTGAAGAAATAAAGAAATTAAATAATAACATGTCAATGTTGGTTCAGAATATTCCACCACACACCTTGTCTAATCTTGTACAAATTCGATCTTCGATCGAATTCCATATTTTCAAATAATCTTCATATTTCCGAAGGGCTTTTTCTTGCAAAAATTGTCTTCCAATTGCTTTATCCTCATGAATCGCGTTAAAATCCAATGGTTGTTTTCTATTTTTTTTCAATTTCTTTTCCGCTTCAATATTGGCACTCTCCCTCGATGCCAAAGACCTGTCCGTTGCTATGGGAGAATTAATTCCCGACCTCGAGAGAGTATTCAAATAATGATCCAAAGATCCCAACACTTCATGTTCAGATTTGGGAAATCGAACCACACTCGGATCAAAAGCAGTGACTTGAGCTTTCGGAAAGGAAGGAGGAGGCTGAATCGGAGGGCTCATCCTTCAAAGACTTTTTTTTGTAGATTGTTTTGGCGGGTGGCGAGACCTTCAGACCTTCCTCAAAATTACTTCTTTCAGTTCGTATTTGTAATTCAATTTGCCTTTCAAAAGCACTTCAGAGGTTTGAGGAAACTCACCGTGTACTACTATCACTCACCGTGATTGGGTACGTAATTGGTCGCATTAATTTTCCAAGGAACGCACTTCTATTTGGCAGCCATCAATAAAAAAGTCACACGTGCGCGCATTAGCAGAGTGTTGCAACACCAACCGACGTCGACGAAGAAGAAACAAAATCAAAACAACAACAATCGACTGTGCTCTCATTCCCCAATTGTGGAAAAGACACAAAAAAACAATCACGCAACAGCAATAACAACAACGGACTCACTCTTTTATTGAATCACTTGAGTCACCAATTTATCATCAGCTCCTTGCATTCTTTGAATAGGTACCTATAGGTGTTTGAATCCTCGTGTGTCGATAGAAGAAGAGAAAAGAAGAAAACACGAAAAGAGTCTTTCGTCAAATACGACTGCCATAAAAAGCATTGGTTGGCATGAGACTCGAGCGTTTTTTCTGCATGTCATCAACGAGTCGTTTTTAATATTCATCATCACCATCATCATCGATAGTATCTACACGTTTCATCCTTTCATTGTTTTACCTTCTAATTGTTCTTCTTGTGCTGCACATCTTTCTCTCATATACCTTTTGGCTCGAATCATTCTTGACTCGAACACGATTTAAAGAAGAAGAACAACACCATGACCACCGTTGCTTCTCCTCTTCATCCTTCATCCTCTCATCCTCCTCCTCCTCAACATCATCATCATCGAGAGAAAGCTTCTTCACGTACAAAAGACCCATTACTACTGGAAGAAGAAAAGCAAGTTGTACTACTCTCTTCGTTCATGCCACCCAGAAGTCAATCCTTCTCTTCGGAAGAAGCAGACGACGACGACGACTCTTCATCAACCTCCCATTCCTGTCTCTCTCCAATCAGCAGCTCTGCCTCTCCTCGGAATGCAACTACTATCACCACCACCACCACCAATACAACAACAACAACAACAACAATGAATGGAATTGAACAACAGCAATGTCCAGAATCACCCATGTACACTCCGGTTGGTGGATCTCTTCCAGGGTCATCCTCCGTCGCTTCGATTCCATCCTCATCATCCAAATCCATCCTCAACGCCAATAGCAATAACAGTAACACTACAACAATCATTACTCAACCATCAATCACGTCGTCCTACTCCTCTCCCTTGAATCATCATCACAACTCCAACCTTCATGTTGCCTTAATTGCATCATCAGCAGCAGCAGCATCTTCCACCACCAATCCTTCTTCTTCAATCCCAATTACAACAACAACATCAACTACATCGAGTACTAATGGTGATGGAACCAAGTATTCGACAGGACATCCAACTTTAGGAAGGGCTCGTTCCAATAGTCGTGTGAGTGGTGGCAGTGGTAGTAATAGTGGATCTGGTGGTGAGTACAATGTGCTTCCAAATCAGATCATCATGTCCAATTCTTCATCCACTTCTTCTTCTTCGTTGTCGTCATTGAAACGTCATTCTTCAAATCCTCACTTGACAAGTATTAACACTACTACCAATAACAATAACAACACTACTTCTGCAACAGTTCCTTCCACAACAACAATTATTTCAACAACAAATGCTACTACACCTCATCATTCTTCCTCTTTTCACACACCGTTAAGGAGAAATTCAACAAAAGGCCATTCATTTCAAGCAACGACGACGACGACGACAAAACCTCAAAACAATGAGTATCGACAATTTTTGAGACAGACCATCAAATTAAAAGAGGCCAATGAAATTCGAGTGAGAGGAATTTCATTAAAATATGAAATTAATTATCATCCTTTTCTGGACGACGCTGTAAGTATTGTGTTTTTTGAAAATTCAAAGAAACATTGACACAAACTTAATGATCATGTTCGTGCCATTTAATTGAATTTAATTGATGCATACAATAATTGTTGCAACATTATCATTATTTCCAATGTTCAACACATTGAAATGTATGGTCCTATGATTCATTAGATTGGAAATAAGGCATTCGTTGCAGAAATGACACAATTGAACAAATTTCTCAAAATGCATCAACCCAATGCCAATTATTGTTGTCTGGGTTTCACTTTCTTTTGTTGTACATTTGGATTATCGTTACTTCCATTCTTTTATCAACTTTCTAGTTTCGAATCAGACGTTCATGCATATTTGAGAAGTCTCAATAAGAAGTATGAATCAAAAGGATTGAAATGGGAATTACATCCAGCTCATTTACCAACTGATGACAGTTATGTAAGTTTGAGTGATGACAACGATTAACTCTGGTTTTCAACTTTTACTGTGTATTCAATGAATATTTCAATACTAATTTTCATTTTAACTGGTTTTCAATTTTTACTGTCATGTTTCAAAACTTGTCACGAATTCTTTGTGTGTTGATGGATGGTGGTTGTCAAAATATTCGAATGGATAGATTACCGTGTCACTTGAAAAAGAACTTGATTCCAATGTGGTCATTGATGAATCTCTGTTAATTTCACACGACTCTCACAACAATAGTTTCAACTCGAGTCATGGCAAATTGAACTCAACTGTTGCTTCAGATTCACACCTTCTGATGCATTCCAAATAATAACAACAAGTAAATACGACACAACACCTTTTCATCTCCACATGATTGAGCTTTTTTGTTTCTATCATGTTTCCTATCATGTTCCCATACTTGGTTTTCAAAAACCAAAGTCACTATTTGGAAAGGTTTCCTGATTTCATCTTTTCCAAACTATACAGTCCCTCATTGAATTCTACACCATTTTTGAAGAATTATCTCCATCTGTTGTTGTTGTTGTTGGAATGAAGTGACGATGAGACGAATTCGAAAATATATTACTGCAGCAAATTTCAGAAGGGGAATTAATTCGAGAGCTGTTCATTGACGTGCACACTTGCAAGGTCACTGGTGAATGGACTCCAACGTTCAATGGATGAGTAGAGTGTGATGTTTGATCTTCCAATCCTATTAAGGCAACGAAGAGTTAGGAGGAATGGAAGATGGGGATGTCACACCTTCCTCAATATTGAGAATTTCTGGTCTGTCAGTTGTGGAATGATCAATGTTTGAATGTTGTTGAGGTTGTTGAGTCTCAACCGTGGCAACGACTTTGATACTATTTTCATGATTGAAGTCACTTGTCACAACAGGTGGGTGAATCGTTGTCGAGCGTCTCGATTCATTCAATTTCAACAATAATTTTTCTGTTTGAATAAACATGGGATAGAACAACAGCAAACTGCAAACTCAAAACTGCAAAAATCACCACTGTCAAACAACAGAAAAAGTGCCAAATAATTTTCAAACCTGTTTGTCCTGTTGCCACCGAAGAAGCAATGGCAGCTGCCAAAATTTGACATAGTATACATAAAATTAACCCAATCATTAATCCCAATGTGACAATGAAAGGATTAATTCTAATCAACGACATTTCATAAACCACTCGAAGTGATAAATTGGCGCATTGAATGGCCACAAACAATGCAACTGTGACGAAGAGAATTTCTCTTGACTGGAATTTTTCGTTGAAATTCAAAATAATTATTGGTTGATTGGAAAGAATGGAGGAGAAGGATTGAAGGAGTTGTTGATGGGACTGATGGCAATCTTGATGAGAGAGCTGAGGAGGTTTTGGAGTATTTTGACGTTTGGCAGGTTGTTTTATTTTTAATAATCATGATATTTGATGTAAGGTTGTTTAAGAAAAGTGACACATCTCTTTGCGAAGAATTGCTTACTTTGGTGCTGGCTGTATCATCATTTGCCCGTTAGTATGAGCTCTAAATTTGTTCATCTCTTCAATTTTTGGACAGTTCTTTCCTTTGCTTTAAATACCCTTCTCTTCAGAGGTGCGTTCATCGTCATCAACATGCATCAAAGCTCTTCATGCATCAAAGAATATGAGCGTGTAGGGAAATGAAAGGACAAGGAATAATGGTCGAATTCTTTTTCCCTTTCTTTTTTCCTAGTGCACGAAGAATTTGAAATTAAAAATGTCTCAACAACAAACACCAGCTATCATCACCTCCACCTCCACCACCACTAATAACGGAGTGGTTGTTGGATGTCAGGACTCGTTTATTCGGATGTATCATTCCTTTTCATCATCATCGGAGCAACAAGAGCCTATTCAACCTTCAGGCTTACTGGTGGGACATACCAAACCTGTATCGGCTCTTGATTCTATATCATTAGAAGGGTCTTCAAGAATTTTGAGTGGTGGATGGGATGCCGATATTCGGATGTTTGATGGTTCTACGATGGAATGTTTGATGATTTTGGAAAATTGTAATAATTTGGAAGAAGCAGGACAACAATCGGAAAGTGAAGATACGGTCAAAATTAGAGGAAAAGGACACAATCAAGAAGTGTTGGCTCTTACTCATTGCAAAACAAGCACACCAAATGAAGCTTTGATTTTTAGTGGAGGAATGGATAGTAGGATTAAAATTTGGAATTTGAAAGCAAGTCCAGATGGAAAACAAGATCAAATCGAACTGGTCACCACCATTTTGCAAAAAGAAGCACAACAAGAGAGAGCTATATGGAGTTTGACAGCGGATTCTTCATTGAATAGTCCAGTTGTATATTCGTCATGTCTTGAGGACGGAATGGTTCGAGGTTATGATGTTACCACATTGAAAATGGTTGCTAAAATGAAATTGCATTTGAATGATGTTCGTCATGTGAAAGTGGCAAATTGTCTCGATTCGAAACCGTGCCTATTTACATGCAGTTCAGACAAGTCACTCAAATGTGTCGATTTGAGAGCCAATAAGGTGGCCATGAGGGTTGAAAATATTTCACAAAATGTTCTCATGAATTTTATATTGGATGATACAAGTGAGAGACTCTATCTTGCTGATAGTGGTGGCTCGATTTACAACTTTGACACCCGAATGAGTTTGAAAAAGGTCGATGAAGTCAAGAATGCTCATCGTGGAGGTATAACGAAACTTGTTTACAACAAGGGAATGTTGTACAGTGGAGGAGGAGCCGATAAAACATTGAAAGCTTGGAATTGTGGTGGCGGAAAAAAGCTCACACCTGTTGCCACCGTTGAAGTGAATGATCCAATTTTTGCCATGACCAAGCTCTATTAATGCTGGAGTGGATACGGTAGAACTCGAATAAGTTAAATAAATGATAAATTAGACAGTAAGATGGAAGTGTTATGTAGTCGACAGCATGCAAATCTTATTTATGCACATCCAACCAAGATGTATACGCGAAATGTGACACACAACAAAACTTTAAATAATTCATTGGGTTTCGTTGAGTTTCAATAGTTTCATTAATGAAATAGTTGGGCATTTCAAAACTGAAAACCAAAGCTCAGGAACATTGTTGATAATACTTTTTAGACTTAGGTCAAATTTATTTCAATGTGTGTACTCATCACGTGCATGATAAGCGTTCCGCAAAAAAACTACGTGTGACAAATTCTGCTTAATAACTTAATTGAGTGGCTTTCTAGCCAAGAAGAAATAACTTGGTGTAAAGATTCCAGTCTTACCACCTCCAACCAATCCATCAGCACCAGCCATCAAGAATTCATAGGCTTGTTGTGAGGTCTTTGGAACCAAACCAACCTTTTCCAAAATTCCGACAAGTTTGTGAACCACCCATCGTCCGTAGGCTGTTTGGAACCAATTGGTAAATTCCCAACCACCATTATCCAATGGTTGATACCATGGAATTGGATTGACTTTATCGGTAATGGCAACATCTTGAGTCTTGATAACTTCAAATCCAGCATCTCTCAAAGCTTGATCGATATCTTTATCCATCAAGAGTTCTGGCAAACCATCTCCCTTCATGATATCGAACTTAATCTTGTTGTGTTGTTCATTCTTTGGATCGTACTTTCCGGTGAGCATGACCCATTCATAACCTCCGAAAACTGCACCAGGCTTCAACTTGTTGAAGATTTGTCTGTAACAGTGAGCTCTATCCTTGGCATGGCAAGTAGCTTCAATAGCATAGGCAGCATCATAGGATGCAGCTGGTAAATCCTTATTATCATCCAAATTGTTGAAATCACCACGAACAATCTTACATTGATCCTCCATACCCATTTGAACAATAAATTCAGCAGCACGTTTAGATTGGTATGGATGATTGTTTACACCAGTAACATGAGCTCCGGAGAATCGAGAAATATTCACGGCTGGACCCATCACACCACAACCCATATCCAAACATTTCATACCAGCCTTGAGACCCAATTCTTTGGCAAGCCAGTATTCGTGTCTTTGAATGGATTCGTTGAGTGATTCTCTCGAGTGGCGAGGAGCAAAGTGGAAAGAACGACCCCATCCATACAAGTAGAAATCAGTAACCATATCATAGTACTTGCCAGCAACATCCCAACCAGCTTGTTTTCTCTTTTGATGAGTTTGTTCATTATCAGTAGCAAAGAGTTCATGATAGGAACCAGTCTTATCGGTATCAGTAAGGTGGCTTCTTCCGATTTGTTCACGGAATTTAAAGAGGTACAATACAAATCCTCCAATGATGGCCGTAGTGGCAAGAAGTAATAGCATAATGATAGCGACGATGAGAAAATGTTAAGCAAAAAGAAAAAGAGCGAGCTCTCTAGAGAGGATGTATTTTTTTTCACAGCAAACCGCTTCCAAACGTTCATATTTTCATCGAAGAAAGGATCACTCTTTCCAGTGGTGGAGGAAGCCCGCTGCACGCATTTGTTTGTGCAAGCTCGGTCAGCGAAGGTTGTTGAATGTCATTTTGGATCGTCTTCCGAGAGAGGACAATTCGCTTTGCTTTTCGTGATTCCGCACAGCCAAATTCTGCAGAACGGGGGATGACACTCGACTACGATAACTGAGCAAATGTTTCATTGGCCTTTATGGATGTTTTCAAAATGTCAATCTTTGCAAATCTTTGTAGCAATTAAATGTTTTTTCAATATTGATAAATGTAATATAACAAATATCTTGTATTTCCTCTTGTTTTCACTTTCAAGACCACCTTGTACAAAGGCCTTCTTAAAAGTTGTTTTGAAGTGTTTGATGAATTTCTCCAAATAAAGATCCTAAAATATCGTCTTCTGAAGGATCACCCAAAATGCTAAGCCATTCGTCCAATGTGGAGGTTTCTTCTTGTTGGTTACTAGTTTTGACAGGAGTTTGAGGAAGATTTTGTGGTCGAAGCATGACAGGTTGAGAGGATGACACTGCATGAGGATTGTAAAAGTTTGACGATGTCGTAGCTAGTGATGACGACATGACAGAAGGAGACCTTTGTGGCACTCCTATCGTGCTGCTGCTGGGTGTGGAGGCTGTTTTCGAAAGCAATAATGGAGGATGGAATTGTTTCATGAATTGAGCTTGCTGCATTTGTTGTTGTGATGGATGGTGGTTGGTATGTTGTTTCTGTTGTTGAGTGGCAGTTGATGTGGATGATTGAGGAATAAATCTCCACGTATTCTCACTGAAGCTCGATAAAAGTGCTGATCTTGGGAATAATTGTTGTTGTGGTGATGATGACGAGGGTTGAAGTTGTTGAATATAACTATTTGTTTCACTACTGCTTGATTTTGGTGAAGAGAATGACGAAAAAGTTGGTGGTGGTCTCTTTTCCAGTATGGCTTGATACGATTCATTTTCCATTCTCACTTTCCATTGTTGAATCTTTTTCAATTGATTAATAATATTACCATAATATTTGGTCACTCTCTTGAACCTGGTTGCCATCGAATTCATGGCTCTCAATCCCTTATGTACAATTTCAAAGTATTGTCTTTCATAGTCGTCATTCATGATTGCGTGAAAGGCTCTTCCTTGATTCATTTTAGCAGTAATGATGGATTCAATCTTGGGAAACATTTTACCATGGATGTAGGCTCCGAGAGAAACAAAGTGAGTCATGGCCACTGGCAAATATGCAAATGGTTCACGCTCGGTGAGGAGAATAATCTTGTTGGCCAAATTTTCAATGGTCTCACCCTCGTCAATTCCAATCGACAAATAAACCACAATTTCAGCACCAAAACAAATAATGTCTTTCATGAGAAAAGTGAACTGAATTTGAGATGATGAATAGGAGTGTGAGTGTGCATAACCCTCAATGACATTATTGAGGAGAGAAATTAATTTAAGAAGCATGGGAACATCATCCGGTGTCACACCCTTTTGTAGAAGCTTGTCAAGTTCGTAGGGAGTTTGTTTTCGAGTTTTGAGTCTGTACAGGACATCGAATCCATCCCAAATTTTCAAATCATGAACATCCGTATATCTACAACCGAGAGAATTCTTTTCCATGAGAGCAATCAAAGCTGACATTTCTTCTTCCTCATTCGCATTCTGAACTCCTTCATGACTCATGTAATTGTTAGAAGTGTTTTCAATGGCATATTTGAGAGCATTTAAGTAAAATTTTGCTATTGCGTCATCGCCTTCACCTGCCAAATAAGAAGCAAGTAGTGAATAGCTGACCTTAATGTAAAAATTGTCCAACTCATCGAACGAAAAACCTAAAGATTTTCTAGCTTCTCGATAGGCCAATTGTGATGTCTCTCTAAATCCCATTTGTTGTTCATACAAAGCTTGCATACTGTACAATAAGCAACGTACTCCATTTCTCATTGATTGTGTCTTGTAATTTACATTGTCATAGGGAGATTCGTCTTCTGGATGTGCCAAATATTCCAAAGCAAGTTTTTCAACTTTTTCCTTTGAGAGTATGCTACATCCAGCTCCGTTCATTTTGTCAAAAAACATGTCCAAAGTTCTTCGTTTCACAACTCCATCCAATAGACTTTGATTAATTTCCATGTAGGGATGAGTAGATTTTCGAATGAAAGATAATTTTGTTTTTCCACTTGGGCTTGTAGAAATGGTTTCACTATGTGCCGAAGAGGATATTTGTTGTTCTGGTGACGTCTCGGATGAATCGTTTTGCCTTGTCGTTTGAGAATCTTTTGGTTTGTTTTTTGAACCTTTGGTTCTTCCCTTCTTTTTAGGGGTTCTATAATAACATTCCTTTACCTTGTCTATGCATTCAGAACATGATGGAAGTTTCTTGTCACACTTGCTGTATAATAATAATATTGTAATATTTCAACCATTAACACATTGCATATTGAAATCATGAAGAACACATACCGATGGAGACGTCTACAGTTCACACAGGCAATCGAATGAAAATCGCCACCTGGTAATTCATGACCTTCGTTACTCCCATTATGATCACTTCCTGAATCATTTTGTTCCTGTGTTTGTGGGCTCACATCGTGATCCGTTTGCATTTGTTGAACCATTTGTTGTTGTTTGGGTTTGCTGGCCAAATCGACCAATCCATTTTGCAAACTTTCAAAGGCAGAAGAAATGGAGAACGGAGAGGTAAACCCAGAAGTGGTGGTGGTAGTACCTTCTTCGTGTTGTGAAGGCTGTTGTTGAAGAAACATCATGGGAGCCATTCCCAAACTCATCATCCAAGAGGATAAATCATTTGGTGGGTTCAGCGTACTTGCTGTATTTTCATTGGTGGTTATGGCATTCCTTTCTCCGGAGTGATCATGTTGGAAATGGGCTGTGCCAAAATTGAATACTGACGGTGATGATGAGGTTGTGTTTGTTGCTTGTTGGTCGGGATGTTGTTGATTGTGTCGAGGTTGTTGTTGCTGCATTTTTCAAGCCTGTTGTTGTTAAATTGTATCAGAATGGTAAGTGGCACAGAGATTGTACTCCCGTCACAGGTTTGATTGGATGAGATAAGCTGGGAAGGCAGCGCACATTTAAAAACTGTGCGTGCGATGTTGGAAGCTAATTGTCCGCGATGAAAGACAAATCTACCAAGAAAAAAACCAAGTGGCTAACAACAACAGTTTGTCATGCGTAGGAAGACAATTTCATCGGTTGATTGGTTGGAAAGTAGGAAGAGAAATGGAGAATGGAGAGGAAACCCACACGTGCTGAATGAAGCAACATGTGAACTGTAACTGTCATTTCCAAACATCTCCATAGATGTGTTCGTGTTCACTCCACCTTGCCTTTGATTCGACTCGAATGGAACAAACTAAAAACCATTAAAGTTCTTCTTTCTGTCACAATCATTTAATGTCTGCTTTGCCTTCTTTTGTTGAACCATAGTTGGACTTGTTGTTCCTTGTTCTTCATGTCGCCTTTGTCCATCAAGTGTCAACAAATCCAACCCTTCGCAATTAAAAAAATTCCTTCTCTCTCATAATATTATTCTCCACCAGCAACAACAACAACAAATGGATAAAGCAAACAAGATGGTTGTGGTTGGCGACGGTGCCGTGGGTAAAACCTGTCTCCTTGTCAGCTTTGTTGAAGATAAATTTCCAGAAGATTATGGTAAGTGTGTTATGACCGATAGGTTGTAAAAGTAATGATACAAAACATACGAAACGTCACTCACTCATCGGGGTGATGATGGCAATTGTATGCGTTTTGTTGAAACACGATTGTGTATTGGCATTTTATGAATAATACATCATCATCATCATCATCAACTGATCAACACATGACAATGACATTCGTTGGTGGTTGGATACTTTTATCAACAACAACATTTTGACATCTGAACTTGATGCTTTCGGATACACAGTACCAACTGTGTTTGATAATTACAGTACAAATATGGTCGTCGATAAAGAAGTACAAACCATTGATTTGTGGGATACAGCAGGACAAGAAGAGTAAGTATTCGATTTGATGACCACATGTGATGATGACGATTAGAATGTCATATCTCTCATTTCATTTTAACATTTGTGATTCAATTTGCAATAACAATAATCGTTTGTTGATCAACCTATCACGTCGTGTTGTCTCATTTCTTTCTTTTCAATAATATGAAAACATTAATGTGGATTACAAACATCTTCATGAAACATACAACTCCTCATCTTGTGAACTATTTTGTTTCGGGTCCTTGGTTGGTTAACACATCAACAAACTTTTAATTTGAAACCTGTATGATTTTTGGAAAAACCTCTTTGTTTTACTCATCATTGTGTGCCAAACCAATTATTTTCCATTTCATTGTTCAATGCAAATCCTTTGGATATTCTTTAATATAACAACAACAACTCAATTATATATACAACAACAACTCACATTGTCGTATCATCTACAACAACATGACTCGTGTGAACAATTTTCACCACACAATGCATTTCTCAAACACAAAACAGCTACGATCGATTAAGGCCACTCTCCTATCCTGACACCAATATTTTCCTCATTTGTTTTTCAGTGGTTCATCGCAGCTCATTTGACAATATTCAAACGAGGTGGCTACCCGAAATTACACACTATGCACCAGGAGTCCCTATGTTATTGGTGGGTACTAAGGTCGATTTGCGTGAAGATCCTCGTTACTTGATGGAAAATAAGAATTCACGAGAGGGACCACCAATTACAAAGGAAGAAGCAGAAAAGAAACGAAAGGAATGGAAAATGCATCGCTATGTGGAATGTAGTGCCAAGACACAACATGGAGTGAAAGAAGTATTTGAGACTGCGGTCCGAATTTCGAGAAATCCTGATAAGTTCAAAGATTGGGAGGAAGATTCAACCTCCATTGAAAAGAAAAAGAAATGCATCTTGTTGTAACAAGCAAGGATAGAAACAATCTTATTCGATTTAAATCATTGACGCGTGGCGTGTCGTGGTGTGGTTTTTTCGAAGAAAAGTACATAGCCCCTAAATCACTCCTCAAGCCCACAGCATTGTTGTATTTTATAACGAATTCGTTTGGACGAACCTTATTGCTTGCAATTTGATTTTCAAACTTTTGTAAAAATGTATAAAATATTGAATAATGATAATTTTCCAAATTGTTGTTCAAAGTTGTGGATGGTACTTTTCAAGTTCAAGTGTGGCATTGCACAAACACAACGTCACCACCACACCACGACTACAACATCAAGAACACAATTCGACACAACACATTCAAATTGAATTTTGATGACAAATTGGGAGTTGGTAATTTTTAAAAAGAACAAATTTTGGCGCCCATGTATTTTTAGATTCAAAAAAAATTCCAACAACTGCTTGCGCAACCCTCTAACCCGTTTATGGTCTCTAATTGAAGATATTTCCGATCGTTTGAACCCATACTACAAGATCATCATCTTTGTGATTCCGTTGAACAGATCTGTTTGAAAGAACATTCTTCATCACCATCTCCTACTGTTTAAACCTTTCTGTCTCATAGGTGATACGGAAATTTTTCAAATTGTAATATTATCCAACGTTTCTGAAACTCTCACCAACGTTCTTCTCTTCTTGGTTATCTCCCTGTATCATTTCCAATCATCTTTCCATGCTTCTTCATTCAACAGCAACAGTTATTAATAATTCAATCAATTTCCAACCCAATCCTTTCCATCCTCAAACAACATCTCACTTTGCCATCATGAACCCTTCTTCTCGAACCAACCGTCATGATAACCCTAGTCCTTCCTTAAATGAGGTCGCCTCAACCGAGATTCAGAACACTCACCCCACATTAACTACTACAATGACTGTTGCTACATTTCAACATCCTCACGACAACGGTTACCATCATAATGATCTTGAAATTCAATCCTCCCCTCTGAATGGAAATCACCAGCATCCAGTTCCAGACAATCAATCCACTTCCTCTTGTAACCATAGTCATAATTCAGAGGCTTCTTCACCACCACCTCCTTCTCATCCATGCTTTTTGAATGGTCATGATCAAGAAGCTTTCCCATCCCTCCAACCGCAACAAAGAGTGTTTGCCGAAGAATTCGTGGAACCCAATACTCCATGTGAAACTCCTTGCACCATTTGGCTTTCTTCATTCACATCCCTCTCCCAACTTTCCCTCAATTCTTATATAGTTCCTCAAGTTGACTGTACAGCTAAAGAAGCATTTGAGGATGAATTCAATCGTAAATGTAAACCCTACAAGAGCGTCAATCACTTGAGCCGCAATTTGACTCCATCCTCCAACAACTCATTCCTACAAACAACCTCCTCATCAACAACAACTGAAACTGCCATGACTTGTGCAAGTATGAAGGGTGCTTCCTCTCTTTCCCTTGATCTATCCACTGCTCGAGTTGTTGCTAATGTTTTGAATAATGCTCTCTTCAAACGATCTGAATTGCAACAAAAAAAGATCCTTAAACAAAAACATAGCACCAAAAGAGCCACAGGAGATCATTTGACTAAATTGGTGATTCCTCCTTCGAATGTAACCATTTTGAATTCATCCAATACCACTTCCTCCTCAACAGTAAACGATTCTACCATTCTGATCAAGCAAAAGAGATATTGAATGCAAATAAAATCTCGCTAAAGGTGTCAGTCACCTCAAACCTTTTTAAAAAGGTTCTTCAACAAAATAATCATCACGAGTTTATAATGTTGTACAATATTCAAAATTGTGCAATTCTGCAAGTAGTTTAGTTAGCATCCAACATGGACTTTGCTGTCTGCCATTTTCTATACTCATTGGTTCTCACTAATCGCATGTAGGTATCTCGAATATTGATCATGAGAGGAATCATCAAGACTTGCCTCAATGAGTTAAACCTCACATCCTCATTCTTCTTGCATTTCGATACAATCTCCTCAAACTCTTTCTTGGTTTCATTGGAAAAGTTAATCTCATTCTTACCCAATGGTTTCATAAAGTTATTGTACAAGAAATCCAAGTCTGAGACACTCAATCTTGGATTATTGTCTGAAGATTTCTTTTCCATTTCTTTCAACTTTTCATAACAATAAATATTTTCCAAACTCATTTCCTTTTCTGCAAATTCTTTAAGGAGGGACATGAACGATGTGTCATCTAACTTTTGTTCCCATTGTTCTCCCTTGTCCTTTGGAGCTCTGAAGAAGATAATTTTGAGAATCTCAAAAATAATGGCAACACCACCGTAGTAAAAGAATCCCAATGCATAACTCACAAAGGAAACAATTCCATTGTATGCTGGAATCATACTTGCCGAAGTGAATAAGCTCACTGCTACCAAAATTGCACCCACTACCAAAAAAACTACATCATATCGAATAAAGAAGGGATCATCAAAGAATAGAAAATATAAAATTCCTTTTGATTTGATGGTTGGAACTCCAATAATGACATTAACAGCAACAGCCAACAAGGAAGCTCCTGCAAAAACGATGGAAATTACACTGACCACCATAGAGGAGATGTATTGTGAATTGTAACCAAAATATTCTTCTCTGTAGGCTGCTATGGGTGCCAATGCAACCACACAAGACAAAATGAATCCTAAAATAAGAGAGAAAGCAATTGTAAACGTTTTGCTTACAACAAATTTGACAATTTTGACCTGAGTTTCAGTTTTACATTTTCTCAAAATTGAATAGAGATTTCTTAAAATGGTAAAACGAGTCATGATGGAATAATAAATGACAATATTGTACATGGATGCAAAATAAATAATAAGGTGGTGAAGCATATAGCAAGGTTTGGAAACTTCAAATAATTGATCCAAAACAATCAGATAAGAAAACAATGGACACACCCAAGGAATGATCAACCTTCTCTTAATACTTGGCTTATTTCTGAAAATGAATAAGAGAGGCCAATACGTAATAAGAGAAAGTCCCAAGAATAATCCAGAGGCAATGGAGATTGAATCTGAGAGAGGGCTAGGTGTTGGACTTTTTCCATCTTCCCACATGCATTGAGAGGTAGCACATGAATAACAAGAGGCAGGGAAAACCATTGAACTCAATTTTGGACTCAAACTAGCTTGAGTTTGTATTCCTAGAGAATCAAAAACAGCTGATGTAATATTTGCTTTCAACAATTGTACAGCCGTATCATAATATGTGTGATTGACTTGCATGGAATTTTTGAAATAATAGGAAAAGGCATCTACATCTTGTTGTGTTAAATTGACAAGTCCATAACCAGCTCGAATCACTGCATAATCATGAGCAATAAAATACGAGTTACACAATGATTGTGGTATAAAGAGAAGTGTCACAAATTGTTTCATGACTGAATAGAGAGCTTGACTTGCCACAAGTTCCATGATACCTGAATCAGCACCATTCGAATTCATCATTAAAACTTCATAGGGACCAATATTCACAATATTCATGTCATTGGACACATTGAGAAGAGGTTTGAAACGTTTTTCTCCTAAATAACAATCTCTATTTTGTCTAAACATGATGGTGAAAAACGAATCAGTTGAAACAACAGCATCAAAATATTCAAATACATTTCCCATCCAACAATCAGACTCAGGACGATCCATTCTTTCCATTCTGAAATCATGAATACTCGAATTTAAACCTAACAATTTCTCCACGTATAAAATATCCAGTCCAATTATGGTATGAACACCAATGACCACATGTCGTTTTTGTGACATCTGTTGTACCTCTGAAATTGATGTAAAACCTCCATTGACTTTGCTTTTTAAGCTTGCCATGACTAAAGAGGCGGTAGTTCCAAGAGCAATCATGGATGGAGTGGTCATGGATGTTAGATTCATGGTCACCGGTACGATGGAAGGTATATTGGTGGATTGATGTTGAGTTCGAGGCGAAAGAATTGTTGTGTGTGATGATAGCCGTGCGAGCTGAAGAGTATTTTGAGGATAGTGCAGAGGCGATGGTGCGCGGAATGGTGTTTGTGCAGAAAATCCAGAGGGTTTCAGTCGAGATGAAGCATCATCCTGTATTTCTTGTGTGGATATTTTACGGATGGCATCTGACAAAATTTGGGCCGAACTCTTCAGAGGTGGTCTTGTTAGAGGAGGTACTATGGGAAGAGGCATCGAATGAACCTGAAATTTGAAATCTCTTGATATCGTTTCATATACAAACAAGTGTATCAATATCGCTGTCCACACCAATGCATTGAGCCACAACACTTGTCGTATGTTTAATCCCAGAGAGAGTTTATTCATTCTGATGATGATCATGTTGATGATGATACTTTTGAGAAGGAACTCATAGGAAAGCAATTCGATATGAGAAAGAAAAGAAGGCAGGCGTGGAATTGAAAAGTTCTCGCTGCTGTCCAACTATGGTGTTTGTGCCTTTCTTTGAACAATCGAAAAATTAATACACTTTGTATCACGTTGAGCGAATAAACGACAATTTCCGACACGTCAAAAAGGAAAATTGTCAAATTCCTTTTGGCTTAAAGAAGATCCCTTTGCCACTGTTGATGATTAACCAAAAGGTTGATGATTGTGGAACTGGTGTTGTTGTTGTTTTTTGTTTGTGATATTGTATTTGATTTTGACAGATGTGTTGAGCAAGGAGAGAAGCACCAAAAGACTGTCCGTGATTATTGACACCTTTCTGAAAAAAAATTAAAAAATCAAAAATGGAAAGTGTTGGCTCAAAAGAATAGATTTGACTGTTCAAAGCGAACTCATTAAGTTTCTAATGGAAGGCGATTCTCCCACCTTTCCTTTTGTAAACGGAGTGATGTTTGTCGATGGAAAGAGCTGCTTGCGTCATCTCCATTAGGTTCATCCCATCTCAAGGTCTTTGGAATTGGCCAACCTAGAACAAGTAAGAGCTCGACAGAGTGTAACGTTTGCTTAAAGGGATTATTTTAGAGTGCTGACACAGTAACACACTCCGAATACTTCTTTTGTACTTTCTAAACCAAATCTATATAACCAAAATTGATCTTTTATCTATTTCATTTTTTTATAATAAGATGACTAGACATGGAAAACATTAAAAATCTTCGAGATATTTATTGAGAAGTGTGTTCACAGAGACCCTTTTATATTTTTAAGATTTTACTCGCCACTGAAATATCTCCCTCCCACTCTATTCAATAGAGCTCGAGGGTGTGAAAGAATCGGAAAAGATTATGGGTGATTATGAAGATTATTCTTTTACCTATGCTAGCGCTTTATTGCATCCACCATCCAGTAGGATGGCTGCCAGAAAATTATTCGAATTTAGCCAAGATGAGAGAAGTAAGTGGGGATTTTCAGATCGATTATTAATGTAAAAACTCCATAGTATTATTAGTTCTCAATTCTTTAAAAGATGGCTCTAAAAATTGTTCATAAAATATTTTGTTGACTTGCAGGCCTTCTAAAAAATTCTCATTCTCAAGTATATCCAACACATCGGACCAAGTTGCTTGAATGTTCTCATCTTGTTTGTCAATACCCCATTCAATCGCTGCTCTATAAATTGGTTCTAAATGATCTAAAATAAATACAGCAGCACGTGACACGCTTTGCCATCGAGTGGACACTGGTAAGGGAGGCTTCATTACATCATTAAAATTATTAAGGTCATCATCAATAATAATAGTACCATCTTGTGAATTAAAATACTTTTCAACAAATTGAAAATCGAATTTCAAAATAGTCACCAACCAGCGTAACGATTTCCAATCCGATCGTAGCTTTCGAATCACCTTTCCAACATGTCTTTCAAAGTCCTTATAGCATGTAATAAAGTGTTTGTATACCAAATTCAAATTATGGCCACAACAAGTAATCAATGTTACGTTGAGCATGGTTGGCTTGGCAACTGCAATCACATTCGCCCCATTATCGGACATCATAAAGTCAACACGACGACCATTCCATCCACTCTCAGCTTGTTTCACAGTTTCAAATAAGGTCTGTGCTGTTTGATTTAACAAGGGTTGAATTTTTGAGCAAATAGTTGTCCTTTTGTACTTGAGTTTCAATTGACGCTCGAGTTGATACATTTTACGAGTGTCTTCTTGACTACGTAGCTGTTTTCTGAGCAACATGGTGTATTGTTCTGAAATTATTTCCAATTCCTCTTCATTCAAATGTTCAATCATGTTAAAAAAACAGACACAAAACCATCACTTTCATCAATCATAAGAGTAAATTTCCCTGGAGCATGTCGGAGTAAGTGTAGCTGCAACCACAGCTTTTTGATTGTCCACTCGTCGAGATTGCTCTTCGATTGGTAATAACACATCTTGAGTAGATAGAAACTGTCCTTGAATTAATTTCTCGAGAGGAGTGTTGAAGAAGGTTATGACGGACCCATTTAGAATTCTTGTTTTGGTTAATTCACTCATGTGTGAGATGTATCCACATAAACAAGTCAAAGAAAGATCTGTGCGAGCTTTAAGTGCGTTTACGAGTGATCGATTTCTCAAATTTCCTACATACTGCGCAGATGGCATAATAGTGTTCAATATTTTTGTTTGCTGAAGCAACAACATTTAACGTACTTCATTCGATACCAACCTCACTCTGGATATAGTAGTCTTCTATTCCTGACGTCAACACTGTTGTTCCTTTCAGAGTTTTGGACTTAAACATCGTATTTGGTTGTCAGATCTGCCAGTTTGTGGGAACCCTGCTTCCAATTTCCAACTGTCTTTTTTCATCGGAATTTTGAAAAATAAAATACTTTGCACTACAAATTACCTCTTGAAAATGATGATGGTCCGACCAATCAAAAGAATTCTCGGAGAAAAAAAATCCAGCAATAGCACAGAAGTTTACAAAACATTTCCCTTGCGCCTTCGCTTGATCCAGCCAATTCCCAAAGGGACTGGTAATCTCTAGTGTGATGAAAAACGCTGCTTGCCATTTATTTCGTAGTAAACAAGCCTCATCAACACTCTCTTTCTCTCGGTTTTTCAGAGGTGTAGTTTTTGGTGTTGATACACTTGGGTCAGACTCTAACCTCTCGCTTCGGAAATCTTTGTCCAATCATCATCATACAAGGAACACTTTGGTACCCTCTTTCCATACATTATCTTCCTTGTTGGCAAAAGATGAAGTAACAACAAAAAGTCTTTCTTACGGATCGGGAGGAAACGGAAGTGGTGCTGAGCACAACCATGTACAACAACCAACTTCTTCTCATGATCCCAACCCAAAATCAGACGATGCAACACCACAACCAACCGCTAATAACAACTCTCCCATTCAAGAAATGTCCTCAATAATTCTCTCCTTCAATAATTTCGAGGAATGGACAAAGGAAGAAGTTGCTTCTATTCTTTGTATGAAGAAACATGAAGGTGGAGCCTCATTGTACGTTGAGAAAGTGAAGCCTCTATATAGTGCTGGTTTTGACGGGGCTTCTCTTGATAACATTGTTCAAGATATCAAGAGGCACGATGTAGATTTTGCAATTAAAGCCATGTCTCAAAGCAAAGACTTTTCACAGGTTTCTGAGAGTACTTGCAAGGCAGTGGTAAATTGGGTGTACAATACTTTGATGCCCAATCTTCAAATTGAACCATTTCAATATTTCCCAAGAAGCGAAAGAGAACTCTTAACCAAAGCAGATGAAATTCTTGAAGGTAATATTGATTCTGATGCAAAACGTACAAACATACCACAGATGTATAAACAGTGGTACTTGTCATTCTGTAATTTAGTAATCAAGGACCAAGCTCAAGGTAAAAGAACTCACTCTGAAAAAGAAAATTACTCTGTCGATTTACTGAAACTCTTTTCAAATGCAAGAGATATTATATTCAGCAACGTAAATACAGACAGTATATTGAACAAATCGAATTTTGAGACAGTCATGAATAACATGGTGAATGATCTTTTAAAGAAAAAGGATCTTGAAAAGGAGTTTTTTATGAGGAATTTGCTTACTCCCTTTAACACACGCTGTCCATCCCAATTTGTCAGAGATGTTTTTGTTCCAACTAACTCCACAATGATAACAAAAGATTTGTTTCCATTCCTCCCAAAATTACAAGTCGATCTGTTTAATGAAAGTGAAAGAAAGACGTTAGACCAAAAAATTCGTGATGGATCAACAATTTGCGTGATTGGGCCCTCAGGTGTGGGTAAAACTGCTTTGGTAATTATTATTATTATTTTATTGTTTAATTTGTTAAACTTTTAACTAATACGTTTTACAGCTTGCAAGAAGATTAGGAGTCAATCCAGGAATTATGATAACATGTACATCTCTGTATGATCGGCAACATCTTTCGGAACGTGGAACTGACCAAGCTTCTGATAAGTTGAGAGAAACATTTGTACTCACCATGACACAATCTGTTATCAAGCTCTACGCTACTGCTGCTCAACAAGTTCAATGTAATTTTATTGCAAGATTACTGTGCCTTCATACTGCATTAACCATCTGGGAACAAACGGATAACAAAACACCTTTCGAAACTCCTCTTCAAATGTTATCCTACTCTCAATGGAACGGCAATACAAAGACTGTAGCAAATATATTCAACACATTGTTGGAACGTCAATGGCTTTCTTTACCAACTGAAACTTTAAGAGATTTCACAATATTTTTGATCGAACAATTATATTCAAGGTTGAAGCTGGATAAGCAACCATTTATTATTGCTGTTGACGAGGCAAATATTTTCTCTATTCTCCATACTCCAATGTTATCTGAGAACGGTACACCCAGGGATTTATTGTCACTGATTGCATTCGAAATTTCTCAACTTAGAAAGAAGACTTATATGAAAATTAGTGATATTTATTGTGGAACCATGTTTACAACTGACATTGTTGATATTATTCAATCATCGATTGGAAAATTAGAGGATGTTTGCCATGTTTACTCCTGCGTTGGTTTAGATTCCATCACTTTTGAGCAAGCATTACAAATATTAGACAAAATGTATGATATTGAAGCAATTTTAAAATCGTCCAATATCTCCAAAATTGATCTTTATCACTCTATTCAACACATATTCCCAACAAGAAGAAGAGTAGTTGGGCTTGTTGCCTCTTATTTAGAAACAACAAAAACTCTCGATATTGAAGAAAGTTTCAGAAGAAAGTGGAAAGAGTTTGTGGATCAGGTGGAAAAAAATGTTTTACATAGATTTGATTGTAAGAAGTCAACAGACCGTCTTGATCTTAATTTTTTGTTGGACGTAGTAATCACAAATGAATATGATGCCTTTTTAGGGAAATCAATTTCTTGCGACAGAACATTAGCTTCTTCATTAATAGGAACTGGATTAGCAAAACCAAATTTTGACTTTTATGATACTAACAGCGATATGTATCATTTTGATACCTCAGACCCAATTCTTAAACATGTTGCAAAAGAGGTTTTAGAAAAGAAATATCCAAACTCAATTACAAAAATCAGTAACCCAATCTCAGTGTTGAATTTGCTATTATCTCTCCCTCAACATGACCCTAAGAAATGGGAAATGGTATTTTCTCTTTTATTGCAACACCATAGTGGAAAGTGTATTAGGGACAACTTGATCCTTTCACCATTAATATTAGGTGAGAATACAACAACCGAGATAAATGACAAATCAAACACTGACACA